GAACATCTCGACATCTACCAGCTAAAGATAGCTAAAGGTGAGCACTTCGAAGCTTCTATTCAGTTCCCTGTGACGTACATTCTGATTGGGTGATTGGAAGCACCAACAATGGCAGAAATACGGCTAAAATTAACTGAATCAGAATATGCTGATACAGGGAGGTTGGGATCAATTTCTTGGCTCATTGACGGCATCAATATAGAGGATTCACAGTATGTTGTTTCATCATATATATTGATGGTGGTGATGTATTTCTAATTACTATCTAGGGATGCACTCAGGGTAGCTATTCGGCAGCTTCCCAAAGATGCATCTGCAGTTCAAAAGGCTGCAGTTCAAGTGAAACGACAAAAACTGGCTGCACGTATTTCGAAATTTCATGAAATTGCTGATGCTATGACAGAGGGCATTGAAGTCCATGGGGGTACTGAGCACATGGATGACATCAGATTTTGCACTACAGATGTGGTGGAGGAAGTACGCGAGGCTGCAGATATTGAAGATGTGTTGGAAGAGATTGATGAGGAAGTTCCTGCAGAAGCCATGGGCATTTGGATGCCATCTTCAGTGCTCCGAAATGAGGCTTTAGCCCTGGGCTTGCACACTCTGCAAGCTGAAGAACTGGAGTTACGAAAGGGTCAAGCAAATGATTGCTTGGAAAAGTTACGGCAGGCTCTCGGTCATAAAGCGATAATTTACCGTCAACATTTCCGAAGTGCAGATTCCACATGGACAGGAACCAGGTCAAAGCAGGAGGCTCTACGATGCCGTATCAAAATAGAGAAGTGTGTCCGAAGGTATCAAAGGGCAAGGGGTTCAATGCAGAGACTAGGGGCTGATGAAGATACTCTGAGGACGATTTATCAAGACATTCAGCCACACCAGCTCAGTGTGGACAAGGAAGTGACGGAAGAGAACAGATATGGACAGGGATCAGACAGACTGGCTTGGTTTTGGCTAGTCAATAATGGTCATGATTCGCAGGAAGATGTTTGGATGGATGAATGTAAGTCATATCTAATATGCCTATTTTCTGCAGTGACAGGTATTAGTCTACAGGGTAAATTGGTTGAAAGCTAAGGCTAGATGGCAAAGGTGGGAGGAGGAGTTGAGATTGGTCCAACACGAAATGGGTTGGACAGTGAGTTGGTTTAAATACAGGATGGAAGAATGGGACCAAAGATACCGACAAGCTACAAAGCCTGGTCATCAAGCTTATGCACATCGACAGGTGCTCTTGTGGGGAAGATTTGCATTGGATGCTGAAAATTCATTCAAAGACAAGATGATTGTAGTCACTTAACAGTCTTGGCTATTATAATATCAAAGACTTATCTAGCCAATATATGATAGTTATGGTGGTCAGGAACACTGCATATACCTCATACTCTAGAGCTGGCCCATTTATACTTGCAGATAGTACAATTTGAATGACTAACTCTCAAGTGATAGTACTAAAATCAACATCTTTCTTGATAATACTTTGTCTAAGGTATTAGACTGGAGATGGCTCGGCTGGCTCTGGTATCAATGTCTGAAGTATCGGCCTGCCTGCTTGTACACCACATGATCCTGATCCGGCCGACTCTGTTATCAATGTCTGAAGTGTCGGCCTGCCTGCCTGTACGCACCTTGGTCCTGATCCGGCCGACTCTGTTATCAATGCCTGATGTGTCGGCCTGCCTTCTTGTACACACCATGGTCCTGATCCGGCCGACTCTGTTATCAATGCCTGATGTGTCGGCCTGCCTTCTTGTACACACCATGGTCCTGATCCGGCCGGCTCTGTTATCAATGCCTGAGCTGTCGGCCTGCCTTTCTGTACATGGCCTGGACATGCACCGGCCGGCTCTCTCATCAATACCATGAGGAAACCCACACTTTCCTTATCATTCTTGAGTTGTTTTAGATACTTGGGTTCTTGACCATGATGCTCAACATCACATAAGACATGAACACTTATATATATTTGTATACTTACATTATCTACTGACACTGATCAACTTGCATAAGTCAAATATCCTGCTGGACTTGAGTATCTTAGAAGTGCAAGTCATGGAAAGACTTGGCCAAGTATTATACAGTTATTCAACAATGTGTAGGTTTTTGCTGATGCCCTAAGTTGTTGGCTGGTACTGATGTATGTGTGTAGGGAGCCTCACTTGGGTGGTCGGCCAGTACCATCCCCACAGCTCTGGCCAGCACCAATGTGCATGTACAAGCAGAGGTCGGCCAGTACCATCCCCACAGCTCTGGCCAGCACCAATGTGCATGTACAAGCAGAGGTCGGCCAGTACCACCCCCACACCTCTGGCCTGCACCAATGTACATGTACAAGCAGTGGTCAGCCAGTACCCACATGTATAGACAGCCTCACCTAGTGGTTGGCCAGTACCACTCTCACACCTCTGGCCAGCACCAATGTACATGTATAGGCAGTGGTCAGCCAGTACCCACATATATAGACAGCCTCACCTGAGTGGTTGGCCAGTACCACTCTCACACACTTGGCCGGCACCAATGTGCATGTACAGGCCGGTGCTGGTTGGTACACATTCTACAGCCATTTGGCACATCCGGGGCACCACTTGTACATAGGGTTATGACTGAAGTATGTGGTCTAGCATTAAGTAGTTCTTCGCGTCGCAGGTTCGCGCGAAACTTTCGAAGTTGTGATGATAAATCAAGTGAAAATTGAGGATCACCATATTGCATGCATCCAACTTCAAGCTGCTGGCACAAATCGAGAATATTTTGACGAGTGATTGATGGATCCGCTTCGTCGTCGTCGTCGTCATCAGAATCAACCTCGATAACTTCACCATTTGCAATGGCAATTTCGTGGCGGACCGTGTCTGCAATGGATGAGTCACCACCTTCAAAAGCAGAGAATTCTCCCTTATCTCTCTCCTCGGCGGGGTCCAGAAGTTCATCAATAGTTGGCAAGGTACTGAAAATGCGATTGCGTGCTTGGAGTTCTCGGACTGATTGCATAAGCGCAGCTTCGGTAGAAGATAGCTGGGCAGCTTGTTGTGAGCGCGCGGGAATACAAATTTTGAGGCCGGTACGACGAGATGCAGCTTGCATAAGTGCATCAATGGCATTTAAAGCCATCTCCACATCTCCTTCAGCATCCATTACAGCTTTGAGGGCCGGTCTCCAATCAGAATCTATGTAGCGCTCGCCAAGAAGAGCCTGTAGCTTGTTCTCCGCATTGGGAAGGGACATTTCAGTAGTTGCGAATTTGTGGATGATGTTCCACGCAAGTGGATCCGTGTGAGGCCGTGTGTCAGCATTAGTTGTTGGATCACTGTGATAGACTTGAGCACCAAAAAAAAATGAGGTCAAAAGATGACTTACACTTGAATGTCAGTGTGATCCCAACAATGTTTGATGGTTTTGGACGTGACAGCATACCATGCTTGCTTCGCCATTGTCATGCCTTCGAGAATATTAATTTTATAAATATCCCGTTCGCCAGCTTCGTCAAGATCAATAGCGCGCGCGCAAAAATTACGGCGATATAGTGCCTTGAAGCATCGGATGATTCCAGCATCGCATGGTTGGACAAATGGTGTCATGTTGGGCCCAAAAAATTCAAGATCAATGTTTGATGGTTGATACGAGATGCTGTGGGCAGAGAAATTATCAATAAACATGCAAATGTGCCGGTTTTGTTGCTTCATCTGAAGATCGAGTTTTTTGATCCATCTAGGCCACTGATTAGATATTAACAGCAATCATATCATCATGTCCACATACTCCTCAAATATGACTGCTGTCATCCAAGCCTTCTTATTATTCCGATAATAAAATCCCCGCTGTTCCGGTGTCTGCTTCTTGAAGCATCGGGGTTTCTTTGCCCTGCCAATAAAAAAAGGCTCGAGCCTCTCGCTTCCATCTGCGTTGCAGGCTAATCCGATGGAGATACAGAACTTCTCTTTCTTCTTACCACTCATTTGTCGTGTTGCAAGACCACGGTCTGGAGGTGCACTAAAATGAAAAAAAAAATTAGGTGACATAGATTAATTTAAATGAACACTCACTAAGGAAAGAACGATGTCTCGTCAAAATTCCACCGATATTTGGGAGCAAACTTCGCCAAGATCTTACGACAACACTCTCGTTCTTTATCAACAGCTTCAATGTCAACAGACCCAGCTTCTCCATGCCGTCGGTACTCGCGAATCTTGTAGGCAGTACAAAATGATTGGAGCCATTCCCCCGACAGCCTTTCATTTTCCGGGACATCAAACTCATCTTCAAACCTTTTCCGTTTCTCTCGCAGCATAGGCCCAGTCACTGTTTCACGTCTACTCTCCATGTGCCTAACCCACAGAATTAAGGCACGTTCGACATCGGGCCTTGTGACAATCCTTGGCCGCTTCGATCACAATGCATTAGGGTTATCGTTGATCCGTGCTTCCATTTTTGGACGTTCCCGCAACTTGCGTGATAAGGTTGACTGCGTGAAATTGAGTGCACCCGACTTGAGAGATTTAAAGTGTTCAACAATTTCAATCTGTGATACAGTAGGATGAGAATCAACAAATGAATAGACTGTTATCCAGTCAGAGAGTGTAAGATTGTGGCGAGAAGTGCATTTGGGAGAATGAGCTGAAGTTCGAGGAGTGTCCTTGGTGATTTTCTGCCGCTTCGCAGGTCAGTTATAGACAGCGGGCTTGTCACGGGGTTTGCGTTTTGGGTTTACGGACATTGTTGTGTGGTATCGTACTGTCGTGATTACTTGCTAGCTTCTATACATAGTCGAACGAGACAATACCACTGAAGCAGAACAATAAATTTATGCAATACATTGTTGTACCTATTGTCCCGTCCTATCAATTTGGTACCTCATAATGCATATTGGCTATGCAAAGGTTATGCATTATGCAATATGCATTATGCGGTCAATTACATGGGAACAGCGTCGGGATCCAAAAAAGTCCATGCATTATGAGACTTATGCATTGTTAGCATATGCATTATGAGCATTTCAACTGTATTATAATTATGTGCGTAGAGCGAACTAGCCACATGATAGACAACGTTGTTTGCGTTCTAACACAATTCGCTCGTCTGCTTTACCTCCCTGTTGTTTAAAGTAATTTCGTCCGCATCGCTTGTCTTCAGCGAACGGGGACGAGTCTCATATTGATCCTCCAGTACAATCGTAGCGATCTCGGCACCTGTAAAAGTCGTAGCAAGAGGGTCACGAACGCGCTTCCTAGCAGGCTGTGATCCAAAAGTTATGATGGGTGCCGCCGGCGGAGAGGCCGGTGCATCATCTTCTGTGCTTAAACGGCATAAGAACGCGACGACGACGCTCAAGTTTGCGACGATTAGAGATACAGAAGCCTAAAGCACGATCAGGAGCGCTCGATGTCTAAACACTGACACCGCACCTCAACTATCGCAGTCATAATCACCTTTAGCCCTCCACCAGAGAAGATGTAGTATGCATGGGTGAGACTAACAGCTGTGGTGATTGCTGATGCAGAGAAGACAGATGATACCCGGACTTTTTGCGCCCTTGACAATCTGACTTTGTAGATGAGGCAAAATGGAGCCATGATAAGAACAGAGTCCCCTAGAACGTCGGCTGAAACTCATCAGAAGGTCAATATATTTCACACACAATGACCCCTCACTAATCATCTGTGTTATGGCAACATTCCTGCCGAGATTGCACTGCGGATGTGGTTGAGTTTTCCAGCCGGGTTCAGATTCACAAATCCACCACAGTTGTGAAAAAAGTAGAGCCCATACAATGCCGAAGATAATGGCAGTGCACATAAGAACCCTTCTCATAAAGGTTCCCGGGACAGTGAGTCGCACGATGGTGAACAATATAGATATCCTTGATGACCTATGTGCGCATGTCAGGTCCGTCACTTTGACATGCCACGATAGCCTTGGCGCCTTACCATACAACTGCGTAGAAGCATTGAGCAGCTCTGAAGTGATATTTCGAATATCTCTCAGCTATAAGAAATCATAAGAAGAAAAGGGAGCGCACATGTAGTACAATGCTACCCTCGTGCCCTGAGGGTATTTTTCTGCGCTCCTTCAGTAAGATGTATGCAGCACAGATATTGGAGTTGCTCACTGTAATCTTGCAGATACAAACAAAGGGCGACTAACAGGGTGAAGTTGAATATCATACCAAGGGTCGCCCATGCATCATCGATCCACAGACGTCCTTGCCGCACACGAACATACAAGCGGAAGGATGTGGCAATGATCGCCACAAGAGTGAAGACAATATCCACAGCTAAGAAGAATATCAACCACAGCGACGCAGCAAGTCAAGTAATCAGACTCACCTTCAACCTGAGTAAGGGTGGGGGCTGAGGACGACATGATGCATTTTCTGGAAAATTAAATCGGGCAAACAGCATATATAACTGTCAATTAAGAAGGCGCTGCATTGGCAAGTACTTAATTAGTACCATGCCATCCGTTGTACCGTGCCGTCCGTTGTGGCAAGTACTTGATTAGTACTAGTACCGTGCCATCTTAGTACCCGTGGCATCCGTTGTGGCACGACATTAAGAACAGCATCGAACGAGGCAGCTGGAGCCATCCGAAGGCAGTCCATTGGGCACGTGGGCAACCGGTGTCAATGATGTCATGAGACTGCAGGCCTGCATGTTTCATAGTATTGGTGCATCGCTGTTCTTGACAATGATAAACCGTGTGACACGTCAACGTCAACACTCGACACGGCTGATCAAACGAGATGCAAGCAAGCGTTTATTTCAATCGGGGAGAGCTGGAAATCGAGAACTCGAGATGAAGGAGTGCAACCGAAATCCTCAAGTGGGAGGCATTTGGGAAGTGTACCCATCACAAACAGTCGTGACCGAAAACCACGACTCCCAACAAGCAGACTTGCGAGCGATGGCAAGAACTGCGAGAAACCGTGGAATGCGTACGGTGTCATCGCATAGCCCGAGTGACTGATGGAAATTTCAGGGCGATACTACCTGACAACTGCATGTGCCTAGAACACCCGAGAAACAGATCTGATGGTCACCGGCGTGATACATTTGCATGCAGGGATGTGGAGAAGCTAATTGTGAAGATGAGGCAAACATGGGTGACAAAAGGCATGATTGTGTGCTGTGCCATTTCCGTACTGCAACTTTGACATTGATGCCATCGTCAACAAGTAAAGAAACAAGACATATATGCTTAGTAAGCACGTGGAGCGTAAGCTCAGACAAATGTTGTGGTCATACAGAGTCAAATACATGAGACGATTCAACTTCTTTGCACTCTAACACCATTCATTCGTCTACTTGCCCTCCCTGTTGTTTAAAGTAATCTCATCCTCGTCGCTTGTCTTCAGAGATCGGGGACGATCAGAGAGATCCTCCAGTACAATCATGGTGGTGTCCGCGCCTACAAGAGTAGTAGCAAGAGAGTTATGCATGCGCTTCCTAGGCTGTGATCCAAACGTTATGATGGGTGCCAGAGAGGATGGTGCATCATCTTCTGTCTTTAAACGGAAGATGAATGGGACGATGACACTCGAGTTCGCGACAATTAGAGACGTAGAAGCCTAAAACGCGATCAGGAGCGCTCGAGGGCTAAATAATGGTACCGCACCTCAACTATCGCAGCCATAATCACCTTTAGCCCGCCATCAAACAAGATGTAATATGCGTGGGTGAGACTGACAACTGTGGTGATTGCTGATGCAGAGAAGACAGATATTATCCGGACTTTTTGCGCCATTGACAATCTGGCTTTGTAAATGAGGCAAAATGGAGCCAAGATAAGAACAGAGTCCCCTAGGACATCGGCTGAAACTTGTCAGAAGACCAATGTGTTTTATAAACGATAAACCCTCACTAAACATCTGCGTTATTGCAACATTCCTGCCGAGGTTGCACTGCAGATGTGATTGAGTTTTCCAGCCGGGCTCAGATTCACAAATCCACCACAATTGTGAAAAAAGTAAAGCCCATACAATGCCGAAGATAATGGCAGTACACATAAGAACCCTTCTCATAAAGGTTCCCGGGACTGTGAGTCGCACGATGGTGAACAATATAGATATCCTTGATGACCTATGTGCGCATGTCAGGTCCGTCACTTTGACATGCCACGATAGCCTTGGCGCCTTACCATACAACTGCGTAGAAGCATTGGGCAACTCTGAAGTGGTATTTGGCATGTCTCTCAATTATAAGAAATGATACGAATAAAATGGAACTGTAAGCTGGATGCTTACGACGTGCTTGTTTGCGAACGTTTGGTTTGGTTGATTGGTTCTTAATCATGTCGCGCTGCTGCTTTGTATCTTATCTACTTCTGACCGTACCGTCAATCCACGACCTGTCCACGCTTTGTCCGTTCCGTTCTGAGTGTTTCCCTACACACGGGGTTTCCACTTTTTTTTAAGCGTTCGACACAGTCATCACCGAACGAACCGTCGCCGTCACAGATCAACACCGTCGTATCATAACACTGTCTTGATAGAATCGTGCCCGCCGCAACACAGTCTTGATAGAATCGTGCCCGCCGCCCTCCTACAGCTTATTACTGCAGTCCGTAACCACCGCGGTAACGTACAACGTGCCTTATACAAGAGCACCTCCAGCGAGGAACGTCGCCCCCCTAACTCGCGCCAGAGCGAAGGCTGGGGAGAACACTACCTTAAGCAACAGAACACCGCCCCCAACACAGCGTGAATCAGCCGTCGAATCTTCGTCGTCATCATCGTCATCCGACGAGTCAGACGTCAGAGTGACCTTCAAATACCACGCATACAACCACTCAAATAACGCCATGAAGATCGCCCGTGTTGAACAATCGGCGTGTACCAAACCCCCTACTCTCACCGCGGGCGAGCTCACTCCAGAAGTGGTCCGCGCGTGGGATATGGCCTGCCAGAATTACTTCACCCACAAAGACGTGACTGATAAAGTCCAGGTGAAGAAAGTAGCATGGGGTATGTTGGATCCACGTCTTCAAGACTGGTACATCACGAATCGCGCCACGCTGGACGCCATGACCTTCGAAGAGTATATGAAAGACTTTCGCGCGAATTGGCTTGACTCCGATTGGGCCGCTCAAGTTCGCAAGAAGTTGCTTAGCTCAACGCAAGGCACCAGACCGTTCCCAGAATGGGCTGCCGAGCTTCAAAGTACGAACGCACTACTTACTGGCGAAACGTCATACTTCTCGAAAACCCTCATGCGCAACCAGCTTGAGGCTAACATGAACGACGATCTGTCCGCAGACTGCAGACATGAGGGAGTACATGAAGAGGCCGACTTGAAGAAATGGATGGAAAAAGTCAAACGGTTGGACGAGAAACGTCTACGCTCAGTCGCTAGACAAAAGGAAGCGATTGACGCTGCACTCTCATCCAGAAACAAACAGCCGTTCGCACCTCGCACCAATTTCGTCAAGTCTAACCAAGCCTCAGAACCCTCCGCCAAGACATCGACTCGTGTTCCCCCGCTGTCAGATTCAGAACGACAACTTCTTAACAAACATGAAGGCTGCTTCAAATGCAGACGGTTCTACGTCTCCTGTCGATCCAAAGACTGCAAGAACGGGTTTCCTGACGGCGCTAATTATAAGCCGCTTACAGAGAACATGGCGCTCAGCAGCAAGAACAAGACCTCAAGGACCACAACCGTCGCGTCCGTTGAGGCTATTGCTGCAGTCATGATGCCTTCCGCAGTCCTTGGCAATGGGACGGATTCCGGTGAAGAGTATGTCAAGATTACGTCTCAACCCCACGTACTACCTTCGACACCTTCTCCTCCTTTACCCATCATTCCTTCGCAATCCCCAATTAATCACCCACCCGTTGCTCGTTAACCACCCCTCAACTTAGATGGCAATGTTTAATTAACGGCCCTCTTTCTTTATCTTCCGTTTCTGTTTCTGCGCTGATTGATGACGGCTCTTCCTTAGTTCTGATTGACGAGGCTCTCGTTAACAAGCTCGGTCTACGCCGTCGGAAATTACACGAACCGATCTCGACTACTGTCGCCATGAACACTGAATCGATCCCATCCCCCTTCTTCCTTCATCATTATGTTAAAATCAAGCCGTCTTCCTTAAACGGTGACTGGACTTCTCGGACCGTTAGGGCCATTATCGCACCTCAATTGTGCGCTTCTCTTCTTCTTGGTGGACCCTTTCTTGCACATAATCGCATTGTAATCGATCACGAGCTTCGGACCTGTATAGCTAAAGAAGCCTTGTACGACTTATTGAATCCACCTGTTCCTTCCCCCCCCCTTTTGTTACCTACCTTTACCCCTTCTATTTCCCAGGTCAACTCGTATCGGAAATCACTCGCTCGCGAATTGAAAACTGTTCTTCACCCACGACGACTTAAAGTCGATAACGAGTTGGAACCGATCACGCCGGTCAACATCAGCGCTGTGCTACTGAAACGGATCGAGACATTGACGTTCGCGGAGAAGCTTGAAAAACTCAACGATGACGCTAAGACTCGTTTCGCTGACCGTTTTCCTTCTGACATACCGCATATAGACGATCTTCCAGACGATGTTTACTATCGCGTTAAACTGCGCGATGCTAACCAAGTGATCCAGCTACGAGGATACAACTGCCCGAGGAAGTATCGGGATGCTTGGCATGTATTATTGAAACAGCATTTAGACGCTGGAAGGATCCAGCCCTCGTCTTCCCAACACTCCGCACCATCCTTTATCATCCCCAAAGCGGATCCCGCAGTTTTGCCCAGATGGGTAAACGATTTTCGTACACTTAATGCTAACACGGTCCCCGACAATTTTCCCTTACCACGTATAGATGAAATATTGAGAGATTGCGCTAAAGGCAAGATCTTTGGCAAGATGGACATGACTAATTCATTTTTCCAGACAAAAGTACATCCCGACGATAGACATTTGCTAGCGGTACACACGCCCTTCGGTCTCCACGAATGGTGTGTCATGCCGATGGGTGTACGGAACGCACCAGCAACACACCAAAGGCGCATGGTCGCCGCACTACATCCTTTAATCGGCAAGATCTGCCACGTGTACCTGGACGACATCATTATATGGTCACAAACAATCGAAGAACACATCGAGAACGTCAACGCCGTGCTCGAAGCACTACGCGCCGCCTCACTATTTTGCTCATCCAAAAAGACGTGCCTTTTCGCGACCGAAGTCAACTTCCTTGGACACGTCATATCTGACAGAGGTATTGAAGCAGACCCGTCAAAGATCTCATGCATTCTCGACTGGCCAGCTCCGAAGAGTGCGAACGATGTTCGTTCGTTTCTCGGCCTCGTTCGTTATGTCGCCAACTTTCTACGGGAGCCGTGCTATCATGGGGCCCAACTTGGGAATCAGCACGTCCCGTGGCCTTCGAATCCTCGCCCCTCAAAGATGCAGAACTCCGCTATCCCGTTCACGAGAAGGAGCTCCTCTCCGTCATTCGCGCGCTGAAAAAGTGGCGAGTTGAACTCCTCGGAACTGCCTTCGAAGTTAGAACAGATCACCGCACCCTCGAGAACTTCATGACTCAGCGCGACCTCTCGCGAAGGCAAGGACGTTGGCAAGAATTTCTTGCTGCATATGATTTCAAGATCATTTATTTGAAAGGTACTGAGAATGCAGCGGCCGATGCGCTTTCGCGCACCGAATTTCCAGATCCAGATTCAACACCGGTCGCAGAAAATGGTAACGACGAACATCAAGAAATGTTAAACGTGGCCTCCGTTCTCGCAATTCAGTCCGACGAGGCTTTGTTAACAACAATCAAGAACGAATACCCCAATGACCCTTTTACCGCTAAACTCGACAGCGTTCTCGTTTCACTCCCTAGCCTCACGAAACGTGACGGTTTGTTTTTCATTAAGGACAGACTCGTCGTACCTCGTACTGCTAACCTCCGTGAACACTTATTTCGACTTGCGCACGACAACTTAGGTCATTTCGGTGGAGATAAGTCGTACGAGACCCTACGCACTTCCTTCTATTGGCCGCAAATGAGAAAAGACCTTATCGAAGCTTATATTCCGTCGTGCGATGCTTGTCAACGCAACAAATCGCGGACGACACGCACGCCTGGACCACTACACCCCTTACCTATTCCAGACAAACGTGGGGACTGCGTCGCCATTGACTTCGTGGGTCCTTTGCCAGAAGATGAAGGTTTTAATATGGTAGCTACAATTACCGACCGTCTCAACGCTGATGTCCGTTTAGTGCCGTGTCGAGAGAACGTTACAGCTCCAGAGTTCACGAAACTATTCTTCAACGAATGGTATTGCGAGAATGGGTTGCCGCTGGAGATTGTTTCAGACCGTGACAAACTTTTCGTGTCCTCGTTTTGGAAGTCACTAACGCAACTAACGGGAATCAAGTTAAAGATGTCAACAGCGTTCCACCCTCAATCAGACGGCGCTAGTGAGCGCACCAACAAAACACTCAACCAGTGTATCCGTTTTCACGTCGAGCGAAATCAAAAGGGCTGGGTACGGGCGCTACCTCAAGTTCGTTTCAGCATCATGAACACTTGCAACGCCAGCACTGGCTTCTCGCCGTTCCAACTGCATCTTGGTCGCTCGCCCAGGCTCATCCCCCCGCTCATTCACAACACAGACGCCACGGAGACAGAGTTCGATGCGCACGCTCTCATCAAACGGTTAGAAACGGACGTTTTGGAGGCACAGGACTCCTTGTTTGCCGCAAAAGCAAACCAAGTGTCAGCGGCAAACCAACACCGCGCGGCCGAGCCCAACTTCCAAGTGGGTGACCGTGTCCTTCTTGCAACAAAGAACAGGAGACGGGAGTAACTACAGAAGGGCAAACGCCGCGTAGCTAAGTTTATGCCCAGATTTGATGGGCCGTACACGATCACTGACTGTCATTCGGAGTCCTCCACTTATACATTAGATCTACCTAAATCCATGAACGTCTACCCCACCTTCCACGTTTCACAACTGCGCGCATACCACCAGAACGATGCTTCACTATTCCCCAACCGCGAACAACTTCGTCCGGGCGCAGTCGTTACAGCCGAAGGAAACGTGGAGTGCTTCATCGAAAAGATCGTCGATGAAAGACGGAGAGGGAGGGGTACGCAGTACCTGGTTAGATGGCAGGGAGAGGGACCGGAGGTGGACGAGTGGCTCCCGAGAAGAGAGATCGAAGAAACGGAGGCCCTGGACATCTGGTTAGGAGAACAAGAAGCTGCAATGTCATAGGGTGGAGGAGTGTAAGCTGGATGCTTACGACGTGCTTGTTTGCGAACGTTTGGTTTGGTTGATTGGTTCTTAATCATGTCGCGCTGCTGCTTTGTATCTTATCTACTTCTGACCGTACCGTCAATCCACGACCTGTCCACGCTTTGTCCGTTCCGTTCTGAGTGTTTCCCTACACACGGGGTTTCCAGGAACACACGTGTAGTATAACGCTACCCTCGTGCCCTGAGGGTATTTTTCTGCGCTTCTTCAGTAGATGTATGCAACACGAACACTGGAGATGCTCACTGTAGTCTTGCAGATACAAACAAATGGTAACTAATAGGGTGAAGTTGAATATCATGCCGAGGGTCGCCCACGCATCATCTATCCACAGGCGTCCTTGCCGCACACGAACATACAAGCGGAAGGATGTGGCAATGGTCGCTACGATTGTGATGACAATATCTACGACTAAGAAGAATTTCAACATAGCGACGCAGCAAGTCAAGTGATCAGACTCACCTTCCGTCTGACGAAGGGTGGGGCTTGAGGACGACATAATTTATTCTGAGAAAGTGAGTCGGGTAAACGGCACATATAACAGCCAACCAAGTGGGCGCAACGTTGGCAAGCTGTAAATCACCGGCGAGCTTCTTTGCATGCACTGCATCACTTCGATCATCGGACGCTCCTATGGCTCCGGATCATCTACCACCTGAAAGTATGTCACCCAAAGTCCTGCTACCCCATTATCTTATCTGAAAAAAAGGCCGATCAACTCCAGACTGATGAATGTTCCCCGGTTTAGCACTTTGTTCAATCAATCAGCTGAGATTGACTTTGATGGTGTGGGGGTTGTACGACATTTTCGAATCGGCCCTTGATCTGTCCGGGGCAATGTATATGTTAATTTGTTGAACGAGGCTGGAGTAATCCGAAGGCAGTCCATTTGGCACGTGGGTGACTGGTGACCGGTGACAATGGTGTCATGACACTTCAGTCACCCCTTCCAAAGTACCTCTTAGGTACATATATTCTATCTTAAAATCCCACCTAAGGGGTATGATTTTAGATGGTATTCCCATGCAATATTGTTGTCAGCCCGGGCCCTCCCAATACTTTCCCCAGGGGGGCTGGGCCAACTGGGCCAATATATTTAGTCTGTCCCATGACCCATGTAGGCTATCCCAAGCAGCAATTTCTGAGGGTTATCCCAGTATCAGCCAGGGTGTCAGGGGTCTATCTCTACAAAACTCATCTGTATTTCACCATTGGGCAACTTCCCATAGGCAAAAATAATACAGTATAAAATATAATTTCATGCTTTTGGAAGGTTGCAATAGGAAAAACGCAACAATGACCATGATGCACCCTATCAGTCACCATCACCAAACAGCCGGCGATGTGAATGCAAACATCTTGTGTTTTGATGGTGGTGGTACTGGCATTGGCTCGTGTTTTGGAATAACGGGCGATGATGATGCCACTACAACTCGTCAAGTGCGCCCTCAAGTGTGCTGAATGATGACCACACTGTGCTCCCTGATACGAGCCCAGAATATTTATTGTGTGCGAAAAATGCAACAATGACCATGATGCACCCTATCAGTGACGATCACCAAACAGCAAGTGATGCAAACACGAACATCTTGTGTTTTGATGGTGGTGGTACTGGCATTGGCTTGTGTTTTGGAATAACGGGCGATGATGATGCCGCTACAACTCGTCAAGTGCGCCCTCAAGTGTGCTGAATGATGACCACACTGTGCTCCCTGATACGAGCCCAGAATATTTATTGTGTGCGAAAAATGCAACAATGACCATGATGCACCCTATCAGTGACGATCACCAAACAGCAAGTGATGCAAACACGAACATCTTGTGTTTTGATGGTGGTGGTACTGGCATTGGCTTGTGTTTTGGAATAACGGGCGATGATGATGCCGCTACAACTCGTCAAGTGCGCCCTCAAGTGTGCTGAATGATGACCACACTGTGCTCCCTGATATGAGCCCAGAATATTTATTGTGCGCAGGATGCTGCGGCCACTGACAGGGCTCAGGTACTCCTCGGATTTCTGGTTGAAGTGCATCAGTAAGCGTGAGATAACAGGGTACCAGAAACTCCCTATATACATCACCTGGGATGCCACAACAATTCAGTGGGGTAGCCCCCATCACTAAATTGTGCTGTGGGATAGCCCGTCTTCCCTATATACGTCACCTGATTAATTCCATGGGGCAGCCCAGCACTGTATATATTGTGATGTGGGATAGCCCGATACACCATCTGGGATGGCCCTATATACCCCCTGGGATAACACACCACATTTAAATAGTTGTTGGATCAGCTCAGCACTCTATGTATTATGACATGGGATAGCCCGACCACCCTATATACTGTGCACCGAGGGCCATATCTATCACCTGGGCTGACCCACTAACTATATATTTTAACATGGGACAGCCCGACCACCCTATATACTGTGCACCGAGGGCCATATCTATCCCCCGGGCTGACCCACTAACTATATATTTTAATATGGGACAGCCCGACCACCCTATATACTGTGCACCGAGGGCCATATCTATCCCCCGGGCTGACCCACTAACTATATATTTTAATATGGGACAGCCCGACCACCCTATATACTGTGCACCGAGGGCCATATCTATCCCCCGGGCTGACCCACTAACTATATATTTTAATATGGGATAGCCCATGATATACTTGCACCTCCAATGTGTTGTTGTGTAGTAATCACTCGAGAATTTCAGATATAATTACAAAAAGACTATATACTATGCAGAAAGTCTGGGAATCCGAATTTCTGGCCGTTTCAAAGAGGACATTATCATAATCCTCGTACAACCGGCTCAAGTCTCCACCTCTTGGCCCGAGCCTGAGATTCGGGTCTTCCTCGTATTTCACTTGAGGTACTCGAGTGAAAAGATCACTAAAACAAAACAAAAAACTTCTGGTTAGTATCAACAGTGTATCATGAAAAATGCAGATGCCTATGCCGACGGGACATTGGAGGCTGGTTGTAGCCGTTAGATACGCAAGGTTTCGGAGGGGTGCTGAACGGGAGCAAGGCAGATTGAAGATAATGGCGGCGAGTGTGAAGGAGAAACTAGAGTCGAACGAGAGACAAACGGAAGTCGTGTGACACGATCACCACGCCACCCTCGAAGTCCTTGATTGCAAGCGCGAGTGCGTCGATGGAAGCCATATCCAAATGGTTCGTTGGCTCATCAAGGAGGAGTAATTAATGTGGCTCAACAAAGAGTGCACGGACAGACTTGGACAGACTCAGACGGACGGATGGACAGACCCGCAAATTCGAATTCCCAGATGCCCTCGTACCATGCTAGTCCAATTCATGATCCCTGTATGTCTCAGCCAATGCAGCTTCCTCCAATTGATCTATCAATTCATCATTCTCCCTCTCATCTTCAGACTCCCAGTCGTTCTCAGAATCATCCATAACAGCTGTCCCATCAAGACGGCTTGGTTGATAGTATGTATTAGCAGCCTCGGCAAGGTCATTTTCGATGGGACCCCATGAGTCAGGCAATGGCCAAGCACAAGGGATAGGACGAACTTGAGATTGCCAATGCACAACAAGACCACTCAAAAAGCGAGCACGGAGGTCAAAATGAAAGCAGAGATCTTCGTTCTCGTCTGAGCTGTCAGTGTCATGAAAGCAGAATATTATACAAACTTACCTGCATGAGTGCGAGCCTCTTGTAAGGCATCCCACTCAGCCATCATCCACTCCTGGAGAGCACAACACTCTCGCATGATACGAGCCCCTTCCTCAGTGCACCGGTCCACCTCAAGTTGGAACTTAATGGCTGCACGTGTGTTTTCATCCGCTAGCCAGCCAGGCGGAGCCAAAGTATAGGAATCAAGTCCAGCATCTTGCCAGATATCGTCATCCACGTCGAGCTGAAAGATACCGGTCGGAGAGATGGAATGAGGTGGTATAGCGCCGGCAGGAGCTTCGCCTCGTCGAATCAAGTCAATGAGTTTGCTACAGAGGCTGTTGTAAGTCGTGACGAGCTTGCGTATTGTAGGGTTGCGCCGTTGAATTGAAGCTTCGGCATGTGCGTGAAGCTTGTGCTCTCAATAAAATATAATAAAATATAATCAGATAAGTTGACACGAAAGACCAAGCTACATACCATTTACCGTCTGACGGTAAGACCGTTCGAACCTCTCGATCTCGAATTTGCGCTGACGAAGACGTTCACGAATACGCGTCTTGACAGCGTGTGCATCGAGACGAACTTGAAGGAATATACTACGTCGGAGTTGTTGAAGGTCGGCAAGTTGTCCAATGCCGAGGGCCGCTTTCCATCGTCGCAGGGTATCGGCGACCCTGGACCGGTGGGCTCGTTCATCGGAAAGTCGAGTGTTGAAGTCCAAGATGTTCGGAACGTTGCCAGCGCAAAGCTGCGTCTCGAGCGCACGGAGGGATTCGTCCAGATTGCTGAGTGTTCGCTCGAGGGCCAAGATCTTCGATATTTGCTCGTCATTGTTGGTTTTTGATCTCTCTTTTATAAATGTTAGTTAAATACGAAAATATAAAGTAAAACACGCACTGGACAATGGTTTCGTTTGGTGCTCGACCTGAGCCCTCCATTCCAGGCGTATATTGGCCTCATCCACGGACAGTTGTCGTAGCGCATCTTCCGCATCGCTCTTCTTTGTCTGGCAACGAGTCCATCTACGACTCAGCCACTCACCAAAGGTATCGAGATTTTTTCCGTCAAGGTGCCGAACTTGCGCATTGAGGACAAAAAGACGTTGGTGGTACTGTCATAATGTTAGTCAGTAAAGGTATCCCAACGAAATAAGAACCTTACCCCAGACACACGCAAGGGGGGAATCAAGAGCTTGAGAGCGCTCCACAAGCGCTCGCAGCCCTCTCCATCAGAGAGTCCGAACCCTTCACATTTGCGAGGGTGATAAAGCAGTTGACAAGGCCACTGATGACCGTACGCGTGAAACACAGATATAGAGAATGTGATGCGAGAGAGAATAGCATCCTCGAGAAGTCGATATTTGAGACAGCTACGCTCGAGCTGACATGCAATATCATACAAGATACCGACGGTCATGGATGGCGGAAGATGTTCGAAGAGTTTTTTTATAAGCGCAAGGGCGTAATATTGCTTTTCACCTGCTGATGTCATATTGACCAACCATAACACGCAATTATGACGACAAAGCAAGGCCATGACTCCCGTATCGGCAAAAAAATGTGTGCTAGCCTTCTCTCGTTTTTCGTCTGCAGCAAGAAAAGATTCTCTGCAGGCATCCAACGTCGATATAGGGATGCGCATACCATCTTCATACCCATCTTCGTCGCCTTCGGGCTTCTTGCGTTTCGTTCCACGACCAGGTAGGGAGCCTCGACAGGCAAGTACGTGAGCTTCCATCCGTGCGACCTCCTCGTCTGAAATAAAGACCGAACGAGTTGGGTTTGGTGGATCTAGGCCATTGGCCCCACGTGGACTGGCTGACCGTTTCTGTGTGAAGCATGCATCTATGCATACATGGCAATCTAGTCTGCAAGAACATCAGCACGGTGAAAAACACAGTAGGAATGACTTACTTAAGACGAGAACTATGATCCTTTTGCCAGTCCTGCATGCCAAAACAGACTGGACAACGTGAACGTAGATAGTCGCTTGGTTGTATAGGCAAGACTTCGTCTGCTGAAGAACGCGAAGGAAGATGTTGTGAGATGAGGCCATATATGTGGTCTCCAGCATTCGTCACAAGGACAGAGTACCAATGATAAGCGTTGCTGAAGCGGCGGCGAAGATTGTCCTGAAGATGCCGGAGAGTTAGCATAATGCAACAAAGAATCATGTAAGCAGACCTTCGTAGAAAGTTTGTAACCTCGACCTGTTAAAAAGACTTCCAACGCTTCACACCAGGCTGTCGTATTAGGGGTGACCCGTACAAAAAGAGTCCTAACAAGCTCTAGTACACATAGGTCGACCGCAAGCGATGGAGCTATGGGTGCACAGGCAAATAGCCCCAACCTAAGAAGTTGAAGGGGTGCGGGTGCGCAGGGGCAGCAGTCAATGTTCAAGACCTCTAGATCTGGATTACGGTCAATTCGAGCCGCAGAACGATATAGTGAGTTCAGTACAATCGAAGAAAACACAAGTCACTTCTAAAGTCCTCCTGTGGCATGAAGCTCTACACTGGACATCACCACTTTGAAGTCCAGGCCGATGACAGAGCGAGGAGGATTCACGTTGATATTTGAGGTATGGACCGATTAGGGAAGGAATCACTTCGTTTGACCAGCGTTGCCACTGATTGAATTTTTTCTGTCGTCCGTTGGAGCGCAGGGGTCGAGGAGCATCAGGATCGGAGAAGAAGTGGATATCGTCATAAAACGAAGACCTGTTCTGGTCAACCGGATCAGAAGGGGGTAGAACATCGTGCTGAGGATTGGTGTTGGCAGTGGTCTGTTGTTGGGCAAAATGCTGCCTTCCCGGAAGTACTAGAAGTGGAGGAGGACCTGGAAGATGAAATGCCCCGCTTCCTCGCGGTTTCCGCCGCTTCCTGACCATGGATGGTGTAACTAATATTTGCTGCGAGTGACGACGGACAGGAGTTGCGGGAGTAGACGGCGAGGCGACATTCAATGGATATGGTCCTCCATTCATAGTAGATGCTTCTGGGAGGGCACAAAGCCTGCAAGAATACTGTCACTGACTCGAAGTCAGTCAACAAGCACAGAGAGGAACACGAAGTCCCAGTTCAGGTAACCTATGTAGCGACAATTAGTAGATACTGAACCGCGAGGATAATGGTCAATCGACGGTGATCAACAAACAGTGAATAGCGCCGTAGCAACAAGTCATTGAAATTCGCAAACGTAAATTGTACATGAAAGAACCATCCAACATAGCAACTAAATTTGATGAAAAAATCAGACGCGAACAGGACTGAGCGAAAATCGGCGGCTATGCACCCACATAAAGCATATGAGGGACCACCGGGGGACGACCTGTGTTATCGTAAAACGATTGTACGTAAAAAAGAGCACATTGCTTCATGTGTTGCCACTTCTCTCCCTCGGGCATCGACTCGGTGAAAGGCTGTTTGATATCTTGAGGAGCACCTTCCCATGCGATCAACACTTGACGAAATTTCTCGAAAAATGCTAGAGCATCTTGGAAAGATTCAGCGTTAAGTCCATCATTCCGAGTCGAGAAATCCTTGTCCCACATAGTGAGGGAATGCTGAGGAAAGATTCCACGGAGCAAATCCATGCGACACTTCCTCGCCTCTCGATCCCGTCGCATGTGACGAGCAAGACGTTCATCAAGTTCTAGAAGGTCATATCGGAAGCTTTGCTCACAAATCTCGTAAATGATCTCTTGAACGAGACGATGCGGCGGGTTCTCAAGCGTTGCAGCTTCGATTTTTTGACCCCTCCATTGCAATATCTGGGAGCCAGTCCAAAACTGGCGTAGAAGTGACAATTCATCTCCGAAGAACGAGCCAAGCTTGGCTTTGGACTTGCCAGTCTTGCCTGATGGCATCTGACCACTTGACGACGAGGGCTGTGGTGTAGGCTGCATGATCAATAGATCACGCCAGTTTTGGGACCGAGGGAGCGGAGATGGAGGCGACACGTAAACATGCTTCAGCCACGACTCACGGCATGCCAGCCAGTTTGCGAGATATTTCTTCAGAGATTGCGAGGAAAGGACGTTGACAAATAAACCAGGATCGGGGAGCCTGTATCCCTCATCCATTCTTGCGTGGGTTGGTTTGACCCGACTCGAGTCTTTCTCTGCTTGACTCATGGCCGATGCGAAAAAGGTGTTGATACTGGGCATGAATGGGTGAACCACATCGGCCCATTTGTCACGTCCAACTTGAGATTGGTTCTGACGCAGAGCAGTTGGTTCATCTAGATGATTGCTAGATAAGAGTGGTGAACTAAAATCAGACATTGCACTCACATGCTGTAGACTTGTTCATTTTCTTGGCAGGCGCTTTACCCGATGACGGCTCTCTAGAAACTGCAAGGCGATTGACTTCGGTTTGATCTACGGGGATCTCTTCAAAAGTAAGGTACGGTTGACGAACCGCAGCCTGGCGTTGATGATCGCTTGGACCCTTGTACCGGATATCGAAAGGTTGAGCGAAAGTTCTTAATGGGGTGGAGATACATCCCAAACACGAGGTCGGCAGGAGTGAAGGGAACGACTTGGCGGATGTTGACCTTATTATCGACAAGCCTAACATCTCGTATCAACCACACAGGTACACCAGCCTTGTGGAGCCTCAACGCAATAGCGGAGTCTTTGGTGAAGCAACCCATCCAAGTCTTGTTGACCCCATGGTTCTTGTCCTCGAATTTCAACCGCGGCTCAAAAATCTCGAGGTAATCCATCATGCTCCATATCTCCAGGAATCTCCTCTGAAATTCGGCCAAGATCATCACAATATCTCGCCAAGCCAGTGTCTCTTTGAAGCGCTCAAAAACAGAGCGCAACCCGGTGACCCACCCAACAACCGCGTCTTGCTTGTGTTCTCGGAATAGCTTGTAGGAGCCGACACGTTTATTAGCCCGCTCGTAGAGTCGAAAAAGGTGTTCACGGTGGGTGGACTTTAGCTTGCCAAAGACATGACCGGGAGATAATGGCTCAAAATCGTCAGAAAAAACTGGCGACCACCAAGCATACCACAGGTCAGTGCCAGGCTCGTGGAATTCGCGTCGCGGAATGGTAAAGCTCCAGGTGTAAGCATCTGCGTACATTTGAGGCCACTGGAAAGGATCCATCGCCCAAAACTTCCCATCCGCCCTCGCTTGCACGATATTGGAAGGATTGTCGTATAGTTGTGGGACGAAAGTCATGTTGGGCGAAGTGAAAACAAATTGACCGTCATAGGCGAGAGAGCGTGCATCTGTAGCTGTGATAGCATCTATATCCAACATTAGAGAATCACAGGACAATTACTAAGGGCACTTACTGTCACCATCGCGCAAGAATGGCTTGAATTCGCGAGGGATTGTCAGAGGCATTGTCAGAGGGACCGCGAATAACGGTAACTATCTGATGCCAGTGAGTGATTGAGTGGTGGAACCAACAAAGGCACAGTTAGTGTAAGCTAATAGGAATATGAAGACGACGAAAGGTACATACATTGAAGTAGATCAATTGCAGTGCCTGGATAGCACACAATGATACCAAGTCACTACTGTAGGAATACAGTGAGCGTGCAGATCCGATGACCCACGGCAAAACGAATCACTCACAAATGCAAAGCAGACTCAAAGTTGGCGGAAGGATCGATTACGCAGGCAGGAGGGAAATGTCGTCCAGTACTCTAACCCGAAGTTAGAGTAGCGAGTACTATTGCACAGTAACACGAAGTCACTGGAATAGTATTTTCTACCACGAAGGCAGAAGGGTCGGCACCGTCGATGGGAGTGGGAGGAGAAAGTTGTCGATGGGAGTGGGAGGAGAAAGAAGAGTTAGAGGCAAGATCGATGAGGCTGAAAGAGAAAATCGGGAAAGAGTCGCAAACTTTACGCCCAGGGTCCAGGGATAACCCAAATTGGTTTGTGACAAACTAGAATTCGCCAAAGTCTAAGGCTACATCATTTACCTTCCTCCTCTCTATTCTAGCACTAATCCGCATCATGACTGTTCTGAAGCTGCCTTCGCGGTAGCTAACACTATCTGATGACTTCGTGTCATCAAATGTATTATACAGTCTGACTTCGTGTTAGCACTGCCAGTGTTACTACTCAATCTGCCACTATCTTCCGACGTCTTCAGGACCGATGATCACCGCCCTGCCATCTCAATTCGCCTCAATTCTTTCAACTCAGTCTCTTGGAGCTCCTGCCTTGGTGGTAGCAGATATCGTTGGGTGTGATCGTGGATGCTGTCTGGTGGCCAGGTCAGTTTTCCTTGCGTCTTCCTGAACTCTACTCAATCTGCCACTATCTTCCGACGTCTTCAGGACCGATGATCACCGCCCTGCCATCTCAATTCGCCTCCATCCTTCCAACGCAGTGACTTCATGCCATCAAATGCAGTCTGACTTCGTGTTAGCACTGTTACTACTCCGAGTCAATCTGCCGCTATCTTCCATGTCTTCAGGACCGTCACCGCCCTGCCATCTCAATTCGCCTCAATTCTTACAATGCAGTCTCTTGGAGCTCCTGCCGTTGTGGTAGCAGATATCGTTGGGTGTGTTCGTGGATGCTGTTTTCCTTGCGTCTTCCTGAACTCGACTTGTGTTCCAGCTTTTCCAATGTCTTCAGGACCATCACCGCCCTGCCATCTCAATTCGCCTCAATTCTTTCAACTCAGTCTCTTGGAGCTCCTGCCTTGGTGGTAGCAGATATCATTGGGTGTGATCGTGGATGCTGTCTGGTGGCCAGGTCAGTTTTCCTTGCGTCTTCCTGAACTCGACTTGTGTTCCAGCTTTTCCTAGCGCGGCCGTTGATTGTTTCTGATAGATCTCTTCCAACAACTATCAATCGAACTAGACATTGCCAGCACTCGTAATCGCTTTGGGTACTCTACGCGCTGCTCTGGCCATCAGACCAAGTTCAAACAGATGATGATGCACTGTCCATCTACGCTCTTCCCTCCTATATAGGCGGCACTCGTTTGCGGTCCCAACCGACGATCTGGCTCAATCAGGTTAGTCCAGTCTGCGGTTTCTGTTCATAATTCATTAATTAGTGTCCACCCACAGCGTCCATCGATGACCTCGCCCGTCCCAAATGCGGTCCATGTGTCATCTCTGCCATCTGGGAAGCCATTAGAGTATTGGAGTCTTGTGGCGAAGTTTATTCGTTGTCCAGCCGACGATTTGATTCATATCTTGCCTAATATTCCGTAGGCGCTCTGCTCCCACCCTTTAAAACCAGGTATGCTGAAATTTCTGCCCATCGACTTCCTGTCGCTCAAAGTCACTCTCACCGCAGTATTTTTCTTCTCATCCTGAGATTTGCTTGAAAAGCCAGGTAGGCTAGAATTTCTCCATCACGATTTTCTATTGTTCTAACTTGCTCTCTCACTAGTGTTTACTTGCATTCGCCGTTCGTGAGACTTCGTGTCTTCTTCGCCGCTGAAAAGGACTTCGTGTTCTTCATACTCCTTGCTGTCGACATTCGTGTCCATAGTTCTCTGCCTTGAGTCAAGAATTTATCAACCTCCCTCTACCATGCCTCCCAAACGGACTTCTTCCACCCAAAAGCGCGCTAACCAGCGGACGGAAACTGCATCTACGGACTTCGTGATGCGTACCCGCAGTGGTTTGCCCATCAACCAGCGCATGGTACGTATATTCTTTAATTCAATTTTATTTATCGTAGATATTAATATTTATTGTCTTGGACAGAACAACACTAAAACGGTAGGCATTCCTTACTTTTCGTCTATTTACTGATGAGATCATGATACCCCAGTCACTATCACCCACTAAAAAATCAAACCTAACCCCTTGCCGAGGAGGACCTCGGTCACGAACTTCGATGACTACAGCGCCCTCCTTTCCCGGCGCGCAAAAATTTCCACTGCTACCACAGATCCGCGCATTGACACTGAGTCTGAAACCCAAGGTATGGGCGGCAACCCTACAAACTGAGTAACTACTTGTTGATATGACTGTTACAAAGACCACCCCAAGATCGACGACCCTGTCACAGAAGATGAGAGCAACGGTGAAGGAGAATTGGAGGCTCACAAGGGCGATCCTGTAGATGATCCCAAGGCCTGTGGTATGTAGCACTGTCTCCCATCAATGATGTACACTGACAGTCCTTTTTTCGTCTCCCAGAATCCTTACCTGTCTCTGATACTCCAGAGGATGAAGACGCTTCCTCGGATGGCACCCCTTCCACAGATAACAACTACCCATATGCAAATCGACGAGCAAGGTCACGAGCTGAACATCGTGCAAAGCTCGCTGCACGTGATCTTTTTCCTCCAGACAAGGAGTCTGACAAAGGTGACGATGAATATCAAGAAGATGAAGAAGACGAGGACGAAGAAGTTCCTGCGCCTCCGTCGAAGGCGAAGTTATTCAAGAAGCGTGCGCTCTCCAACACTTCCCCAAAAAACTCCACAGTTATAGAGACTTCCTTGACCGCCCCGGTACAACACCGTGCAAAGCTTGCTGGGCGTGATCTTTCTCCTCTGGAAGAGGAGTCTGACGGGGATGACGATGAATATAAAGAAGATGAAGAAGCCTCTGACGAAGAAGATGAAGTAGCCTCTGACGAAGAAGCACCCGCGCCTCCATCAAAGGCAATGTTGTTCAAGAAGAGCGCGCTCTCCAACACTCTTCCCCCAAGCGCTCTGCCAAAAAACTCCATGGCAATGGAGACTGCCTCGCCTACCCCGCAACTTTATTCATTTGATGATGTCGGTGAAGACCTTCCCATTGCTTCTAGACCTGGGCGGCTGTGCCAGGAAGGTGTACATGATGCGCAGGAGCTCGGGCGCAAGACACTTGAGGCTGCCAAGGCAATTGGGGCCAAGTATGGAAAATCTGCACGTACAATACTCATTGAGGCCGGGTTGTCTGTGAAGCACTCCAGGGCCGAGACCCCATGGAACATGCACCAAGGATGGTACAAGAGTAAATATCCTCGAGAAAAAGATGAACGTGAGTTTTTTCTTCTTTTACACATTGGCGCTGGTAATAACCACATACCCTGGTAGAACTTAGTGATTGGAAAAAGAGGCAGCGCGACCACTACTACAGCCTCCCAGATGATGACCCGCTGTGGGATGATGTACAAGCATACCACGAGGTTCACTTAGGCGGTGCCAATAACAATCAGTCGCGTGCCAGCATTGTTATGTCTACAAGGGACGCACTCGCTAAGCGTGTAAGTATTAAGCCAACACTCATTTTTATCATGGCTCACTGCCAGAAAGTTCGCAGCTTATTCTCGTCTAGAAGGCATTGAGGTCATTGGCTGTGTCTTCGATTCGACTCCTGATGAGGCGGCCCGACAGGCCTCTGGTTTTGTCGCAGGCTCTTCCACCTTTATGGATCTCATCAATGAACGCCAAGTGGACGCCCGCCTCGCTTTAGATTGGATTATCACCGCAGTGAAGTACGTAGCTTGGAACTACCTTCAGTTTTATCTTACCATGTGTCCAGAGTAAAAAACTACCAGCTAGTACTGCCGCGGTTCAGTGGGGCTTATGATATTTTGTTTTCGAAGCCTGGTGAAGCCCCACGGGATCGTTACCGACATATCTGGTCAGTCATGGTGCTTGAGAAGCTAGGTAAGCTCGATCTAAATTCCCCGTGCATATCTCGAATTTATTTCGATAAAACAGAACAATTCGGCTATAAACCCAAGTCTGTCCAGTGGCGGAAGCTACTCGATGTTGCATACCAGAACAAGTTTCAATTCGAACTCTGGCCTGATGGTGTTCATCCGGTTGGCCCAGACTTCAACTACCACACCCTCAGCGCTCAACAACTGAAGCTACTCGTCGTGCCTTACATCAAGCGCAAGGCAACACAGTATTATGACGCCGAACTGAAGACAGAAGCTACTAATCTACTCGAACTTCGGCGTAAGCAAGGACGCAGTGATAAAACTCTTGATGATATCATTGACGAGTTGGATGTCACTGTGTCCGAGATTGATATTGTTCCTTGGCCGCAAGGTACTTATTCCCCGTGTTCATTTTCATATCTAATGCTGTTGCTTCAGATCACATTGACCAATGTGAAAATGACGACCCTAGGATGTTCGATATTCCTTTGGTCACCAGCGCTTCCCACATCGTGCTCCGCAAACTAGCGGACTCCGAGAAATTCAAGTACTCCGTCCCAAAAATGTTGCTGGAACAGTACAAGGAAGCAACATCAACCACTCAACAACAGACTCACCGTGCTGCTCGAGGATTTTCTATTGTTCACGAGGACCACCACAGCAACAACGATCCGCCCCGTACAGAACACCACCCAGCGGTACTTCAGCCGCAGAGGATGCAGCCTCGCAAGCGACTGCATGTAGAGGATTATGGTAAGTCCAGTAATCACTTACAGATTCTGTTCTAATTGAGTGTCTGACAGATCAAACATTTGAATCCGAGGCTGATAGCTTGAATGCACCAGACTCTCGCATCAGGAAAAAGTCGAAGGTAAGCTGAAGACTGATGTTTTTTATCATTATTTTTATTTAAGTTCATTTCTAGGTTGTACGTTACGATGGTGCTCCGCGCATGGTCCCAGCTCATCCTCATCCTCATCCTCGACCTCGACCTCGACCTCGTGCACCTACCCCTGGCTATGAGCCACCTCAACAATGGCATAATGTGGCCCATTCTCGCCATGATTTTTCAGCTGCAGGCCCTTCAAGAGTGGTTGCAAGGGGACATGAGAACTATGCTTATGGCCGGAACACTTCGTCTGCTGATTATGGTGGCCATTCATATGATCATGATTTTGATTACTGTGACTAATGTTTCATATGCTTTAAATGATTTTTGTATGTAATTGTGTATCATAGCTTGAATATACATCTGTCTTGTGGTTCCAAACTGTGCTGCATGATTTTCACTCAAAAAACAATGCCAGCATCTACGAGTTTTATTATATGTAAAGTAAGGTCATCATGGCTATCCCAGCTGATATATATTGGGTAGCTGGGTCATCCCAAGTAGTATGTAAGGAATGTATATATATATAGTGGGTCAGCCCAGTGTCTATGTAATGATGGCCCAGTAATTATGAAAGTCGCGATGGGCTATCCCAGGGTCATCATGGCTATCCCGGCTGATATATATTGGGTAGCTGGGTCACCCCAAGTAGTATGTAAGGAATGTATATATATAGTGGGTCAGCCCAGTGTCTATGTAATGATGGCCCAGTAATTATGAAAGTTGCGATGGGCTATCCCGATGTTTAGTGGACTGTCCCCATGACTAATGAGCTAGTATTGGGCTAGCCCATATGGTGCATGTCAGAGAGCTGGGCAAGAAGGAATAGCAAAGTACTAACACTAGTGATTCTAGATGAAATAATGGGTTTGGGTTTAGACAGGGGAATCATGAGGAGTAGTGCCAGTGGTTGGTTGAAGCTGAATGAGAGCTATGGTATTGGCAGTTGTGCGATCAAGATAATTAAGGTAGACTTCATGGAGAACAATAATGGTGACCAGGATGGTAAAGACAATTAGAACCCAGAGATTTATGAAGTCGGTGCTTAGGAAAGCAAGAGATCGTCGGTGTGTCACAGAATGGACTGCTTGGCTAGTCTCAGATTGGCAGGAGCAAGTCACCACTAGAAATGTTGAATAAAAAACTAGATCAGTTCAAGTATAGAATCTTAGCAGGAAGCAGCTACCCAGATAAGCAGCCCAGTGAAGTAGTATAGAAAGGAGAGTGAACATTGCAGGACTAATATTGAGAAAGGATGCTGCACAATAGAATGTAGGAGAAAGAAAGAAGAAAAGCAGTGCAGAATGTTATAGAATGTGGATAAAAAACAAAGACAAACAAGTGATAACATTTGGACCGGGCTGTCCCAGCAACTATATGAACCAGCATTGGGCTAGCCCGCATCATGTGTGTGAGAGCACTGGGCCGTCCCAGCGACATTTGAAACAGCATTGGGCTATCCCGCATCATGTGGATGAGAGCACTGGGCTGTCCCAGCAACATTTGAAACAGCAGTGGGCTATCCCGCGTCATGTGTATGAGAGGACTGGGCCGTCCCAGCGACATATGAACCAGCATTGGGCTATCCCGCATCATGTGTATGAGAGCACTGGGGCAGCCCAGCAACTATATGAACCAGTGTTGGGCTATCCCGCATCATGTGTGTGAGAGCACTAGGCCGTCCCAGCGACATATGAACCAGAACTGGGCTATCCCGCATCATGTGTATGAGAGCACTGGGGCAGCCCAGCAACTATATGAACCAGTGTTGGGCTATCCCGCATCATGTGTATGAGAGCACCGGGACAGCCCAATGAATACTTTAGAGATACACACCTGCCTTTACACAATCCAGGTGTGACCAACTGAACCTTAGCTTCGACATTTTGAAGATAGGTGTGACCTATGACACCTCATAAATAGCATTGAAATTCTGGTGGTCACTGTCAGCATTTGTTAGCACTAGGTATCATTGTAGATGAGCTTGTAAACTGCAGACAAAGGTTTGGCATTTCTTGGTAGCAGTGTACACCTTTGTCATGTTTGACTGCATGTCACAATTTACTTTCGCTATATGTTATGAGTCTAACCTGTTGTGCCTTCAGCACAGGAAGACAGCGGAGTGCTTCATGCTTCTTACTATATGTGAGTTTCCAATTTAAGGTTTAAGCAAGCTAAGTGCAAACCATGTACACTATTGATTGCAGACAAACATTGTACTTCAAGTGTCTGAATATGTGGGCATTCATTTATAAGAAGTGACCCCTGGCACCCCCAGATCATTCAAATAATAAGGGATATGGGATGTCCTAGATAGGCTATGGGACAGACCAAATACACTGGCCCAGCCCCCCTGGGGAAAGTATTGGGAGGGCCCGGGTCATAATAATATTGCATGGGAATACCATCTAAAATCATACCCCTTAGGTGGGATTTTAAGATAGAATATATGTACCTAAGAGGTACTTTGGAAGGGGTGACTGAAGTGCGGAAGAAGCACGCCCCCCGGGCTAGTCCCGCCGGTGGTTGTCGCACTCACTGGGACGGCGGATACAATGACAGTTGGTGCAGACCCTCCTGCACCGATAACGAGGGCGGCAGCAGGCGCACCAATGGACGGCGCACGAAAGCAGATGGATTCACGAATTTCGAGCCAGTCGGTATTATCTCCGATTACTAAACTCCGACATTGTGTAAGCCTGGGCTTACCACACGTGACGAGCCGCTGATTGGACACGCCGAACTATGACGTGCTTGTTCGGATATTAGATATAAAGTCGTTGTTGTCTGTATCTTATCTCTACCTCTTACCTCCACTTCGAATCTAACTCTCATCCACGTTCCGTCTACCGTCTGAACCTTAGTGTTCTACCCTCTGGGTAGCTTCCACTTTTTTTGAACGTACAGTTGAGCGTTAACCGTTTGCCGTTATCCTTCTGCCGTTACTGTTCACCTTGTCTTGCCGAATCAACTGTTTTAGCACGCCGCCGGATTGACCTTAGTCAGTCGGCTATTAAGAACTTACAAACTGCCTCCTCGCCGTTCCCGTCTACCCGCATACTCTCCGAAAGCAACTCGCAGTTGTGCTCGTAATCCTTTGAACAACAACACGAGTACTACTGCGATTCCAACAACAATAACGCCTCCTCGCTTAATTAATCCTACTCTTAATTCCTCTCCTCTCACTGAACCAATAATCACTCGTACGAGTTCCCCAACTAAAACGCATACATCCACATCCTCGGGCTCTACCGACTCGTGGAACAACTTCCCCATCATGTCCGCACCCTCCAAATATGCGCGTGTTGAACAACACGCCGCAAACAAACCACCCTTTCTCACAGCGGGAGAGATCTCCCCCGAGGTCTTTCGAGCGTGGGAAATGGGCTGTCGACAATTCTTCATGCACAAAGACATTCCGGATGACCAAATGGTCAAAAAGGTCGCCTGGGGAATGCAGGAGCCCATCATACAAGACTGGTATCTTAATGACCAGGATCGCCTGAATGCACTCTCGTTCACAGACTACATCAAAGAAGTCCGTAGCTACTGGCTACCTGCAGACTGGGCCGACGCCGTTCGTCAGAAGATGCTTTCCTCCACGCAAGGCTCGAAACCATTTAACGAATGGGCCGTTGAGGTCCAGTCCAAAAACACGCTTCTTCGTGACACTCCCTCTCATCTCAACGACACCAACCTCCAATACCACCTAGAATCACACATGCATCCCGATCTCACAGCTGAATACCGTACAGAGCAAATCACCGAGAAAGATCTACGCAAGTGGATTGAAAAGGTGAGATTGCTTGACGACAAGCGGGTCCACCTCCTCGCGAAGCACAAAGAAGCTGCAGAAGCGGCTTATCGTGTAGAACGAGGCAAGGTCAACGTCGACAAGAAACTTACGTCGTCAACCCGCTTCAACAGCAAGCAAACACAATCAGCCTCTAACCCCTCATCATCCAATAAAACCTTCGTCCGTTTACCCCTGCTGACAGATGACGAGCGTCAACTTCTTCGAGACAACCACGGTTGTTTCAAATGCAGAGAACCCTTCGTTCAACATTCTTCCAGCACATGTCCCACTGGGTTCCCCGACGGAGCCACATACAAACCTTTAACGACTGCGTTAATAGCTGCTAAGAAGAACAAGAAGAGCGGGACAACTGTCGCCGCTGTAGACTTCTCCGAGACAGTCGCTGTTGTGATGCCTTCCGCAGCGCTCGGAAATGGCTCAGAATCAGGTGATGAGTGCGTCGCACCGTTCACAACCCCGCATCTCACTTGGGACTGCCTTGTTGATGGCCCAGCTGTGTCTTCTTCTGTCACTGTATCCGCTTTGATTGATCATGGATCTCCAGCAGTTCTGATTAATGAAACGCTCGCCATTAAGCTTGGTCTCCGCCATCGAACATTGCCAAAGCCTCTTCCAGTTTCCGTCGCACTCTCAGGACAACAAAAGCAATCATTCGTTCTGTCGCATTATGTTAAACTCACATGTTCATCCCCTGACTCCCTGTATAAATCTCGCACTGTACGCGCAATCATCGCGCCCAACCTTTGTACCCAACTCCTCTTGGGAGGACCCTTCCCTGCACACAATCAAATCGTTATTGACCACCGGCTGCGCACTGTAATCGCTAAAGATGTCAATTACGACCTCCTGAACCCTCCAACACCTTGTGCGCCTGCGCCGTCTGTCGTTCCTAATCAGCTGCAAGTTTACTCCTTCAAGAAGGATGTCGTGTGCGAACTCAACCACGTTCTCCCCGAATACAAGGCTATCATAGACAAAGAATGTCTTCCAGTCAACGGCATTGATCTTGTAGGCGCCATTCAAGCACAGATTGATAAACTAACCTACCAGAATGACCTTACTGCACGAGACGCTGCCGTTAAACACGAATTCATCGATCGCTTCCCAGCTGACATCTGTCACGAGTTCCAAATACAAATCATTATTCTTTCCTTTCAACTGTCAATATTAAGCGCCCATTCCCAGCGCTAACTCCTAAACGCCCAACATATGTCTCAACCCTTAACCCTAAACCTATCGCTACTATAACCGAAATCCCAACTCCAGACTTAGACGCCATTACATCACGTGACTCTCCTAGAACCTTCCAGAACTTCACAGAAGCGGCATCGCTTCTTATGACATCATAGTTTCTTTTCACCTTATCACATCGTACGATTCTGTTTCCTATTTTATGATTGGCTAGTAGTTAAAACTCAGTTTGTATCTCCTCTTGAATAGTTGTATATAGTTAGGACATTTCTAGTCAGTAGTTCTTTAGTTCAAACCTTTCGTCTCTACATCTTGTAGCAGCCCAAACGTACCTGCTCAATCTCATTTCTTTTATCGTGATATCCTTTGTTTGAGTCCTAGTCTCTGCCCTAGCATTAAGTTGTTTAAGGGGTTGTGACAACATCCCACACAATGACACTCTTCCCTCGGACGTTCTCTTTCGGGTACACCTCAAAGATGCCAATAAGATTATCCAAAAACGATCGTATGATTGTCCGAAGAAGTATCGAGCAGCTTGGAAAACATTGCTGGACGCGCACCTTGAAAGCGGCCGTTTAAGACCTTCCGAAAGCGAATACTCATCACCCGCGTTCATAATACCTAAGGCCGATCCGACAGCCTTACCACGTTGGGTCAATGATTTCAGACAACTTAACATGAATACCATACCTGACAACCATCCGCTCCCGCGTATCGACGAAATCTTACGAGACTGTGCTAAAGGTAAGGTGTTTGGAAAAATAGACATGACTAACGCTTTTTTTCAAACACGTGTTCACCCGGACGACATGAAGTACCTCGCCGTTCACTCACCTTTTGGAAAATTCGAATGGACGGTGATGCCTATGGGCGTGCAGAATGCACCATCCGTCCACCAGAGAAGAATGATGTCAGCACTGTGCCATCTCATCGGCAAAATATGCCATGTATATCTGGACGACATCATCATATGGTCTCAAACACTCGAAGAACACGATCGAAACGTTCGGGCCGTCCTTTCTGCGCTACGAGAAGCCAGTCTCTATTGTTCCTTAAAGAAGACCCTCCTATTCGCCAGTGAAATCGACTTCTTAGGCCATCATATCTCCGCGCGTGGGATCGAAGTCGACAAATCTAAAGTCGCTAAGATTCTCGATTGGCCTAGACCTACAAAAACAACAGAAGTCCGCGCCTTTTTAGGTATCGTGTGGTACCTTTCTGACCACTTGCCTGCGCTCGCAAAATTCACTCGCGTGCTCACCCCACTAACCACGAAAGCAGCAGAGCTTAATTTCCCTCCGTGGACTCCTCAACATGAAACTGCATTCAAGAGCATTAAAGACTTGGTGGTGAGTCCTCACTGTCTTACCACGATTGACCACGACAATCCAGGAGAAAATCAAATATTCTTGACATGTGACGCGTCTGACTTCGCTACCGGGGCCGTTCTCTCTTGGGGAAAGGATTGGAAATCAGCTCGACCTGTCGCGTACGACTCAACCCAACTTCGAGACGCCGAGTTAAATTATCCGGTACATGAAAAAGAACTGCTCGCCATTATTCGCGCCCTCAAAAAATGGAGAGTCGAGTTGCTGGGTGCGCACATCACAGTATATACTGATCACAGAACACTTCAAAATTTCAATATGCAACGTGACTTATCCCGTCGACAAGCGAGATGGGCTGAGTATATGTCTCAATACGACATGACAATAACTTACATCAAGGGCGAAGATAACACGGTAGCAGACGCACTCTCTCGTCGCACTGACGTTACCCCAGACAGCTCGCCCACCGTTGCCGGCATCCTATCAATATCAGCAGATAACTCGATCGTACAACGTATCAAGAATGGTTACACATCAGACCCCTGGTGCCAACGTTTACCATCCTTACTAGGATCCCTTCCCGGTCTAACCCAAGATGCAGAAGGTTTGTTTTATGTGGCTAACCGCCTCGTTATCCCGCGCATAGACAATCTGCGGGAATTTCTATTCCATCTAGCCCATGACGCGTCGGGCCACTTTGGGGCCGACAAAATGTACAGCTCACTATGTTCCGCTTACTATTGGCCAAACATGAGAAAGGACCTCACCAAATCCTACATACCGTCCTGTGCGCAATGTATGCGCAATAAATCTCGAACGACAGCAGCTCCTGGTCCCCTTCACCCGCTACCTGTGCCCGACGACCGTGGGGACTCCGTCGCCATAGATTTCATAGGAATCTCCCAGAAGACAGCGGCTTCAACATGCTCATCACCATGACTGACCGCCTTAATTCAGACATCAGACTTGTACCTTGTCGTGACAATGTATCGGCCGAACAATTCGCCACCTTATTTTTCGATAATTGGTATTGCGAAAACGGGTTACCCTTAGAGATCATCTCAGATCGAGATAAACTTTTCCTTTCTAAATTCTGGAAATCACTCAATAAATTGACAGGTGTCAAACTGAAAATGTCTTCCTCCTACCACCCTGAGACGGACGGTGTCAGCGAGAGAAGCAACAAGACCGTCAACCAATGCTTGCGCTATCACATTGATCGTAATCAGAAGGGATGAGTGAAGGCACTGCCCCGCGTGCGTTTTCATATTATGAGCGCGCTGAATACTAGCACGGGTTATTCGCCTTTTCAGTTGCGCACGGGACGTTCACCTCGAGTATTACCGCCGCTCATCCCCTCACACGCACCTCAGACAGGCACTGACGAAGACCGTGCACGCGCGTTGATCTCTCAACTAGAAAAGGACGTCTGGGAGGCTCAAGACAATCTACTAGCAGCAAAGGCAGCTCAGGCCGCATCAGCAAACAAACATAGATCGCAAGAGAAAACATTCGCTGTCGACGACCTCGTACTTCTCGCAACTAAGAACCGCAGAAGAGAATACATGCAAAAAGGAGATGGAAGGGTCGCCAAATTTATGCCACGCTTCGACGGACCATACAGAGTCGTAGACGCAAATCCTACAACGTCGACATACACCCTTGACCTCCCGAACTCACCTAACATTTGTCCAATGTTCCACATCTCACAACTTCGTCCTTTCGTTAGTATTCCCAACACGAGAACTGCCAAGACCCGGACCTGTCGTGACGGAGAACGGACAAGCTGAGAACTTTATAGATCGCATTGTGGACGAGCGGAAGGTGGGCCGTGGAAAGAAGTATTTGGTGCGCTGGGTTGGATATGGACCGGAAGATGATGAATGGCTCCCCCGCCGAGACTTGGACGACTGCGAAGCTCTAGACATCTGGGAGAAAGAAAGATCTCAAGGATAGTCGGGGAGGGTGTAAGCCTGGGCTTACCACACGTGACGAGCCGCTGATTGGACACGCCGAACTATGACGTGCTTGTTCGGATATTAGATATAAAGTCGTTGTTGTCTGTATCTTATCTCTACCTCTTACCTCCACTTCGAATCTAACTCTCATCCACGTTCCGTCTACCGTCTGAACCTTAGTGTTCTACCCTCTGGGTAGCTTCCACATTGTCAATATTATATAGGTATATCTACGGTTTTGTTATCGTTTCTTCCGATCGATCAATCTTTCGAAGCTTCGCATCGTATAGTGCACACATTGCATTGCATCCATTGCACTCTCGCAATGCAAAGGTAAGATACTACAATCTATATATCGGTATCTAACTTGAAGCACCACTATCTGTAAGGATGATGCATCATGTCTGCTAATTAGCAGCAACAAGTGATGCATCAACAATGCTCATTAGCATTCTCCGGTGATGCATTAATCGATGCTAACTAGCAGACACAACTCAGGCTGGCTAGCTAGGGCTAGATAGACTTGTATCACCCTAGCCCGGCAATTAAAAAGGTTTCCCCGGCCAATTAAGAGTACGATGTTGAATCGCGATCTTGATTAATTCACAGATGCATCGCGATCTTGACAGATGATGTAATACATGGGGAACAAGGCACTACTAACATGGGGAACAAGGCACTACCAGTACTATTCATCAAGGGGGATATCGGGGATGGTTAAGTCAGGTAATTGCAGCTCGCCTTGAGGAGATATGATGGGCAGAGGTAACTCCAGCGTCTGGGGCAGGTAAGGCGCCCAAAGACCGCGAAAATGACCTGCAAGCCTCCGACGGATGTCAGCCTGTCGCGCTGCATAAGCTCGTAAGCCTTCCGTATTAGCAGAGCTCTCCCCCACACAGCGACTTATCCGTTCTTCCCACCGCTGTACCTCCCACCCAAAAAATCGGATGACTCTCCCCATTTCTTCGGTCAACAATTCTACCTCTTCCATCCATCGTAGGGCTCTTGCACGGCTCTTGCACCATTCGATGCGCACGCCTGATAACGCATTAGTTCAAGATACGTCCAAATAATGACCAGGATACTTTACCGTCATCAGCACTCTCATAGCCGTTACAATCGAGGCCCTCCATCATCCAGATCCACGAAACCTGACGTCGTCCTTCTCCAATACCAAAGGGATCCACGAGGGGCTTGATATGCTCATCCGCCAGTTCCTGCAGCTTGCCATGCCAATCCTTCTTCCCCAGCAGCATAGCCAGGGACTTAAGCGCTGTCCAAGCTGACCTGTAGCGAATAACGCACATAGTGCGCCGGGCGTGGACACGAGCGAGGGCGTTCTGGCCTCGTGTATTAGCACCTTGGCCACGCATCCATTCACGCTTGAATGTCAGAAGCGAGCAGTGTATCCGAAGACACTGACGGAGCTCCTCGAGGGCGTCGTGGGCTTGTGCATACCGTAACTCCCACTCGTCATTCTGGAGGCGCTGATCACAGGGCTTGTTCCGTAGCTGCGAAGGTAGCCACAGTGTAATATCTTCAGCATTCTTCTGATCTTCGCGCCCTCCTTGAACCAGACTCCGTACCGCAGGCATGTAAAGAACCTGGACACCCTTCCACATCTCGATTTTACGGCGGAGCGAGTTGCGCTGCCGAACGAGGTTGCCCCGTTGTGTATCAGTGGAATGAAGACCCATAGACTTGATCAGAGAAGTAAGACGACGTCTTCAAAATTGTCAGCTGGATACGAGATTCTGCGGACGGCCACTTACTGTTCATCTTCAATATCAAGACCAGCTGCGATAAGTACACTGGGCGATATTTCCGGGTGTAAGGAGACGTCTACCCCATGCGCTAGCTCTTCAGCTTCCAGCTCGGCCAGTTTTAGTCGTGCGCCCGCTTGGGTGATTGCTACATGCACCGTCAGTGAAGGATTGCCAGTAAGTAAAGCACCCACCAATAGCTTTGGTTTCGAACGGATTAAGTATTGTGGTGTCGTTAGGATTCTCTTCCCAACCTTCCATTTCACTTAGCCACGCTGCGCGATGTTCGGGAGTAATCACGGCATCAAACTCCTCGAAAGCAGCTTGGTGTTCGGCCTTTTCAACGCGAGCATCTTTCATCTTATGGAGTAAAGATGCGCCCAACCCTACCACCTTCTTCCAGTTCCAGTCACCGAAGTGGTCGTCTAGGGTGTCTCGCCGACACCCGGGGCCCATGTTCTTTGTACTCGTAGCCACGGGATTGATGTTTGACCAGCCTCTTTCGGGGGCTTCACCATCCGTTCGACCAACAAAACGTGTGAAGTTGAATGAGAAGATCGTCTGGCACTTTGCGACGTGCGCGGGAAGGTGAAATTTTGGCACGAAGAAACGTACGACCTTCGAAAGGTAATCCAAATGATGTGAACGAGGGAGGGATTCCATGCGTGACCAGAGGTGTTTATGCCACTGACACGCAATATCGTAGGACACGTTTAACATTTTGACTGAATTGTCGCGCAAGCTAGAGAAAAAAAGATAATCCATGTTTATATACCTGTGCAATGATCAGACACGTTAACACGTAAGCGTGATGGGCCCTTCGACATACTTCTCGCCCTTTTGTAGATCGCCGACTCCGTTAGCACGCTTCATGTTGTGACGTGCGCAGTCCACCGTCCCAACGCCGGTGGCAGCCAGTCCCTGCGACAATTTAGTATCGGCCATATTTACCGCGTTATGACTGGAGCATGTACTCTTCTGTGAAACAGAGTAAGAAACATGCAAGAGAGTAAAACGGCGTCGCGTACCTCCTGTGCTCCTCCAAGATGTTGGGCTAGATAGGACTTGTAGTCGGTCTCCTCCACAAAATACGACCACCCTGTAGATAGACTGGGGTCTGCCTCGTCACTCGATACATTGCGCCTCTTTAAACGAAAGTTCGCGTCAATGGCCAAAAATGTGGCGTATAACCAACTGGATCACATAAGCCCATATATATACCCAAAAGTCTCTAATGCTTACCGGTTGGCTTTCGTTGCAAGTGCCCAGCCGTCGACCAAATTCTTACCAGGCTGTGGGCAAGCCGGGCAGACAACAACACACTCGCCTTGTGATGTGCCCTTAACGCCACTCGGCTCATGACCACGACCGAACCGTTTCAACATCTTAAGATGGCGCCATTCGCGAACCATTCGCAAGAACGCATTGTAGCGGTCCTAAAATCAAAGGTTAAGACAAGCAAGCAAGTGGATACAATGACGAAGCACCTTACCTTGGGTTTTGTGAGACCCGAGTTGTCCGTCAGACGAACTAGTGAGTGGTAAAATTCGTAGGCGGACGCTTTGGACTCGAATGATAGAATTTGGAAGTGACGCAGTAGTCGAAAGGTAGCTGCAGTCCTCGGATCAGTTGCCGTTGATGGGAACCATCCATGGCGAAGAAGCTGTCTGACATGCGAGTTCGAAGTTTCACAACCACAGAAATCCAACCCGAGTTCATGGATTCCGTTTGTGTCTATTAGCACGAACTCGTCTTTGGACACCTGTTGAGGGAGAATGCAGCGTTGGCCGACAGGATGCCCAAGCTGGACACGAAGGCCAAGATCCTTCAATGACACTGCCTGGAAAAAAACCCCAGTCCATTCCTGCGGATAACTTGATTATTTTTTTTTACGTTTTAGAATGATGGCACGTACCTGGATTCGATGGGTAGGAGATCGCAAGTGATTGGCCACAGTGCACCCACGACAGTATAACTGCAAATCATCGCAATCCAAACATCGAAATTGTGCAGGGGCACAACATTCCCCACACACATCGCTAGAACTATCACCACGCCCGTCTAATCGAATCAGTTCTGCAAGATAAGTGTCTCGTTCCTCCTTCCAAACAAGGATAGGGTTATCCTAAGCACCAGTTAGTAAACAAGGATAAGTATCCTGGAACGAGAGTCTCACTGCAGCCATCTGCTTGCGCCTTTGATGCAAGGTCTCATTGTCGCCCAAAATATCATCCATGGGCATGGAATCGTCATCGGCCGTAAAACAAAACAAGTCACCTTCATCAGGTGGGGCAGACTGGTGTGTAGATGGAGTTGATGGGAGGTTGCTTGTAATGTTGCGGCGCTCGAGCCGCATTGTCCCATCACGACGCCCTCCAAAAGTTACCGAGGTGTGCACTGCCTGTCGCGACCGTGAGGTAGTGGGTGGTGTATATACATTCAACCGAATGCGCTTCTGGTCACGGAGTTGCTTCCGTTGGTCGATTTCCCGCCATGCCCAGGGCGAGCGGACCGCCTGAATGATGCTATGTGGAGGCTGCTCGTCACCACCTAATAATGTCGATGTCAGTACATATATTGCGTTTATTGTGATATTGCTCACCTACAGATCCCTCAGACTGCATCCCTTCGCTGTCGTACGTGACACGGTGACTCAGGTTTGTTACGCCTTGGACTTGGGCCAAACCAAGAGAACGGGAAAGTTACCACAGTAGACGGGAACTGCCGACTGCATGGTTGGGTACACGTGCAACTCGCGTTCTGACTCAGGTTTGTTACGCCTTGGACTTGGGCCAAACCAAGAGAACGGGAAAGTTACCACAGTAGACGGGAACTGCCGACTGCATGGTTGGGTACACGTGCAACTCGCGTTCCGAACCCTAACCTAGAATTAAACAATAGGTAGCTGTGTACCACAAGCAGAGCCAAATATTTGCGAGTGTTATTCAACGGTGAGCTGCCCATGCAACTTCCTCCTGCTTTCTGTCTTGCAACTCCTTGACTTCCAGTCTTGCAACTCCCTGACTTCCGTCTGAAAGATCCTCCGATTGAGTCTCCGAATCCTAGGGTGTCCTCGATGTAGCAGGTCTACTGGTTCGAAAAGCTTCAAAAGCTACACATTTTCCCAGTGAGCACCACTTAATTCATTCCAGATTCCACTCATCGTTGATTTTACTCGTCCTTTACTCATTTGGTTGACAACAATGACCACCACGAGCACGGGCGACTCTCCTCCCGTGCCTGCAGCGCCCATTGTTGACAGTCTCAGTGATACTACTGGTAAGCGGTATCAAATTTTCAAGTGGACAACTGATACTGAATCTTGGACCGTAGATTCTCTCTCTGCTCTTTTTGAGCATTTGAACATTTCAGGGCCTACCGCGGTTGCGCTGACTGTTGCTCTCCGCGGGTTCATACAGGACACTGTTGTTGCTACAGTGCGCAAAGTTACTGTGGACGCTGGTGTCAGCGTGTCGTCTGCTCCCATTGAGACATATGGCATTGATGATCCTGCCACTGCCACCCCGCCTGTTGATGCCACCACAGCTATCCCGCCTGTTGACGCCACCACAGCTATCCCACCCGTTGACGCCACCACAGCTACCCCGCCTGTTGATGCCACCATAGCTATCCCGCCCGTTTACGCCACCACAGCTACCCCGCCCGTTGATGCTAACACAGCTACCCTGCCTGTTGGCATTGGGGGTGTGGCTGCTGGCCTTCCTGCTGTGTATACTCGGCTATATGGTGGCATTACATATGATGTTCCAGCGCCCAATGCTTCAGGGCCCTATTACTGGGTCACCCGCGGTCGCCGTGTCGGCATCTTTTCTACTTGGTGCATTTCATCCACTTTATTTTTCGTTGGATAGCTTGACCAATTCCTGACTAGGCAACGCACTTCCTCGCATGTCATCGGCGTTAGTCGGGCTTCGTTTTCCAAGGTTCGTTCGATTGCCGAAGGCGTGCAGCTGATGGAGAATGCAATTGATAGTGGGGAAACTGAGTGGTTGGTTTGAGAGTGGCACGTCGCCACCGCTTCTACCGTCTATCACAATAGTATACTAGTTGTATTGCACTTGATACTACGCTTGTGGAATTGAGAATTGAAAATTGCGTCTGCGCTCGAATAACTACTGCGCTTCAACAAACTTCGAGGACTGCACAGAGCTCAGCTGGCAGGTGGGAAGAGAAGATAAGTCGAAGACCAGAACGAATAACTACTGCGCTTCAACAAACTTCGAGATAAACTGTACAGAGCTCTGGCAGGTGGGAAGAGAAGATAAGTCGAAGACCAGAAGTCGAAGCACACCAACCAGGTTGCAACGACGCCGGTGGAGCATCGGACACCGCGGACTCGTGGAAATACACGCACACTTGTGGACCTGGACCAAGCTGCAGTATAGCTGAGACTGAAGTGAGTAAGCCACAAGTATTGAGATATGTTACGAATATGACATGTGTAGTGCTGAGGTCGTCTAGTTGTCGCTATCTAAGTTCTGTAGTCCAAAGGAATTTGTGCGAGTTCAAAAGCAGTAAGCTCAGCTAAAGATGAAAGGAATTAATAATGGTAGTTCTATGACTCCTATTCGAATTCTGTTAGTTCATTCGAGTCGGCCTATGTACTAGGTGGATTGATTATACTGAACTTAAGACAAAATGATCCATGGAATCTATGTGAAAGGGCTTGCAACAGTAATATTGTACGTCTATAGCTGGGATTCTAGTGTTTTATCCGAGCAGCCAGAAAGTATCTGTCATGATATTACTGAGGCTTGACTTCGTAAATCTCCGATTAATATCTTTTGACAAGTTGAAGTTGTTGATTCAATACTGTCACTGGCACGCTGCTTCATTGCAATTCACTGCCACTCACTCATGGCTCGCCCACGACTATACAAGACTGAAGAGGAACGGCTCGAAGCTGCCCGCCGCTACAATCGAAAATACTATGAGAAGTATAATTCCTGCACGAATTCAAGACTAAATGCTAATGAACGCAGGAACAAGAAGGCGATTGGGCTCAAGATGGCCATGAACTATCGTCACAAGAGGGACAACACTAAGTCGAAGCATAGAGATTTCGCAAGCACATCCACGGCCCCCAAGTATGTACTTTAACATTTATACCATGACTGAGCCCACCGTCAATTTGCCGATCCTTACTACTCTATAGACTGACTCGGAGTCCCTCTCCACCAGCATACGAGAACTGTGTTATGTGCGACCATTCATTCATATAGTTTCTGATACCACTGACTTAATACTATATTCTTCATAGATACAATATCAAGGACGCTCAATCCCACCTTGTTGTAATTTCTGCCGAACTTGAAGCTCTGTGCATTAAGATGGTACAGGACTTTCAAGACAACCGAGAAGCCGTACAGGCATGCCTTTCCCAACATCTTCAGACTCTGGAGCGCATCCAGGAATACTTGCGTTCTGCAAATTTGGACGACAATCATCACCCAAATGCCAGTGATCCGGGTCGCACAGCAGCGGTTGGTGTGATGTGTCGGCACAAGGCGATCACAATGGCTACAGAGGAATTATGGTGCTACTCAGCTACGAGGGAAATAGATGAAGAGATGCCTTTGAAATACATTCGCGGAGGTTTGTTATACCAGACCATAGTGTAAACTTTTGCAATGTAAGCCCTATGAGCGCAGTGGCTCTATTCCATCACTGATCTTATTAAGGCCGAGCTTCGACGTCCAGCTGCTTCGAAGGGAGGAACAGGGACACAGTTCCTCTTATCGATACTCTACCATGTCCATTGTAAGAAACATTCATTTTTGCTCCTTATCCACAGCTGATCAGCTCAAAGAACATGGTGCCCGCATCCAAGCCTCAGCCTACATCTATCAAGAAGAAAAAACCCTTGTGGGAGGTTCAAGACGAATTTCTGCAGAAATTGTCACCTGAATACTTCAGGATTCGGGATGAGAAGGATCGTGTTGTTTTCTTCAACAACCTCTTTGCACGCTTTTTTGCACGATGGCCAGAGGAGCAGACACTGTTTCCCGGTGTCACTCGACTCTCTGCAGAGCAGGCTGTCGCCGTTGCTCGGTCTGTGAAGAGGCACGAGAAGGTTGTACATACTATTGTCACGCCTTCACAAACACACTGCTGATGTGCATTGCAGGGTCTATACCGATGGTTCAAATCGGCTGAAAGGCGTCGTCCAAGACACTTGCCATAGGGCCTGGGAGGCCGAATGGATCGAGTCCATCTTTGGACAAAGTTGAAGTTTCTGGAGCGTGTTTCGAAGATTTGCCATCGTTCGCTTAAACAGTTAGATAGCACACTGATGAATGTTATTTCTTGCTTCCACCGGTGATTTGTTACTATATGCAAATCATTGTCAGAAGAGCTGTACGTCCGTCTGGCTTGCATGTTGCTTCGTTGATATGTGGGTGTTTCAACAGGTTTCTCCACCGTTCACCCAACACCATTCACCCAATGTCGATGTCTCAGATCCGAGTGCTGACGCGCAAGCAGCGCGATATGCTCAAAACGTTTCTTCCTGGATATGTACTTGTCAACTCGGGGACAGCGGAAGAGACAGCATTTTGGGAGTCTGTTTACTCCAAGTGGTTTGAAACCTGGCCAGAACATGATGTTCACTATGCGGATATACCACCTGATCAATTATCCGGCCTGCAACAGGCATTGCTCAATACTGCTATTGAGCGTCGTTGCCGCGTAAGTCAGTCCCTTGCACTTGATCCCCCCATATTCATTTTTTGCGTGTGTAGAGGATTAAATTGTTCATCCAGATGAACCACTTGTGTGGGAGTTCCGACAAGGCGACTTTGCGGGCACACTTTCCCATCAGGAAGACACGAAGGTTTGCCATTCTACTCATAGACGTACGGGTTGGGTTTAATATATATCAGGGCGTAGACTTGAACAGCATATGTAGTGTGCAAAAGAGTGGGTGGGAGCGGAGGTACTAGACGGCGTCGTTATACTCGTGGTTTATGCGACATGTTGACCGCTCATGCAGCGAGTAGACAGTCCCATCGTAGACACAGTGTGGGGACAGGATGTAGTACATGCGATGCATCTTGAAAAAATAATTAGATTAAATTGGTATATATCTCGATTGTCAGGAACTGCGACTCGGCCTCATGCAGACTGGAAAGACCGAGGTATTAGGACGAAGAATGAGGTGTTACCTTGCTTACCTACCAAATATTTCTGTCTCTGTCCCCCGGATACGTTAATGTGCGTGCAGAGTCCTTTTCCTTGGTGTGTGCTGATCAGTGTTGTGACAGATGCCACAGAAAAAGTGGGCTACACCAGAACAGGAGGAATTCCTCCTCGGTCACTTTCCGGAATTCCGCAAACATGCCGTGGTCAAGCGCTACCGGGATTTTTTGAAGCGTGTTGGTATAGAATGGTTCCAACGCTGGCCCGAGCGCCAAGCATTGTTCCCAGAGTTCCCGGCTGACCATGTCTACACGGCCGAGGAAGAGCAGAAACTGGCAGCGGGCATAGAGACTCGTCATCAGGCAAGTCAGGGATACGTTCACCGCACAAAACAAACATGTACTCACCGAATCTTGAACAGCAAATTGCCTCCTGGTTCAGATGGCAGAATAATCCTATCCGCCTAGGCCGATCAGCTGCTGTAAGAGGGGTGCTGAAATTTGACACGGTGTTAGCTGGGGGTGTCAATCTGAAAGGAACCCGCGCACCGCAGAAAATTGATGTATACTCCAACAAGTACTACAAAGAAAAAATCAAGCATGCTGCAGACGACGCCATCGAGAAGGAACATATTACCAACAGAGGCCCGAAACTGCAAAAGCGCCGCGAGATCACGCGTCGTATATATTCAGACGAAAGCGAAGCTGTCAAAGCCAAGATTGACAAGAAGTATGAAAAAATCAAGGCAAGATATGTGAAACAACGCCAACGCCTAAAGTCAGGGAAGCCACCAAAAATTGACGACATGTCAAAAATCAAGTACGTACCTTTACCACATGATCGAACACGTTGTTCTCACCGCATTCATTTAATAGGGCTATTCAGGAGCTCGGTCCCATGCTTGATCGGGTCCTCAAGTACCTTAGTCATATGACAGGAGGGTGGAAGTTTAGCGTGTTGATGGGGGGTCACGATCCTAGCACAGGTGAAGTGTCAGTATTTAAGTGAGTATGAAGATTCGATACCCTAGGAAAGTTGTGCTTACGATGGATTCCCGCTACTCCAAGCTACCACGTGGGAGAAGTCGAAAGTGGTGCGCAGTTCGACCAGGTGTACGGCAAGTTCGATGCTGTGCAGAGTGCCTTCCTAGAATTTGTTAAAAATTCTATCAGTAAGCTTGAACATACTAATTCAAAGACGAAGCTTACCATCGAACTAGTTTTCGATTCTACGTCATCGCAAGAGCCTGAGTCAGACGAAGATGAAGATGAAGAACCGTTGTCGGACTTAGACGAAGATGAGGGGTGGGGAAAGAGCGGTGACGAGAGTGGGCAGGGTCTCTATCGCATGACTCCTCAATCCGATGGAGGGGTCAATCTACCTCCCAATGATAATCCCCCCAGTTACGCAAATACCACCAGTGATGCATCATTCAATGCATCATTCGGTCTCGATTCTCAGGCAGCCGCAACCCACCTGGACAACATAGACTTTTCAGTCCTTGATCCGCCGGCCGACCCCATCATAACAGGCGACATAGATTTTTCAGCGTTCGATCCGACAGCATTCCTTGCTGTGATGAACGATCCCGCCTACACTGACTTGCTCAATTCCTCCGACGCGCCTCCCGTGGATTCGCATCCCAATGCGTATTTGTCGGAATCAATCACGCAGACTCCGGAGGTCCTTCTTCCTCCCAGAAACAACGAGGAGGTCCTTCTTCCTCCAGGAAACAATGAGGAGGTCCTTCTTCCTCCAGGAAACAATGAGGAGGTCCTTCTTCCTCCCGGAAACGACGACTACACCAATGTGCCTGCTGCTCCCCATGGCAGGCGCAGAAATCGCGTCGACGGAACTCAAGCACCTGCACCATCCACAGAACAACAAGCCCCACGTCTGCGTGTACGAAACAGTGTACCATTCAATCCACGCGAACGCGACAATGAGATTGGTGCCTCAACACGTCATATTCCTACTTCCGTTGCTGCGAAGGATAAGCGGAAAAATGCCGAGAACAACTCTGGTTCGCACAAGTACGCACATCCTTTTGTGTTCATGAGTGACGCTGATATCTTCATCGCAATAGAAGGGCGCGACAACGTTAAAATGAGTAAGGTCGAGATATGTACTTGTAAATTTTATTAGTGTTTCTTGCTTGAAACGATATAGTATGCATGCAATACGAGTAATTTTCTTGATCTCTGCACAAAACGGAAGCATAAGACAAACAAGATTAGAAAAGATGATTTTCATTGGTCGACTACTACAGATGACTTCGAAGACTAGCAAAAACTTAAGAGAAATCAGGTGAACAGTGTTAGTGGGACTTAGTGAATAAAAAGTTCGAAAATGACGTCATTCTGTGCGATGGTCTTCCGATGCAGTACTTTGTATTACTATATTGGATGAGTAGCTGAGGCACCAACAACCAAAGCAGTTCGAATAGCATTACTAAGCAAAGGAAGCAAGGTACGAAAGGGAAGCGGTATGAGTAAGCAGGTGGAGGCAAGGTACAAAGTAGGGAAGCAGGGGACAAGGTATTAGTAAGCAAGGGAAGGGACGAGGTATTTCTCCTGACGGCGGCATCAGTAATACATCTTCCCTATTGGGATTTTAAAGGCATTAGTAAGCAAAGGAAGCAGGGGGCGAGGTATTTATTTTGATGCATTACTGATGCATCACTTTCCATATTGGAATTTAGCATCGTTGATGCATCACAGAATGTCTGCTAGTTGTCCTAATGTAATGCATTAAAACTACAGCATGGCCTGCCGTGTTGAAGCTTAGTGCGTTCTCTTTCCATGATTGTTAGTGTATCTCATCCTTCGCTGTGATTCTCTGCAAGAATTTTGTATCAGCTATTATTGAGGGTCGTCACAAATGTAAGGGCAAGTCTACTTCTGGAACGTTCGGGGAGGAGATGCTACATGACATCGGGTATGTGACACTTTGTGTGTAATACTGAATATGATACGACCACGACGTAGAGACATGCAATTAGGATTGTGTGTCGAGGGATCAGTTTTGAGTGGAACGTGCCGGGCTCCGGTGAGTAGTATGGTGCCGTCACTGAACTTCGCCGAGGCTGTTCACATTTATCTACTACAGAATGGCACTGCTTCCAGCACTTCACCGCGTGCTATATGGGTGGATTAAGGATACACGAAGATGCTGAGAGTAACTGGCACAAGATCCATCGCGTCAATTTTCCTACTAGCCGTTCTCAGTTCTCTGAGCACCTCGTTTGGGTTTGGGGAGTTTTAAGAGCCATCATAATCGCTTTCTGCAGTGAGTAATACTTTACCTGCCGACGCTGATTAGAACAGTTCATGATCACAATTAGGTGGTACGTGCCGGATCACATTTATTTGACTCCGTACTAGAATAAAATTTATCCGGGCGGTCGCCCAACTTGAAGTCTCAAACTGTAATCGAGGCGTACATAAGTTGTGCACGCACGCCTCAGTCTGTCGTTCTGGCGCTGGCGAATTGGTACACAGGAAACCCAACCCAACTCGCCAGCGCCAGTGATGCACACGCCAAAATTGATGGTGCGCACACGCAGGAACTTCTCTATCTCAGATTTCACCTCATTAGCAGACGAGTCGGGGGGTCCTTCTTTGGTAATTCCCCTTCTCTCACTTTGCATTGACTCACCCAAGTGACACTCGTTTGTTGGTATCAAGTAGCCCAATCCGGGTGGTCACACACGTTCTGATGCTGGTAGGTCGATTCTACCTGTTGCTAACGAAACGTATGCTACAAGATGCTGATGCCTCCTCAAGTAACTCTAGGTTGACTGTACATATGACGTCAGAAGTTAGACCGGCAGGAGAAATATCACGGTCAACCACTTCTAAGTTCTTACTGTGTTCACCCATCTATGGTCAGTTTCTCTGCAGCTACATTTATTCCTCTCTGGCTAACTCGAGGGGCTATGTCATGAGATCGACAACTCATCCAAACAATTGAGGCTGATGCAGCCACGCGGGCACAAGGCGAGTTTATTCCGTCAACGTGCTGTTTACCCTAGTCGTGCATCAGCTTGGCAGCAGTTTCCCTGGAAAGCGGGTCTCAGACAACGACATGTACACGATAATTCTCGCATTACTCTTGACCTGAATTTTTGGCCCTCGGCACTTGGCATCAGAATCATTCAAAGATCGAAACATTCAAGTCGAATTCAAATCACTTCAATCAGATATCATTCACATTCCATTTATACGCACATATGTTCCTTCACATTTACGACCCATCGGAATTCGCATGCATAATCATACCTGCTGTATAACATCCTACTGATGTATAATCTTTTCTTGCTGTCCGTTACTACTGTTTGCACGCTCATGTACCTAACTACTCATCCAGTCCAGAGGACAATCATAACACTGAAACCAGAAGGATGTGTGAACTACCGCAATGATGCATCACGCGCCCTGCCCGAGATCAACTGCACCTTTGTTCCCTATCAGAGTAAACCGCGCCCCTTCCTCTCCTGCTTTCGTGGCGCCCACAGTGGGAGATAAGCCGGATGAACCCAAAATGCCCGCTTTCATAATAGCCTTGGCGAGAACGGCAACGTGAATCTCCGCATGAGACGTAAAATGCGACATGAGGCCAGTGACGTAGCTTGAATTGGGTCAAATCAACTTTGGGACAAAATCGAGAGGAGATAGCGTACCCAAGTATGGTCTCTGCGAGCCTTTTATCAGCACGTTCTGCCCCTTTGAAGACAGCCGGGCGGAAGACGATAGTGTCCGCGTACCCAAGGCGTGCTATGTCTAGTTCGGTGAGACCTTTTGATCTGAAAGAAAGAAAGTCAGAGGAGGGAATGAGGAAGAGCGGGCTATAGTGATGCTTGCGTACCTCATATACATGAATGAAGAGGAAGGATTAGCGGCCCCAGACTATATTCTTATCAATCCATATGGTGTGCAGCACATATTTGGTAATGAACCCACCGAAAGATACACGACACGTTGTTTGTGTGTCGGATCATCCGTCTTTGCAGCTTTACAGGCGTTCACCACATACCTGCATCACAAAATACGTATGAGACGGAACCGAGTATGACAACAAATGAACTCACTCTCTGTCGATCTTCTCGAACATTTCTGCGCTCCCTGCCCGCGCACGAGTCGTTCCAAGGGTGACGAAGACGACATCCCACCGTCCGTCCTTCAACCCTGCTACTTCCAAGTTCTCAAAGTCGATTGTTTTCTGCTCGAGTTTGCCTCTGTTCTGTGGAAGGTCGGCTTCTGGTGTTACTCGTCTGCTATATTCGCCAACTTTAGACCATTCGTTGTGTGAGAGAAGCTCGCGAAGGAGGTGTTTTCCTGTTGCGCCTGTTGCGCCGAGAATGAGAGCTGTCGACATGGTGTGCACTGTCTCTGCGAGTCATTGACATGATGCAACTTAAAGTCTTAACCCCAGGTCTGCCGATACGTGCGTAGGGCGTCGGCATGTTGCCTCAGGGCCAGGTGAAATTGACGCGTGTCCTGCAGGAATATTGGTCATGGCAAGGTTGTGGCAAGGGGTAAAATGGTCAGGCCTCCCTTGCCACTGCATGGCGAATTCGAAGCTGCACATCCATCACGTCTGTGGTTCGAATCTCCCCAGTGCCAAGCCTCTATTGAATAAACGGCATATTGGTTCCGGCGGCGGACCCAATATGGCTGTGCTAACCGTAACATAATCGGGTTATGATTTGGGGCGGTTCGGTCAAGGTCTCAATAGGTATGGAAAGTTTCAGAGCGCCCGTGCCGGTTCAACAGTTCTCACAGCGTTCGAGTTTCAGCGCTTATCGGGCAACCCAGGTGTGAATACATCGAGCACGTTACTCGGACTGATGTGTGAAATGTTTGATCAAGACATGGGCAGAACAATGTATTATTGTGTCTACATATAAACGACACCTAAAGGACGAGTTCAAGATGCTGTTGAGGTTGTCATGGACACCACTATCAGCGAGGATGCAGTTGAGACTCGAAAGCCGCTCACAAACCTCGCGAGATGCAGTCCTCCGAAACCTCCAAAACTACGCCCAATATTCCTCCAAAACCTCACCAATATTCCTCTCAAACCTCGCGCAACAGAACATGCCACGACCTCGTTACATATTCCTCCCGTGGACTCGTGAGGCGCGGAGTAAGCGCTACAGAGGACTGAGGTGTTCTTCAGTTCACAGAAGAGGAGGGCCACGTACCTCGAGAGGAATGTGGCTGGAAATGGGCGGGAGGTTCTTTCAGGAGGGACGTCTTGGAGATAGGTCAGCGCAGACCAAGAAACCCAGTCTGAATGACCGTGGGAAGGTCTAAAAAGCGCTGCCAAGGAATACGCTCGATCCAAGGTGATTAGTGTGATATGATCTTATAACACATCAAGGATAGTTTCACCTCGAGTGCCAGACTCCTCTCGGGCACTGCACTGCAGCGCTCACCATATCATTTCCTCTACAGGTTTCTACCATTTCAGTAATTTTTATGTGCGTGTATATTCCAATTCAAACATATCTGGTAACCTGGATTTCGTGCTCATGAAAGGCACAGACTCGTCTTCGCACAATTGCGTTCGTCGGCTTCATCCTCTCTGTGTTCTTGACAATCATCGTGTAACTTGATTACGGTAGCATGGTGGACAGGGTGGAAAAGCGTCGAGAGGCCTTGCAAAGATGTCCCCCCGGTCATGCTAATCGATCACGGTCTCTCAGCAAACTTGCCACCAGCCTTTATCACAGATTCGAGCAGCGGGGCATCCCATCTGACATTGATGAGGCCATTGAGCTCTATCGGGCTGCACTACTCCTTTTCCCCCCCGGTCATTCTGATCGATCAACGTCTCTCAACAATCTTGCCAATAGCCTTCAAAACAGATTCAAGCAGCGGGGCATCCCATCTGACCTTGATGAGGCCATTGAGCTCTATCGGGCTGCACTACTCCTTCGTCCCCCCGGTCATTCTGATAGACCATCGTCTCTCAACAATCTTGCTATCAGCCTTAATGGCAGATTCAGGCAGCGGGGCATCCCATCTGACGTTGATGAGGCCATTGAGCTCCATCGGGCTGCACTACTCCTTCGTCCCCCCGGTCATTCACTTCGGTCAGCGTATCTGAACAGTCTTGCCCTTAGCCTTCATGACAGATTCAGGCAGCGGGGTGTCCCGTCTGACGTTGATGAGGCCATTGGGCTCCATCGGGCTGCACTACTCCTTCGTCCCCCCGGTCATTCTGATCGATCAACGTCTCTCAACAATCTTGCCAATAGCCTTGATGACAGATTCGAGCAGCGGGGCATCCCATCTGACCTTGATGAGGCCATTGAGCTCCATCGGGCCGCACTACTCCTTTTTCCACCCGGTCATTCACTTCGATCATTGTCTCTCAACAATCTTGCCGTCAGCCTTCAATACAGATTCGAGCAGCGGGGTGTCCCGTCTGACCTTGATGAGGCCATTGAGCTCAATCGGGCTGCACTACTCCTTTGTCCCCCCGGTCATTCAGTTCGATCATTGTCTCTCAACAATCTTGCCGTCAGCCTTCATGACAGATTCAAGCAGCGGGGTGTCCCGTCTGACCTTGATGAGGCCATTGAGCTCCATCGGGATGCACTACTCCTTCGTCCCCCCCGGTCATTCAGTTCGATCAACGTCTCTCAACCATCTTGCCCTCCGTCTTCGAGACAGATTCAAGGAGCGGGGTACCCTGTTTGACCTAGACGAAGCATTTGGGCTGTATGTGCAACTCTCCTACCTATCTCATGCCGTCTCTCGCAGCGATCTTACTGCTGCCAAGTCATGGGTCACCTCTGCCGAGGAGATGAACCATGAATCTGCATTGCTTGCCTATCAAACTGCATTGAAATTCCTAGATCAGCTTGTTACTATATTGTCGTCTTCTCCGCGCCATTTTGATGTTGTCAAGGTGGCCATAGCTTCGCTTGCCATGGACGCTTTCTCGTGCAGCGTTCGTCATGGCGCGCTAACAACTGCTGTGGAAATGGTGGAGCAAGGCCGTGCAGTATTCTGGACCCAGCTGGCACGCTTGCGCTCACCACTCGATGAACTTTCCCTGTCCGGTGACACCGGCGCAGCCTTGGAGAAAGAGTTCAAACAGCTGAGCTTTGGCCTTCGTAGCGCGTTTGATCAGTCTACAGAAGAGCAGTCCCCACAGATACGACAACTGACCATCCAATGGAATGATGTGGTCTCCCGAATCCGCATGCAGCCCGACTGTTCTCGGTTTCTCTTGCCCCCACTGTTTTCTGATCTCCAGAAAGCCGCTGCAGAGGGTCCGGTCATCATTGTCAATGCTAGTGAGTACAGCTGCGACGCCTTAATTGTCCTAAGCAGCCAAGATCCTGTCCACGTTCCACTTGATATCACGCGTACCGAAGTCTCCGAGTTGTCCTCCGAGTTTCGGTCTGTCGCAGAGCAATTTGGTTGTTCCGATTATCAACTCAAGCTCGTGGGTATCCTCCGCAAGCTTTGGAATCATGCCGTTGACCCCGTGGTCCAAGCCCTTAGGGTGTCTAATGTTCACCCTGGCTCACGTATCTGGTGGTGTCCCACAGCTGAATTCACTCTGCTTCCTCTACATGCAGCAGGACCCTACGAGAGGAAGAAAGATAATCTGTCTCAGATTTACATCTCCTCTTATACCCCCACTTTGGCGACACTAGTTCGTGCAAGAGAGCGCGTTTCTCGATATGCGTCAACACAATATTTTGTTGCAATTGGTCAAGCGAATCCGGAAAGAGGGAAGGAACTCAGACATGTCGCTCCTGAGTTAGCCGCCATAGCTCAGTGTCTCGTACCCATCGTGTCATCCTTCACATCACTCCGAGACAGTCTCGCAACAGTGCAGGGTGCACTCGATGCCCTAAACCATAACCAGTGGCTCCATCTCGCCTGCCATGGAATGCCGAATCGAACACAACCGTTCGACTCTTCCTTTGCGATGCGCGATGGGCCGTTGATGATCAAGGACATCATCCGGTCCAACTGGCAGAATCCAGAATTTGCGTTCTTATCAGCCTGCCACACTACCGTGGGCGATGAGGAGAGTCCCGACGAATCGATCCATCTCGCCGCAGCAATGCAAATATCTGGATTTCGCAGTGTCATAGGTTCCATGTGGTCTGTTGACGATGATGTTGCACGGCAGGTTGTGTCTGTTTTTTACCGCAACCTGATTGATGGCTCAGGGAGATTGGACTGTACACGCGCTGCAGTAGCGTTGCACGAGGCTGTGAAATCGCTGCGCAAGAAGATTCCACTAGAACAGCAAATCGTGTTTGTCCACATAGGTGTCTAGTTTGATTGATTTGTCATATCATTGTATTTTTTGTTATCCTGATTGCTTTCATTCCCTCGTTGTCCCCCCACCTGGATCTCAGTTACTCACATCATGTCTGCACGATACTTTTGTTTTTGCATTGTGTACTAGTACTGCAAGCATCGTTCCGTTGAATAAAAATACATTGCTTTGTCGAACATACACTTAGTACGTTCTCTTTCCGTGGCCGTTAGTGTGTCTCATCGTTCGCCGTGCTTCTCTGCAAGCAATTTGTATCAGCTATATTGAAGTCGTCACAGATGTACATGGGCAAGTCTACTTCTGGAAAGTTCAGGCAGGAAACGCTACATGACATCGGGTACAAGACAGTTTGTGTATAATGCCGAAGATGATACGACCGCGACGTGGAGATGTGCAGTTGTGATTGTGTGTCGAGGGATCAGTTTTGAGTGGAATGAGCCGGGCTCTAGTGAGTAGTTTGGTGTCGTCACTGAAGTTCTCCGAGCGCTGTTCACGTCCATCTACTACAGAACGGCACTGCTTCCAGCGCTTCACCGTGTGCTATATGGGTGGATTAAGGATACACGAAGATATAGCTGAGAGTAACTTGCGCAAGATCCATCGCGCGTCAATTTTTCTACTAGCCGCTCTCACTATCTCTGAGCACCTCGTTTGCGTTTGGGGACTTTGGGAGCCATTCTAGTGGTGTTGTAAATCACTACTATACCTCAAACGCCTTTGGTAACCTGCCGACGCTGCAGCTGATGAGAACAATTCACAAGTATGTGCTACGTGCCGGATCACATTTTATTTGACTCCGTACTCAAATAAAACTTATCCGGGCGTTCGCCAATATCTTAAACTGCGATCGAGGTGCACATTGGCTGTATCTACTAGGTGGTTGTACAGGAACGCCTCAGTCTGCCGTTCTGATACTGGTGAATTGGATGGCTTGCTTACACTTGGTACGCAGGAAACCCAACCCAACTCGCCAGCGATGCACACGCCACGGTTTATGACGCGGACACGTAGTCCTCTATCTTCATCTCCTTGGCAGACCTACCTGTCAGGGATCTTTTTCGGTAGTTCCTTCTCTCGCTTTGCATTGACCACACCCAATTGACACTCATTTATTGCTATCAAGTAGCTGTTACGAGAAAGAGTGCGTGGAGCAGAAGGTATCGCTGGTGAAGTTGCTTCGTCGAAACGTAAAGTCGGGATTCATGATGAAAGTCGGGCTCATGCTTGGAGTTTAAAGCATACGCTCTGACGCATGCGTACCAGCATAGACGCAGTCCATCTTCACATCCGGCAGCGGGTGATCACTCGTCCCTGTTTAAAAGTGTCAATGCAGCATCATTGTAATCATATAAGTACACTACCAGCATGACAGTACGGGGTCCCGTCCTCCTTGTGTCCCCACCACATCACAGGCGACCACTCATCCACGAGGTTCGCGAGCGTCTGGATGTGGCCATATGCAGCTGGCTGGGGGCCCCGCGGTCGGCGCAGTGGGACAAGAGTGAAGAAACATGCGAATATAGCTAGCGCTATAGATAAGTTCCAGATCTGCACGAGTGTGTGAGGATGTTGTAGCGGTTTTACATGAGCAGTAAGTGCAAACCTGGGCAGTGTACATGAATACCGACATCTCTACTAGTTGCTCGTCAGACGCAGTGCGAGTTATCGTGAACGAAAGCCCAAACATCCAGTCTTTTCGTCGACAATGGTGATCAATAACACTGATGAAAATACTAGACGCGAATGACTCACGGAGGAAAGGCTTCGCGATGAAAATTATAAGACAGATTGGATGACACAAAATCAACTTTAGCGGGTTTGTCGCCGTTTTAAGTCCTTTTCTTCCGGTAGCGTATCTCCACTGCCTTTCATCCCGAATGACGTTCGCGATGAGCTCCGAGCAATGCAGCCCAAGTGTCAACGGTCCCTGGACAACTGCCATGCTGACAAAGAGCAGAATCCACCCCTGAATATTGGCACCTGGCATTTTATACAAGATGAAATTGGACCCTTCGAAGGACGCGTGCGGCAAGAATGACCACGTTTGTGTGGTCAGCGCAGAGGGGGACGCTTGATTCGTGCCGGCGTACTTGTGCCAGATATACATGACGAGTGCGGCCCATCCAGCGCATGCTACAACGATCCCCCAGAGAGAAATAACAACTTTTTTGATGCTGGGATGAGCATGCCACGCAGAAGGCTGTGTATCTGACGGATTTGCTGGGCCTCCATCTGCGTCCAGGTCAGACACACAACGCATGCACCGGAAAGCAACCGGAGTACATTGCGTGTGGTGTACCAGTGCGGCGGTCAAGTCAAAAGGGGAGGAGCTCCACGTCAAGATTTTGACAGCCCGCATCCCCGACAATGCGATCACTACCTGGAGGAGGAGTGCAACACCCAAAAAGAGGAGAGGTAACCCTGCGATGGCAAGACCCGTTCCAAGATTCCATTCCGTTGGTATCGATGTTGGAACGGGTTGATAGTTCAAACATACGAGAAGTGAGGTTGAGCTATAGGATACAATGAGAAGGATAGCCGAGACACCATTAAGCAGGGCGCCATTAGGGTTATACCATCCACGAGCTGCAGTCAGAAGGCGCAGATTGGTGTTGAAACGAAGCCGAGACTCTGAGGCTAGTGCAGATCGCAATGAGATGCCGTGGACGAAGCCTATGGATTCCGTGCACAACATGACGATTGAGTTTAGTATCAGGGACACTATCTCCGCCTGCATGTTCATCTGAGCTAACTGGTCGAGATTCTCAAAGAAGACCAAATTGGCCACAGGTAAGAGTCCCGAGACTCCCTGATTGGCTAAAGTGACAATGCCTACAACGATGCATGAGCAGCTGAAGATACTTGAGCATGCCACTCCAACAAGGGCATATCTGCGACTGGCCAGACTGCGATCGTAGAAATTGGTTCTAATTTCAGCAGTGGACTTCGCATCAGATGTTATCGAGTCGAAGTCCTGGTGGTTTGGAAGTGCGTCATATGCAAGAAGACTGGAAGGATGCCAATTTTCTTCTTTTGGTGAGGATGCCATGGGAGGCAGAGGCAGGAGGGTCAGCGTGTTACGGACGTGCAGATTGGGTTTATAATCATTCGCTCACGACCATAGCCTCTGGGTGCATGTGACTTCAAAAGTATCGTTGATGGAAGAGCGGTGTGACGTGGTATTTATGCATGCCGCGAGTTACCTAGCAGCACAACGCGGCAATAGGAAGTCATATCAAGATGGTGATGATTGAAAGTCATTCAGACCTACTAACCTTCTTGTACTGCACGCGTACACATACCGGTCACTGTCTGTCAATGAAGACAGGGCACTGGGAAATAATGTAAGAAGCCAAATGTGCTTGGAGGTGTAATTTATCGGAAAGTAGCAGTGCTATCGGGCAAAAATAGACCGCGCATACTTAGATTTGTGCACATGTAACTTCAAAGATGCTTACCTTGGTGAGAATGACAATTTGATCAATTGATACAACCTAGGCAAGATAAATTTGTTCCATTTCAGAAAGCATCCGTAAGACTCCATGAATAGAGCTAATTTTTCTGACATCATAGGGAGCTGTCACCTGCATGTGAGCGATGACCGCGACCCATCGCTTGTTCTCATCAATACCTATTCTGTTGTGTTCGTTAACCCTGGTTTAAATAGTTTGCAAACTCACGTAGGACAGGCCTCGCCACTAATGGCATTCAAAGAGCTCCGAAGCGCAGCTAGTCCCGGATTTCCCAACACATTCATATCCTATCGCTTGCGTTCCTAAATAACCATCGCACATTTCATTGTCAATGATCAAAGTTAACAACGCACCCTCCTGGTGGTCCCTGCAGTATTACTACTAGGGCAGAAAGGTCATGAAGGAGATTGCAACCATGCTACCATAGATGATTGCACACAGAGTGAAGATGTGCTGACCATCGGTAGAAGCTGCAGATGCTCGGATGTGCAACTAAAAGAGAGAGTGCTGATGGGTGCAGAGATGAACCGACGGTGGTTCAACTGGTTGCCATTGGCTGATGTTCATTGTTGGGAAGTTGGATGTATGCGCGAGCCCTATGGTGCAGCACGAGTAAACGCTAACGTCGAGAAATGCCGCCGTCCTCAAAAGGTGACAAGCTGCTAGCAGGTAGGTAGTATGCCGCAGGTCTTTTGAGTTGCGTGTCCTCGGTGCCATTTTGCCTTGTGAGCCATTTTAAACAGATTCTGGAGAGCGCAAATTAGTGAAGGCGGCGATATAGATCATGATCAATGCAAGAGTATGGTTCGCGGTCCTTTATTCAAATGGTCACTGTATCAACTTGCATACGCAGGTTTGTTGGCATGAGCTGGCCTGCCAGCAAGAGGCATGCGATGGAAAAAGCCGAAACACCATCCACTTGATTACGGTAAGCAAAAACCTTAATTTCAGCCACTTTGGCGTTATATCGTTTGGTCGTTTGAACTTCTCAACAGCGCCCTCAAATCGCAACGAAATCTTTCCGCGATTTGGGGGAGGTGGTGGTTATAGGTACATTAGAATATCCCTATGTACATAGATTAATAAATTCCTTATGAGATTGCTGAATCCCCCTGCAAAATGAATGTTTTGGATTTTTGTTGTGTTCATGTGAGTTCGCGATTTCACGTGACGATCAATTAATGAGCGTCATTGATATATGTCCTGGAAGTTCTGGAATCATTGTATTGTCTATACCCCTTGGCACCAATGGTGTTGTGCATACCCTCATCTATAAAGTAAGGCACAATGGGTGGGGGCAGTCCTTGCCACATCAGGAAAAGTGTCAAGTGGTCTGAACCACCTGAATGACCTGATTTCAGACTATTCAGGCTTGCAGACGGCATACTGGCGACAGATGAATCAGTCAGTGTCAGGCATGCTCGCGGGAACCAGATCGGACTCAGATAGCTTTCAGACACAACCCAGATGAATCTCAGACCATTCACAGACCCAAAACAGATTCGTTGCAGACCATCCAAGTTGCATCACTGATACACGAAACCATTTAGTACTAATACCACCCACAGTTAACAACCATCTAAGTCTTCTGTGGGTTGAGGACCATCATCCTCGCCATCAGAGAGGAGGACCATGCCACGGATATCCATAATGTCATCATCAGAGTAGTCTCCATCGTCAGACCTTGTATCTGTCCCAATCAACTCCGACAATGCCTCCTCGATGGAATCCCACTTGCTCGCAGGCAAATCGCTGGCTTGTTCTGCGTAGCGCATAGTCACAGACCCCCATGCTGCGTCAAAGTCAATATTTTTCGAGTTTTTCCCACCTGCATTGTCGCTGTTGCCGTGGCGTTTCGCTTCCTTCGCTGCCTCCTTGGCAGACTCACCATCGGTGTATAGGGACAGCGCAAAATGATACTGAATAGTATAATTTGTGAGTTCGAGAGATGTAGCTCGGGTGTGAGACTCGGACGTACAGCAGCAGCAGCCAGCCCTAGAGCACCAATCGGCTTTCCAAATACACCAAACACCTTCCCACAGTGTTTGATGTGACCAGTGACAAGTTCCAGCAGTTCGGGTGACAACCAAGCGCCTTTAAAGGCCTTTCGGCAGAAAGACAAGCTGAGTATCAGTTGGAGACTGTAGAGAGAACAAAAACGCACCTCAATGTCCGCATAAATAAACAGTACGTGTTTTTGATTATTGACTTTGCATGGCAAGTGGTCGCGAACGAATTTGACGCGGGCCTCAAGGTCGTGTCAAAACTCGGGATGTTTGAAGTGATGTTCGAGAATTTTGAGAGCATCCTTGCCGAACATGCTGCGCCATTCATTCAAGCGGTCGGTAGCCTGCCAGTGCAAGGTCATGTAGGTTAAATGAGCATCACATCAGTCAGACAAATGCACTATTTTTTTGATAGCAGGGTGTTCATTGACGTCCACAGTGTTATGTTCAAAAAAAACATTCCAGAGTTCTTGCAATTTCGGTGACAACTCAGGATGCTCGTTGGTGCCAAATGGGTCAGTGGTGGTACCAGCCCAGTCTATCACCGCACAAACCTGCCAAATGGGTCAGTGGTGGTACCAGCACAGTCTATCACCGCACAAACCAAGCGATTCCAAACATCACGATCACTTTTGTCCTGCAAAGGAAGGTCTTCGAGCCTGAGTTTCTGGAGCGGCTTTTGCGGCTTTAACATTTTCACCGCTTTCACTTCTTCCGTCACAGCGTCGTCGGCACCCTTTTTATTGATCTTGAGGCCCATCTGTAAGACGAGTTTTTCGTCAATGTGATGTCGAGAGGTGCAAAATCATACTCCTGCAGTTGTGCGATATCTAGCTGAGGTCTTCACATCTTTGACCTTAGTGCTCTTGTGCTCTTGTGCAGCGGCAATCGTCTCCTCGGGCTCGTCCAAATCAAACTCTCCAACTACCAGGTCACTGCTAGTGTCTGGGGTTGAACGGCTGCCAGCATGGCTTGATGCTCGCAAAGATGGCTGAGATCGCTCCACCTGTGGAATAAGGCTCGTGTCAACTTCGTCTGCGTCAAGTGATTTCAAGTTACTGCTTGCTGATCCCTTCACTAATAGTCCAACTGTTTTCTGCCAGTCTGGATTTAAATTACTGGCCAACTGAGTGGCCTTCGCACGCTTATGTTGTGGTACCCTGTGAAAAAAATCAGTATATGTCTGGACTTCCAAGCTTTGCGTACTGTTCACTGGCATTGACATCTATTTCACCATTAATGTTCTCGTTCTTACGCTTTCTCGCCAAACTTCCAGCACTTGCAACAGTCTTTCTATTAGCCACCACTTCCTGCCTTAACAGCCTCTCTTTTCTCTATGTCCGTGATTTGTAAACACCTTCATCAATCTGATTGCAATCACAACTGACCTTATTCCCCTTTTTCTTGTGTGATTTTGCTTTATGAGACTTTCTGCGAGCTTCTGACTCTGAACCGGCACTTTGATCATCACTGGGCAACTCAGAACTAACACTTTCAGAGTGCGCGCTGGATAATTCATACTCGCCGTCAGTGTCTTCGTCTTCGTCATGTTTCTCTGATGCTGTTTGTTAACCTTTGGCTTATCTGTGTAGGGTTCGTGCTCACCCAGGATCTGTTTTTTCTCGGGCAATCCTCTTGGTACATTCGTGCCATAAGCATGATCCTGTCTCCTGAGTAAGTCTTCCATGGCGGCGATTTTTTGTACACCTTCTTGACGAATCTCTGTTGCCTTCTCTTTCATTTCAGCTTTTTTCGCTGCAGCTTTTGCGTCATCTGCCTGCTTTTGAGCCGATGTGCGTCGCGGCGTCCTTCAGAATCTGAGCAGGGTTTCTGTTAGCGTTGTTGTGGACAGGGCAGGTCATTATTGCAGTCTTCTGGGTGATATGTTTGTGAGTTTTCCAGATTTTTTAGACTTCTGTTACTTGGTCCAGCGCTCTGAGCTGAGTGAAGAAACTTTGCGAGACATCAAATTGGCATTGCAACGATTTCATGAGACACAGGAGATCTTTCGAGACTCAGGTATTCGCCCCAAAGGATTCTCACTACCCCGCCAGCATTCCTTAGTCCACTATCTTCGGCTTATCGAGGAATTTGGAGCTCCCAACGGTCTATGTTCATCAATCACCGAATCTCGTCATATCACAGCTGTCAAGCGACCATGGTGTCGTTTGAACAGGTTCAAGGCTCTTGGACAGATGCTCCTCACCAACCAAAGGTTGGACAAGCTAGCTGCGGCACGAGTACAGCTGGTTGCATGCGGTATGCTGCCTGCAGCTTATTCTCCCCCTTCAATGACAAACTTTCCGACTGGATCACTGGGTGATGAAGACAATGGTGACAGACATGACTTGGATCCTACAGATATTGTGAAGGTTGATAGTTTTATGGTCTTGGCTCGTCATTCTCATGAGTGATGTTCTTACAATTGATATGTATATGTCTAATACCTACTCCATCAGAACAAGGCTACCCACAGAATTTACCTGACCTCGCTACTCATATCCATGAGCTGAACTTGGAGCTGCTCACACATCACTTTCTGTTCAATCAACTTCACATGGCGGTGTAGTAGGGTACACGGGCTTCAGGAGCATTTCCCATTTAGGTAGACAGCGGGTTTGGCCGGTTCGGAGGCATTAGCGAAGCACTTAGAGTCGCGTAGCGAGCAGAGGCACAGATTCAGATTCACACACTGCACCACCAAGTGTCTAGGCTACGCTGATCCACCTGGTGACTAGAGCGACCATTCACCACGGCCATTACTCTAGACAACCTCTGCCACATCCAAAGCATTCAATACACAGAAAGCCCACCAGCGCTTAGGCGTGTGGCTTCGGACGCAAGGCTTTCACCACCATCCATAAAATCCAAATGTCTTTGCGACCTTGCTATTTCTTCACCTAAGAGACCCACAAACGTCGACCTACAAACTAACATATGATTTATCCAGCAGAGAGCAGCTCTCGCAAGAGCACCACCATTTTTTCCACAGCAACCCCCCCCCCCCCCCCCATCCCTACCTGTACAAACACTCATGGCAACCAGCACCACCACAGTAACACCGCAACCTAGTTTTCACGGCAATTATGAAAAAGATGAAGAACCCACGAACTGGCTTAGAAGATACCAACTGTCCTTACCCCCGTCATACTCAGACTCAGACAAGATCGAGCGCTTCGAACTTCAATGCGCAGCAGCAAGTCCAGCCGAAGAATGGTTCACGGGACTCACAGTGGCAGACAAGCTAACCTGGACAGCATTTTTAGCAACATTCAAAACACGCTGGCATCCGCCAGTACACGCGAAACTCACAGTTGCGCAAAAGAAGAGAGGGGCAGAGACTGGGGTCATGTAAAATGGGCAAAGCAAGTCACAAAGATGGTGTTAGGATTCGGTGACGTGCACTGCCATTTTCTAGACGTCGTGCTGGAGAACACCCCAGAGGTCTTGCGAGATTTTCTGGCTGATCACTACAACACGTGGGCGGAATTCGAGTCAGACGTCGCCAAAACGTCTGCTTCCCAACTCATATGGGCCAAGCAACGGATAGCAAACGAGAGAAAACTCAGAGAAGATGTCGATAGACTACAGACGCAGTCAACAACGGGCCGCAAGCAGCCAGGACCAGCGCCTCAAATCGCACAACCCTCATTCTCTCTGCCAGCAGCATATCGTTATGGACCTCGTTATGCACCTAACATCGTAAATCAACCCCAACCAGCAGTGCAGTATCATACTACAGCCCCCACATCACAGAACCTCCAACCCACGCAGTTACCACCACCAATGACACCTACCCAAATGCCCCAAAACCCATTTACCTTAGCAGCACCAGTGCCTAGAACGAATCTGTTCTACAGATATCGGGGAGGATTTCCACAAACACCCCGAGGTCGGGGAGGGTCACCTGCCGATCATTTACGAACTGCGGCGCAATTCGCAACCCTGCCACAACACCCAGATTCAGAGACAGGACGTCAGGCATACACCCAGCAAGTACAAGAATGGCACTCACAACACGGACAAGAGGCAACACCCAGCACGGCTAGACCATACCCACTAAAGCCAGGAACATCACCGCTGGGTTCAAGAGAGTGTTTCAACTGTGGGTTAGCAACGACCCCAAGTCACCAAGTGTACGAATGCCAGAATCCCGCAGTACCCCAGTAGGAAGGACACTGGCGGGAAATGGTGTCTCGATTGGTGACATGTTCACTTGCACCCCAAACACCTCAAACCCCGTCCGATATCCAGTTCATAGCACCCAACCCAAGCCAGATCCACCAGCCACCCCAACAGTTCTATCCATTGTACTACGCACCAGGGCCATGGCCGACCTACGACCAATACGACACATCGGGAAATGCGTACGGACCACAACAGTAGGGGACTACCCTGTGGTCCACACCGAAAGCCAAGAAGCAGAAGTCCTGCCTGAAGCCGAAGAAGAGCAGATGTCTTGCAAAGTCCCCATGTCACCCAACTCCTCAGATCATTTCTCCAGCTTACCGTCCATGGTGCCGTCGTCACCTGGATTCTCAAGCCTGGGTTCTTCCCTCATCATTACGCCAGTCGCATCTCCAACAACCAGGCCAACGACGGAACATGACAATCTCGCGTCAGAAGATGAAGACTTCATTGTTCCTATGTTAGATATCACGTTGGACAGCAGTACTCCGCCCTTACTTGATTCAAATTCCGTTACTTCCCCTTTGAACATTTCTTTTAATACTTCTTCTGATGACCTATTTGACTCTATATCGCACTCTGATACTTCGACGCTCCCCTTCACTATGCTTGATGACACAGACACGGGGTCAGCTTTAGATTTCGCTACGGATTTTAACAATACGCTGAGTGACATGTCTATTTCCGAGTCAATAAACACCACTGACTCCTACCTGGATACGTTCAAGATAAACGTGGTCGACCTGTACACAATCTCCGGTGAGAAGGAAATCGAAGACATCACCGAAAGCACGCCATTTACAATGCAAATCATCTTATACGGTCCAGGGGGGAAGACATCATGTTTCCAAGCCAATGTCGACGACGGAGCCATGGTGAACATCATGGACCTCAAAACGTTTAGGAAAGCAGCCTGCAACCTCAAGAAGCTTGTTAGATCAAACCGAAGCCTTCACATGGCAAACGGAGTAGTCGTACCGTCTCAAGGAGTATGGAGAGGGACTTTCCAGTGGAATAAGGTCAAAATCCGAACTTCCTTCGAAGTTTTTGACAGCGGAGGCGTGTGGTCAATGCTGATAGGAAAGCCGCTACTTGAACAGTTAGGAGCAATCCACGACTACACTCAAGACACGATCATTATTCCACACCACCCCACCCCCGTTGTCATACACAACATCTTTGGAACGCCCGCAGCCCCAAAGCCAAAAGACGCAAACCCAACAGTACATAATGCAGCTTCAACAGCGCAGCCAACAGCACATAATGACACTAATTCTTCAACAGCAGATTCATTTCTAATTGTCACTATACCATCCGACCATGACCCTAACCATAATTCACAGGAAAGTCACACACGACCGATCGCAGCAACAGAGCAATATGTGTTCAAAATCAGCCCACGTACACCAGAAGATCAACTGGAGAACCACTCAGAACGCCTTGCGAAGGCTGGAGCACACGTAGTAAGAGCTGATCATAGGCCATTCGTGGCAGCGGTAAACGACCAATCATCCCCATTACCGTGCTCACCCGTTCTCTTTACAGCGACAACCACAGGAAAAGAAGAAGACCCAAGCTCACCAGTATGGCCCGTCCAAGATCAACCCGAACATGTCGAAGACACCATCGTGGGAGAGGTACACGAGTTCCCTCACACCGAAAACGCACCCAACGTCTATTCAAGACACGTCGACCCGTTTAATCCCACATGCGTAAGAGAGATAATGCGAGTAATAAAGATCAGTGATGATCTGTCGTCAGACCAGCGGACGAAGGTGCGTAATCTCTGCGAAGAATTTGTTGATACATTTGCCCTTAGTGTCAGTGAAGTGTACCCTGTCGACTTCAAAACATTCAGACTCCAGTTCCCCGAAGGAACCAAATTCAAAACCAAGGTGAATCAACAACCTTTAATGCCGCCTCAAAGGGAGTTTTTATACGAGTGTCTCAATGAACTGGAGAAAGCCGGAATCATTCGAAGGATAGAGCCGGAAGACGTCAAAGTGGTAAGTCCTACAGTACTAGCTCAGAAAGCTCATGGCTCGGAAGGATTACCATTGGAGGAGTTGCTACATAGGGTCAACAACCAATGTAGCACCTACATATTGCCAACATGGGATGACCTCCCACCACGTCCACTGCCAGACAACACCCACAAGGACAAGAAGTCAACGCCGAAGTGGCGCATATGCCAGAACTTCTCTGAGGTAAATCAAGCAAGCCAAATACCACCCATTTCGCAGGGAGATATACAAGCTAAACAGCAGCGTTTAAGCGGACATAGGTGGATAAGTATCATAGATTTCGCCGCCGGGTTTTACGCCATTCCAGTGGATCCAGACTCACAACCTTTTCTAGCATTCTATACGGAGGGCAGGGGATACGACTGTTATTGTCGAATGCCCTTCGGCCTAACGGGAGCACCGACAAACTTCGGAGACATGGCGGCTATCGCACTACGTGACCTCATCGGCTTACTTTTCGAATTGTACGTGGACGACACAGGAATGGCAGGCGACATCTTCGAAGAGAAACTATCGCGTCTGAGAACGTTCTTCGAGCGTGTCAGAAACATGCGCCTATCGCTATCTCCCTCGAAGACACAGCTATTTATGTCAGAGGTAACATTTGCAGGAGCACACATAGGACGAGAGGGTATCAAACCAGATCTAGCCAAGATTTCAGCCATTGTTGACTGGGCAGTACCACAAACGGTTCACGACTTAATGCAGTTTTTAGGCTTAACAGGATATTTCAGGTCACTACTGAAAGATTACGCAAGACGAGCGGCCCCGCTAACTGACTTAATCAGGAAACTGGGAACGCCTCCTGGAGGACAAAATGTAGGTAGGTATAAGTATAGACAGCACTTACATCTCACACAGCTAAAACCCCACTGGGGGCCTCGACATACCGAAGCGTTCATGGACCTCAAGAAGGCGTTAGTATCTGAACCGGTCCTCAAAGGACCAAGGTTTGACGGCACATCATTCATCGTAACAACAAATGGTTCACAAGATGGATTCGGTGCAGTCCTATCCCAGAAGCACACATCAACGCTGGCGTCGGGAAAAATCATTACCTCCACCCACCCAATAGCGTATGCGTCAAAACACACATCCCCCACCGAAGAGAAGTATAAACCATTTATACTTGAGTTCACAGCACTAAAATACGCCTTGGATCAATTTTCAGACGTGATTTGGGGAGCGCCAGTCGAAATCGAGACCGATTGTCAAGCAATGCGAGACATGCTACTAAGTCCAAAACTCAGCATGGCACACGCACACTGGAGGGATGGAATACTCGCATATCACATCATTGATGTTCGACAACGACCGGGGGTATCGAACACGGCAGCTGATGGGTTAAGTCATGGGTTCATGACGAGGGAAAGGATCAAGGGGGACGGGAGTGATTGGACGGTCAGTGAGGATTGGGAAGAGTCGTGAGGAATCACGCAAGACTTGTTCGCGATAGAGTCCAGTTCACCAGCCTCAACCACAGTTGTGGATACCCTACGATCTCGCTTTGCTAACGAACCTTTATTTTTAGAAATTGTCGACGCTATCCACGATCTAGATTCAAACAAGATGATCAAGGAGAAGAGACGCGCTCGTCATAGAGCACAGCAATTCTTCATCGCAAACGGCAAACTTTGGCACGTACCCAACGACTCGTCAACACGAGTGCACGGGAAATTGGAATGCGTTACGCAGGACGAAGCCACAGAGCTGGCGAGGATAGAGCACTCCACAAAGGGACATGGGGGGAGGGATTTAGTCAAGCTCCAGTTGATCGATAGAGTGTACAGCCCACGACTGGATCGATCCGTCACCAACGCCATCACCACATGCGGGCAATGTAAAGGATTTGGGGCAGCGCACATCAACTCCCTCCTCGAGCCTATCATCCGACAACACCCTTTCGAACTACTCGTCGCAGACTACCTCGCAATGCCGAAAGCGAAGGGAGGGTTCCATACCATCCTACTCATCATCGATACGCACCCCCAGTATGTCTGGGGCTTCAAGCTCAAAGTTCACGGCACTGCGAAGACCACGTTAGCAGGACTTGAGAAGATACAGCATGACTCCTAACAGCCCGAGTCGCTGATGACGGATGGAGGGAAACACTTCAACAATGGAGAAGTGAAAGAGTGGTGCGACACGCACGAGGTGAAGCGGCACGTCACCGCAGCTTACGCTCCCTGGATAAACGGACTCGTTGAAGGGACCAACAAAATTCTATTAGCACACCTCAAGTACATGTGTGCTCCTCAACTAGGTGAAGATAACTACATCGAAGTTGACCCGCAAACGATTCCTGCGGCATGGTCTGATCATTTTGATCGCGCCATCGAGCACCTAAATGGCAGAATCCTACCAACTTACCAGTTCTCCCCAAAGGAACTCTTGTTGGGACTGGTCATTGACACACCACGTACACCCCTTCCAAACGCCGCTAACCAACTCTCAACAATCGACGTCCATGTCCATTCCGCATACGTGGCCCAACAGCGTCTGGACGCCCTAGCCAACCGTATCGCAGGTGCCCTTAAGCGCAAAGAAGCCTTCGATAAACGGGTTCTCACATCAGCAACAGGTCATATCGTGTTCCAGCCGGGCCAACTTGTACAAGTGTATGCGAGTGAAGTTGACGGCAACTTCAAATCATCCAGGAAGATCATACCTTGCTGGTCCACCCCTCATCGCATCAAGTCCCAACGAATGAACTCCTACATGCTGGAATTGCTGGAGGGATTCCCAATAGGCGGATGGTTCCACGCTCGACGACTCCGACGATTTCTGCCACGCACCGGCATGCTGCTAGATGAAATGGAGAACGAGAAGGAAAGAAGCGAGGTACGAGAGGATGAAGTGGATGCACAGCCAAGAGACTAGAAGACGAGAGGAGAGCAGGAAGGAAACCACGAGAAGGAATTTAGAGATGCGAGGATAGGCGAGACGGGAGAAGAACACCTCAAGGACACGCACTGCCATTCCAGCGCACGATGCGGCTCCAGGGATGTCGCTGTAGAGAGTGATATCTCTACAGGCTCGTATTCCCCTATTCCACCATCGCCCTCATCACTATCCTTAGACAAGCGCAAGCCTATAGAGTCGCAAAGGGCTCGCGCGGCCACTCGCGCTTTACCGCATAGCGCGTGCTACACGCGCACCCCTTTCTGCATAGAGGCGCTATACTCGGCACATCCTCCCATGTCTTCCCATGTCCTGTCTCGTCTATCCGGCTCCGTTGGTGCGTATTCCCACTCTTATTACCATCGCTGACCACATCCAGGGTCTCTTACACATAGCATTACATACATCCGCTTCCCTTACGCTTCCACGCTACCTATCCGCTTCCCTTACGTCTCAATACCCTGAGAGCGCGCGTAACAACTTACATATCTAGAGGACTCAGAGATTTCGGAGTCACTTTACTTTCCCTAACTTGGACACTGCATTTGTTTTTCGGTCTGGTCGTGCTCCAAGCTCTAATATCATCACTGTTATTGTTTATCATCTCTCGGGCTAGTCTAAGACTCGATTCCATACTCTCCGAAGCATTCCAACTGTCAGCCGCCGCCTATTTCCTTATCTTGCGCATCCTGCGCTTCAGTGGTCCTCTTCCGCATACCGCGCGGCCCCAGTGCCTTTCTTGCGCTTCCAGCGCTTCCGTCGCGCATCTTCCGCGCGCCCTTCGCATCTCTTAGGCTCTAGCCATCTCCTTGATCCCTCTCATTATTTGAGAGATTGCCTCAGTAGAATCCCCTAAGGGACGAATCTATTAGCTCGCCTCTCGAGGTAGATATCCTTGTGACTCCACGGAGTTCGCATCACTATTTTCCTCACCCACATCGCATTTTTGTGGGGGGAATTTGTAGTAGGGTACATGGGCTTCAGGAGCATTTCCCGTTTAGGTAGACAGCAGGTTTGGCCGGTTCGGAGGCATTAGCGAATCACTTAGAGTCGCGTAGCGAGCAGAGGCACAGATTCAGATTCACACACTGCACCACCAAGTGTCTAGGCTACGCTGATCCAGCGGATGACCTGGTTGCTCTTGAGGCTGCGGAGGATGACTTGCCTGTCATCCAGTCCAAGATATCTGTTTTTCATTCAGTGATTGCCACATTTTCGGCCCCTAGCGACGTTTCGGGTACTCATGGGATGCACCGCGAAATCATTCACTCGACACCATCATGGAGACGACAGTACTCACGACATGATTGTGTGTTTATTGTTGCTGACGAGACGAAGTCAGGAATGAGGGGAATGATTGTTGGCAGGGTCAAGTTGTTCTTTTCCTTCGTGCACAACGGAGTTACCTACCCTTGCGCTCTAGTGGACCGTTTCTCTCATATGGGTCGAGGGCCAGATACCATCACAGGAATGTGGAAGGTAAAACCAGAGGTGACAGTCATAGGGAGACATTGAATTCGCATCCAGTCCGTCGAGCATATTGACACCATTTATTGAGCTGCACACCTCCTCCCCGTCTTTGGTGATGGTGCACTTCCTGTAGACTTTCATTTCGCACATTCTCTTGATGCCTTCAATTCGTACTATGTAAATAAATATGCTGACCATCACGCTAATGAAATTGTGTTTTGACCAGGTCATATCAGATTGTGTTCAGGCTTGACAGAGTGCACAGGCAAATAGGATTGTCAGGTATCATACATACTAATAGTTTATTAAGCTCGCGGCAAATTTTTCACCTGTTGTGTTTGAAACTCATGTTCAGCATCGCATCGTGCTCTCTCAGCCTTCCAATGTGCATCAACAAGGTCTTGGAGAAAGTCCGCAGGGACGGCAAGCGTTTCAGCCTGAAAATTAGTGGGACTTGGAGATTCTGGTGTTTTTCATTGTGCGGCAAGTATTGCAAGGTATTCTGGGGCTGTGTAATGCTGTCAAAGGTATGTTAGAGGAAGATTGATGGCTCATACTGTATTCCAAAGGCCCATTGGGATTGGCAGGTATTTTGAGGCACTGAAATAGACGACTACTAGTGGAAAGGCTGTGTGAGTTTGGCACGAGAAACATTTGTGTGACTGACAGTTTTTTGATCTGCCATGTCGGCCCATCCAAATCCAGATTTGTGGTACCTTCCTCTGAGTCGAGAAGATGTGGTTTGACTGGGCTGGGGGGTTCGGAACGAGAACTAGTAGTATGTGATTGTGAGCTCTAATAGTAGCATAATAATGAAAATTTTGCTAGGCTTACCGTTTAACTCCAAAATGTTTGGGTGTTGTAGGGATTGAATCATGAGCACAAGCTTCGAGTGACATGACGGAAAATGTATGGTACACTGGTATGGTATGAGTAAGAGGTATACTACATCTTTTTTTGCTGCTGGTGATTCAAATCTGTTGTGCATGAGAATGAAAAACCTACCAGACATTCAGGTTATCCAGGCTGCTGACAGGCCAGTCAGGTGGTGACCAGGTCTTGACAGGCCTTTGCACAATTGCTGATGCAGCTCGTGTGGTGTTCGTGTATTCCGTGTATTTTGCTAATGCCACATGTTTTGTGCTTAGCTCGCTTATCGCTTAACAGACTGAATTTGGAAACTCATGTGGTTTTCTCGCGTGGTGTTTTTCAAGCGCTGACTCAGTTCCACTTCTTCGTTCACTAGCCCACACCAATTGTGCCTTCAGCACAGGAAGGCAGCAGGGCGCTTTGCGCTCTACTCAAGGTGCATCAGGAAACCGACACGAAAATGATAAAATTTGAGAAAGCTTTATCTGAAGTACCATTTGTAAAATATACATCATAATTATACTTCACTTGAGAAAGCCTTGAATACCCGGACTACGTTGGACGGAATCCGCCAAATACAAATTTGTGATAGTTTTGTTACAATTATCTACCAGCCCATCATCAAGACGGCATACATTGTAATGCCCACCAGCGTGACAAAGTAATATTATGGTGTTAAAATACCCCACGATCACCTAGTTGAGTGCTACTTGTAATACACTACAATTTTGCCCTGCCCCAGTCATGGCGTGTAACCTTCAGCAGTTTTTTCTTCCTTCGCAACCTCTACATGAATGCCAATGCCAGTTAAAGCTATATATGTCCGGACTATGTGGGATCAAAGTCACCAAGGCTCCAAGGGTGTGGAGCCATGATAATGCGCTACCATGTCGTCTCAACACGGCTGTCGCATGTAAGCCATGGTTCTTACTGCGGCCTGGACAATGCCTCCCTCGTCGTTGATGTTAGATATCTACTTATAATGCTAGATTGGGTTGCACAGTTGTGCTAAGTACACAATGTGAGTAACTAATGATACTGCGCTATCATCCTTCCCAACCTTGACGACATATATGTAATGTTAGCTTGCTATTTTATCCTGCGCAGACTGTCCATAATCGACGGCGCCAGATAACATCTTCTAAGAGTGGGCTGTCTCGGTTCGAGCTGCCTTCTGCCCAAGGGCGCGGAGCAATGATATTGCTATACCATACTCCAGCAACCACTGAGGTGTGATCATGAGTTGCAGGGTGAGTGAGTTTGTTTATTCCCCACAAACTCTCCATAAATGCTGGTGCCAGGTCATGCCTTCCAAGGGTAGGTTGTCTCGGTTTGAGTTGCCTTCGGCCCAAGGATGCGGAGCAATGATATTGCTGTACCATACTCCAGCAACCGCTGAGGTGTGATCATGAGTTGCAAGGTGAGTGAGTTTGTTTATTCCCCACAAACTCTCCATAAATGCTGGTGCCAGGCCATGCCTTCCAAGGGTAGGTTGTCTCGGTTTGAGCCACCTTCTGCTCAAGGACGCGGAGCAATGATATTGCTGTATCATACTCCAGCAACCGCTGAGGTGTGGTCATTAGTTGCAAAGTGAGTGAGTTTGTTTATTCCCCACAAACTCTGCATAAACGCCGACACTAGAAAAAGCCTTTCAGGGTAGGCCGTCTCATATCAAGCTGCCTTTAGTCCAGGGGAGCGGAGCCATCACAATACACTACCATTCGCCAAATTTCTTCACAGCTGCTTATTTTTGATCTCTTCAGTGCATCAGCCTGGTTGCGAGAGCCAAAGCATACTGGTATTAGGTTATATTTGTATGTACTACATATAAAGTGCTCGAATAAAGCCTATGGAGAGGTTACGATTACGTTCGAATCTGCGGCATTTTTAGTTGCAAGCTGTTTGATTTGGATTTTCGACAGGGCACTGTTGGCGCTAATAGGCCGCTTGGCGGCAGAGGAAGTTGGAAAACCTGGCTGGGTACATAGCAGTTATAAGCTCAGTGAAATGATGAAAAGATATAACCATACCGATTCCACCATGTCAGTAACTCATCAACTTCCTTAGACTCGTCCGGGTCCTCGAAAAGGTCGAGGAGGCTGTGGTAAAACATCTCTGAGTCCGTAGATGTGTCGGTTCGTGAGAACACCGAGGATGAGCTCAGCGCAAATCGGACCTTCAGTTGTATGTACATCAAGATTGTTGAGCTACAAAGCTATGGTGTTGACACACCTGAGTGGCGATATAAGCTATCGAGGCGATGGTGACGCAGTTCATGCCATGGAGGCGGGCATTCCCGGATCAGGTGGCTTTTGGATCTTTGTCGACCGAACTTGGGGATGTGTGCTTGTAAGCCTGACAATGATATAGTGAAGGACTGCGTGAAAATGTATGCCCACTTACACATGTCAGCAAGCGACTCCTAAGGAGACCACACCACGGGTCTTCAGCGTCATAGGTATGGTGGGCATACAAAAAAACGGGCCATGGATCTCCGCAGACCAAACTTTCGCCACTGCGGAGGTTCTCTCTCGTCCTGTTTTGAGTTGTCAGGACTGCAGATGCCAGAAAATAAAAGCATACTCCATGTCATGCCAATCTAACCCAGCGGGGCAAAGTAGTGACCCTGTAAGTTCATGGTTGAATCCGCGATCGATCTTCGAGTTCCTATGCAAAGGAGGCTGGATTGCTGCTCCTTTCGGGGAAATCCAATCGAGTATTGCAGACTTCAATGATTTGGTGTCGTCACCTCTCACGCCTGATGCTCCCTTGCCAATCTTGAAATTGTAAGCATGAACTCTGGAAATGTAGAAAACAATGCACTAGCTCTCCAACGTGCAGAATTTCCTCTTCGGACCTGTTCCTAAGTCATTCTGATAGGCCAGGATAAGAGTCTAAGAGCTGTTCGAAAATGCGATGCTCTTGTCGTTCTCTGCCAAACGAGTCAGTCCACAAGCTAGCAGATAATCATCATGCCCTTTCACTCAGCAGCAAAGTCTTCCAGAGGAGTGTCTTCCATTTGTTGCAATCTGAGTATACCATTGGTAAGTAGAGAAGGATAGTTACACAGCACGAACACCGTTCGACCAAAGTGACGCCCATGCGATATAAGAGGATCTGATGATGAGCTGGGCAACAGGATGAGTCTACAAAACCTGTCCCAGACATTGGGGACAACTTACACTTTTGTGTGGGGCCCCATTTGGAGGGCTGATGTAGCGCATTTGCTTGGAATACTGGAAGTGGTATCTTCAGTGGCCATGAGAGCTGGCAAGGAGCAAAAGATAGTTTGGGCTTCGTGAAGATGAAACCCAGCTTTTTATCTCCAGCACTGAGCCGCATGGGATTTCAGGCAAAGGGTGTACCTGATGGCGCGAGCAGGGAATAACATCATTAGCGGCTAACCACAGGCCGTGGCACTGGCTGCCAGCCAGGGGGGCCAGTGACAGGGTCCCCAAGATGGCCCGCCAGGACTGAACAACCTTTCATCAAATTAATGACCTCGCCTTACAGAACGTGTTAGCAAATTAATGTGTGATAAAAATTCTTTTGACGTTGCGTCTAACGTCCGCCTACTGAGTTCAACCTAAGGATGCAACAATCCTTGCGTCAGACTCAGACCTTCAATCTGTCTGGAAATACCATTACTTTCAATCTCCAGTAAACCCAACCGATCCTACTTGCGGCAAGACTTGCTAACAGTGTTCCTTAGGATCGAAATAGCAGGCAATGCCAATCAAAGGAGCGAGCATAAGGGGCTTGCTGGTGTAGGGTGCATGGACACGACCATCGTTAATTCTTGAAGCTTATTATCTACCAGAAAGGCGGATGTCGAGAAGGGCTTGCCATCAGCAGGGAATGAAGAGGCCCCTCTTCGTCTGCCGGGCACAACAATGAAGGGCGCAAGGAAGAGTCTATAGCCAAGATGAAGGAACAGCTACGACTCGCAGAATTGAGCTGCTCAAGACTTCAAGCGCAGTACCAAATATACAGGTTGCATTGGCTGGAGGAGCATCATCGAGCAACAATCTTGGAGGAATATGCACCGACTGGAATCAGCACATTCTCTCCTCGTCAGATTGAATGGGACGCTCCTTCTCCCATTCAAAGTATGTCAGACATAACCTCCCCACAAATAAGTTGACTAGCTTACTTAGGCGATGACGATGACGAATTTGAAGACATAGCAGGAGAAGATATATTGTAGCATTACTGTGTAAAACTATTATCGTAGCGCAGAGGACGTCAATAAATCCACCTTCATAAGGTTATTCTATGGCCCCTGTTTCACCACTGGAAGACGCTGACCAAATGATACCTGTGTAAGTAGGCAGTTCACCAGAAAAATGAGGAAATATGTTGCATCTGAATTTATTTGACTGGGAACTGGACTGAGAGTGCACATGCAGCGCGTAAGAGTACATTTCACTCTAGTTGTGGTGCTCCGCTCAGGGAAATATCCTCCAGAATATCCAAACAGGATATTACTGGGGCTGCGCCCTGGCCGGCCCTGGGCCATAACTGGCAACCACCAAAACAAGCAACGAACCCAACACAACGCCGAGCGTCACAAGAGATGAAATCATTAACAGTGAGGATGGCTTGAAGTCTGTGGCAACACCTGCGAGGAATCCAAGAATGGAACCCGTCACACTGCCGGTAATTTCATGAGAGACGCAAGCAATCATAATGAAAGTTTGCTTACCTCAATACACAAAAAGAAGTAGGTACACCTGTAATGACGATGAACATCTTTGTCTTTTGTCGCAGATAATATGACTGCGAGGTTGGTAAGGTCAGGCTGAGGCTACAGAAAGATGGTATAAATCAAACCACGAAGTCCATGGATCTCATTCTCTCGCCAAAGTGTTGCATCATCGTGCCCGCGAAAATACAGCCGGCACCTAAAAGTAAAGAGCAGGAGCATAGGATTTGTGAGGTCTCTGTCGTGCCTAGACCTGGAATGGCAAGGATAGCAATGTCCATGGCCATAGATACTGCTGCCTGTCAGAGCAATAAGCGGGGAGGTATTCTCGTTCACATAGCACTTACTAGGGTGGTTTGACTTTTCGCTTGACTGCTGATATCGTCGATGAACAAATTCACTTCTACCCCATTTGCAACACCATCAACGGAAGTATTCTTGATGCGATCAATCGTGATTGGCATGCACAGCATCATAGCTGCAGCGTTACCCATGAAAACAAGAAGTTTCCATGTCCTATGCCTCTCTCTCACCACATGGCTTCGAATAAGTCGAGCTTCAGGTTGATTGTGGCGATTCAGATACTGGTGGTGCCCTACGTGGTCTGGTGAATGAATAACACCTGATTTTGAGAAAAAATGTACGTAGGATGTATAATATTCTGCCTGTTAGAAGAACAATCAGTATCGGAAAGGCCCGGTTCTTCCATGCTCATGTACAACAAAACACGACACCAGTTTCCTCTAGGATCCTATTGTCAACGAGGTCTTCTATTTCTCAGTCGTCAGGATGATAGGCAAGGTGGACGACGCGAGCATGTACCAATGGTGGCCAAATGTGCACCAATCTGATTCATCTGGTCCAGAGTCCAGAACATGGAAGCGGCAGAGGATTGGCCCAAAGTTGTGGCTTCTGTACTTTGCTCGGTGATTCTGGCAGTCGCTGCAGTGGTATAGGGCTCACCTCCGATGTAGCAGACAACTTCTCTCCGTATGCGTCTCACATGTGAGCTTTCCATTTGGAACTGATGCGGAAAAAATTTGAAGTGTTTCCTGCCGAGCAGTGAGAAACGCTTGGGCAATCAGGGTGACATCTTTGGGCAACCACTCACCAATATTGAGCCTGGAGTTCAAGTCCTGTGTAATAGCAATCAAACGGGAAAAAAGCGAAGACAAAGACAACATACTCTTATGTCTCCATTCGCTTGGCCGGATACAGTCTCCGAATAGCAGTTTGCCATTCAGATCTTCTAGCCAAGCAATGACATGATGGTCGGGGACCACGTAATAGTATTGAAACCGCTCTTCTCCCATGAAGATCATTGGGAGAACGACCAGCGGCCACGTATCTTCGTTTGCTGCGGCTCGCAACACATCAATAAAATCCTCGAGACTGTGTAGACTCAGATAATGCTTGAGGTTCATCGGTGTAAATGTGTTCTAAATTTCCATCATGTGAACACATCACTTATACAACCAACTGGCGCTCACCTTTGTAGTGTGATAATAGTAGGTACCACCCAACGGGTGAACCAACTCCTCCCAATTCCCGTATGTTGCGGGCCTGTTGATAATGTTAATTCAGACCATTATGAGTAGTGACGACTTGGAAGGCAACCTATGGAGGGTCATCAATTTCCTTCGCACGAACCGAGATTTCTTCGTATCCATTGTCTACACTTAGTAAGTTTGATATGCAGAAAACATTATTTGAATTAAAATATTGAGCTATTAGCTAGTGGGTAGTACTCACAGCATAACTGCTTCAGCGTACCGGGGAAGCTGCATCGGCCAGATACCGATACCACACTCGAGCAGCTTTGGCTGCTGTTGAGAACCTCTTGCCTAGAGCATGACAGCCGCCTTAGAACAGTGCACCTCGAAGCAATTCAGCTTACCATGTCGTCCAGCTTGTGGACTTGTCAAGCGGTTGTTGTGTTGTGGTTGCGTGTACCGTGACTACTACGATCATCGATGTGACTCTTTGCCCTGCTATTACCTTTTTTAGTTAGCGAACCCACGCGGCAGTCCCCGACTCCTCCAATCACTTCAGCGCGAGCACAAAAAAAAAGAACGGGAGACAAGTATGCACGAGCGGAAAAATGCGATGACGAAGCAGGTGACGCCCTGGGTATGATCATCCATAGAGAAATTGACGAGGAGTGCCAATGTCCAAAGATAGTTGATTTAAGGAGTACGCAGACGAAGATCATAGCTGTAGTGAATCACTAAGTGCTTGTGCTTTGATATCATGAGACCAGATGGGCGGGACTTACTGTACATGGAGGTAGCGGATGAATATGTAGGATCCACGATTATGTATTCACAGAATCCGGAAGGTAGAGATGTTGAGAATTCCGTTCCTGTTGAGTCTGTTTGTTTCGGAGGAAGGTCAGGTCATTGTGGGGTGCATACTTAGGTGTGGGGTGCACACCGAGTATCAATGTGAGCCAGTGGCTCGGTGTCATGAGTCCTACGAACACAGAGATAAAATGATTGATCTTATTTGCATAGGATGAGTGAAAATTTGAGTAACCACTAGGAATAAGACACTTACGTCCGGATCATGACGTTCGTGGATGTACACGCGATAACAATGTTCATGGAGAACTGGGAAACCAATTTCAAAAGATGACATTGGGGACGGAGGGACGAACACCCTACTGCTAGGAATTCAATATCTCTGCAAGGATTGGGAAGTGTAAGAGAAGCACATTAGTTATTCGGGATGCTTACGATGACAGTCAATATAAGGTGGGGTGGTGATGCTAGTAACGGCACTGAAACTTGGTATGAATACGAGTGTGAAGTGTTTGGTAGGGTCACTGACGACAGGATGTCACGAGAACGAATGTCCAACCAGTCAAATAAGAAACCTGAAGATCTAATGTCAAACACAATCATGAAGACATCACATAAATAAGTGTGCTCACCATTTGCCATCGAAATGGAAGCTGACAACGAAGTAAAACATTTCCGACCTGACAATAATGAAGGTAGCTCTATCATTCAAAACATCAGTTTCTGCGCAAGCTTCCTTCGTTGACATTGAAGGCATGTAGAAGAAATGCACCCGTATAACCCTAGCACGACTTATACGGTCTATAGCGTAGTGGCATCCGTACGTCAACACGTCGGGTTCTGCACTGTGCCAACGAGAAATCCTCTTCTATCTCCGCAGGCGCTGGAAACTAGTGACACCAATACGATAAACATGCGACATGCTCACCTCGCCCTGGCAACGTCTATGCTTGGAATCACATACTTGTGCTATGATATGCCACCAAAAATGTGCAGCCATCATGTCAGAGGAAGGTAGGAGTAATGTCAGAAACTCGGGGACGGCTCCAGACATAAATTGGCATTACCTGTATTTGTATGTCTGGGCCTGTCTTGCTCGTGTGGCCCGCACCACCTCATTGCCGGCAATGCTCGCAGCCATGATTTTCAGGTAGGGAGCTGATCGGTTGCAATATTCAATACCTACCACCTTAGCTCTACCCATAGATTCACTCCCATGAGCACGAGATACACACCAACTAAACAGAGTCCCGACGTGGGGCTTAGCACATATCCGTTCAGCGGGACGATGAACAGCGTGTCAATGAGTAGTGTCAGCAAGCTGAATGTACTGCTTATGAGCATAGGTGAGAAATGTAGCGTGTATGGCTCGCATCCAGCTTGCGAAATCACGTAGGAACCACTTACGGTCAGATGTTGGTTTCAGCGAAGACATAAAAGGGCAAAAGTTCCCACAAGAAAATTTGTCGAGAATTCTAGCTATAGCGTGTCGTGCTGATAAAGACCTTGTCCCGTTCACCTTGTCATCTGATTCTTTGATCTTTGGAGACTCAGACTCAGCGTGAAACACTTTAATAGCTAGAACTCTTCAGTTATAACCAATCATTAATTTTATAAATTCCTCGTGCCATGTAATATATTATGTAGTGTTCTATAAATGCTGCAAAGTGTGTCTACTAGATTTTGAATATATATGATCATGGATACATGAATGATTAGCAGTGGAGAGCTTGGTATGGTTGAGTACTACTTTTAGTATGTAGTACTGTGGGTGGGTGTGTATTGGTATGCATGTTTGGTCATTAGGTCATTAGTGTAGCAGCCTGTACTCTGCAAGTTCATCTCTAAAACATTATTTTAGTTGTGTAAATGATTGCATGTAAAGAACTCACCCTGCACGTCACCGATATCAACCATTGCATGAAGTGTGCCCAAGCGTCGGCACAAAAACGCATCAATTGCCTTATTGGACCTGGTGGACGCGGGGTGGTGGCCGCCTCAGGTACTGAAAGTCAGGCTCCACGGCAGCGACGTGGAACTAAATACATACCAGATTGGCCGCTAACATCTCCAGTTGCGTCTGTCAAATGTTTTGGCGCTAGATCATGTAGTACATGAGAAAAACTTACGCAATTGCTGCCAATTTGAGGGCCGTAGATGACGCGCGACATCTAATGTGAAAGTTAGTCGATGCGATCTGGGAGAATCATTTCGACATGCTTACCGTGAATATTCCAAATATAGTCTGATTGGTTGTGCAGAGTGCGGTTGTGAAGTGACCACCCCAGGAACAGTCGCGGCAAATAAAGCCAAACAAAGTCGGCTAGTGCTGATTGAACACAGGGTGGTCGTGGCAAATAAAGCCAAGCAAATTCGGCTAATGCCGATTGAACACATCTGGCATGTGGCGTCGTGGCGGTGCCAGCTTTGCAATGAGCTCGACAATATTTGGGAACGGAAGACCGAAATGATAAGATTAAACAGGGTACCAGAATTGGCTACTGTACATGTACTAGTACACGTGAAATCTACAAGAAAAACGATGTCACAAGTTTGAAATTTTCATAACAACTCCATTAGCGAACTTTAAGGTTTCATGAAGTACAAAATATGGATCTCCACATCACTGCTAGGCACCGGAAAGATAAATTGTGCATGCGGGACCTCGAAATCAGAGGTGGATGCGACATCTATGGGACTAAGATCATCCAAGGTTTTCATCCGCCTTACTCCCATCCCGTCCGTTATCAGTTTCGGGGCTTAGTTCTTGGGATCCATAACCAAGACATTTCTCTCCCTGAACATATATGAAAATGCGCGAAGATCAAATTAACACGAAGGACTGACTGTAGTGAAGGCAGCTCACGTGCCACCTGGAAGAAGGGAGCGAAGCGGTCTGGATGCATATACATCTCATCTAGCGCAGCCATAATTCTCGGATACAACTCGGGTGCTTTCAAGTTGGTAGAGTCGGATGGTATTTGCAAAGTAAACGCCTGATACATCTGATACAGGGGCACAATTCTTGTCATTGGTACGAGGAAGGATAAAACGAGTAAAAGCTTACGAGAGTGGTCAGTACGCCTACGATCCCCTTTCGTAGGTAACCCATCCAAGTTTGAATGGTGTCAGGGTATAGATCCGCTAATCTCGCGGTGCCTTCAGCTAACTCAGTGATAGGTCGGAGTAATGCAGCCCAGAGGACCTCCTTGAAGGCTTGTGTTCCAATAAGGTCGCAGATAGTGCCTTGAACCTAATGGATGGAAAGTCTTCAGTTTCAATTGTGCAGCCTTCGTGGTCCCTTACCAGTCTTTGGTCATCCGAGTTGAGCGTGACAATGAGTTCAAGAATCTTCTGCATCTTCACATCCTCATCAACCGCAAACCCAGCCAATGAGGATGTGCTACCTCGTGTAATTTTCCTGAGTTCTGAAGTGACATCTATATAGAAGTCCTGAAACTGCCCATAGTGAGTGAGGTACTAACACATCAGAACAAGCTTACCCGGTTGTGCAAGTATGACCATCCCACAATGGTCTCTTGCCCATCGCCATTCACGATCATCACTGATCACGCCGTTAGTTGGTGATGTTGTGAATCAGAGGCGGATACTCACGTGGCTCGCTACTTACCTCATCATAAGTCTTTTGGTAAAAGCGGAGAGCTCTCAAGAAGCTCGTTGTGATCAACTGCCTGGAAATTGCCTCAGGAACAAGGAATGGGTTGGCGGGCATTCCGACCAGAAAATGCCCGATAAAAAGGTATTTGGCCAGTTTAATCAAGCGACCCCATGGTGACGCTGCCAACAAGCCTTTGAGCAACAGTTTTTGGCCTTTGTCAAGGGGATCGCCTTGGGCGGTGCATTTCCAAGGGAGATCTGGGTGGGGAGGCTCCGCCTCACTGAAGGAATGAGTATTAACGAGGGTCATCATATCAGAGACAGAAATGTCATCATCCGGCAAAGTGGGTGTGGGTAAGATATCGAATACGGAGCTCGGTTCTATGATCGTAGGCTCGTATTCGAAATCTAGGGATGGGTGGAACATCGTCTCACAGAACGCTGCCTGAGAGGACGACAGTTGAGGGAATGAGGTCTGCCAAGCCAGTATATTGACGGGCATAGGAGGAGCAGGAGGGGGGAATCCGTGTGGGTATATTGCTGGGGTGAACTGAACACCGGCTAGCTGATCAAGCTATGTGGTATGGGGCATGATGAGTCCGGTAAGGTGCTAGTGTTTGGAGGGTACTCACCAACCAGATGGGGGAGATGCCCCCATGTGAGTTGGGTGCACAAAAATTGGTCCTACAGTCATTGAGAAAAGCAGAGGCACTGCTCTAATATGTTCATCCTATTAAGCGTGGACTTGGCAGCATGATAGAGCTCTTACCTCTATCTCGTAGATAGAAAACCGCGTGTTGTCGTTCATAATACATAAGAACCCGACATGTCGCAGGATGTCATGGGGCGGATGCACGAGAGCGAAATATTCTTCAGGCCACTGTAAATGAATACCATGAGATGAAAGAGCGATTCTAAGGATGATAACCTTACGTATACAGGCGAGAGTTGATGCGCATGCCCAACATATCCTATGAATAAGAAACGGCCGGACAGACCATAGAAAGGCTGGAAGACAAGAGTCAGTCAAAGTGACCGCTAATTGGCGATAGCGAACCTCCTCATTCTGCAGGAAGAGGCTATCAGTGATGACGTGGAGGATCCGCAATGCAGATTGTACTTACCCTAATGGGCAGAAGTCTCAGAACTTGGTTGATTGTCTGCATATATGTGTAGATTGGACCGGTTGCTGGCACTGCCGGTAGTTGCATCTTGTATGGAGACACCAGGAAGATGGAGGAAACAGCACCAAACGAGGCCCTAATAAGTACTCAAATATGGATTTGTTCCACTTACTTTCAACCACTGGACGTTATTGATGCTGCGCCAGGGATCAGCGAGGGTGCGCCAGGATTGGCAATGTGGTAAAGAAGTACCAAAGCAAGTTGAGGGATTGGCAATGTAACAAAGACATGATGCCAGGGTGAGTCGAGGGATTGGCAATACATAAAAAAAGCGCCAGGGTGAGTAGGAGGGACTGCAAAGAAGTGCCAGGGCGAGTAGGAGGGATTGGCAATGCAGCAAATGTGCGTCAGGAAGTAGTTAGGGTATTACAGAGATGATCATGGCGAACAAGGTAGTGGTATTTTTAATTCTCATAATTGAATGTATGGCTAGTTGTGAACATCTCGTCCAGTGCCTGGGTGAGCGACACTGTGCTGGCATCGAGTCCTTGGTCAAAAAACCAAGCTCCTCCGCGCCAACATAATTTCCATCATCGTCCTGTTCATCGTCATCGCCATCGGTAGCAGGACCATGACAGTGTGTGCTTTCCCTGAGTGTTTCCCCACTTCCCGAGGATTCATTTTCTGTCCGCGCTGTTGTCTGAGTAGTAGGGCAGGGCTTGACCTCATGAGAGTATACATGGCCGACCCCAAGTCCATAATGGAAGCGCATGAGAGTATCACGATCAACAAAGCTAGTGTGTTCCTAGTATTAGCGAACATTATGCGTCAGGGGATAGTTCATTCACCTGTTAACATAATATTTGGGCCAATCATGCTTGTCTCCTGCCAACGGGGAAATGCCACATTCACCCGGATTGCGCAGGCCTCGAGAAAAAGCCGGCACAATATGACATGCCCTGAGGACAACTCCTGGGTCCACGAAACCAAATGTGTTCGGGTTTGCCAGAGGCCGGAAGCGAATACAGCCCAAAGTATGGGTGTCCCATGCATGATCTTGCACAGATTCGTACCACCGAACAAAGAGAAATTCGATCCAGCGAGATTTGTACATGTTTGCAAGGCGAACAACGTTGACATGGTGTATGGCAATGACTTTCGCGTAATGGTACTCGCCGCCATGCCCATCATCATTGCGGTTCTTCAGCAACATAATGTTGCAATGTGGAGTCCGTGGGTTTACAACATCTTGAGCCCTTCAAATGTCATATGTGGTGTAATTGAATCTCGCCAGATTATGGTGATAAAGTCGATTACGCTTGAAGAGAATGGAATTGTGTTGGTCGGAACGAGCTGATATTTCCACAGGTGATTCAGCAATTCCCGGCTCTAGACAATCGAGAATATGTTCTTTTAATCGAGGAAGAAAATCCTGTGTGATATCTCAGCATAATGATCATCAAGTCATAGAAATTATTTACCCTCATAGCGAGATCTCCCGCGTGGTCACGGAGGTACTGACCAAGCTCGTCGTATGTCTTTTCGCCTTCGCCGATATGATGGTGTGGCTGGGGATCACTTGCCACTGTCTCTACATGAGGACTTCGCTGTGATTGCCATTGCTTGATGCAGCGCAAGCGGGCCTCCTGGCGCTCGATCTGAGTGAGTTGGTGAACAAATGCCCTTCTATCAGTGTGATGGTATCTGCTTTTCGGTGTAGGAACAAGTTCCTGGTTAGGCTTACTTTACCCCTATTTACCTTGCTTGTGTTGGCACTTGGATAGCTTACATAATCATGTTGGTCTTTACCCTTACCTTCACCTGGTGTGATTTTGAATGCAGTTTCCCTTACTCTCTCTCCCTCTCTGAGCTCTGAGCCTGGTCCAGAAACCCTGGGTCTTACACTGTCAACACTCTGACATAGCAGCTAGGCAGACAGACCCAACACATCAGATTCACTCAATCTGAATTGTTGTACCCACATTGGGGTACAATGTTCTAGCTCTCCCTAATGCAAATTGAGTCGACGAATGGACGGTAGTTTGGAACTTACCGGTTCAGTACTGTATGAATCTGTTGTGCCAAGGAGATGGATGGAGGCCACGTAATCCCCCAGAACATGGAACTTATAGGTTTGAATATTAAACAACTTCTTTCTCCGCGGTTGCTTTGGTCCAGGTACATCGTGCGCCTGGTCTGGACTCGAATTCGTTTTCTCTTTCTCTTTCCCTTTGCCCTTGCCATTCTCAGCCCGTTTGGCCGCTTCCTTTGCCTGCCGGCGAGATCGCGCACCAACTTCACGATCGAGCTCCTGCATTTGGTATGAAGTGCACACTGTTTCCGTAAACAAACGAAACTGCTTGCCAAGATCAGTTGTTGTTTCGTCAAGTATCTTCAAGGTGAGGTCAGAGTGCATACGAAGTTTTGCCAGTCCGTGCCAGTGCGACATAGTAAAAAGGAGATTAATCACAACCTTGTTGTGAGTGCCAGGGAACAGGCCGTCGAAGACTGGGATAGAGCACTCAGACAAAATTAGTCTGCGAAGGCATATAAGAATCATTCTGAGCGCATACTTGTAGTAGATCCTCAAAATTTCGGGCAGCCATGTTCGGAAGTATTCGAAGAAAACCGCCTGATGGTTGCTGGTCCAAATGGGGGGACCTGCCTATACCTGTTAAAGTTGAAAATTAACCTGCTAAGTCATTGTAAGATGAATGTATAGCACACCTCCTGTCAACCTCGTGAATCAGATCCTTGTTCAAGGTGGTAAGAATTCTCAGTAGATGGACTAGAAGCATCTGCCACACTCCAAGCTCAACTTCGTGTAGAAGATCGACAACCAACGCAACAAAGATATTGAATCCAAATGGACCCAGAGAGTCCGAAAACACGTTCTGATCAAAGGTTAGCAAAGGTAGGACGATAAACTGATGACATTCTTACAGTGTTCGGCACCCACAAATTAGACTTCAGGAGTGACTCAACTGCGGTGCTGTCTACACCTAAATTGTTCTTGTAGATGAGGTCTCATGCGGTGGCAACCAGCTCACTCCTCGAGGTATCGGAACACACAAGAGTCCCACGCTGTTGCCTATTGCAACTTGTACCCAGACCGTGAAGCCTGTTCATCGGTATGAGACATCGCAAGCATGGGCAACCTCCTAACTGCTGGATAGTGGCAACGAGGACCGTAGCTTAGATGAGATTTCAAGTCCTTTGGACGAGTGTCCACGACTCACTTTTCGGGATAGTCAGCAGAATAAGTAAAAACTCGCGGGTAAAATCTGCATGCGATGCCATCGCAACAGATAATCACGATCCCATGTTTATAGGCCTCTAAAAACTCGGGATTGAGCAAGACTCTCCATTGAGCTTGAAACAATTCGCGGTGACAATGTGTCGTGCATTCGCGGCCAATTCCCTTGCCTTCGGTGTAAGTCCCCGTGAAATCTTTAAATGAGTCCGGAAGCTGCGAAGGCTATGAGTTTCAATGCAGTACAGAAAACTAATGGAATGACCATCGTACCTTTTGAAAGTAGGCTACGTGATTGGCCAAATGACAGGATGGTCTACAATGGTGGTACTTCAACTCGTTTCCGAAGTACATATAGACCGGCCACAATTTTGCAATAAGAATGTCGTTAGCTGTGTGGCATCGGACCAGAACATGAGTGCAGTTACCACGCGGGGTAGATCACATCCTGCCTCTCCCGGAGATGCCTGAAGTTTGCGATGTGCATCCATGAAGGCTGGCAAAGTGTACAATTCGCCCTGAATGTTCACTTCGTGCGGTAGATGGGGGGGGGCACCATCGCAGCTCATATGGTTCGTAATGAAAATGTTCATCGTCATGAACATTCGCGAGCTTCTCCCGAATAACCGACACGAGAGGCCGATGGTAGAGGTCCGCTGCAACATAAGGTTGAGCGTCCGGTGTAGAGAGTGATATCTCTACAGGCTCGTATCCCCTGATTTCTACATCAACCTCATCCCTATCCACAGGTAGGCGCGACTCTCCCGCGCTTTGCGCTGACCATGCGCTGACTCCCGCGCTCGCGCTAAGCGTGCGCTTTCCCGCGCTTTCATCGGCTTTCATGAGGTCCATCCATCCATTGTCTATTCGGTCCATAGGTGCATATTACATACATATATTGGTTTTCTGACAGTTGCTGTCACCTTACATACATCTGTGACATTCTTCGGCCGCGTTCTCGTGCTTCTGCGCTCTTCGGCCGCTTTAGGGTGCTTTTCGCTCACTTTTTGCTAGCTATCCTCTATATATACTGGGCTTTCTGACAGAAGGTTCCAGAGGGAGTTACCCATTAGAGATTTGTACTATGCCTTAGAGCGCACCTATCTATAGCTAGGAGTCATACTCTCCTTCCCTTATCAGTCCATACATCCACTTGATATCCATTCCTCGCTTCTTGCACAATCCAAGACCTCTCCCAGCATTTGCACTCTACAAGCGCCGCATTCCCGCGCTTCGCGCGCATACTGCGCATTTCCCGCACCCACCGCTTACCTTGCGCATTCCCGCGCTTCAAGCGCACTTAGTCGCCCGACTTCTGCCTGACTCAGCTTCCCCTAGAGGCCAAACATATCGCCCTCACATCAGAGCAGATTCCTCCAAGTCTGTTCATTGTACCCACACCGGTTGAGCTGTATTCCAAGAAAAAGGCACTTCAATTACTATTGGCATTTTGCGCCAACCCACATCCTCATCCTCCCATTCGTCTCCCCCCTCATCATCAATGCTTGCACCTAATTGCGAGTTTATTTTGTCCCAATGTGTGTGTTTGACATCGCCAGGGTCAAAGTCCGGACATCCAACAATATCAAGTAATTCCTTGAAGCTCTGGTGCGACTTCTGGACACTGCCATTCCAGTACCAATGTCTGAGCTTAAAAGACGAGTTGTTGGGATATGGGTAAAATGGGTTGTGAAGCTCGGTAAGGCTATCCAGATCTGCTGGAGCAACAGTGGGGATAGAGCTGATATCTAAAAGTGTTGCAGCCTCTTCTGGGTCATGAGATGGGGGTGTTGAAGAGAAGAACTGGTGTACGAGCCCAAAAACATTCCTGGCCGTGCAGAAAGGAGTAGATTGCAATAATGGAGAAGTTGTGGTAGGCACGTCAGTAAGATTTGAGGGCTGGATAAACTCCCGTAGTTGGGCAGCTGAGCTTGGAACGCTCGGGGGAGGTTGCGGGAGTACGTCCTCATATTGTCTATAGCGTAGTGGCATCCGAACGCCAACACATTGGGTTCTGCGCTGTGCCAGCGAGGAATCCTCGTCTATCTCCGCAGGCGCTGGGCCAAGATTGAGAGTGGATGTTGGAATGGGCTGCAATGAAGAGCCTGCACATGGTACCTCCAGTGTGGGATGCACTACCGACAGAGCTGAGTAAACGTTGGAAGAGTCTGCACTCAGTGTCTCGTTGACCTGGTTGGAAGGCGGGGATGAGGGTTGCGGACGGCGCAGCTGCGTACTCGAAGATTTTGTACTGACGCATGTGTCCTGTCTACTACCATTGGCATCCAGTCGGGGCCGCTTTGCGGAGCCTAGGAGGTCTTTTGCCTTTGATAAAGCAGAAAATATGTGTTTTTGCCTTTTGAACATGATTGCTGATGCGTGGTGTAGGCACTCTCCTGAGTGAACTCCCGCGTACAAGTACATTTGAAAAACCTTGTTGATGAACCAGCGAGATGCATTCAGAGCTGTTGAGATGATAGCACGCACTGCCAGTGACACAACCAAAATTGTCAAATGAAGACACCATGTGATACAACTGAACCAACCAGCGAACAAGATATCAATACGATTTGGGGGAGTTCGCAATCCTGCAGGATGCTCGCGATACTCCACGAGGACAGCTTTTGACAACACAACAATAATTTGTATTTGAATAAGGTGAAGGAGGAAGAGCCCGTCAACTCGGCTGTTTGGCTTGGGGGGAGTATAATAACAAAAACCCAAAAAAACTCCAATACAAATAAAATAAAATAAAAAGGGGGAGGGGGGAGCAACGGAGACGATAGGCCAATGATATTACGCTGCAGGTTTATCACCATGCGTCGTCGTTGGGGCCCGCAAAGGCAATGGGCAGGACGGCACGGGGAGACTGGAAGAACTTGGTAGGGTAGATAGGAGGACGAGGTAGGGCACCAGTGATGTTGATCTGTAGGGAGGTTATGAAATGAAACGAGGGTCGTCGAATGGGAAAAGCCGACAGAGGAGGGAGGTGCGTGAGGGCGGGGTCAGTGGAGTTCGGCCATTCGGCTTGGGGCAATCAGTGTGACTGATTGGCTGGAGTAAATTGAGAAGTTAGTAAAACATAAAAATTGAGCATTCCCAGGGTGCCCTTTGTGCCCAGGGACCTAAGAGGCACAAGGTAACGGCGGATGGTCACGGATCAATGCCTGAGCAATTGAAATTGTCCCACTAAGGGGAGCCGTGCATAGTGCGCGTATCGGCCTCTGGAATGGGAGCACCCAGTGGTACTAACTAAGGAGAGATAATAAGTTCAAAATTTTGGTTCCAATGATCATGTGTCTTACAGATCAACATACAAGCAACGCATCAACAATACTATCACGTGATTAATTGTGTTCAACTTCAGTGCAACGACACACATTGCCTACCCTCCTCTGCCTAAAGTTTGAATTTTCCATGATACAATTGTTAACTACAAGCCTGACGGGCATTCCTGCAACGCAGAGAGTCAGATAGCTTATTGGGCATTCCATTCAAGTGTTCTTTGAGAGTGGTGAGCACCATTCGTTCATCGTCCATCTCAACTCAAGATCCGATAGATAAACAACACACTTCGGGTCTTCACCAGATTATGTGGCATCTTCCAATTTTGATTACTTTTCCTCTGTCGGCATCCCATATCCCCAAGTACCACACCTTTCTTTCCCTGCTATCTTCAATCTATTTTCGTCCCAAGTCAACGCCACGGCGCATGCTGCACTTCTGCGTCCTCCCAGCCCTGTTTCCTCTGTTTCCCGCTTTCCAGAATTTATACTCGCAGTGAGTCGTCACTTTCACAAGTGATGATCCCCTATCCGCCCGGAAGGTACATAATGTCTCACACAATCGGTGTATGCTTCAAATTGCTAGCTGGGCGTCATCGCTGACATCTATTCTGTCGCATCGGCAGGCAGAGACATAGTCGTTACTTAAGGTGTGCAACTAAGAACATATCAACACTCTCAACCTTTTTTCCAAATTTAGGTCATCACTCATGAAGACAAACTTTCACCACGACTTTGTGGGTGGATAATATCGCGAGATGCTGGATCAAATTCCAATTACAGCTAACAGGTTTGTGCCAAAAACCAGTGCATAATGGCATCTGGCTCTCGCAAGCCGAGACCACCACCCCCGGCTCCCACATTAGTAGAGGAGGGTCTTGCCGGACACAAATGTGCTAGTCCCTCTGTTTTTCTCTGCAAACAACTGTGCAGTTCTTTTCTGCATACTTGGTTCGCCCATATTCCTGAACCACATCCTAGCTAGGAGCCACATAATAGACATCGACTTGAAATTGTACCCCCAAATTCTCATTTGTTTGTCCTGCGAGAGGCACTCGGCGCGGATGCGCTTTATGCCGATAATGATTCAGTTATGTTGTTCGTTTCCCCTTCAATTCCTGACGTGAGAAAAGAAGTTTTCTCCAAAGTCTGACTACACAACTAACGAAGCTAAAAGTTTTGAAGTAAAGCTAGCTCGCTGCTACAGTGTAAACTATTCACGCTTGACTCCCACCAATGTTTGGACTGTGTCGAAGACATTTAATTTACCGATGTGGTACGCCTTTAAATCCCCCCCCACCTTGTTCTCTTCAGTCTTCTCGGCATTGCTCTCCTGAGCATCTATTCTCAAAGGTAATTGAGTTCTACACCCGCTTTGCAGATGGCAAAGGCAGGTATTGAGTGATGGACACCACTCAGAGGAAGGAGGCGATGGTTGTATTGGACGGAGTTTGGATCAGGTGCGGTGCTTTGTCCATTCCATGACAAGCCACGAACACTACATCAGATGGTACGTCTCCAACCAGCGGTCTCGCGTATGGTTTAATATGATTTATGTCCCAGTTGAGTGTATTCTACATCTCTCGCTACTGATTGCAGATTTTTAAAAATGACTTGTCAGCACATTGTCATGATCCAATTGTTAAAGGGAGCAGCTTCACGGACCACACTGTATGTATTTGAGATCTTGGACTTGATCGGCAGCATGATGACTAACAGTTCTAGGTCTTGACATCGCCAGTGTTGTTTGTCGTTCGTGCTATTCAAATTATATTTATTCCGCGCCATTCTAGCATAGTGAGAGGATCACACATCTTTCCTACTGCGCATTTCCGCCTTCCTGTCCCGCCTGCTCAGCGATAACAGCTAAAAATGTGCCAATACTACCTGTCACAGTACACTCAGGAAGACCACAGCCGAGCAAAAAAGTGGAGAAACAGTCATACCCTGCAATGTTTCTACCGCCTGTTGTGGTGTAGCATCTGACTATGGGATAGTTCAGGTGGGAGGTGAGGGAAGGATAGTAGCAGTTCAGTGTGCAGTTGTAGGAGCTGAAGCAAAAAGACAGGACACCAAATCTTTCTTTCTGCATATTTCTAATTAAATTCAAGTCACAAGTCTCCTTGCCAGATGGTTTGTGCACGACCGGATCGGTACACAAATGCCAACACAATCAGCTGCATTGATATTCATGGCTCACCCAGTGGCGGGAGCAGGGGGCACAGGTTTACGAGGTTGCACAATGTTGTCAGGCGAGCGTTTTGAATACCGAGTTCCCAGATAAGACAACCCAAGGACCCAGTCCCTTCATTCTGATCCAGGATTGGTAGCTCAAGGCAATAAAATCCGATGGGATTTGATGGCCAGTGAAGTCATTTTGATGCCCTGCCGTCAAACAGCATCAAACAACCACTTAACAGTACAAATCACATTTGATTGAGAATATTGAGATCGTCGGTTCAACTCACCTGTACATAATTACTACAATGTTCCATGATGTCGCCCTCCTGTCTTCCACCATTCAATTCCTCAGCCATTCGTATTGGCATGTCTGAACTCTCAAACATACTCACTGGTCCTCAATGGCTAGATTTCTACATAAGACTCATTCCAATGGAGGCGGCCAGTCCATCTTTTTGAAATATTAATTTGCACATCCTGAAGGATTTTAATGCAGGTCCGGACTGAATTGTATCTACTTTACTTCTTGCTCAAAGGTCGAGTCTACCTCGGTGACATTTGGCAAATAGTTGGGGAGCGGTTGTTGGAGGCGCAGAGGGAGGAGTCGTTGCGAAGTACTATTGGGGATAGTACGATGCGTGGGCTTGTAGAACGAGCTTTCATGGAAGAGAAGAGGGACAGATGTCAGCTGGAAGTGTCTCTGTGCAGCCAGGCTATCGACTGCGTGCAGCAGCAATGGATCATGCGTGAGATTCTTTTACTTTAGCATGTGAATGAGTGATCTGATATCTTACTACCTAGCAATGCGTGGTGTTGCAGTCCCAATTGTACGCAATGACAACTCTTTCTCAACAGCCTCAATATGTGTTGCTAGACCTGCTGTGCCCTATTCAGCGGCTGCAGTAGCCTATTTGACCACTGTGAAAAAGAAGTGCAAAGGTTGGCTCAGAAGACAACATGCCGACCTTACCCCAGCTAAAAGGCTTCCATCATTCAAATATCACTCGCACCCAAACGGCTCTACTTCTGTTCGCCAGTTTACCTTTGCGCATCACTTAGAATGTCGAACATCAGTCATCATGAATGTCAGTACTATCATCAATCTGCTCTGCTTGGCTGTGCTTACTGTCTCACTGAAGTCCATTGATCCTTCGTTCTGCCTGTTGAGCACATGGGTCCCCCCTGGCGTCCAAGATGCCTTGAATGAGGCATGCAAAACAGAGTTATCCTCTCAGGCCGGACTGATGGCGACATACCTTGATATTGATGGCTACAATTCTCACCAGCGCAATACTGATTTGGAGCTGCTCTACTTACGGGCGAAGATGTGTCGAGCAAAAGCTGAGGTGGAGGTATATGAACTAGCTATTGAAAATGTGCCTGCATCCAACTCCCCTGACAGTGGTAGGTGTGAATTGCTTGTGTTCTCTTCAGATGTTGATACCCTTGCAGCTTCATCATCATCACGTCCAAATCTCCCACCACTTCTACCCGAGGACGTTTGTTGCTACAAGGAGTACATCAACGCTGAATCAGTGGACGATAGCTCCTCTGAGCAATCATGGTAATGGCCCTTGCATTTGTCTCAGTCATGATTTAGGTGCTGGGCTGGGCACACGTATCTTTATATGCTTGTGTGTACCACCAACCTTGTAAAACTATGTGTAGATTCTTTTTAACTTAACATCCCACGGCAGCGGATCTGACATGCGGTTGGATTCATGCATTAGGCCCAATCAGCGACACCATCACACTCACTCAAATTTATCAACACCAATGGTATAGTCTTTATTGTAAGTGAACCTGGCGTATCAGATGAAGTCAGTCCTTAGTGCTCTCGTCTCCGCCGTGACCAACGTCGCTTCAAAGCTCTTCATTTGTGATTCCGTCCAAATCTCATCAATCCTCACTTGATGTCAGACATTGCGTCATGTTCAAGTCCACTTCTCGCTCGCTTACCCATGTCTGTAGCGCACCTCATAATTTTTGCCTCACTCCCCCAGCATTCCGGCACCGCTGTCTGCAGTCTGTCTCTCAAATCCGACTGATACGTTGCTTGTGATGCTTGCCATCTGTTTCATGCAGCAGTCATTATTTGCGACCTCACTTTCGTCCGGTAGAGATTCTTGTACTACAAATGCCCTAGATATGCGGGAGTCTAGTACAACCTCTGCAATCATAGTGTTTATAATCTGAGCTTCGGCCAACTTGGCAAGCCAGAGCACTGAGTGCGATGTATTCGACAAATACTCTGTATATTCACTTGTAACTTGTTCAGCGGATGACCGCAAACTGGTCGAGGATTGCTGATATTTGCCAATGCATTGCTCTAGACAAGCAAAACTGTGAGGAACAACCAATTGATATGAGTATTGCGGTGATTTTGTAACTTGTGATTGCTGATTGGTAGTCAATACAAACATCTATCGCAAAGTTAGCTTAGACGGCAGGTAACAATAACTGCTCGTGCTCGGCAATATATTACCCTAGACAGATCACAGCTATGACAGATGATCATTTGGTATCAACATGATATGTACTTTGTAGCTCATGATTGCCGCCTGGTTGGCATTGCAAATGGCCATCATGAAGTTTATCTCGGGCAATGGATGACCACTGTTCTGGAGAGCTGTTGGACTTGCTGCGACAGTGTATCTATTATATGTCTCAGTTGCGAGGCATGTATATCTTCATCAGGATTATTTTTCTCTTACACCCTCTTATCCTTCAACACCATTATGCTACAATTATTTATTTATTTGTCATTATATATAATTCAGTGGACATGTGATCTGAATTTGCCATTTATATCCAACGAAGATACTCGGAGCAAGACGTGTCGTATCGAGAAGTTACATAACGTCGAGTTCAAAAGTCACTCAGATCAGCATGTTCCTGTGCATCACGTACTTGTTGGATGTTTCCGGTACACGGAGAGCGATAGGGTGGATTTTCTGGCCAATTCGGGTGGTCGCGCACGCTGATGCTGGTAGGTTGATTCTACCTATTGCTAGCGAAACACATGCTACAAGATGCTGACCCCTCCCCAAGTAACTCTAGGTTGACTGTAGGATGTCAGAAGTTAGACTGGCAGGAGAAATATCACGGTAAACCACTTCTCACTGTGTTTACCCATCTCTGGTCAGTCTCTCTGCAGCAACATTTATTCCTCTCTGGCAGACTCGAGGGGTTACATCATCAGATCAACAACTCATCTGCATGTTTTCGAAGTCAAGTTAGAAGCCCAGAACGACGCCACGACAAACAATTGAGGCTGATACAGTCGCGCGGGCACAGCATGAGTTTGTTCCATGAACGTGCCCTAGTCGTACATCGGCTTCGCAGCAGTTTTCCTGGAGAGCGGGTCTCGGGTGACGACATTTACATGAAAGTTCTCGCACTGGTCTTGACCTTTGGAATGATGGCAATGGAGACTTTATTTTTGGACCTCGGCGCTTGGCATCGGAATCATTCAAAGGTAAGTGAGCTTGAACAAACATGCTAAGCAAAAGTTGTCCATGCCGAAATGCTCACATGTCTGCAAGGACGTGAGAAAGCCTTGGATGAGCATGTGTTTGAGAATGGTTGAGACTGTGGAAACGGAGTCACCGTGTAGTCTCTATACAATGTCAATCGCGCATCCGCTGGCGTCCAAAGCGAAACTGCATTGAGAATGATTCAATGCTACAGCATATTAAACATTTGAAACGGGACATCCGAATACGCTGTTCACAGGCAAACAGCAACGCTGGTGGGTGGAAAATAGAAACGAGATTGACGCTCTAGCACAGGAACCTCGGTCATGGCTGTGAGAGGCTGGGAATCGAAAGCAAGGATATTTGAGAAATAGCGGATCTTGCAAGGGCGACATCTGTGCTCACGGTGTAAAATCCCTCCCTCTCTATCATTGCTAGCCTCTTGGTAATATTCAAAATGACCAACATCAGGCCCACAGCACACGAGGAGATCTCATCACAAGTTCTTCGAACACATCCAAAGAACACCTTGCCCCCACTGAACAGTTTCACTCCCGGAGACGCAGGCATGGCTTCCACATCAACAAAGGCAGTCGTCACGAAATCGATTCTGAACCCAACAATGACTTTGAAGGGTCACGTAGAGAAAGTTCGATCCATATCCTATTTGCCGGACGGCCAGCGAATGATCAGTGTATCTGTGGACAAGACCGCTCGGCGATGGGATCTGAAGGCGGGTAAGGAGATTGAGGAAGAGCGGGGAATTTGCGAGGAGGATGTAGCGGCAATGGCGGTATCAAGTGATGGTCGATGGGTTGTCACTGGTGGTGGAGGTATCACTCGTGGGGAGCTGAAAGCCTGTGAGGTTGAGACGGGGATTGTGAAAACATTGGAAGGTCACTCAGTTGGAATCAGATGCATTGATATATCCGCAGACAGCAAGCTGCTGGCGAGTGGGTCAGAAGATTCAACAGCGCGGATATGGAACTTGGAGACTGGCAAACTTGTAGCCGGTCCATTCAAGAGCATTTATCGGGTGGGCGCAGTTCGATTCTCAGCGGATTCGAAGAAGCTCGCAGTCAAGTCATATTTTGGGCAGTGCCTTGAGGTCTGGAATGTCCAAACATGCAGGAATTGGATGTGAGCATAAGGGAATTGGGCGAACCACCATTAATCTCAACTCCGCCAATTTTCTGGACAAACAACAAAAACATCTTAGCCGTTGTCGGAAATCTCCAGGGGTGCCTTGCAAGTGATCCATATTGGGACATTATTTAGGTGCCTGACAACTGTATTGCATCCGTATTCCCAGGGGGTGTGAAGTATTTTAAGGTCCTTGCAAGTAATCACCTCGTCAGTGTCGTCACTTACAAGGACTATAGTATATTTTTGGCACTTCCAAGTTGCTTCCAAGCGGGCACACATCAATGATTCAAACTGAGTTCGGAAGTTGCCGGTAAGGATTTGGATCTGCATATGATAACGTTTGACGAGTCAAATCTGACTTGTTATCGTCGCCTCTCTACTCAGTATTGCCTCCTCCCACGTCTTCGGGCCTTTCTGTCTCATATTCTCCCTGTAATATTCCTGTATGGCGCCGAACAGAAGCGCAATTGAAGGACGCAAGTATGTATTACCCTCAACGTCTGAATCCAATAACCAGATTCACTGTCAATACTGCAACAAGCCGTACTCGCCCCGTGGCATACGGTCTCACGAACAAAGCTGTTTGAGGAGACGAGAGAAGAAGAAGGATGACGATGACTTTGCAGCGCTCGCAGCGCAGGCGGTGGAGGAGCAAATCAGAAAGAAAGGTATGTCGTGAATTATCCTCATATTGACGAGCAGACTAATATCACACAATCATCAGACGCACGTCGAAAGAGAAAGCGCCTTCTCAAGGGACAAACTAATGCAAGTTCACATGTCGTGTCAGACCCACTCCAGGATCACACAGAGAATGTGCCCGATGACTTTATCGCAGGCCCGTCATTTGAAACGGGATCAGATATGGTTGATGCAATGAGTGTTGGTGGGGACTCACGACAGCGTATGTATTTTGACTATTCATGATGCGCTTATACTCATTCAATGTTTTCGCAATTCAGGTGCAGATTCAGATTCCAGCATGGCATCTCACGGTCCCACACCACCTACTCTGTCCTCGCTTGCAGCGGTACCTTCAGTTCACTCTGATCTTGATACATTCAAGACAGAGTATCATCCACATTCTGGCCGCGCAACCTCTATAGAGACTTTCTCTGCATTTGGACGCAAGCAAGACCAACAGCCGCCCATTGTCGACGAAGAACCCTGGCAGCCATTCAGCTGTCGTGCAGACTTCGAGTTTGCCGAACTCGCACACAACGCCGCCCTTAACAAGGACCACACGGATGAGCTGTTGCGGCTCATCTGGAGAATCGCTGACGGTCAAGCAAAACTCACGTTCAAGTCCCACCGTGATGTTTCTTCCGCCTGGGACAGGGCGGCTGGTCAGATGACACCTGTAAGAGGAGAACATCACGTCTCCCTTTTGTAGCTACCATTATTTTTACAGTTCAAAAAACATACTATCACTGTCCGGCATAAACGGGAGGACCTCCCATTTGATGTATATACACGCCCATTGTGGGACTGGGCCTTGGACTTATTACACGACCCATTACTGGCGCCGCACTTCGTTTGGGATGCACAGCGGTTATACAAACACGACGGGACACATTTCGAGCGTTTCTTTCATGAACCTTGGACTGCGGATCGTTGGTGGAACGTCCAAGTATGACTTATTTTTTTGTACTGTTGTTCAATACCCTTACTTTCATGTTGTATTATAGTCGTCTTTACCTGAAAATGGAGTCCCATTTGCATTCATGCTGTACGCAGATAAGACACACCTTTCCTCCGCGGGCACGGTCAAAGCTTACCCGGTCTTCGCTCGATGTGGGAACTTACCCGTTCACATCCGAAATACTGACGGGCTTGGTGGCGGGCGGATGGTTGGTTGGCTGCCGATAGTACGTACCTATTAAATCTAACTGAAAGTCTTGTTGCTTCTGTGACGCTTTTGCATAGGTTCCTGAAGATTCTGAACAAGATGGCAAACTGACATATGTGAACCTCAAACGAATTGTATGGCACGAGGGGTTTCTCAAGCTACTCGAGACCATAATACTCTACGCCCAGACAGGGTATGCGTATCTCTGTTATGATGGTATCGTTAGGTGGTTGTATGCGTTCATTTTACTCTTATCCGCTGACTACGAAGAACAGTACGTTATCTACTAATTCTCTCGACGATTTTCTGATCGGTCAATACTAGATGTGTCATGGCGCTGATACGGGGGACGAATTGTCATTGCCCCTGTCCTATATGCCTTGTCCCATCGGATAAGCTCTATGACAATGCCTCTACCTACCCAATCCGATCGCCCGAAGATGCACAAGCTTGCGTAGAACTGTGGAATAGGGACAAAAAGGCTGGAGAAGAGGCATTAAAAAAACGGGGCCTGCGGCCAGTTATGGTTAGTGCTCATTATATCCTATAAGCGTTGATTGAATCTGACTTTTTTCCTTATAGAATGTCTTCTGGCGGATCCCAAATTCCAACCCTCACGAAATGATTTCGCAGGACCACCTCCACGTGTATCATATAGGGGAATGGGGGAAACATCTATTTGGCGAGCTCAAACGACATGCAGCAGCTCTGGGACGCAGCGCGGAGAAGAAGATTGACGACCAGTGAGTTGATTTATCTAATACGCTCGCTATCTGAATCAGACTAATTAAACCCTCTTTAATTGCCCACAGGTTTGCTGCCTTCACACGCTGGCGCAATTTGAATCATTTCGATCGAGTTACTAACATTACCTACAGTGACGGTAACAAACTTCGGGACATTTCCAAGGTATGTCAATGGCACGTTGATTGAACAGTTCAAACTACTCATATTTAATTCGAATAGCAAATCTTATATACTGCCCATAATGTACTGACGCGCACAGATGACGAAGCTGGCTATGCGCTTCTACGGTGCATAGCCAGCTACCTCCATATCGACATGTATGTGTCACTCGATGTGCACACAACAAGCACAATCGAAGCAGGAAAAGCTGAGGTTCTGAAGTTTCAGACGCATTTAGAGGTATGTTATGTTGATTCTGCTTCACGTCAATGTAGTATACTGACAATAGTATTTATTCAAACATGATATAGGAGTACATGGCAATTATCGATGAGACTGATCCAGATGTCACGAAGAACTGGAACTTTCCCAAGATGCACGCCTCAAAGCACATCTTCGATGACATCATCGCGAAAGGTGCCGCCCGCAACTTCAGTACTCGACCGAACGAGAAGCAGCACGGACCGATCAAGCGTTGGTATCTACGGCAGACCAATCGTAAGGATATTGCTAGTCAGGTATGTCATCGCCAACTCTGGTTCTGCTTCTCGTCATTAACTTCAACTTCGCATATATCATAGATACTTGAACTCGATCATAAGAGCTTCGTTGCGGAATTCATTCGCAGCCGTATTGTGTTTCTTGACGAGGAACGACATAAACTCACACTCTCACGGGAAGAACTCGAAGAAGAGGACGACGACGACGAGCCATTTGAAGCTCACCTGCATATTGGTTCACCCCTTAGGAATCTTACCAGCCTAGCGCAAGTGGAGGAAGACAACAGGTCAAATCGCGCCTTTGACCAGTTCAGGAAGAAGCTTGCGACATTTCTGAATCACTTCCTGCCCTCCCACCACATACCATTACCGGACGGAATAAGGTGGTTGAAACTTTCACCGCAAGACCAGGTGAGTTTCCTTCACTCTGAAGTGTTTATTGAATTTCTGACACTTTTAAAAAAAGGTTCACGAACATCGCTACCTCAAAGTCCACTACGAATCTACTACTACCTGGAAGTTGGCCACTGACTATCTGCGATGCAGTCCAAGTTTTCATGGCCACGAGCGTCGCGACTGCGCTCTAATCCGCACCCAGGACAAGGACGGCAACGATAGAAATATCTTTGTAAAGTTATTGTTCGTGTTCAAGCATACTGTCGGCGAGCGCACCTTGGATCTCGCTTTGGTTCTTCCCATGGATGCTTCACCACGTCGGCGCCTCCTAGATCGAGACCTGCGACTAACTCGTCTTTGTGCACGGCCCGCAGCTTCGTCTGAATTTATCACTCTTCATTCAATTATTCGCGGGGCTTTACTTGTCCCAGATTTCGACAACCATGGGGATTATTTTCTTGTCGACTACGTGGATACTGACATGTTTCTTCGTGTCCAAAGGAACCTTATTTAGCTTATCATTCCCTCCTCCAGCACGGGATGAAGACATTCTCATGTGCAGGTATTTTACCACCCTTGTCCTCCTCCACTTCCTGCAATTCACAGCCCAATCATACCAGCTTGTCCTTCTTCCTTTCGGAATGCCCTGAGAGTTCCTCATACTCGTCTGTCACTTTCGTTGCAGCTCAAGTCCTTCTCCAGCAATCGATCGCGCGTTTTCTCACCACCCGGGGATCTTCAGGTTACCATCTCTGCCGTCTGCTTCGTGCTTGCATCGAAGGTCATCTGCGACGACACTTACTCAAACAAATCCTGGAGGATTGGATACAGGCTACTTGCTTGTCCAGACCCCATACTCAAGTAAGCACCCTCGTTTCATTGCATATGCCCTGGTTGTGCGCCTGGCTCATAACACACCTATTTGCTTGTCCAGGGCACCCTCCATCCTCATACGACTCCCAAGTGAAGCTCCCGCATTTCATCGCATATGATACCCCTTCTCCGCACTTTCGCTGCTCCCGCATTTCATCGCATATGACACCCCTTCTCACTTTCATTGCTCCCACCACTCCCAAGTCAAGCTCCCGCATTTCATCGCATATGACACCCCTTCCCTGCACTCCGTCACTTTCACTGCTCCCACAACTCCCAAGTGAAGCTCCCGCATTTCATCGCATATACCCTTCCCCACACCAACCTGCACTCGCCCTCAAATTCCCAAGTGAAACTCCCGCATCTCATCGCATATGCCCTTCCCCGCACCGACCTGCGCTCACCCTCAAATTCCCAAGCGAAACTCCTGCATTTCATCGCATATGCCCTCCATCACCCTCTCCATCGCTGACAAGGCTCGCGAGTTTGGTGCTGGTCCTCTTTTTGACAAGATCCTTCCCTTGCTCATGGAGCATACTCTCGAGGATCAGGAGCACCACCTACTCGTGAAGGTCATTGACCGAGTCCTCTACAAGCTCGATGACCTCGTTCGTCCGTACGTTCACAAAATTCTCATTGTCATTGAGCCACTCCTCATTGATGAGGATTACTGCGCTCGTGTGGAGGGTCGCGAGATCATATCCAACCTTTCCAAAGCTGCCAGTCTTGCACACATGATTTCCACTATGCGTCCTGACATTGACCATGCTGACGAGTACGTCCGTAACACCACCGCTCGTGCATTCTCTGTCGTTGCTTCCGCACTCGGTATCCCCTTCCTCCTGCCGTTCCTCAAGGCCGTATGTCGCAGTAAGAAATCGTGGCAGGCACGTCATACTGGTATCCGCATCGTGCATTCACAAACACCCTCAGAACTTGACACTGACTCGTTTTGCAGGTCTGTTCTCGCTGCCTCATGTTGATGCTCGGGTACCTTCAGCACTGTCAATGATTCATTTCCGCTTTCTGCATGGGGACTGTAACACGCAATGCTTGTATTATGTATTCAGGTAAGCCGCAAAATATCATCACACAGGGTATCATTGGCATAACTGATATTATGTATCTGAATCAGTCCTGCAACATGTCAATGACGCACCGCACTATGACGTGCATGCCTGATGTGATGAGTCTCCATTTAATTTGTGCGTGTGATGCTGATGCTGATGCTGTTGCCTTATTACATCAACAGACGGGTCTTATTCTGACACGATCTAGACGACGCTGCGGTCTGAATCAAACGAGTCTAAGGTGTGTGTTTTTATCTAATAGAACAATGTCACGCATTACAGTCAACGTTGCGATGGCCCCCATAACGCATGTCAATGCGAGAGTTGATTTAAAGCTTGTGTGACTGACTGAGACTCCAGTCTGCCGCTCTTCGACTCTGCCTCACTGCCCTCTCCGCTAATACTGAGACTGATATTATGCGTCCAATTCAGCAAGGCGAAGACTTTACGCGAGAAATTGAAGACATCAACAGCAACTCCAGTGACACAGACGGATCTGACGGCGATGATTCAGATTCAACTGACGATGCAGACTTATTGCGGATTCGCGATGCAATTGTCGCCCCTGCTGCTAACGCATCAACTCAAGATCTTCGCAAAGTAAGTTAATTCTGTCTTTTCGTTACATACGGACAAATGTTTGTGATAGTGATCATTGACATATCTACTACTATAGGCACTTGAACTTGCGCAAAGACTTCTTCTGGACATGCGCGGGAAGTACCGAGAGGCTTTGAAGAAGAACGCTTTGCTTGAGGCAACAGTTTCAAAAGGTCGGAAGACGAAACTAACCAAGAATGACCTTGCCCTCGCCGCCAAGGAAGACAGCATCAGAAATCTTGGACGCAAGTTCTCTGTCACGCACTGCTTATGGGTCGAAACGTCTATCTTCCCTTTGCGTGGGCCACCTCCCAGAATCGACCTCTCGAGCAAGGAGCGGTGGCTCTCACCATTATCGATTCAGGATGGCGTTAAAGCCGAAATTTTCCAATTCATTCCCCCAGTCGACCACAATATGATGGCTCACAAAAACTTTGGCTCCCATGTATGTGCCATAATCTGAGACCCTCCTCAATCAACTGACCGTCTTTCCAGTTTGTGAAAGGTGTCAATAATGTTCGCGCTGAAATGCTCTCAGACATCAAGTCATGTGCAGCAGCGATTTTCAGTCTGGATGCCAAGTTCTTCATAAGAGGTTACGCACGGGACGCAGAGCCAGCTTGCCGAACTCTGCTCCTCAACCCCCAAGGCCTATATACAAAGTTTGCTCCAGTTCTTTTCCCGCGTCCAGACCGTCTCGCCAGAGATGATTTTCTGAAAACATCGAAGCTTGTTTATGTAGGTTCTTCCCTTCCTTTAATTCCGCTAAACTGAATCACATTCATAGATCTTGAAAGCATCCCTTTTTGGCCGATCTTCACTCGCTGCCAACGCAGTCCCCACTCCAAAAACGAAGGCCAAAATATGGGAGTTACGCGCTGTAACACCTGGCCTCATCGCAGCAGCAGCCGTTATTGTACGCTTCTTCTTCTTACACTGCGGAACATTGATATTTACGAGTTTCAGGCTATATTTGTCCTATCCGGCGACAAAGAGTTGGTTGAAGTCGGCGACAAATCCCGGGTTCCATACAAAGACTACCATAACTACTACCGACAATCGCTGCTAACCGGAGGTGCCTGGGCAAACGGGGTCTTCACGTTTTTCAACAACGCACTGTTTGCGACATCTCATTCTGCCTCAACTATCCTCGGTTCAGACCCCTCACACGACTCGAGCGGTCCACAGGACAGCTGGGAAGAAATGTTTGAGCATGCCATGGAAACCGGAGGCGAACTACCAGAACTAGATGCAGTTGCCCCTGTCATCGATTCAGAGGCGCCCACCACACCTCCTGCTGCACCTCCTGCTGCACCCCCCGCCGCACCTCCCGCAGCACCTCCTGCCGCACCTCCTGCCGCACCTCCTGCTGTACCCGGTCCCCAATCAATCTCTGCCGCCATGCAAGGTTTAGCTTTGGCTGAGGACAGCCGTCGAGACCCACCACCTGCAGCGCAGCCGGTACTTGATGAGGACGAGCTGGAACCACCTGCTGTCCAGAAGCCAAAGCCAAGGCCAAAGCCAAAGCGGAAGGGCAAGGCCGCCAATGATACTAATACTACTACCAGTGCTGACCCGGAGGATCAAGCTCCTGGAAAGGAACCTGAGGTTTTGTTGTCAGTAGTCAGTGGCAGTGGTGTGCGAAGGGGCCGATCAAGGATCACTAAGTAGACTGTCTTCATCCTGCGCTCGATGATTGTTATTATTACCTGTAATTCAATACCCTGGACAATCCCTTACTTTCAAATAGAATTGTCTGCTGGTTGAATTTTCACGCAATGCATCATCTTAAATCCATTGATTGTGACATTAGCTAGACATGCAACTACAATACAACCAAGTAGAGATTTTGAATCTGAATCAACAGAGCGACGTCGACTCGGACATCAACAAGAATTCAGCCATCTGTCAATGAATCGATCATTGTCTATGTTGACAGCCATTAATTAAATACGTAATGATTAATAATAATAATTAAACAGTACCAAACAACAACAGAACTTGGAATGTTTTGGAATCACTCTCATTCACTTACATTCCGACTACCATGTCTCAATGGATTCCCTTCGCCGCTGTCACTCCGCAATCTTCTCAACAGAATGGCGCATTGCCCCCAATGCCTTCGACATCACAACCTATTCCACCTGCGCAGCCGACGAATTTCCCTGAAGCAACATGTATCAGTGGAACCGCTGGCAGCCGCGAGCTCTGGTATGTCTGCCCCATTTTCCTCCGTCTGACCCATCTGAATCCAACCCCCCTGCAGGAATTCGGTATCGACATTATCGGTGAAGACAACAAGACCACCATCCACCACAAAGTCGCTGCCCACGTAGAGGCCATCCCAACATCCGCCTCTCTTCCTCCCAACATCCAGGCGAACTCCAGAAGAGCCGTGACACTGGCGCAGAACTGCACTCCCTGAGCTCTTCAATGAATGACATTCACGACACGCTCAGTGGCTCGGTGTAAGTGGTCTGTCCCCGCCACTCTCTTTATTCCTACATACTGACTATCCCCCTTCCCCATAGCCCCCAAACCTACCACACTTCCCCCAATTGCTCCCTCCCATGCATTCACAACAAGCCTCAACCACCTCTGCACCCACACCCGCATCTGCCGCGCCCGCAAACCCAGAACCCCTGCACCTCCTCCCATGCGTTCACAACAAGCCTCGACCACCTCTGCACACACACCCGCATCTGTCGCGCCCGCAAACCCAGAACCCCTGCACCTCCCCCAGAGCACCCTGGCCTTTCTCCTTCGAGCTCGAGTCTTGCTGACTCAAGTCGTTGCCCACTCTTCGCAGTATGTGAGTGTCTTGATCCTCCTTTGAGCTCGAGCTATGCTGATCCATGTCGTTGCCCACTCTTCGCAGGATGTGAGTGTCTTGATCCTCCTTCGAGCTGCGCTCAGAGCTACATGAGACCCAAACCAGCCTCGCAAGCCACATCGACAAGGTCCGCGCCCAGCTCCGTTTCGTTTCGTTTGACGGAACGGTTTGCTGATGCGGCTGATGTATTTAGGATTCTCATTTACAATACGCGGGTATATAACGTTGCAATACCTATTTACAGTAGCAATTGTATTATGTATTTGGATAGTATTGCAATTAAAACAAATTGATTTCAAGCACACGCAATGATTTTAAGGCCTTGGATAGTATTGCAATTAAAAAAAATTGATTTCAAGCACACGCAATGATTTTAAGGCCTTGGAAGGACATGTGACTGATATCTGACTTGCAATTTGCTCTTAAATTGGAATGGTCTTGGGACCGCCTTGGAAGCCCCCTGGTGTCGCTTTCAAGCGGCTTCCAAAATTTTCGGGTTGCCTTCCAAGCGAGTTGTAATGCCGCCGGCAAATTGAGGGCTTCCAATTCATTTTAAGGACCGCCAACCAAGAATAGAAATTTCCGACAGTGTTCAGCTTCAAATTCAACTATTCCAGGATAATCTACGAGTTCAACGCGTCGACGCTAAAGACTGTCGGAACTCCATTCGAGGGGCACACCCAACTTATCACCGGTCTAGCACTTTCATTTGACAGCACTCTCCTCGCCAGCTCTTCATTGGACCACACCATCAAACTCTGGGCCTTCGAGTCCCGCCAACTCCTCGCTTCCTTTGATGTTCGAAATCCTGATACCCTTGTCCTCTCACCCGACTCGTGCCAATTTGCTTACACGACATTCACTGACTATGATTCCAATATCTACATTGGCAACACTCCACCCGAAGTCCTTGCTCAGGCCCGTGTACGCATTCCCCGCGATCATCTACTGTCTGTATGCTGATATTCCCTTACAGACAAGTGCACGAACCCTCAATGATCTGCTAAATGTGCGCATCTAATTTTTTACTCATTAAACCACTCATCTATTGCTATTGTTGCAGTCTCATGCAACTCGTCATCGCCCTGCCGTGCGCCGCAGACCACCAATACCTGTCATACCTATGACGCAGAGACCTCCACCTACAATCGACCTGCAGCAACCCATTTTCCTTCGCCTCCGTAAACTTCTTCCCTTCTCTTCTCGCGCAAATGCAATTCCTTCCGTTCGGAATAATTCCCAGTCTCGCGGTCCTCTAGATGTATGTCTTTGTTTCTTGCTCCGTTTGCTGTTGACTCAACACTCGTACTGTAGTTCCCTGCTACGTTACCCTTACCGTCCAATCGCCTTCATGCAGAAAGCCCTCCATCAACTCCCTTCAAGTTACCCGGTGGCAGGACCTTTTTCAATCCCATTCAGTCCTCGTCTGACAAGGGTAAGCAAAAGGCGCGCGAACGGAAACGGAAACCGGCAAAAGTCGTCGACGTTCCTCTCGGACAAGCTACCTATGTTTGTTTTCTGCTATTCTGTCGAGTTCGTGAGATCTGACCGCGTCATTTGCTAGGGCGACGCTGTTGGTGTGGATGACGGAAATCGGCCGTTTGTTCTCTTATTTTGCCTAAGCTGGTTCCAGAAAAAGGAGAAGAAGCAGGTTCCACGGCCAGTATATGATGACGATCCTGAGGACGACGAAGAGGAGGAACAGGAAGACATTCTCAATCGAGTCGCTGTGTCTCCTCCCAGGTATAATCCGTATATTCGCTCATCAAATTATTTCGCTGATGCCAGTCTTTTAGGGTCCAGCACGAAGAAATTGAAACGAAAGTAATGGCTAGTCAGTCACAGCCAGAGGCAGGACCATCTCGCCTTACAGTAATTGATGAACACATAGAGGGGCAGTCTTCGTAAATCCGTCGAGCATTCCACCTGTTGAGTCTCGTGTTGTACCTGTAGCTTTATGATACCGTGTTACTTGCCTGTGTAGAACGATTGTTCAGAACAGCATGTAAACTTACAGTCTGGAGTGCCTTGAAGGCTGCAGGCCCAAAACTTACTTTCGGGCGTGATGCTTCTGACGAACTTGTCTACAGGAACCGACTACCTTCGTGTTTGGGACATGCGTGGGTATTGGTATCGTCGGGATAAGTAGGCTGCTTTCCCATCTGGAGGTTTTCCGGAGGGTGGCCTGGGTAAGGGAGATTCCGCGTCCTTGGGGGATGAACTTCTCCAAATTCGGATCATGTTGATGACGTCGTCTGGACGAGCAGAACACCACCAAAGTTTCCGATGCATTCGGGTCAATTAATATTGACATCACATCCTGACCCGAAACTTCATCACATTCAACATGAGATTCCAGCCTGATCATCTTACACATATCTTGCTCTCTACAATTCCTGGCCATCAAACCTCAGTCAGGGGATCTTCTCCTGACTGACATTTTCTTGAGAGTAAATTTCCCGTATGCCAGACTCAGAGCCCCACGCGATACTATGCGTGTCGGAGTTTGGAAATCATCAAGGATGCCATATCTAAGCAGGACTCCGAGTCGATGCAGGGCAGATGCAGCCTGTTGAGTACTTGGGTATCTCTCACTTATCTGGGCTTCTTGTTAATGAAGCAAAATTCTATGCTGATATTGGCGCACGTGCAGAAATCTCGACGCAGTGTTCCCGGCCTTGGGCATGGGTGTGTCGTACATTTTCTCACTCTTGCAATTCTCCACGAAATCTACACGAGTATTATCTTTGGCCATGGGTATTAGGTTCGTGACCAGCCCGACGGATTTCTTGGATTTCACAGACATATGTCAGCATTGGTCCCTTCTGAACGGAATGGCACCGGCGTGCATGAGTGGCTCGGAGGAAATGCAGATCATCGAGACTACACGTACATCATCTTTCGGGGCTAGCCTTGGACTGTGACATCTTGCGCATGTATCATTCATACCTCATGATGATACAAGTCAGTCTGGCTGTCATACATTTTCAATTGCTTGCGATGCCGGAGACACCGACCTGGAGGCGAAGTAGAGGTCTGCCATTGTGGTGATCTACTTCACCTCTCTAGTTCGCATGGAGACCTACTAATTGAGCTCACACAGATCTAGAGCTGACATTAGTGGACAGTTAATATGTGAGTCTGTGTCCGTATTCTCCAAATGTCTATGTCGAGTCTAAAATTATAACAGTAGGAATCTGACACCATGATGTCTCTTTCTCAGCTGCAATACTGATTTTATCTTTCTCACCTCTTCAGTCTTGTTCCAAATCTCATTCCACCGACACCAGGTACAGAGCGAGATAAGCGGCTCTTCGTGAAGTTATAAGGTACGTTTCATGCGTAGGATATCTACCCACGCATTGTTCTAACCATGTTTCCTTCAGTTGATGGTCGCCTTACTATCTTCGCTGTCTTACCCGTGTCCCTTGTTGTCATCACAGCACTCAGACGGTTTATCGAGAACAAACAAAACAAACCTTCCCTCCCTCCTGGACCGGTGCCGCTCCCACTGTTAGGAAACGTTTTGTCTCTTAACGCCAAGGAGCCTTGGTTGACTTATACGGAATGGCGCGCTGCTTATGGTATGTGAACAGATTGTATGGTGCATATATGGTGCAAATCATTCTATCAGGAGATGTGGTCTTCGTGCGACTTCTCGGCCAGGAAGTCGTAGTGATCAATTCTCAGCGTGTTGCAGAAGCCTTACTGGATAAGCGTTCTCGAATCTACTCTGATCGACCAACTATAGCAACAGTTGAACCGTGCGTTTTCCTATCATTCAATTCAATCATTCTGATGTGCAGCCAGATTTGGTTGGTCGGTCGCCTTTGTATTCGCACCTTATGGCGACGAATGGCGTCTTTGCCGACGACTCTTCCACCAAACCTTTCGTCCTGACTCTGCACTCAAGTTTCGCCCGATGCAGATGAGACGGGCTCGTGAGATGATCGTCAACCTAATTGATGACTCTCAACATTATCATACTCACTTCGCAACGTCAGCCAATGCGTTCGTCAATACCGAACGATTATTAATGCTGTTCACAGTTTTTCGTCATCTGTTGCGATGTCGGTGGTATATGACTACCAGCCCAGTGCTCGTGATGATCCTTTGATTCAAATTGTGGAAAAGGCAGTAGAAATTGGACTCAAGGTGGTGACCCCAGAGAGAGCAATCTTGCTTAAGCTCTTCCCTTTCTGTGAGCTCGCTCTCATTGATGAGAAAGACTTGACATCCCGTGTCCTCATGCAGTGCTGAGGTTACCTGACTGGTGCTGGGGATCCTCGATCAAACGTGATGCTCAAATTTCGACTAATCGCATGACTGAAATGATGGAGACGTCATTTCGATATACGCAGCAGCATATGGTGGGCATCTTTTGTTTTTAAAGACATTAGCCATTGATTCTGTGCATTCTAAGGCCGAAAACTCTGTCCTTGGCAAGTGTTCGATGGTGACAGAAAATCTTCAACGAATGGAGGAGCAAGATCAGGCATCCAGATCATTGTTCGAAGGTACCTTGAAGAAAGCAGCTTCTACTGCTATTATTGGTTCGTCACCTTTTGACAAGGGCATTATGCCATTCCTTGATAAATATCTATGCAGGTTCATATGAGACGGTCAGCTAATGTCCAACTCATGTTGTCTCCTGCTCATCCTTTTCACAGACTACGTCGGTCTTGATGATTTTTGCTCTCGCCATGGTATTATATCCAGATGTTCAGAGACGGGCACAGGCGGAGATCGACTCAGTGACAGGAAGAGATCGCTTACCTGCGTTCGAGGACAGAGCATCACTACCATATGTCGAATCAGTTCTGCGGGAAACCCTCCGATGGCATCCCGTTGCACCCCTTGGTATTCTTCCCCGCCGAGTGATCTCGTCTCTACTGAAAATGATCCCGTAGGCGTACCGCATGCTACATCAAGTGATGACATATACAATGGCTTCTTCATTCCAAAAGGTCTGCTCTTTTCATCTAATGAACAAATTACTGGTAACATCACATCAGGGGCGACTGTCATATACAACATATGGTCAGACTGATTCTCCTCAGCTGTCGAGATGCTGACGTTATATTGCAGGGGCATTTCACGGGATGAAAAGCGGTACCCCGAAGCATCTAGCTTTATACCAGAGAGATTCTTGGACGTCAATGGTGTTTTGACTGATGATGACCCTGCGGGATACGTTTTTGGCTTAGGCCGGCGTGGATGTCCAGGTGGGTTCAACTATTTTATTGCCGTGTAGCCTGTGATGAGCCAATACATTATTTGATCAGGCCGATATGCTGCCGATGCCTCTCTGTGGTCCGCCATTGTGACCATGTTGGCCACGGTGGACTTTTCTTCTGCCAGAGATGACCAAGGCAATGTGATCGACTTTACCCCCCAATTTCTGACAGGAATCACTCGGTACTTGGTTTTCTTGTGTCATTGCATCCGCTACTGATAGTTCCACCACTGTAGTTCCGTTACCACCTTCCCCTGCAGTATTTCGCCACGTTCTCATGTCCATTCAGGACTTGTGGATGTTTTACGAACGGGAGCGTAATATGTATATGATGAAAGACCCATCTATCGTCCTCCTGTATGTTCCGACTTGGGGTGACTGCCAACTAGTCAACTTACATAGTCTTTTTGTCACAGGCCCAATTCGCGCATTCTGTGTACTTGTATTTGAAACTAACATTTTTTTCCCAGTAGTGTACATTAGTCAAATATCGCGTCTCTATGTCGAATTCTTCCCCAGTGCCAATCCCAAACCCATGCCGAAAGACATTCCGTCCCTTCAGGAGCTAACTGTCAGGTCGCCACAAAACGATTCGTCAACTGTGTCACAATCAGCCCTCAGACTGCCATCCACTCTGCGCAGTTCAGTTCTAGTGGGGCTGACCTTCAAGCTATTTTAATTCTCTCAGTGCTATATATGCACAACTAACACTCTCTACCAACTGCTCGTCGTTGTCGTTTTACCTCGGATCTGGGTCCTCGAACTGGCCTTGGAGCCATTCACACACGATAGACTTCGATCCTTACGCTTGTCCTGTGTGTATAAGGTGGAGGACACACTCCGTTACCTGTTCAATGGACTCTCACTCCCCAATTTACGCGTGCTTGAAGCTCATGATGTAGACATGTGACCTCACAAAGAGTTGAAGGTATTGTTAGCACGGCCAAATTATTCCTCGGAGCGTTTGATGTTTGGCGTTAAATTGACGACAAATGACGAGCGAGCGGAATACAATGCCCTCATGCCTTCCCTGGAAGTCTGCATTACGGAATGGTGGTAGAAAACGTGGCAGCTACTTAGATTAAGCAGTGTTCGGGCATCACACCATGTATCATCTGGGTAGGCTGCTCGTTTGCCAGTGTTCACGTGAGACATAACTTCGTGGAGTCGCCACTTTGTGTTTAGGATCAAGGTTGGCAACCCCCTTGCTACCCTACACGAAAAGTGGCCTTGCATTAGCAAGAGAACTTGAAGTTCGCGCAGGCTGTGAGCCAGAAAGAACGCACGCGAGTGCGGGAGAAATCTGGTGGAATTGAACCTAAAAACCCAACCACAAATGGCGGAACGCTAGAAGACGAAACCCGAGTTAGACCGAGCGTAAATACGTGTGTGGAGACAAATGTGATCACTCTGTTAAAGGCAGAGTTGGCAGGGATCAAAGAAATAGGATGAGATCGGGATAAGGTAGTGGAAGTAGAGCTACAAATACAAGGGTGAAGCCCGAAGACAAAAATGTGAGAGAACCAACGAGAGACACGTACGCATGAACCACAGGACAAGGAAATCAAGAACGCATAAACGCGAATGGATCACGCCAATCATGTGCGGACCGACCACTGCAATCAACGCATTCAACAAAGTAGGATTTTGCGCGGCTTGCGCACATAGTCGCGAAAGGCATCCGACGACCTTCATTTCACCCACCCTACTTTTTCAACTTTTCCCGCGCTGTACGCTCTCGCAAGGCGCCACAGCACGTCAAGTTAATAGGATGTCAGCCTGGGTCTCGTGCTGCTCAAACCTCGCCGGCGAAGTCCAACATACACAGTCTGCGAATGGCGCACTGACATACACGCAGTCGTCCTCGGCATGCGTGTCCCAGATGCTGATGATAAGACGCGGTGCGAGAATAAATGGCATTGTATCACTGAATAGCTCCGAGAGATCCATCGCTGGGGTCTACGAGTGTAAATGTTAGCTGATCTTTGTATAATCTTGGGAGTATCATACCGGAATGTGAGCCCATAATATCACCATTAAGATTTGGTTTGTCAAATTCCTATGCGGGATTGATTAATACTTTCAGAACACACTGGATGAAAAGGAACCTACAGGACAAAGTACATCATATGATACCGGACGATCATTACGACATAGGAATTAGGCCTCATTCTGTATTCCCTCCATTCTTTGAGGTGTCTCACGAGGGTGGCAGCCGCGAGAAAAACTAGGAAGATATCATAGCACACGATGGGGATGGAAGTATAGATCGCAGGCATCGGCCCCATGTTGAAGGAAAAGGTGCAGTACTTGGCATTCGGAGTTACTAATTCTTTGACTGTGCAACGAGCGTCAGCTTCAGCCAACCGATGCGAGCGACATAAGTTCACCTGAGAACGCATTAGGTCGACTGTACAAATAGATGTCTGTCCCTATCAAGAGGGCAATGATAGGCAAAAACGACCCCCCTAGAACATAAAGTAGGAGCTTGGATTGGTTGCACATTGCGTAAAGACGCCACATGAGAATGGCTGCAAATGAAAGATCAGTACGCACGATGAGACGCCGAATAAATGACTTACTTTCGGCAAAGCAAAAATACACAGAAGCACCCCATTCCAATACAACAAGAATGTCGTAGCCTATTGCATGATGAGAGTTTAGTTTGAAGACATGAATTATACTTGCAGCTGAGTGAGAGGTCAACAACGGTTGGGATTTAGTTGTGAAACAAACTCAGAGTGACGTACGGCTTAACACGGATCAAGTTAGAACTCTCTAAAGATGAAGAACATCGATACACTTACTGATTCGGGTATATAAAACATTCCTCCCCCTAGCGCTAGTCAGCGGATGACAGCTCAATTGGCATAGCATCACATACAGCAGCCCCAAGATCTGATGTTGGCATAAACGTGCAACCTGAAGGATACAAGTAACCACGACGTACAGTGCAAGGGAAAGACCAAGATATCGAACCTAGCATAGCAAGAAATAACATAAACATAAAGCAGTGTGGCAGGGCGAACTCACAACAAGGTAGAGGCATGACATCAGTGACCATGGTCGTTTCTGGAGATTCAGTCAGCCTCTAGGCTAGTATCATCGCGCAAATAGTGTGGGGTTGATACTGACCCAGACATACTTAACCTATGCCAATCATAATCATGAGTACTCGATCGACAGAAAGAAAGTCTTTATTACCTCCTTGTCCAAAAGAAGAACTGGATAATTTTTCAGTCAGCAGCAGCAGTGCAAGGTTCACGAAGGCTACTCACGATACTCATAGGACATTACGGTAAAGAGCGCTACTGGAACCAGTATTCAGCACGATGGTCCATTCACAAACAGTAAGGAGCTAACGAACCAGATATACTGTCATTCCAGCGGAGACCAATGATAGCTTCTTGAAGTTGTTCCGACATGACACTATTTTGGATGGGGTAGGGAATTGGAAATGAAAGATATATGCTGGAATGACCTTTTAAGTTGAAGGCGCGGCGATTTCCTTGCTCGTGATTGCCCTGTGAGGGCTGTGGTTTTCATCCTTGTCGAAATTATTGAATCGCCGTTTTCATCAGTTAGCGGTCAGGTTATCTAGATAATCAACGGGCGGTTGTCGTGCCAAATTTAGGACAGACGAGAGTTACTGTAAGATCTTGGTTACATAGATTCCTCGTTACTCGCCGAGTCGGACAGTATGGCGGTCACTGGCAGAAATATTTATGACTTACAACCTATCAACTTGAAGCCTTTCCTGCCAGTGAGAATCGACGAAGTGTGACATAGTGGCACTGGCAGTGAGCATGTGCCAAACGAATGGACTTGACATGCAGGCAGCTGGCGTAGCCGCGGCACTGCCGCAGGGCGTAGCGCTCTGATCCCTTGTTAAGTATCGCCACCTTTTGATGCTCGCTTGAATGCATGCACGAGGAAACGAGCGTGGCAGGTAATCCTCGGTTATCACCAAGGATACTAAATGAGCATCGCAGAGCATCACAGGTATCGCAGCGAAGACGGGGCTAAGTAGACGCTTGAGCGAAGATTCCGAGGACCACGTGCCGGATTGTGTCCCCCGCACCAAGTACGAGCGCCCACGTATGTATCGAAACTTTGCACACTTATGTAACCTCGAATCCACAACCCTTCATCAACATCGACATCTACCGGGCGGATATCTCCCGTTAGCAATATCAATATTGAGACGCATATACCAGTTCACAATACTTTATGGTGAGGGTAGAGCCACCCAGAGCGGAGCTGGAGATGGGTGTGAAGGTATTTGATAGTAGTCTGAGCTGGTCAAGATCTAAAGCAAGCGCTTGCTGTGGTCAAATTGAAATAATGCACTCAGACGTCTTCGGTTCGTTGCGCGAGAATATCGAGGTCAACTTCACCAGAGCCAAACTTACAAAGTTTTGAGAGGACAGGCATTGAGTGGAATTTTCTTGATCATTTTAGCACATGTCTCGCTACATGTTGAAATGTATATTGCGCATATATCTCTCAGCTGTGGAACCTACTCCTTTAGTGCTGTCTTCGATGCGCTATTGTACACTTCTAGTACTTGTCGGATGTTGATTCCACCACTACACTAACGCAAGACAGACCCAGCACAACAAGTTAATGGGACGTCAGAGTCCATCTCGTGCTGCTCGAACCTTGCCGGCGAAGTCCAACATACACAATCTGCAAACGGTGTACTGACATACACACAGTTGTCCTGGGCATGCGTGTCCCAAATGCTGATGATAAGACGGGGCGCGAGAATGAATGGCACGGTACTATTGAAAAACGTCGAGAGAGCCGTTGCCGCCGTCTGTGAAAGTGTGCGTAAGCTGATATCTAGAATCTCAATATAGGGTATCAGACCGGAATGTGAGCCCATATTATCACCATTAATATTTGGTTTGTCAAATTCCTAAGCGAGAGTCGATTAATACTGTCAGAACACACAGGGTAAAGAAGAACTTACAGGATGAAGTACATGATATGATGTCGGACGATCATTACCATATAGGAATTAGGCCTCATTCTGTATTCCCTCCGTTCTTTGAGGTGTCTCACGAGGGTGACAACTGCGAGAATAACTAAGAAGATGTCATAGCACACGATGGGGATGGAAGTGTAGATCGCAGGCATCGGCCCCATATTGAAGGAAAAGGTGCAGTACTTTGTGTTCGGAGTTACCAACTCTACGACTGTGCAACGAGACGGCGTCAGCTTGCAGCCAATTCGATCAGAGCCACGAACAGTTACCAGAGAACGCGTTAGGTCGGCTATACAAATAGATATCTGTCCCTATCAAGAGTGCGACGATAGGCAAGAACGAACCCCCTAGAACATAAAGAAGGAGTTTGGATTGGTTGCACAATGCGTAAAGACGCCAGATGAGAATGGCTGCAGATGAAAGATCGGTACAAATGATGAGCCGCCGAATACATGACTCACCTTCCGCAAAGCAAAAATACACAGAAGTGCCCCATTCCAATACAACAACAAGATCGTAGCCTATTGCACGATGAGGGAACTGCAGTTTAGTTTGAAATAAAATGATATAAACAATACTTGCAGCTGAATGAGATGTCAACAATTGTTGAGACTTGACTGTGAAACAAGCTTGTGACTTACGGCTTCAACACGGATCAAGTTAGAACTCTCTAAAAATGGAGAGCGTCAATGGACTCACTTGTTCAGGCATATACAACATTCCTCCCCCTGGCGTTAGTCAGCGAATGATGGCTCAATTGGCACAACGTTACATACATATGCCCCAAAGTCTGGTGTCAGTGTGAACGTGTTAATGTACAATCTGAAGGACACAAGTCGCTACAACTCACATTGCAAGGGAAAGACCAAGATATCGAACCTAGTGTAGTACGGAATCATATTAAGATATAAAGCAGAGTGGCAGGGCGAACTCACAACGAGGTAGAGACATGACATCAATGACCATGGTCTCTTCTGGAGATTCGGCTAGTATTATTGCGCAAATAGTATGTGGTTAAACACTGACCCAGACATACTTAATCTACGCCGATCATAATCATGAGTACTCGATCGACAGAAAGAAAGTCTTTATTACCTCCTTGTCCAAGAGAAGAACTGAATAATCTTTCGGTCAGTAGCAGCAGTGCAAGGTTCACGAAGGCTACTCACGGTACTCATAGGACATCACGGTAAAGAGCGCTACTGGAATCAGTATTCAGCACAACGGTTCGTTCACAAGCCAAAAGGAGCTGACGAACCAGATACATTGTTATTCCAGCGGAGACCAAAGACAGCTTCCTCAAATTGTTCCGACATGACACTGTTTCAGCTGGAGAGGAGACTTCGAAAAAATGAGCAATGGTGGAACGACTTATAACTTAAGGGACAGAAAAATTCCCTGCCTCAGGATTGCCCCGTGAGGGCTGTGGTTTTCATCCTTGTCCAGTCCTGTCGATACCACGAGTCGGTGCTCTCAACCCTTAGCTATCAGTGGATAGTCATCGCGCCCGGATGTAGGACTCACGAGAGTGACTGTGAGATCTTGGCTAGATTCTTCAGTACTCGCGCGGTATGTTGTCAGGTAAACGTTCATGATAACCTGGAGAACGGGAAGTTTTATCGTTATCGGCTGTAATAAAACCTCCGTCTAAGCGCTTGTTGCTAACACCCGTACAGCAACGCATGATAGACGTGGCCATGATAATGCTACCTTCAAGGGAGTAGAAATCAAGCTGGTGACGGCGGGTAGATCAGCAAAGTACCAAACTCAAAATGTGGACAGGGCCAATGGCTGGAACTATGTCCCAAGATACAGTGAAGAACCCAATTTGCCGCCCAAGGCAGTGTGATAGAGCCCATCGAGGCACAGCCAATTTGTACCCACAAGGGCGTAATCTTAATTTATGTTCAGAAAAAAAACTTCATCGTGAGGTACGTCTGACTAGATAAGCGACACCGCACATCGACCAATGCTAAAAAAACGTTGTCAGTGGTGGATGATCTGCGCTGCATTTGAGATACATGACTTACAACGTACCAAACTTCCTGCCCTATGTAGTGAGAATCGACGAAGCGTGTGGTACACACGTGAAAGTGATCAATCACTATTGCATTCAAATACACTGCTCCGCTTGCTCCGGCTCTCTCCCAACCTCTCGTCGTTGTCGTTTTACCTAGGATCTGGGCTCCTCGAACTGGCCTTGGAGCCGTTCACGCACGATAGACTTCGATCCTTGCGCTTGTCCTGTGTGTATAAGGTGGAGGACACACTCCGTTACCTGTTCAATGCACTCTCACTCCCCAATTTACGCGTGCTTGAAGCTCAGTCACTGATGTAGACATGTGGTCTCACGTACGAAGAGTTGAAGGCATTGTTAGCACGGTCAAATTGTCCCTTGGGGCGTTTGATGTTCGGCGATAAAGTGACGACAGATGATGAGCGAGCGGAATACAATCACAATACACCCTTCCCCTGGAAGTCAACTACTTATATATTATGTAAGCTGTTTTCGGGCATCATGATATCATGTATCATCTGTGTAGCCACAAGTGATCTTGGTATGTAACTCATTGAGATTCATAGATACGAATAATATTATGGCATCACTACCCCAATTTCATCTTTATCCATGCTGTTTGTGGAATCAGCTTGCCCGACGCAAGGGTCCATCTCATGTAGCTCGAAATCCGGTGGCGATGTCCAGCATACACAATCTGCGAAGGTCGTGCTGACGTGTACGCACTCATTGGTGGCATGCGTATCCCAAATGCTGATGATAAGACGGGGTGCGAGAATAAATGGTGCCGTGCCGTTGAAGAGCTCTGAGAGACTCATCGCCGGCGTCTGCGAATGTATACGTTAGTTGATCTCGGCATAACCTGGAAGCATCATACCGGAATATTAGCCCATAATACCACCAATAATATTTGGTTTGTCAGATTCCTAGCGAGATTTGATTGATTTCCAGAACCCAATGGACGAATTGGAACTTACAGGGCAAAGTACATGATATGATAACGGACAATCATGACCATGTAGGTATTAGGCCTCATTTTGATCTTCCTCTGTTCTTTAAGGTGCCTGACGAGGGTGGCGGCCGCGAGAATGACGAGCAAAATATCATAGCACACGATGGGGATGGAGGTATAGATCGCAAGCGCGGGCCCAATTTTGAAGTAAATCGTGCAGTACGTGGTGTTGCCAGTCATTAATTCTTTCACTGTGCAATGAGGCAGGGTTAGCCCGCAACCAATTCGATCAGAGTGAAAATTCACCTGAGAACACCTCGCGTCGACTATACAAATAGATGTCTGTCCCTATCGAGAGGGCGACGATAGGTAAGAACAGTCCTATTAAAACATGAAGTAAGAGCTTAGATTGGTTGCATATGGCATAAAGACGCCAGATGAGAATGACTGCGAATAAAAGATCGGTATGCATAGCAAGACGCGAGAATGTACACCTTACTTTCCGCAAAGACAAAATACACCGAAAATCCCCATTCAATGAGAACAATAAGATCGTAGCCTATTCCAATTCATGATGAGTGAATGCTCTACAGGCTGAAACTGATACACTTACAGCTAAAATAGGAGGGCAACGACTGTTGAGACTATAGCTGTAAAATGAACGCGGGACGTACGGCTGAAACATGTATTAAGCTAAAGTTCTATAACGACGGAAGGTATAAGTACACTCACTGATTCAGGCATATACAATAGACCTCCCCCTAGTGCCAGTCAGTTAACGATGGCTCTAGATGCTAGTGTCACATACAGCAGGCACACAGCCTAGTGTGAGTGCTTGTTAACATAGTGTGCAGCATGATGGAACGACGACGACGTACAGTGCAAGGAAAAGCCCAAAATATCGAACCTGGCAAAGGATATCATACACATTTGATGAAACGCTTTGGCAGGGCGAAACTCACAACAAGGTACAAGCATGACATCAACGACCACGGTCTTTTCTAGAGATTCAGTTAGTGTTTGGGTTACGTATATCGATCAGATAAAGAATTTGACTCTAACCCAGACATACTCAACCTATGCCGACCATAACCATCAGTACTCAACCGACAAAAAAGAAGTCCTGCATTACCTCCTTTTCCAACAGAAGAACTAGATAGTCTTTCGCTCAGCAAAAGTTCAAGGATCTCGAATGCTACTGACGGTATTCATAAGATATCAAGGTGATAGCTGCCACTGCAACCAACGTTCAGTACGATTCGTCGACAAATGAGTTAGAGGAGCTGACGAACCAGATACATTGTTGTTCCAGCGGAGACCAGCAGCAGCTTCTTCCGACATGACACTGTGCAGATGGAATGGAGAATTCGAAAAGGATTGGTCGATACTGGAGTGACTTATGATAAGGCACGGAATTTCCTCAAGGTGCGTCGTGATTACCTCCGAGTCGTGGGGACTGTCGCGTTTGTCCCTCGTCCAGTGCACTAGAAATTAGATGAATGAAAATTGTACGGGATGGTACCGAGTTTCCCTGCACTTCCTGTTGATTTCGCGGGTCGATGTCCTCAATAGTTAACTCTCAACGAATATACATCGCACTCGAATTTAAGACTGACGGCTTGGAGCTGTTACATTTTGGTAGACTTTTCATTAATCGGCGCTCGCACGGTATGTCGTCGTGGTGAACGGTTATAATAGTCTAGAGAGTGTGAAGTCTTATCAGCTGCGCAACATCCGACCTCGGCCTAAGCGCTTGTTGTTATCTCTCGATAGACACGGCCACGCCGCCTTTCAGGGAGCATGAATCAGGCTAAGGACGGCGGCATAATCAGCAAAGATTTCCATCTTGCATTCATGGGAACATACCAAACTTAGTCTTTGAACCAACTTTGAACAGCCTTCCGGATGATGGATTATCCCGGGTATTTATGGGCGAGCAAGTTACCCATGCTGTCGTAGGCAGTCATCAGCGCAGGTGGTTCATGTCCATGCGGTACTGTGCTGGTAGTACTGCAGGTGGTGGTAGTCGAACATAGAGTCCCTTGATGATTGACTAAATCGGATCTATCATAATTTCGCTAAATATTATGTAAATTATATTATTTTGTGTTGTATAATCGACTACGGAACTTGCTCCAGGCTACATATATTGCCTATGTCGGTAATAAAGCTCATCTGAAGTGACTCCACCACAGGCAGTACGCCAAAATCATACGACGAAAGAATCCATCTCAGACTCCATCGTAAATTCCATCTCACGCTCCTCGAACACTATGGGCGAAGTCCAACATCCACAATCCTCAAACGTTCGGCTGATATATACGCACTCGTCATGGGCGTGGGTATCCCAAATACTGATGATAAGACGCGGCGCGAGAATATATGGCACGGTATCGTTGAAGAGCTCTGAGATACTCATCGCCGGAGTCTGTGAATGTGTAAAAGGTGGCGTGAGCTGATCTCTGTAGAATTTCGTAAGTAAGTACCATACCGGAATGCCAGCCCATAATATTACCCAAAATATTTGGTTTGTCAAGTTCCTATCATGATTCGATTAATACTTTCAGAACACGTTAGACTAAGGGGAAGTGGGACTTGCAGCACAAAGTACACAATATGATACTGAACGATCATTAATATAGACGTGTTAGGCTTCATGTTGACATTCCTCCGTTCTTTGAGGTGTTTTACGAGTTTGGCAACCGCGAGAATAAGTAGGAGGATATCATAGCACACCGTGGGGACAGAAGTGTAGGTCGCAGGCATGGGCCCCATCTTGAATGAAAACGTGCAGTACTTGGCGTCCGCGGTTATTATTTCTTTCACTGCAACAATATAGGGATCAGCTCGCAGCTAACTCCACTCGGTTTAACATGTACCTGAGAACGCGCTGGGTCGACTATATAAAAAGATATTTGTCCCTATTGAGAGGGCGACGATGGCTAAGAATAGTCCCAGTAGAATACGAAGGAGGAGCTTTGATCGGCCGTATAGTGCATAAAGGCGCCATATGAGAATAACTGTGAATGCAAATTCGGCTCGCGCAATGTGCTGTGCTGAGAGAATGCATGACTTACCTTCTGCAAAGCAAAAATATGCAGAATAGCCCCATTCCATTAAAACGACAATAATATAGCCTATTTCGCTTTCATAATGAGCGAACAGAGTTTAGGTTGAAGATGTATACTCGCAACTATACAAATAAGACATCAACGATTGTTGGGAATGGGGTCAATCGAAATTGAGACGTACGGCTGAAACACGGGTCAACCCAAAATTCTCTCATGACAAAAAGCATCGATATACTCACTGATTCAGGTATATACAATAATCCTCCCCCTGGAGCTAGTCAGCGAATGGCGATCCAGTTGGCATAGCATTACATACAACAGCCCCAAAGCCTAGGGCCAACGTTAGCGTACAGCACACTTTTTGAAGGATACAACAAAACCGACGTACAGCGCAAGGAAAAGTCCAAGATATCGAACCTGGCATAGAAGAAAATGAAAAACTATAAAGCGCCCTGGCAGCGACACTCACAACGAGGTAAAGACATGACATCAGTGACCACGGTCGAGTCTGGAGATTCGGTCAGCCTCCAGGCTGGTGCCATTGTGCAGATTTAGGATTGGACACTGACCCAGACGTACTTGACCTACACCGATCATAATCATGAGTATTTGACCGCCATAAGAGAAGTTTTTTATTACCCCCTTGTCCAAAAGAAGAACTAGATAATCTTTTGTTCAGCAAAGTACAAGGATCTCGAAGGCTACTGACGGTATTCATAGCATATCACAGTAATCGTCACCACTAGAACCAACGTTCAGGATGATTGTTCACAGATCATTGAAAAGGAGCTAACGAACCAGATATATTGTTGTTCCAGCGGAGACCAGTGACAGCTTCTTGTTCCGACATGACAATGTGTATCAATTGGACAATGTCACTGACCACTGACGTACAATACTTATAAGGCGCAAAAAAAATTCTTGCCCCGTGGAATGTGGTAGCGGTGCTCCACAGGAGTACGGAAATGGCACGAGACAGTACCGAGTTTGCCCACTTTCATGTCGGTATTACGACCCGCTGCTATCAATAATCAGCTATCGACGAATAGACATCCCGCTCGGATCCACGACCGGCCAAGGGGCTGTTACAACTCGGGTAGATGCTTCATTAATCGTTTATATGCTGCCGTGGGGAACGTTTTTCATCTCGTTCAGCGTACGTGTATAGCCTAGAAAATTTGGACTTAAGTCTTATCGGCTAGCGTCAATCCCGGACTAAGCGCTTGTTATAAGCGCCGCATATCAGAATCATATTGATCTTGAGGGGGTAGAAATGAGGCTGAGGACGGTGGCAAGGTCAGCGAATATATCTATACATCCTGCTTGTACGAAAACGTACCAAGCATATTTCACCCCTAGAGGACGATCGATGCACAAATCCTGTTAGCCAACCCTTATGCCCACAAAAGGAACTTTTTCATAAGGCGCGTCAGATTAGACACGTGTCCTTGCAGATGGGCCAACATTGAACGTTGTAAACGTTTGACAGCTGTTGACGCAAAATGAGTGAAATATATTCATACAACCTATCAATATTCTCCATGTGGTCCCATCAAGCTCTGATGGTACGCATGCATGAAGAAACCGCTTGGTCGGGTCAATAGGGCATATCATTCTATCATCTGAATAAGGGGAGATCGAATACCGGCAGACTTCGTTGGCCAATCGGAGTGCATCATACGCACAGCATATAAAATTAAATATTGCAACGATAGCAAGATAAAATTGCAAGAAGACAAGTGCGACGTCAGAATGGCAGGCTTATGAACGGATTCCAATCGAAGGCCACACATTCGGCTTGTATTCATAAGCGCCCGTTCGCTGTCGTTTCAGGAGGAATATCCCGGTAATCACGATCACGATCCCTCTCCGAAGTTGTGATGTCTTGCGGCTATCAAGACAAAAATCAGAGGAGATGATGATAAAGGACAACTCGCGTGCGCACATCTACTGGGCGATACCTCCCGTTAGCATGGGGAACGCTGTGCCCGTTCATGTGGTGAGGTGGAGGAGGTGCTGGAGGTGCAACTTGGTGTGAATATAGTGTTGGAGAGGGGCGTGTGAGATGCATGAGGGAAGGCGTTGCTGGAACTGTAAGATTGATAGCGTCAAGAAGCAAGCTTGAAATGAGCAAGCAAGTTAGTAACGCAGGTCAACCAACAAGAGTGGACACGCACTCGTTCTCAGCTTGGAGCTTGTGCATCCGTGCATTTGCAAGCTCGAGATCTCTCTCATACTCCTCTTTTAACTAGCGGGGTTGAATGTGTTGCGTCAAGAGTGCTTCGGCTGAGACACGTACCCCTACGACTCGATCAAAGCGTTCCCTCAAAAATTGAAATCTAGCAAAGGGTGAGTTGATGAGAGAATGCACGCAGTCGATGCGCACTTTTCTTTGTATCGTCCACGAGGTATACCTATTGTCTAGACAGTAGTAAGCTCAAGACATGACACGTCATCCAAATAAATTACTCTGTTTTTATTGGTGTCATCACCTGGTACTCTATCTCCAACGCGCTGCCCTTTCTGCAGTTTCGATGAATCTATGTGTATCGGTCGGGGTGGGATGGGTGAGTTGTCCATGCAGTCGTCTGTTGTTACAGCTGTTTCAGGTTCAGTCACGGTTGTGGTGTACGACCTGCAGGTGCTGATTATACGATTGGCTGAACCAAGGTCCTTTGTCGAAGTCCTGGGGAACGCTTCCGCGCAGGCTTACTTAAGCGAGTATTATAGGGACCCCCGAGCTTCCGTTCGTCTGGTACGATTTTGCAGGATTGAAGATCAACGTGTGAGCGTATCTTCCACGCGCTACTCATGAATGATCTTATCACAGAAATTCTACGGAACATCAAAGGGAGATTAACTTCTCCACGACATTTTGAGACAGGTAAATTTATGACGTCGATTTCCAGAACGCAACTTGAAGTTAACAAAGGGACCCATTGACATTCAAGATGAAGCAACACGCACATTGCGGACGTACGGTACTAGTAAGTGCACATAACAAAGGGTTGATAAGTATACTTTGGGTGCTTTCCTCCCAGGATCCAACGTTGCTGAACGTTTTCTCCATGATTTCCTTCTCAGTGGCGCACCGGTACGCCCACGACCTATTTCCCGGCTTGCCACTCGTGATGAAACTGCATGTTCAACGCTAAAGTTCGTGGTGAACAATCGTGTTTGCTCAAGCAAGAAGCAGCAGCAAAGTTAGCGAGTGCGGAGCTTCAGTGGAAAAAGATAACCGCATTGCAATTACGAGCTCACCTTGCAAATATAATACGTGCGTCCATATCAACACCGTGAAACAGTTCCTGATGGTCTGTCCTGTCGATGGTCCGAATCCTCGCAGCTCACAGAAGTGTTTTACAGCAATCCGCACAGCAAGATACAGTGCGAGGACCTCCCATGCAGTGTTGAGTACCGAGCCCACGGCAGTGAAAGATCGGATATGTCCCACATAAGGGCATTGATAGGTGCCATCGATGACTAGCTCATCTGATATTTTTCCAATGAGTATGATGCATCTGAGTCTTTCGTCCGTACATAAAACTTACCTCCTGAAACATAGTGTCATGTATACCCCAGCCATTACTCCGCAGTGAATATTGACAGCCAGGAAGATGACAACGAGAAAGCTCGGTATATTTCTGGATCGCTGATGCATGGCATGTAACCGAACGATCATGATAACATGCGTCACGCTTCAGTCAAATCAATATCACCAATGTATTGAAGCTGGTAGCTCACCGCCCACCATGACAGATGCGACCATCTGCATCGAAATTATAATGTCACACCACGGCAGTGACAGCACGAACTTAAACAGACTTATCCTCCGTTTGATCAAGGCTGTGCGCCAACATTCTACCAGACTATTACCTTCAAGCTTGAATGGGCTCCCGCTTAATATTTGCATCGTATTGCACCTTCTTCACTCGTGCAGGCTGATTAGTTCGTCCACTCAGGACCAAGTAGTTCGCTACAGTTTCAATTCAGACACAGGTTTCGGCTTCTATGAATAACCACTGCTGACGATCAAACTGACGCCGGGGGGAACCCGAGTTACGCCCGCAGTCGATCATCGTCCAGTTCCTACAACAAGCTGGCCAACTTTGTAGTCATGCCACTGCCACAGACATAGCTATAAATCTTCTGATAGGTCCCACGTCGAATCCAGCACAGCAATGGACACATCTACCATCGCTATACCCTCTCCATCGAGTCTCTGGGCAACTGTACGTTCGGTTGGAGCCCTCAATGTCGCTGGTTCATTTGTTGCACTATGGGCTTTTGTCAAAGTCCTAAAAGCGCTTCGTTGGCGATTGAAAACAACTCAACTGCGCGGTCCACCTCGTACCAGCTTCGTATATGGCGTTTCGCACGACCTCCGCTCGTCTCGTGATAATGGTGCAATGTATGAACATTGGGCGGAGGAATATGGGGCAGTGTATATGATTCCGAGCGTCCTCGGACAAACTAGAATCGTGCTGTGTGACCCAAGAGCTATAGCACATTTTTATGCCCGCGAGACATGGACCTATGTGCAGACGTCCCTTACGTTGGCAACTCTAGAGGCATCAGTATGCTAACGTCTTCTTCTTATTTCGTCTATCTGATATCTCTTGTCAGATTGGCAGAGGGCTACTATGGTCTGAGGGTGAAAACCACAGGAGGTGCTTTTCAGTTCTTGTCCTCACGCCAGAGACTAATCGACTACTTGCGAATCAGGCAGCGGAAGGCCCTTACCCCAGCTTTCAGTAATACGGCTATTCGAAAACTCACACCAGTCTTTTATGACTCAGCATACAAGGTACTGAGAATCCTCAATGCGGGAAATGTATCTCTGAGCATGACACTTTACAGGCCAAAGGTGCATGGGATACCGTTATAGAATCGAGCAAAGATGGAAAGGCTGTTATTGAAGTTCAAAACTGGTGCGTAGTTCTTCTGGCTTGACAAAGTAGCATTCCTAATCGAAACGACTTCAAGGATGAATCATATATCGTACGAGACGATTTTTCTTTGCCATTGAAGCCTCGAAAATGACGCAATAGCAGTCTGGATACGATTGGCATTGCTGGTTTCTCACATGATTTTGGCTCTCTCGATGGCAAGCGCGCCAGTCTGACCGAAGTGTTTGATACTTTCGGAAATAACCCACAGGCGTCAGCAGTGAACCAAGCTTTAATACTTCTTGCATCAGTGTTTCCTATCATTACCAAGATCCCCACTAAGCGGACGAATCTGAGCAGGAAACTGAGCGAAGCCATGGGAGAAATATCGAACGACTTGTTGATTCGCAGTCGCCGGGAAAAGGATGTGAATATGAGCGAGAGAGACGAGGAAAAGTCCATCATTGGATTGTTGCGTACGCTCTCTACATGACTCATAATACTCACTTGATTGACGCGATGATCAGTCAAATCCGAAGGCCAGGATGCCGAGCTTCATATGTCAGGGGAGGAAGTAGTGGCGCAGGTCCGTGGATATTGTTACAGCCGTAATTCGCAAGCTGACATCCTGTAGATGAAGGTCTTGCTTATCGCGGGTTATGAAACGACATCTAGTGAGTTGATTTCTTTTCTGGTGCCATCTCATCGGCTGATTTTTTCCTTGACAGTCAGTCTTACGGTAAGTCTACGGTCCGATAACGTCTGTGCATGCTATTCATGTGATGATCAGTGGGCGCTGATCGAACTATCGCAACACCCCGATACCCAAACCAGACTCAGGGAGGAACTACTTGCATTTGGTGCTGATCCGACATATGACCAATTAAAGGCCAATCTCCCATACTTGGATGGGGTTGTCCATGAAATTCTACGACTCCATCCTCCGGTGCCCGGGTTTGTTCGTGTTGTGAGTACACCTGTCTGCGTGTGAATAGACACCCTGACGATATACATACATACAGGCAGCCGCAGATGACGTTATTCCCTTGAGCGAACCTGTGCGCAGCGCATCGGGGGAAATGACGGACAATATCTCTGTAGCGAAGGGGACATTAATCACGATATCAGCCGCGGCGATCAATCGCTCTTTGGCCATCTGGGGACCTGACGCAAAGCAATTCAAGCCTGAACGTTGGCTGGCTGAAGAGGGCATCAGTGGGAAGGCCAAGGAAGTCCAAGGTCATAGACATCTACTGACATTCGTCGACGGCCCGAGGACGTGTCTTGGAAAAGATTTTGCTATTGCGGAATTCAAGGTGATTGCTACAAATCAGCTAGTTTCAGCGTTATTCACTGCAACATAGGCGGTTTTATTGGTTCTGGTGAAGAACTTCGTGTTTGAAATGCGGGATGGACCGGACACCGAGGTCGAGGTTTGGAGGGGGATCTTACCTCGTCCGCGGGTTGTTGGAGAGGATGGTATTGGAGTACCTTTGAAAGTTCGTCGGTATGAATGATTTGGCTACGCTGCACTAGCTCTTGGATAGTATATTGTATTTGGATCAGACGAGGTATGTGTACTTTGTATTGCAATATGTATTATAGTTCTGTCACGTGACTACACCTCTATAGTCCAGGCTTTTGATACGAGACAGCAGCTGAGCAGGACATTCATCGTTTCCCTCCAGGCGTTGGAAGCCCATTGTGCCAATAGCAGTGGTAAAATCAGAGACAGGAACAGAGACAGGATCTCGGCTGGTGGATGAGGTGAGGTGAACGTGAAGTCATGCGATCCTGACTGGTTTCGATGAATGAAAATTTAATTGTCGCTCTTCTCGATTATGACACCTGTCGTATTGTTGTTCCCCGGATATATGGTTTTGCAGTACACATTTGTAGGTATCCAAGTCACCACACAATATGTCCAGGGTCCGTCAAGCCAGCAACATGGGCTCCCGTGGCGTTTGACCCATTTCTTCTCTCATCTTGCATTACACCGTGACCCCCAGAATATCATTCACGACACCCCATCTATATCCGAGATCATGAAATGGCGGCGGCACGGGGATGTCATCATCAAACCAGTCGAGGAAGACCACTTCAGTCAACTTGGGCAACAATCTACGCAGTGAACCGGCCATGCCCACGCAATCGCCGATAGGAGACATCCCCACAAAAAGTCTAGTGATCTTCTCGTTGGCAATACTTGTAAAGCACGGCCTTTCAAAGACGACCGGACGTGCCCAAAAGGACATTTGAAGGTTGCGCAAGCGCCGGCAATGTTGTATGAGGTGGACGAGCCCTACGAAGGTGAGCGATGGTGGGGTCAGCCAACGAGCCGCACCCCCAAAGACGAAAGTCTCGAGCTGAGGCCAGGAATGTGCAATTGTCTTGAGCGAGGCATCAGTGATGGCCGAAGTACACATCCAACCGAGTTGTAAGTCCGTCAAGCGATTAAACGATAGCAACGGGGCAACCGCGTGAAAGCTAAGCACGTAGCTGCGATTGGCAATTACCTCGCTTCCTTCGTAGAAGCCGAAGTCGAACTCGAAGTCGACACACAATTTCTCAAGAGCAGGAGAGAAGCACTCTGAGAGGGAGACAATGAGGTCAGGAATATCCAGTGGATCATATGGGGTTTTTGGAACGTCGTCCAAATCATCGTAGTTGACATACACCGTCACAGATCGACAGGAGGGAAAACGGACACTTCTGATAAAGTGATTGACGACAGACTGCGACGATGCAGTGAGGCGCACTTGATTGAGTTGGGAGAAAATTGTTGAAGTGGAATCGGATTGCATCTCGTGTATGTTGTACGTCTTCAGGATGAAATCCACAGATTTCAGCGACGGCAAAGAAGCCAAGCGAAAAAACTCTTTTGTACTAAGGACTCCTGTGTCGAGACGGGAAAGCTCTCGCAAGCCATATAGAGCTTCGCAAATTGCATCTGAACTTTCTGTAGAATCACTAACACATGTGCAACTGAGCTCCTGAATGGATGGACATCGACCTGGGAGGGAAGCCAACAAAGCAGATTTGGCAAATGAGGGAGGCGTTGATTGGAAGCCCAGTTGTATCGATGTGATAGTAGATACAAGCAGAGTGCGCAACAGCGGAAAGAAGTACTCTCGCTCGTCACACCAACGCAAAATACGAAGGTTCGGCAAGAGCGGTGTGGGTGATGGTGTAGATATGAGCGCTTGCATGACATTATTGTCTATCGTGTCTAGCTCACTGCCGATGACTGTAAAGGAGCGGATACGTCGTGCATTTCTATCAATAAGCCTCCACTCTCCATCTAAGAGAGGCCTTTTGAGAGTCTGTTTTGAATTTTCGAACATTCAATATCATGCACACAGATGTTTGAATATTTTGCTCACCAGGTATCCTTGTGTGTCTGTGCTACTGATACCTTCAGGCAGGCATGAGATGAGTGGCTTGAACCCGCGTATGTCTTTCCAAAGAATATCAAGCGCAGGTTCCTTGAATGTCCTACAGGTTCTTGCAAGAGCAGCAAGCTGAGGAACACGAATTGGGCGCCAGTTGCAGTCTTCGATGGTGCTGAATTCGAATATGTACAGTAGAATTTCTGTGGGTAAGAGACAGACATGCATGAGTGCAAGAGAAACAAGCGCTGTTTGAGCGGTGTCAAGTGTGCCCTGCCATTATGCAGCGCTTTAAATTAGTCAAAGCCTATAGACGACGTGTGCAACAAGTGGTCTGATGACGGAAGAGGGCCCCTTGGAGGTTATTCTTGACTTTCAATACTCACATGACGCTTACAATGTTCTAAAACATGATTGGTACCCCCAGTTGACAATACTTGGTGTAAAATTTATTTTAACCTTTTAAGGATTTTTTCACTATTTTTCGCTGCAACAAAGTCATCCATGCTTGCGGTGTGGCGCAAAAAATTGCTGCCTTCAAGCTTGCTTCAAGAAATGTGACTCTCATCGGTGTGAGACGCTGCCTGTGCTCATCAACAACTTGAAGCATCGCCATCATTAATCAGCCTAGGGAGCGTCTGTGAACGCCCTGCCCTTCTCACACCAAAACCATCCTCTGTGCACTTGCGGAGGCAACTCCTGCTGTCTACCTGAACAATACGCAGACTGGGGCCCGATGATTCATAAAGGACCTCAATAAATGGCATGGAGGCGAGCTGAAATTATGCGGAAATTAGAGAAGGGGAGAAGTTACATCTAGATGATCTTGACAAGTGCTGGAAATGGGACGAGCAGACTGACATTGAATATAGCAGGTACGAGCTGTAGTATCAGGAGATTATAATATGATACACTGTCAAGGTGACCAGCATTTAAAACCTGCTTCGTATATCAGTCTAGCGGCGAAACAAAAGAAGATGTATACTGCACAATTTTCATTGAAACACCATTCGACATCTCGCCTCTCACCTTTCCCATACCATTTAATCATTGGCCACCCCGACGTTCGTTTCAATGTACTTCCTCCCGTCCCCGTCTCCTTCTCCCTCTGCTAGCCCATCCAGCTCCTTTGGTAAGTTCCACACCTCCACCTTATTCAGTCCTGCGCTCCAAGCTGCTTCTTTCATCTTTTCCAGCAATTCCGGGAACGTCTCCTTCGTCGCAGTCAGCCGTGTCACGATTAGCGTCGGAGTAAACCGCATGTCCGCAGCCCATGTCGCATACGTCACCTTCCCATCACCAGTGGTTTCCCTTCTTATTCCCCAGACTTTCAACGGCACCGTATGGTCAGATACGAGCAGTGAGCGCGCCACCTGGAATGAACCCTGCTCCATTGACAGCTGGTGAGTGTGTTGATCCTTTGTCGGATTCGAGCCTTGCTGACCGGAGACGTCCATGATCCATTGACAGCGAGTGAGTTGTGTTGATCCTCCCTCGAGCTCGAGTCTTGCTGATCTGTTGATAGATTGTGAGTACGTTGATCTTCCATCGAGTTCGAGTGTTGCTGACCGAAGATATTGCTGATCTATTGTCAGCGTGTGAGTACGCCGATATTCCGTCGATTTCGATCTTGCTGACTGAATTCAATTAAGGAGGTGAAACAGGCTGGGGGTCAGCGGACAGTGGCAGTGGGGGCGAGTGTATGTTATGATGGCTTTGGGCTCTCTAGTTGTATATGTATATGCTGTCTGTGGAATAAGATTTCAGCAGTACTCGAAATACATTTTCACGGCAGCCGGGTACGCATACGGAACAATGCGAACTCATCTGCATTGAGTGGGCTTGGACTCTCCTGGACTACTACTTTTACTCGCACATAGTATCCGTGTCCATCTGTTTCTTGTATCATGGAGACATGATGTCCAAGACGCTCATAACAGCCGCAGCACATGCATCAACCCTCCACATCCAACCTTTCACGTCCATCATATCCCTCACCTCTCCCTTCACTCGTAGCTCCTTACGCACACTCCAAAGCGCCATTATCATGCACGCAGCAACGTCCAAGACTACAGTGATCCCAGGAGAACGATATCTCAGGCCGAGGTAGCAACCGTCTTCCATCTTCCCCACTCCGCATTTACGTCCCCTGCGCGTATCAGGCCTGGCATGTTTCGCGCCACTAGCCCGTATTGGGCTATTGATGTCTCCGACCTTGTCGAGGGGTTCGATGGGGTAAGCAATCCATTGGAACAACCGGAAGTCGGTGGTGGGAAGGAGGGACACATAGAAGTTTTGGGGTTGACAGGTTGGTACATGTCATTGCTCATGAAAATCATAAGGGTGTACACTTGAGTAGAAAATTGTCGTGTGGTTAAGTATGCGCAGGTCCTCAAGTCCATCCTCGAGAAACTCAACACACGACATCTTGTGTTCGTTCAAAAACACCATCCAGTGACCTCCCATAAGCTGAAACATTGTTACTTTATTTTGCATGAGCTCTACGGTTGAGAGGTGGTGTGCACGAGAAGTTTGTCCCCGAGCTTTGGAAGCACAGCAGTCGAGGTGTCGCCACGCGGAAAGGTGTCGGTCCCTGCCGGGAGAGCTGAAGGACATGAGTCTGCTCCTCATTATTGGGCGAGAGGTACCAGCAAGGTGCCAGATAGGCGATTTACTAGGTAGACCGCGAGTAGCATTGAGTCAACAAGATGAAAGATACAATATCATACATGACAGATCCAACTGACGAGAATCACCTTCGTGCCATTAGTAGTTAGCATCCTGCTGAATGAGTGCAACGGCTTTTGCAGAGCGAGGCTTGATGGAGCACTTGAAGGGCTTGGGGTGGCTTGGAGAGTCTATTCAAACCGGCATCGCAGATGTGATAAGATGCACGACATACCTGACCGTGCCTGATGTGGGGTCAACCTCAGGGGTGATCTCAACGCCGTTCTCGACGACCTTGGAGACATCAAACACTGCGAGTGACATCGCGGTGGATATCCAAACGGAGGCATCAGCGAGGTGGAGACCTGCACATCAAAAGAAAAGGGGAAATCAGAATACTGTTTTGTCTAGGGCACTTCTATGGATTGGGCATACCGGGGCAGATACTGTGGAGCAGAAAGTGAGCATTCCGCTCAAATCAAACTCCGTGCTTACCGTCTACCAAAGCCGAAGCAGATCGTGCGAGGCTCAGGCTCAGGATCCTTTCCGTCGTTGTCCAAGAAGCGTTCAGGGTTGAATTGCGAGGGATCAGCAAATGTTTGAGGGTCATTGAGCATGAACCTGTCATTCGATTCTGTAAGTTAATGCGTCGAATATGGAAAAAGGAAGTTCTAACCAAATGTTGGGTATCACCAAGGAACCTTTCGGAATGTAGTACCCGTCATGAATATCGTCCTCAGTGACACGATGGGGAACAGCTGTCATTGAGTGATCGATACCGCTCGGCAATTAAAGAATGTGATGAACGAGAGACACATACCAGTAGGGGCAACAACGTTCCAGCGCAGGACTTCCTTCACGAGCGCCGCAGTATAAGGGAGCGAGTCGCGGTCTGCGAAGGAGGGAAGGCGATCAGTGCCAACAACCGTGTCTATTTCAGCCTGAGCCTTCTTCTGAACATGAGGGAAGAGTGTCATAGCCAGGAAAAGCGAGTAGATTGTAGAAACTGTCTGAGGAGACAGATGTTAGTCTCAAAATATGATAATGTGAAGGGAGGAGCCAACTGTATCGGCACCACCAGCATAAAGGGATGCAGCAGACCATTTCACCATATGATCCTCTTCCACAGACAAAGTACTACGGCCTTCCAACAGATTCGAGGTGAAAGACTTTAGGGCAATGCCAACATCCTGTAAAGTGTTCAACGCATGATCGCAACACTACATATGTTGGTTACCATCTGATCCTTAACAAACTTGTATGGTGCATCAACCATCTCTTCGAGGGTTTGGCGCCATTCACGGGCCAAGCGCTTGAAGCCAGTACCGGGGAACCACTCCGGGACCTTCGCCACTAAAATAATCAGCCATTGCAAATGTCAGAACGCCAGAGCAGTACATAATGGCATGATGTCAACCATGAAAGCACCAGGAGCAGTGGACCGCGAGAATTGGTCCACAGCACGTTCCGCAAGGTCGATAAAGGGATCGTTATTCTCCTTCGCCTCATAACCGTGAGAGATTCGAAGAATGATAGCACCAGCGGTGCTATAAAAATTCAAGGTCCCATTCATGGCAAGGATAAATCGTACAACATACTGTCGAACATGATCTTGCAGTTTCTCGGGTTTCGCAAATACACGCTTCAGGAATCGGCGAGTCTCGATCTCCTCGACTGGGTGGTAGACATCCAGGGCGGCGCGGTTGCCCATAATATGGTGGAAACTCTTGCGGTACCGGCGAAGACGGTCACCATACGGGAGAAGAGCCAAATTGTGCTTCCAGCCACAAAGTTCGCCACCCATAGGCAGAACAGGACGGTCAGAGTATACCGTGCCTTTCTTGTCCAGCATGTCCATCGCGCTCTTGACAGAATTCAGCACAACAATGTGCTGACCGAGGATCTCGACATGCGAGATAGGGCCTGCACGGCACAGAATCGAAGTGCGCAATTTAGGAACAACATGAAGTACTCACCATACTTCTTGCCCCACTCGGCAAATGTGAGCCAAGGCCTGATGTGAGGCATGTCTTGGATGTTCCCAATGAGAGGCAATCCGCGGGGGCCGGGTGGATATGGTGCAGGGTTCTTGTTCAACACCTGCTTGACGAGATATACTGCGACACCAGCAAGGCATAGGTCCAGCCAAGTGACGTTGGTTAGTGTCAACATGGTCAGTAGAAGAGAATGAACAGATGAAGAACGGGGCTGTATGGTGAGCAAACATATGAGAGACCTACCCCGTATATGTTATGTGAGAACACGAGCGGCCGGATCACTAAGATAGTAGTCATGCATCATGAACGGAAAACAAAAATATCTAAGATGATTTGCTTCAACCAAAAAGGCATTGCCAGTGTGTTTGACTTTTTCCTCACCAGATCTTCGGTCACTGTACTACTACTAGTCCTTCCCGACCCAGGCCTCAGCATACGTTCCACGTTGACAGGCTATAGCGCCAAAGGAATCGCCTTCTGCAGAAAACAGCAGCGTGTCCAGGACATAATGACAGACTTTGACCTCACGTTCGCGAATGAAGACCCATTATTGGATTCCAGGGCTCACTCCCTTTTCTTGATCAATCAATATGATCATTGATCGATATTGATCAAGGACAGAAAATGTGTTCGTAAGGACATGGCAGTGGTGTTGAACATAGGAAAGCGTTTCCGTTATAAGAGGAGACTAACCGGTGACCAATAGAAACTCTCCGATATTTCATATATTTCCTTCCGCGCGTCGCACTAGTCTTATTTATATCACATGGTACACCTACAAAAGTCCTCAAAAGCCCCAGTCGACAGTATTGTAAAGCCCGGCGTTCTTACAACTAAGCTATCACCTGGTGACATTGCGCGTACCCGTCGGATCGTCTTTTAAAAATGTTATGTTGCGCTGTTACGGTCGCCACATATGCGCTCAAACAGAATGGCGTTCTACTCAGCACGATAAACCTGGTCATGAGTTGCCGGGTGGTCACCCATGTATAAAGCCTGTCCAGTGAGGGGAACAGAAGAGGTGTATGTCAATGATCAGTGTGCAAGAAAGGCTGATCGTCAAGTAGATCGATCGTTGAGTAACGTTTTTCGTCCAGAACATGCATTGCATATAAATCATTCCAACCATGTACGATACCTCGATGCGGCATCACAATCTTTGTCCTGGGATGTAAAAAAGAATAAACAATAGGACAGATATAAGTAGATGAAAGCAGCTGGGAGTGTGTATGATTATCCAGACCAGCACCAGACACGATAAGGCTGATGAGGGGTCCAACTCGGGTTTGATCGTGACACCATTCTTGACGGCCTTGGAGATATCAAAAACTCCGAGCGACATAGCAGTAGTTATCCAGACGGAGGCATCAGTGAGGTGGAGACCCGTGCATCAAAGCAAACAACGCCAGATTACTGTTGAGCAGGACAATTCATCATGTCCCTCCAGGCGCCGGAAGCCCATTGCGCCACTAGCGGTGGTAAAATCAGAGACAGGAACAGAGACAGGATCTCGGCTGGTAGATGGAGTGTCAATGAGGTGAATGTGAAGTTATGGGATCCTGACTGGTTTCGATGAATGAAAATTTAATTGTCACTCCTCTCGATCATGACACCTGTCGTATTGTTGTACTCGCCCCAGATATATGGTTTTGTAGTACACATTCGTAGGTATCCAAGTCACCACACAATATGTCCAGGGTCCGTCAAGCCAGCAACATGGGCTCCCGTGGCGTTGAACCTCTTTATTCTCTCATCCATCCCCAGGATTTCATTCACGACATTCCATGTACCTCCGAGATCATGAAATGGCGGCGGCACGGGGATGCCCTCATCAAGCCAGTCGAGGAAGACCACTTCGGTCAACTTGGGCAACAATCTACGCAGTTCATAGGCCATGCCCACGGAATCGACGATGGGAGACATCCCCACAAAAAGTCTTGTGATCTTCTCGTTGGCAATACTGGTAAAGCACGGCTCGCTTTCAAAGACAACCGGACATGCCCAAAAGGATATTTGAAGCATGCGCAAGCGCCGGCAATGTTGTATGAGGTGGACGAGTCCTACGAAGGTGAGAGATGGTGGGGTCAGCCAACGAGCTGAACCCCCAAAGGCGAGAGTTTCGAGCTGAGGCCAGGATTGCGCGATTGTCTTGAGCGAGGCATCATTGATGTCCGACGTGCACATCCAACCGAGTTGTAAGTCCGTCAAGCGATTAAACGACAGCAACGGGGCAACCGCGTGAAAGCTAAGCACATAGCTGCGACGGTTGGCAATGACCCCCTTTGCTTCGTAGAAGTCGAAGTCGAAGTCGAAGTCGACACACAATTCCTCAAGAGCAGGAGAGAAGCACTCTGAGAGGGAGACAATGAGGTCAGGAATATCCAGTGGATCGCCGCCCAAACCACCGTAGTCGACGTCCACCGTCACTGATCGACAGGAGGGAAAACGGACACTTCTGGTAAAGCGATTGACGACAGACTGTGACGGTGCAGTGAGGTGCACTTGATTGAGTTGGGAGAAAATTGTTGAAGTGGAATCGGATGGCATCTCGTGAATGTTGTACGTCCTCAGGATGAAATCCAGAGATTTCAGCGACGGCAAAGCAGCCAAGCGAAAAAACTCTTGTGTACTAAGGACTCCTGTGTCGAGACGGGAAAGCTCTCGCAAGCCATATAGAGCTTCGCAAATTGCATCTGAACTTTCTGTAGAATCACCAACACATGTGCAGTCGAGCTCCTGAATGGATGGACATCGACCTGGGAGGGAAGCCAACAAAGCAGATTGGGCAAATGAGGGAGGCGTTGATTTGGAGCCCAGTTGTATCGATGTGATAGTTGACACAAGCAGGGTGCGCAACAGCGGAAAGAAGTACTCTCGCTCGTCACACCAACGCAAAATACGAAGGTTCGGCAAGAGCGGTGTGGGTGATGGTGTAGACATGAACGCCTGCATGCCATGACTGTCTAACGCGTCTAGCTCACTGTCGATGACTGTAAAGGAGCGGATACGTCGTGCATTTCTATCAATAAGCCTCCACTCTGCATCTAAGAGAGGCCTTTTGAAAGTCTGTTTTGAATTTTTGAGCATTCAATATCATGCACACAGATGTTTAATTTTTTTGCTCACCAAGTATCCTTCTGTGTCTGTGCTAATGATACCTTCAGGCAGGCATGAGATGAGTGGCTTGAACCCGTGTATGTCTTTCCAAAGAATATCAAGCGCAGGTTCCTTGAATGCCCTACAGGTTCTTGCAAGAGCAGCAAGCTGAGGAACACTAATTGGGCGCCAGTTGCAGTCTTCGATGGTGTTGAATTCGAATAGGTACAGTAGAATTTCTGTGGGTAAGAGACAGACATGCATGAGTGCAAGAGAAACAAGCGCCGTTTGAGCGCTGTTCGCAAGTGTGCCCTGCACAGCGCTTGAAATTAGTCATCGCCTAGGCAATGGTCTGATGACGAAGAGGGCTACAATGTATTAAGGTCATTCTGGACTTTCGAAATTTCAATACTCATATAACGCTTACAGTGTTCTAAAACATAATTGGTACTCCACTTGGTCCATCTCATCACTCCTTCCCTCAGCGCTAATCTCTCCCATCTCATTTCAAGTGCCAAACCTCTAATCGACCATTCGCCCAATCATTCCATGCCTTCATGACGTCCTCAAATGTCCTAACAGGATCTTGGTATGTCATTCTCTTCCTTTCCGAGTTGTTGATTCGGTTCTGGAGAGGCAGCTGCTTTGCCGCATCCCTTGTCCAAAATATCTAGGGACAAGTCGGTTACAGGTTAGAAGAGACTGCGAGTGACCTACCTGTCCGTCGCAAACACGGATAAAAATGAACTTACATGTCAGGACCGCGTACGACCACTGTAGTATTGTTTCGGTATCTCCAATGCATTCGTCCGATGCAATAGATGTTGTGAATTTCCCCCGGAACTTGCGTGATTGATGAACATTCATTTTATTCAGAGCCACGTTGGAGTCATTCGACAGCTCAAGCGGTAAGATACGAAGTAAGGGGAAAGCTAAGATGTCAGATGGATCTTGGCTGCTACTTCTGCTGGCGACCGCGAGTGTGACACCCCCAGACTGGACCCTAGTAAACTTTCTATTTCCCGGACGTCCTCGCTGTGGTTAGGGTTAAAGGTTTGGCGCATACAATCATACAAGCGATCCGCTCGTGCTGGACCCTAAAAAACTGGCATCAGCGAAGTAATTTAATGAACGAATAGGTGGATTATACCTGGGAGGAGACACAGCGACTCGATTGATAATATCTTCATCCGCTTCGTCATCCTCAAGTTCGTCATCAGACTGGCCGTGGAACGTGCTTCATCTCCTTTTTCTGGAACCAGCTCCGGCAAAAGAAGAGAACAAACGGTCGTTTTCCGTCGTCCTCACCAACAGCGTCGTGCTGGCAAATGATGCGGTCAAATCTCACGATGCGTTCGTGTGAGAAGAGACGTGAAGAAGTTTGCGGAGGCGAAGGAAAATGGGTTGCTCTGGGTCAATTGTAGGCGGAGATCTCTGCGCTACAGGAATGACAGGTATGGGGCGTCGCGGTGCACAGCAGGAGGACGACGAGTTGCATCAGACTACAATGATGGTGATGAATAAGTGGTGAAATCAGTAAAAGAATGAGATACGCACATTTATTAGACCGTTGAGGATTGACGTTGCACTTGACCTGGTCTGTAAGGGAATGTCAGCAAACGGACACCAGAAGTTCGTGGAGAATGCATACCCGGCCTGAGCAAGGACGTCGGGTGGAGTGTTGGATGTGTACATCTTTTGTGGATGTCATGTGAGTTAACTAGTACGAGCCGGGTGGGAGGACAAGGGTGAAATGATTTCGAACGTCGAAGGAAGCGAGGAGTTGGCGGGACTCGAAGGCCCAGAGTTTGATGGGATTGTCGAATGAAGAGCTGGCAAGGAGGGTGCAGTCGAATGAAAGTGCTAGACCGGTGATAAGTTGGGTGTACCCTTCGAAGGGAGTTCCAACAGTCTTCAGCGTCGATGTGTCGAACTCGTAGATTGTTGTGGGGTTGTCTTCTGTGAAGCTGAGTGCGGCTAAGATGTTTTTGTTTTTGTTTGTCCAGAAAATTGGCGCAATATGTGATTAATGATGGTTTGCCAGAATCCCCTCTCATCCAATTTCTGTGTTTGGATATCCCAGACCTGGAGCCACTCCCTGGTATCTGACTTGATTGCGAGCTTCTTCGAATCCGTCGAGAATCGAACTGCGCCCACGGAATTCGCGCTCTGGAATGGACCAGCCACGAGTTTGCCGGTCCAAGTTCCATATCCGCGCTGGGCCAATGGTTTGGCCCTCTCGAAAGTAGTGTGCTGTCCGCAGAGATATCAATGCAATTGATCTGCTCTGACTCGTGACCTTTGAATGTCTTCAAAATCCCCGTCTCAACCTCCCAGGTTTTCAGCTCCCCACTATAGAGATCCCCACCAGCAGTGACAACCCATTGGCCATCCCTTGATACTGCTACCGCGTATACCTCCTCCTCGTAAACACCCCGCGCTTCCTCAATCTCTTTACCCGCCTTCAGATCCCATTGCCGAGCGGTCTTATCCCAGGATCCAATAGTCATTCGCTGGCCGTCAGGACAGTGTGATATGGATAGAATATATGACTGGTGGTGAGCTTTCCTTGTGTGCTGCGGAGCTGACGTACGTTGATTGTCGTTTGAAGATTCCCAACCAGTAGAGCTGATCGTCAGTTCCTTCACGCTGGAACTCCAGATGACGAGTTGATGTTACCAAGAGGCAAGCAATGATAGAGAGGGAAGAATTTTACACCGTGAGTACAGCTGTCGTCCTTGCAAGACGTGCTATTTTTTAAATATCCTCCTCCTTGCTTTTCAGCTCACAGAACTCACAGCTTCTCACAGCCATGAACAAAATTCCTGTGCTAGAGCGCTAATTTCGTTTCTCTTTCCCACCCGCTAGCGTTGCTGTGTGCTTGTGGGCCTCCGGCGTACATGGATGGCCCGACGCTGTAGCATTCAACCAACCTTCATCTAACCTTTTTCGTTGCAGTTTCGCTTTGGACGACAGCAGACCCATGAACAGTTGCTATTAACATTGTACGGAGATAAAAGAGGACCACCTTTCCTCGTCCCGTTGTCTCCACCGTTCTCGAGCACACGCTCATTCAGGCTTTCTCACTTTCCTGGCGCCCTCCACTAACCGACGTCGAGCTTTGAATATATCTCTAATGCCGCAATACAAAAACGAAGGACCGACCCCCGAATTCGAAAGGCCGAAAGCGATGTGAGAATTATCGTGCAACAACCATTGCCTGAGAGGCCTCTCTCCAGGACCACTGCTGCATAGCCTGACGCACGGCTAGGACCACTGGCAGAACACTCTGCGTGAATGCCACCAATTGGGTTCCCGGCTTGCGCGAGTGGGACTGAGCCTGCCTTAACTGCTTGTCGTGACGTCATAGTGCGCTGCACATATCAAATAATCAAAATAGATGTAGCTGCTGTTGTTGATCGGGACGTGTGACGCCGAGCGTAACACAGCCAGTGTCCTGGAGAGAATGCAGCTGCTGATTCGTTTGCGGATAGACTAGTCAGAGACGGGCGAGCGCAGTGAGACGGAAAAGGGATGTTTACACATCATAAAAGTTATTTCTGATCGACGGTGAAGGTTCTCTGGGCATTTGGATCTCTGACGCCCTGGAGTCAACAAAGAGATACTTGAGAAGTGTCTGTGCCAGGCTTCGTCAACGCAGGCGACTTGAGCCGTGTTTCCTGTGTGTTGGCGCACGTATATCACGCCTCAAATTACCAGCATCAGAATGACACGACCACCCAGCACCACCGAGCAATGAATCAGCATCCGGAGGCGGAGTCGCATCAGAGTACTCCGGGAATCTTATCGAGATTATGAGCATGGAGAAGGAAAGAATGGGGAATACAGAATAAGTACGCCATGGGTGGGCGGGATGTCCGCGACATAGTGACTAGATGAATAAATTTTAAAACAACAGTGATATCTCGTTCGTCTGGCGTAAAGTTCACGTGGAGAAGGCAGTGAGAAGGAGGTGATGACTCGAAAAAATGCGGAAGATGGGTAGGAACGTATCTCAGTGGTCACTTAGCCTTCCTATGATGTTGTTGACCATCATGCATGATGATCCGCACTTGAATACACTGTCAACACTAGACGCCATCAAGCCTATACTCACGTGCTCCCTCAGGCCATAGTGATCATTCATCCTAAACTCCGCCTAGACTATGTACACTACAACCAATCATCTACTTGGGAGTCGTGGACAGCCTCTGGAGTTATCTCACAAAATCATCTTCGAGAATGTGGTTGACACATAAAAGATAAAAGATCCATCGAATATTCTGAGTTGAAAAGTTAATGGTGAACCTGGCCAAAGCAAGAACGGAGATAAGAGCAAAATATTAAAAGAGATACTATCGTTGGGTTTTGCCATTGGTCTTCGTCGCGGCGCCCAGTGATGTGTCACTGTTCTTGCCGTCTGTACTGTGGCTAGGTCTTCGAGGCTTGGCAGATCGAGCCGAAGCCCTTCTTCTGATGTGACTCGTACTATCTTGGCGTGGATATCATCCAATTTGGACACCTTAAGATCTAGACGTTCTTGGACCAGAAAGCAATCACAAAACTGTAATCAATGTCAGCTAACTGTAGTATGGCACAAAAATTACCGTCGCGATCCTTAGTGACGAAGATTCAGAACCTCCAAGCTCTGATGACAGCTGATAGATTATGGCACGAAAATTACCGTCGTGACCCTAACGAAGATACGAAGAACTCTAAACTCTGAGTGAGATAACGATACGAACCGGCTTCCAAGATCCTCCGTCTGCAGAACCTTACGCCCGTGAGCGCAGCCGCCAGGGCCACCACATTGACCATCACAACATCGTCTAACCCCGCGGATTTTTCAAATTTGACGAAGCCCTTATGGTTCCTTTTCGCGTAAATATTTGGACATCCCAAAGTAAATTCCTTCGAGAGTGGATTGAGGATGTTGCCCCCAAGGCGCAGGCCGCTCGTTCACGGTCGTGTGTGGGAAGATAGCCTTAGCTTCGGTACTTGACTCGAGGGCAATATATGTCATGAGCCACTGGATGAGGGAAGCTTCCACAAGGAAACGTCCGTTCGTCCAGTCAGACCTAGGGCCAGAAAAACGAGCATGGAAGCCGCCATTGTGATCTTCGCCGGTTCGAGCGAGACGGGTTGGCTAATATTATGATTGGGTTAGTCAGTTAGCAGGGAGCTATTCTTCTGTTGTGCTCACCCAGATCAGCTCAACTATAACGTCATTGTAAACGAGATGGCTGCTCCGGTGATGGCATCAACCTACCCTCCTGTCCGAATATCAGTGCTGAAAATAACACAAGGATATCGGTGGTTCTTTAATACTGCCTTTGCTCACCCCGATTGTATATCACCCAGGCAGGAAGGCAACTGCGAACCCATGGTTAGACAGAGACATCACCAACATCATCCGACTAAATCTCCATGAACCTATAAAAATAGTTGTGAACATATTCGAATTAATGGTCGACCACCAACTGGGCCCGGTTCATTTGAGACTAGGGTCATATTCGAGGGGTGGGTGCGAGTGAATGGTGAACTCAGTAGATGTAGAGGTTGGACGGAACCACACCACAACCACACCAAGTGTGCTGGGTATATCAGTATGGCATCCAGCATGGTTATGATGTTCGGAACAAAACGCAAAAGCTCAAGCTTAAAAAGCTAGTTGTGCTAATGTTGGGAACCTCCAACAGCCGATTTCTGAGAGAGAAAGGTGAGGCCCATAGCAACTATGCGAACCAAAACCCAGGCGCGAGAGTAACATGGTACCAGGCAAGAGTCAAACATTCGCAATCGGAAGTCCGAGAGGTCGATCGGATTGATCATTGATCAAGGCAAGCTTAGCAAATTGAACGTAAGTCAGCTAAACAATTTATTTTGAGTTGTTTACCTTCTCCTCAACCGTGACCTCTCCAGAGTCTCCACCGACAATATTATTATTATGTAATATCGACCATCTACTTTATACGTACGGCAGATCAATTGTTGTCAGTTTGGGATCTGGCAATATAATTGTTTTGACTGAATCTTACAGTGCAGGTACCTTCTACTGTCATATTCAGTTGATGTACATGTACATTCGTAGCTTGGCGTCGGGAACCAGCGCCCCGTTCAGATCAAATTCAGACTTATAAAAGTTGGGAGCGGCACATGATCTTCAAGATCTGTTGCTTTTCTTTGGATCGATATCAGCTAAAATGCAACGACGCACTGCAGCCGCTGCTCCACTTCAGCCTTTGCCATCGTACTTGTCGAATGCGTTCGCCCCAGATATATAGTTTAAATCGCAGTACATATCTACAAGTATCCAAGTCCCTACAAAACATGTCCAGGTTCCATCAGACCGACCACATGGGCTCCAGTGGCATTCAGTCCATCCCTTCTCTCATCCTGCGCCGGTAATATACCCCAGAACCGCATTCACAACATTCCATCCATCTTCAAGATACTCAAATGGCGGCGGGGCAGGAATGTCATCACCAAACCAGTGGAGGAAGTGCACTTTATACAACTTTGGCATCAATTTAAGCAGTGCATCTGCCACAACGGCATAGGGACCACTAATCGGAGACATCCCCACGACAAGCCTAGTGATGTTCTTGTTGGGAACGGTTTCAAAAAGGAACGGATCGGCGTCGAAGAGGACCGGAAATGCGCAAAAGGACAGCTGGATGATGCGCAAGTGCCGGCAACGTTGTATGAGGTGGACGAGTCCTATGAGGGTGATAGATGGTGGGATCAGCCAACGACCCGCACCTCCAAATATGAAAGTCTCGAGTTGAGGCAAGGATTGTGCGATTGTCTTGAGTGAGGCGTCACTGATGGCTGAAGTGCATATTTAATCGAGCCTCAAGTCCGTCAAGCGACTAAACGACAGCAACGGTGTAATCGCGTTGAAGCTTAGTGCAGAGCTGGGGTTGGCAAGTGTGTCTTCTTTGAGGGCGTTGAAATCGAACCCTAACACGAAATGAAGTTTCTGAAGAGCAGGAGAGAAGCATTCCGAGAGGGAGATGATGAGGTCTGGAATATTCAGTGGATAATGCGGCTCTAGGTCATCGTCGTCTCTCACGTACACCTTCCCTGATCGACAGGAGGGAAAACGGACGTTTCTGAGACAGTTGTTAATAACGGACTGTGACTGGGCAGTAATGTGCACTCGTTCGAGTCGGGAGAAAATTGTTGGAGAATCGAGTTGCATCTCGTTGATGTTGTACGTCTCCAGCCCGAACTGCAGATACTTCAACGACGGTAAAGAAGTCAAGCGAAGGAGCACTCGTGGATTAAGGACCCCTGTTTCAAGACAGAAAAGCTCCTGCAAGGCACCAAGAGCTTCGCAAAATGCATCTTCAGAATCACCAGCACTAGCACATGTGAGTTCCTGAATAGATGGACATCGAGCTCCGAGGGAAGCCAACAAAGCAGATTGGGCAAACAAGGGGGGTGTTGATCTAAAGCTCAGTTGCATCGTTGTGATAGTTGACGCAAGAAAGTTGCGCAACAGCGGATAGAGGTGTTCGTGTCTGTCAAACCAACGCAGAATACGAAGGTTCGGCAAGAGCGGTGTGGGTGATGGCGCAGACATGAGCGCTTGCGCAACCCGAATGTCTATCTTGTCTAGTTCAATTGATACGACCGTAAAGGAGTCGATACGTCGCGTATATCGATCAATCAGCTCCCACTCTCCATAATAGAGAGGCCTTTTCAACGTCTATTTGAGGATTTTGAATTTAATGTGTACGTGGATTTTTGAATGTGTTGCTCACCAAGTATCCTTGCGCGTTTGTGTGAGCAATACTTTCAGGTAGGCATGAGATGAGTGGCTTGAACCCATTTATGTCTTTCCAAAGAATATCAAGCGCCGGCTCCTGGAACTTCCTACAGGTTCTCGCAAGAGCAGCAAGTGTGACATGAGATCTGTGGTTCAGGTTTTTACTATGATTGTTAGTGAATATGTGCAGTAGAATTTCTGTGGGTAACAGACAGATATACATGATTGCAAGATAAACGAGCGCTGTTTGAGCGCTGTCCAAGAGTGTTTTACGCACTGATGGGGCCCTGCCATAGCGCTTAGTCATGTTCCGAACCCCATCAAGCGATCCCTCAGTGCACCATTCATCCTAAACCCCGCCGAGACTACGCACTTGGGAGTTTTTCTAGGTGCATCAGAATTCCATCGGTGTCGTGGAAAGCCTCTGGGGTTATTTCAGAAATTATTTCAGAGAATGTAGTATGTCATAAAGCTGTCGGGTATTCTGACTTTAAGAATGAGCGTGAAAGCAAGACCGGAGATAAGAGCAAAATGATAAAAGAGGTACTTTCGCTGGGTTTTACCATTAGTCTTCGTCGCGGCGCCCGGTGATGTGTCATTGTTCTTGCCGCCTGGGCGGGTTCTTCGAGGCTTGGCAGATCGAGTCGAAACCCTTCTGATGGGCTCGTGCTATCTTATCGTAGATGTCATCTAATCTGGACGTCCTTGAGTTGCCAGGCGAGAAAAGCGTCACCAAACTGTGGTCTAATGAACCGTAGAATGAAGCGAAAATTACCGTTGTGAGATATGATGCGAAGTTTAAATGAGAGACTACTTAGCGATGTTAGACACATGCAGATGACATCGGCGCTCCTCGAGTTTGATCGTGTGCTGATGGCCACGATCAGTGCGCAGGTAGCCAATGGGCCCATGTGCTACATAGTACCGCTGATCGTTGAGGCACAACTCGGTTCAGCGATGGTAGTAGCCATGCGTCATAGCACGTTGCAATAGCACTAACGGGGTGAAGAGATTAGACGTTTATAGCACGACGCACATACCTCGCGCACTAGCGTTTCCTGGTGGAAGGTGTAACATCGTCGGTTCGGGTGAAGTGAAACGGCTTGTCTTACGGTGGTATGACGTTTTTGAAGTTGCCAAGATGACGATGCGAATACGAGTTTGTTGTTGGTGTCGCTGTTCATAGCAGCGATATCAAAACAAACGTGCAATGCATCTAGGACACGCGGCGTTAGGGAAGTGGCCTGTGCAAACGCCGGATACGCAGGGTAAGCGTATGTGTGCACGTGTGGATGGGTTGGAACGTTGTGTTCACGTTGTACTTGGGATGCCTGTGGACACGCTTGATTACGTTATATGTGCGGAAGCGATTAAGATCGGGATGACATAAACATTTCATGAAGGAGAAGGTGCGGTTGGGCAGTGCAAAGGAAGTCAAAAAAGACAAAAGGTAGTCAGTTGACCGTTCACTTTCATCGTCGTTTACAATGGACTACGATTACACAAACCAAGAAAACCGCCAATGGCCTCAACCAACAACTTCTGGTTTTTCATCCCCTGTTTCCCCATCACCAGGTTACTACTACACACCTAGTCAACAGTCGCCCTCATCAGATTCGAGACCCACGAGCAGTAATCTAACGCTGAACCTCAGTTCTCTCTCAGTCACTTCACCGATCAATCTTCATCACTCTCATCCCGGTATATCCCCAATCACTCCTGTATCTCCTCCAAATTTCAGTCCAGCTCATCTCAGTCCACAACCTCCTTTTCAATTCAACTTTGACTCGACAGAAGACTCATCTCTCTTACTAGCACAACGTCGTCCAAGTACTGGTTCTCATAGTACTTCATCCAGCGAACTTGGCGTAGAAAAGAGCGTACCACGCAAACGCAGTCTCACAAACACTGCTCCTCCACCTACCCACCATACTCACGCACACTCTCATTCCTACGGGGGACACACACACGTACTCCCACACCCAATCATAACTACAACTGCTTCATCCCCACCTCCCCTCAGCGAACCTTCTTCTCAAGGTCCGCTCACCCCGGCTAGTTCACAGCCTCCGAATCAGATCGATATCAACGCCACTTATGACGATCCTGACGGCGTAGCTGGCTACTCTATGGCAGACCAAGACAGCGAAGACGAAGGCGGCGGGAAACCCAACGCGACAGGCCCAAGTTTAGGTGTCATCGGAAAACCAATGGGCACCAACAATTTTGTCACAAAGCTTTATCAGTGCGTTCCCTTGCTGTGCTACATCTTCGATGCTGAACCTCAATAGGATGATCAACGATTCAAAGAGTCAGCATTTCATCGCATGGACTGAACTTGGAACAAGGTTTGTGTTTTGACTTTGGTTTGGCCCTTTGTTCATTCCCGCCAGTTTCGTCGTCTCCAATGTAGGCGAATTCAGCAGAAGCATCCTTGGCTCGCATTTCAAGCACAACAACGTCCGTAATCCCTATAATCTGATACGTCTACTAACACCGCTACAGTTCTCAAGCTTCGTTCGCCAACTCAACATGTACGGCTTTCACAAAATCAACAGAGTCCGTCTCACTTGGCTTACCTCACCTTTGATCTAACCTTCGATCAACAGACCCCACGCGCCCAACGCACATCAACCACATCCCAAACATGGGAATTCAGCCACCCTAAATTCCTCCGCGCCCGCCCAGATCTCTTGGACGCCATCAAACGTAAAGCACTTGAACCAGATCCTCGTGAACGTGGGCGGTAAGTCCATCCACCTAATTGATCGAACGGAATTTCATGCCCCATCAGCGTCGAACTCCCAGGCGAAGTCGCTCGTCTTTTAAACGACATGCGAGACGAGAACAAGGCGCTCTGGCGCGAGATCTCTCGACTAGGCGGACGCGTCCCTTCTCATGTCGCCAACACCCTATCACAGTCTAGTAATTCTTCTCTCGGCGGAAGTTCGACGGCTCCGAAATTACATATTGGTGGCGATGATGAAGATGATGATGGGAGCGATGAGGGGTTTGCGTTTAATGTTATGGGTCCTGGTTCCATGGGAGGTGGAATGGGGATGGGGATGGGGGGAGGAGAGGCGTGGATGAATTGGGCGAGTGCTGAGATGCGTCGCGAACGACGAAAAGTGGAGAGACTGACTGGGATTGTGAGGACGTTATGCGATGCGATTGGGTCTGGTGCGCTTCCCTTTCCCCTTCCCGTGCACTGCCATATACTAACGCACGCACGCAGTATCGCCGACACTAATCCAAGAACTCAACGCCCTAAACGCACCGAGCCCCTCCCCCTCACCCGTCCCTCCAAGCCCGATCCCAAGCGAACACAGTCCAAACATCTTCATCACCTCACCCCCATCCCCATCCCCCTCGCACTCACACTCGCATACCCACTCCCCATCGCATTCTCACTCCTCTCACCACAGCCAAGGCCACGCCCAAATCCACCACCCGCACAGTCACCACCCCTCAGTCCCCATGCTCAACATTCCTCAATATGCACTGCACACTTCCACGCCCTCCCCTACATCTTCCGAATTCTCAGCATTCGGGAGACACGGGAGACAGCCGAGTATAACCTTGACGCCTACTCCTGATGTGGAGGGTATCAGGGAAGGATCGGGGAGGGAGAAGAGGCAGAGGAGGACGGGGAGTGTTGTCAGTGTTGGAAGCGTTGGGAGCGTTAATTCTCCGATGGGGAGCGGCTCTGTCTCTGGAATGGGAGGCGTCACTGGTCTTGGAGGCGGTGTCGGAGGGGAAGAAGATGGTGAAGGAGAGATGAACTTAGGCTTGGATCTTGATCTGGATATGGACGTCGGGAGCGCTGGTGAGAAGAAGCAACAGCAGAGGGCGAGGAGCGATTCGGCGCCTACGTGGGTGACGGGCCAGAACGCTGGTGCTGGCGTTGGTGCTGGCGGGCTCACTGCTAATTGGGGACGGCCAAGGAGCGGGAGCGGATTCGGGAGGTGATTATTCTGATGATTGACGGTGTTGGTTTTCATGCCTGGTGTTTGAATGTTATGCTTTGCTTTGATTTTACTTTTTTCACTTCTACGCTCTGCTTTTTTTTACTTGTCTCCATTTTCACGCTTGCGTGTTTTCCTTCTTTTCATACTTGACTGCTTTCTTTCTCTCCTTGCTATCTTCCCTTTCTTTCTTTTTTCAAAATTGTATATGCTTTGCTCAGAGAACCTACTATCGATATCGATCTGTGCGATTACGCTCCCCTATCTGTGTATATTTCTATCACGCTATCCTTCGTCCCCCTCCCTCCTCCTCCCTCCTCCTCCCCTCCCCACCACGCCTACTTATCTGCCACGCCTACTCTGCCACCTTGCGCCACTACTTGGCGCCACACCACACCACGCACGCTCAATCCGTACTAGTACGCACGTCCTTGTACGTATTGTATACAGCGCTCCGACTCCAACTGCTCTAGACACGAGTACGACCATACATACATACATATATCAATCCCTTTCTTTGTAGACGTAGATCCGGTAACCGGTCTCATCCCTATCCTTTTCGCCCAAGATCCCTCTTAAGTAGTATTACTGTACTTTTTTGCCCCGCCTCGTTCCCGCAAGTCTCCCGAATTTAATTCGTTTGAATTCCCTTCCTTTCTTTTGGGTTCCTTCTTCGCCGACTTGGGTTCATTTTTGATTGTTAACTAGTACTAGTGCTATGTATCAGTTGTGGTTTCTTTTTTTCCTTTTTTCTCCTCTTTTTTTTCTTTGGACGGTAGGAATTTTTTGTCTCGAGAGTCGAGTTCAATGGGAACTTGGGGGAGGCATACATACACAACATGATGCATGATGCATCGGATCCGATTTACCTTGCCTTTGCACATTACATTACCTGAGAACAACGTCAACGGTTTGGTGTGATTACGACGTGCGTGCGGGTATCGGACGTCAAATAAGTAATGGGGCTGTCCTTGACTGCGGAAGGAGGGTGTCTATCGATGATATGATGGCACTTAAGCCACTAGTACATACTAATTTTGACTGCGGGATGACGCGAGACGAACAATCCCTTCGAAAGTTCGAATTGTACTTAACTTCTTGAGTTAACCTGGGGGAGGGGGCGTACGTGTACGAGGATCCGATTTACCTCAGGCTAAGTTCGTCTTCCTACCCCAGGACGCGTTTAGTGTGATTGGCCACGTGCAAAAGTCTTCAATTGACTGCCAGAAGGTAGGGTGATGCAATTGCTAGTGGTAACTGTGACTGCGGGATGACGAATGAAGGACGGATATTAAACTCGGGCTTCGTGTTCCCTTGGAAGGCGTCGTGTTTACAACACGGACCAAGGACAAGGATGCATGCATGCATGCCTGTCCATGGCTAGAAAATCTACGTACGTATGTTCCGACTCCTGGATACTCTATTACGATTCCCAGACCTCGTCGCCCGCAGACAGGTTTAATGACAGACGTGAGTCAACATGTACATGGTTGAATGAATCGTTACACGGTCCTTTCAAGGCGGATATTAAACCATTGAAATGACGCATGACGAATGCCAGAGGACGAAGCACAGCTCCGATACCACAGGAAACGAATTACGAATCGAACCCTCGAGGCAAAAGAACGACTACAAAGGTATACTAAACGCATATGTGTGTATTATAAACAGGGCTTCCTGTCACTTTAGATCTACGATAAATTTAGGTGAGGGGGCCGTGCAGTGAGGGTTAATACGAAAATAAACAAAAGGATGCCTGCTATGCAGCCGTCCATCAAGCTAAGGTCTGCATCATCACCATCATCACCTACTAGTAGTCCTTCATTATAATAGTCCGACTCCGATACCTACGTAATTATCGTCAAGCGTGGCTTTTTTGATGGACCAGGACCAGGACTGCTTGCAGAGTGTGGAACGGTACTGGGTGCATCGTGGCCAACTACAGGGGATGGGAGTAATTTAATTCTGACATGTCGAATGAATTCGAGGGCGGTGCCTGCTGTGGGTCGTGAGGCTGGTGATAACGACCAGCATTGACGGATAAACGGCCAAAGTTCGTTCACAAGGGGAGAGTGGGATGGACATGGTGGGGTGTTTCCATGGTGGATATCCTGTATGATTATCACTTCACGCTTGGTCTCGTGCCAGGGCACTTTGCCTGATAGAACCTGAACATCCGTCATGAACTTCACCGAACGCTCAATTGAATTTGAATACGCACCTGAAGCATGATACTGCCGAGAGAGTAAATGTCGCTGAGCGTCGTTGGCTGTACATCATCAGACAGAAGTAGCTCGGGAGCTGTCCATCGTACTGCTCCTGGATACATAGCGGTGGCTGCGAGGTAAGTCGTACCAGTTTGCAGGTCGCCAAGCATGCTTGATAGTCCAAAATCGGCGATGCATGCGGTCATATCCGCGAGGATAAGAACATTAGACTTTAAACGAATGAGTTCGTGATCAGTGAGATGATAGTAGGGGGGATGTTACGTACCCCAGTGAGGTCCCCATGGGTAACGGGATTATTAGGATAGGAGTGTACTGTAGAATTCTACTCAGATAGAATCAAAGAAAAGTCAAAAGAGACGGACAGTAAGTGAGACCAGAGGCGATGTCGTCCAACTGAATCGATGATCTTGTTAGAGATGGAGCACAAATAGAAATGATGCGATCATACCAAATTTAGTTGCTCAGCAATAGTGATGATCGGCCAACTTTTCTCCAGGCAATCGGTCAAAGTTCCATTTGCAGCCCAACGAGCAACAAGGGCTATCGAAACGCCAAAGCCAAAAGCATAGCCCATGAATTCCATGACATTGGGGTGACTGAGTCTTCTCCAAATACCCATTTCTCTTCTCAGTTTCTGTAACACATAACTATCAGGCCGTATGCATGGATAATCAGTGCTCTGACAAACCTTGGAGGTCTGCTTGTTGACTTGAAATCTGAATCCCTTCACAGCAACCTGAAACAGACACCTTATTAGCATATGGACATCGTCGATTCGCATCTGCACGAACCGGGATGCATATTGTACCATCGTCGTAGGTGCATTTCCAGACGTTGCCAAAAGCGCCCCCAGCTATGGGATCAAGACCGTAACTCCGAGTAATCCAATCTGTCAAGTCGATCGCTTGGACAGGGGTCGTCCTACAAGTGAGTTAGTATGGCTCTGAAAAGTTCAAACAAACAAATCGTCACCTTCCGGAAGTTGTACTGGGGGATATGGGGGTAGGAAGCATCCCGGAGAGATCGCTGGCAAATCCACGCTTACGATTATCATTTCCTTCGACAAGAACTGTGCCGTTTGGATCGGTACTGGTGGCTGGTTGGTCACGAGAGAAATTGGACAAGTCTGCACGACCAGGAGTGCTTGGGGATAGGTATCCATGCATTATCAGGTCCTGGCCATGTGCAGCACTCTGCTCAAAGTCAGAGGGGCGTGAAGCCGAAACAGGCGTAATGGGAAGTTGGCCAAACGTGCTCTGGAGAGAGTTCATATCCAACCGCGGCAAATCGGTTCGTGAAGTGGGTGACTGAGAGGTGCGAAGGCTGGGGGTCGAAAAATAAGGCCCTGAGTTGGGGGAAACCGGTGTATGCGAAAACGTGGGAATGAATTCATCTGGCGATATCAGGCCTTCCTGGGCAGATGGGCTGGGTAGGTCAGATGTGCCCGAGCAAGATGTATTGATACTATCTGAAACATTGCGAGAGGTTGTCGCTGAGGAGACGAGATGAACAGAAAGGAGGGGTACAGATTCTTGGTGCTGGGCGCTCGACGGAAAGAGCATTGAGTTGATTGGCACTTCAAATCCTGTACCTGCGAGTCAGAATATCTGATCACGATAACCAGCGGGTTGACATACAACCCAAGCTTCACCAGGCTTGTTGAAGGGGGATAGTGGGAGTGCTGCGGTGAAAGGTGTGCGCAGGACATGACAGGTGTTAATTTTGTACGTTCCTCGAGCGCTTGTAGCGCTCAATGCCGAAGCTCTTGAAGACAGTTGTTCTTGGGAAGGGCTGTTATCACCGGTACCTTGAAATCATGAGACCTTGGACTGGGAATTACGAGCACTTTGGTAAACATGCCTTCATGGTAGTCTTGGATACCCGGTAACCCACAGCATTTGAGAACAGCTGGTGAAGCAGGGGTGAGATGATAAGTGGCACAGGTGCTGGGGTGAGATGATAAGTGGCACAGGTGCTCTGGTTGATGAAGTCAAGCGTCGTAGCAATGTACAGCATGTGACACTTCGAATACTGCGCTAAATAACCTAAAACCTAGTGGTTCGATCATACACTTTTAACTGCGTCTGTACTGTGCAGATCTTCAATAGACGACGATACCTGAGTATGAAACACGGATGAGCGAGAAGTAGATCATGATGAGATTAGTTATACATGCAGCAAGATGAGAGGGTGACCGAGCGAGTAACAAACAGCAAGTGGAACTATCGCAACAAGTCGACGACAAAAATAAGCTATCTAAACTGGAGGAACCAAGATGTCACTGCTCGCTGCAGCTTTTGCGATAAATAAGACATCCTGATTCCGCGTGAAGAGGGAAAAACAAGGGGGTCAGCGCAAAAAAACATGTACACGTATGAATCGAGGTAAAAATGTTCGAAAAACAAGACGAATGAAACAAACACATAGCCCCGCAATCATATCTTCCATCCACCGTTTACTTGAGATCCACGCCGGTCGGATCAAACCATTCACGGAAGTCTTGCTCAAAGTCTGTCCGAAACATGGATGGGTCTAGGTCCTCCAATGCTGTCATAGATTGCATGAAGTCTGCAGACATGAAATTAGGCGGTAAGTCGGATAGATTGGGTTGTGATTGGTTCGCGGGATTCGAAGCCAGGGGTACTGAAGGTGTCCCGTTCGGAGCAGGGGACTGTGTGATGCTCGAGTTAATGGTATTTGGAGTCGGGGGTGCAGTGCCGTGTGCGCTCCCTGTAGGGTTGGATGAAGGCCCTCCCTGGCCTGGAGCAGCGGGAGCGTTATGAGGCGACCCTTCTGGTATACCTGAAGGGTTGTTGATCATGGGTTTAACATCCTTTCCCTGATCTTTCATTGGGCCACCCATGGCTGGTGACGCAGGTGGCGCCATGCCTCCCATGGGTTTGGCCTGAGCCAAATTCTGACCGACTCGATTGTTCTGCGGACCAACAAACTGTTGTTGTCCTTGCCCTGGATGGAAACCTTGCTCAGAAGCACCTGGAGCAGCTGCTGCTAATAAGTTCTTTGTCGTCGTAGTCATATTCTGTCGGTACTGCAGCAAGTGCTTCAGAATAGTTAAGGGGTAGCCAAGGGCTGCAGCAAGAATCGGCGACTTACCGCTGCACTGGCCATCATCATGTTACCTGGTCCTGGACCCATGCCGGGGCTCATGACGTTACCAGGAGCACCCATTGGCAGTCCCATACCAGGATTACCCATGTTCGGTGGAACACCGTGTGGGGAGAAGTTATTCATGGGCGCGCCTTGCATCGACCCAGGACGCATCATGTTACCATTGACCATTTGTTGTGGTACACCCGGCATGCCCTGCTGTTGCGGGTGCGGATATCCTGGCCCGGGGCCCATGGATGATGTTTGTTCCATGGGGGGAGGTGTGCGGCGCTGCCGCTTCCTGTCCGGAGGCGAGTTTTCGCTATTCGGAAGCGCGCCATGCTGTCAAATTTGCAAATTAATGCACCGTGGATATGAAGCCAGAAAAAAAATAGTACTTCTTCTCCAGGGGACGTGCTGTTACGTTTTATAGCACGCTGTTGGTGTTGGTGTTGTTGATGTTGCTGCTGCTGTTGCTGCTGCTGCTGTTGTTGTTGCGAAGGCTGCTGCATTGTTGGATGTCCAGGTCGGCGTTGCTGCCCGGGCGGAGCCATCCCTTGCATGTTCGATGGACCTACAGGGCCGAGTTGTGATGCCTTGGCGATTCGCTGCCGCACATCATTGAAAATTCGTTGCTGTAATTCAGGTAATTCACATTAATAAAATTTCCATAAGAGCGATGACGACGAAAAGTACCTTATCTTGGAAGCTAAGCGACTGCAATTCCTTATCGCCAAAACCCAGCGCTAATTTGACCGCTGTAACGACTTCGGTAGGCATACGACTGAGTTCTTGGTTGAGCAAGCCGAGTTCTGGATTATTCGATGGCGTCTGGTGGGGCACCAACGATGGACTGCGTTGCATCATGCCGCCTTGACCCGGGGTACTAGGACGGCTGGGCGACCGACCCATTGGAAATGGCGGCGTCTGCGTCTGGGGAGCCGAGCCAAGGGATGAATTTGAAGGGTGCATGGGACGATTGAGATTGGCAAGGTGGTTGGGCGGGCCCCCCAGCTGACTCATCGGGGGCTGTGGATGTTGAGGGCCAGCGCCAGGGTTGCCTCCTGTTATATGGGGAGAATGAGACATCGTTGGGGATTGGAATGGAGGGGCAGCGCCATTTGGTCTTGGAGGGCCGCCGGGCCTCTGTTGCCCTGGTAGTAGCTGCGAGAAGTTCCCTGGTTGACCTGGAGGGCCGCCCGATGACATCGGGATACCGTTAGCTTGAGGACCGTTCATTGGGAATGACATGGGGCCCTGAGCGCCATTTTGCATTGGGCCTGGGTTACCTGGCAAAGAAGCAGGTCCAACACCGTTAGGCATCTGGCCATTTGGTGGCATCGATGCTTGGGGTCTTTGCGTACCGTTCATGAAACGATTCATTGTTGGTGGCGCTTGCCGCATTTGGGGCGCATTGTGCTGTCTGAGGTGCTGTTGCTGCATTTGATGCTGTTCAGAGGTCACGGTTGGTACAATGCTAAGAACGTTGTGTCCCACATACCTGCGTATAGACAATTGCATCATCCGTTCCTGTTCCGTTGCTTTTTGCTGTGAAAAGTACCCAAAAAACACTCCACCATCTGGAGTGCCGCATATTGAGTAACCGAGCGCTTAAGGAAGAAGTCAAGGAGGACGTACTCGAAAAGTAGACCCTGACGTGCGTTGATGGGAGGAGCAGAGTCTGGGGGTATGTCAGCCTCTACCAGCAGCTCGCGAGCTGTTTTACGGAATCCGCGCTTATTGCAATAGTCATAAATGTAAATGTTGAACCTGGATGAGGAGCCAAGGAATTAAGTTGGGGCAATGGAATGAGATATGCGGCGACAAACATCCTGTCCCCTTCCCAAGATGGATCCGACGAAGGGGGAGAGGGTTCACCTGCAGGAGGTTGCGCAGGCATTGATCCGGGAGGGCCAGAGGCCATGTATGGCTCCGATACAGGTTGACGAAAGAAAGTAGAAGCACAAGAAGGGGTTTAAAAGATCAGCGGAAGAGACTGCACGTATCGCGTTTGACGGGTGGAAAATAGAGGTGATGGCAGAGACTTGAGCTGTGTAGGCTGCAAAGATATATAAAGGCAGCTCAAGCTGGACAGACAGCGCACAGGTTCTCCGGCCAACGAGTGAGGGAAAAAGGAAAGATATTACAGGACAAAGACAACAGCGTCTAGATATGCCTGATCGTCGTCGACGGCGACGGCGACGAAGTTACCTGGCGGAGGAAGGAGTAGGCGAATGGGAAGATTGAATTCGTGCCAAACGAGAGGCGCAAGGTCATACTAGATGGGAAATTTCCAATTGTCGCCGACTTTGCCACCAAAAAACTACACGCCGTTTGCCGCATGCTCGTCATGGCTGGCTACGTTCCACCTTCTTCCATTACTCTACAATACGTTAAGAACATATGATACACGCGCATTCTAGTGTAACAGTACAGCTTAAATCGCAAAACCCCCTCAATGTCTGCGAACAACAGCGATCTGAAAGTCCCATCCACCAACAATATATTTCACCTCCAACAGCCGCCTGATCTCCCGCCACCCCGCGCTCCCCTCCTCGGCATCCTGCAGATCTGTCACGACGTAAATGAAGTCTGCAGGTGAGAGAAGCGATCGCAACAACGATCCAATTAAAAAAGCAATTAGTGCTATGATTAGAACAGTCGACAGCGGGTATGTCGTCGGCATCCGAACAATGTGTGTTGTCATCGTGGGGCTCGTGCTGTTCGTCTCCGTACTCGACAACCCACCAGGCAGCTTCGGAACGCTTTGAGACGATCGCCGAGAAGATGAAACAGATGGCATTGGTGAAACAAGATCCTTGGCAGGTGATGAGGTCCAGCGAGATATCGGATTAGGATAAGCATTTAGGAATCCAAACAATCCACTATTTGATGGTGGCTGCGGCAGAACCTGCATAACAGTGCCGTTCTCGGGGGCATCCTATAGCATCGTGGCTTAGGGAAGCCCATCACTTTCTTAGAAAGGAACTTACCAAGGGCGGCCCGTTTTCGATCACTTCCGCCTTTGGTCGACTCTCCTCAGGTGCTTCCGGATCTTCGTTGATATCGATAGCAGGGACGATAGCGCCATTATCGAGGAGATCATCCGCACGGGACAGGGGCTCTTTGAGTTCGTCGGGGAACAGGTCTCCATCGTCTGCGGATCTGACGACGTGCATCAGCAACGGCTTGCGCATGAACCACGATATTTGACCAACCTTTGCAGTACAGGCATACGAGAGACCCGATCATCCTGGAGCTCATCGCGCCCAAGTGCAGTTAATGACTCCTTCTCGCTAGCAATCCCAACATTCGCTCCGCCAACCTTCACTATCACGCCACCGTCACTTTTCTTGATACCCAAAGCAGACGGTATGACAGGCTTAATCTCCACTTGTACCACAAACCCTTTTTCATGCAGATCATTAAACCACTGAGGCTTGGGAGGTGCGGTCCTGATCTCGCCTGTAAGCGGATCTTTTACCGTAGATACCTGGTACTGGGCCGTGGGCAATGACAACCTTAAGAGATGCCGCGGTGGTCGATCTGCATTCAACCCTGATGAGTGTAGTGGCGAAGCAGGAATAGTGTATACGCTCGAGCTGATGGGCAAGTCGGTTGTACCTGCACTTGTTACCAATTCCGTGTCGTTCTCGCGCGAGCTGTCGAGGGAGATAAACTTCGCATTGTCTCGCGGACGTGATGTAATGAGCACTTCATAGCCCTCGGGATAGAGTTTCGAGTCTACGACGATCTCAGCGACGAGGAGATCTGTGGAATGTTTGATTTCGCCCTTCAATGTAAATGCGGAAGAAGATGCTTTCAAGGGCTCCGCAGAGGCAGAGCCTGCAGAAGCTGAGGAGGTCCTGCGAGGATATGGCGTGGATGAAGGAATCGAAGGAGAGGTAGTAAATTCTGGAGGATTGATCGCCCGAGCCTCAGGAGTGGGACTAATAGTTGGAAGACCCGCTCTGCTCGGCCTAGGAGTGAGTTCATCAGGTTTACCTGGTGCGGCATTGGTCATCGTGAGTAGCACAACACTACGATGAGTTTGGTTTAGAGGGTTGAATGTCGAAACGATCAACTTCCGATTCTCGTCCTTCTTCCTCAATCTCCAAGATGGCGTGTTGACTCCAGTGCCACCCTTTTGTTCCGTCAGGACAACACCGGCTGCTGGAAGCCTCGTATATGGCATGGGCGAAGAGCCCTTCAGGTAGGTCTCCACTGCAAGTATCGACTTTGGGAGCGCGCTATTGATGAGCGAGTTCATTGCCACCGGTATGGATCCCGCGTAGTCCACGGCAACGACTCTAGTGCACCGTGTCGATGGAATGGCGTAGTTCTCCTTGGTATACGGGTCGAGGGTCTCAAACATCCAACCATCGATATACGCCCGCCCAATGGGCAAGGCATAAGGGTTGTACTTGGATGGAGAAAAGGATGCAGCCGAATCCGGGTTGAAAGATGCAGATACGCAAAAGATGACTGAGCGAGCATCTTGCGAGGGACCAGTCTCTCCTGGCGTGACATCTAAACTTGACAGTGGAAGCCTGGAGCGGGCCATGATAGACGCTTGGAAGAACCCCCGGTCACGGAAAGGAAACCCTCCCTTGGATACTACAAACGCGGTATGACATTTCGATCCAAACCTCTCCAAGATCGAGGCAGAAGCGAATCGGACATCCCACTGCTTGCGACACTCATAGTTCGTCACAACAGCAGCAACCTCTTCTGCGGAGACCCCCTCAATGACTTTCTCGCCTTTGTGCACTGGGATGGACGGCGAGATGTCTGTGAGTAGTTTGCGATGAACTGAGATACCCTTGTCCACCAGCAGAGTCCACCCGGCTTTCGAATCAGGACCACCGCACTGGAGATCTCGCATCCATTGTAAAGCTTCCGCGGCATGTTGCATGGGCACTCGTGATGCAGACGGTGCACCTCCATCTCCAGGAGCCATTGCAGCAACCGCTTGCTGGGTAGTAGTTGTCGCTGATTCCACTGCGGTGTACCAAAAGCTGGCAAGCGGACTCGTGATTTTTGGGGACGTTAACCACGTTGACGCTGGCGAGGGCATTGGGGTTTCAAGAGGTTCAGGCGTTAGATTTCTGGGGGTAGATTCTGTGCTGTTGGGAGAATCGCCATCGGCGTCCCACTCTGCCCGCCGCCGTCGAATGACGCCCACGACTGGGGGCTGGTCGAGCGGAATGCGTATAGGCTTGATGCGTTTGCGCTTCGCAAGTGCCTTAATCTCCTGCTCAGGAAGTTCTTCGACATCGACAGTTACACGTGCCCCATTGACCATCACAACCCCCTTATCTTTCCCAGGTCCCATCGGCCCACGGCGTACGATAGCCAGAAGCCTCTCATCGGCAGCGAACAAAGCATCGTGAGTGAGCGTCAGCCACAGCCCTCCTCCACCTGCGGATAGTCGATGGCGGCGCAGCGCTGAAACACTATGCGGAGGGGGGTCGACGACGACATCAAGTGCAGATGCCCACGTGTCCATATCACACCGGATCTCGCACTCGATCGTGTGCATCGTGCGAGAGTTGGCGGCTACGGTAGATTCATTTGCCGAATCTTCTGTGATGGTGGTGGGTGCTCGGCGATTTTCCGAGCCTTCATACTCGACACGGAAAGCGCCCCTCTCATGATCATATCTCATGTCGTTAGCTTTGGCCCCCGCAAGTCGTGTCACTACTGGGGGACCACCGCACTTAATGACAAAGTCACCAACGCCAGCGAGCGCAGAGATCATGGCTTGTGGTATGCTTGCTTTGTTCGACCATCCTTTGGGATCTGACTGCTCGAGCAAGGTGAGTTGGGTGGTGTTCGGAGAGAGTGTTTCAATGGCCCATCCTTGTAGATCGACCTGTGTGCGAATGAGAGTTGGGTCTTGAGGAGGGATGGAAGGAAACAAGTATGGGTCGTCGGCTGAGAATGAGAAAACATGGATCGTAGTCGGAGATTTATAGACGGTTTTCAAGAGGACTGTGTCTCGACCCCTATACGCAAATCAGAAGTAATTCATACTGACAAGTGAAGTTTGCGCACTGTACGGGCCATGCGGGCTTAGTCTTGAAATGCCACAATTGCGTTAGCTCGTTCACATCTTCGAGAAGCGTTGCATCCTCGTGTTGCTTGTCCCAAAAAACCCTAGCACCAGGCGAAACCAACGCGCCGTACAAGTCCCATAATCCAAGGCCGACAAAAGTGGCTTCTGCTCTATACACCACCAGGGTCGGATCGATAGAATCTAATTGAGTTACTGATACTCCACGTGCTTCCGTAGCTGCAGAAGTTTGAGTACTAGTTCAGAAGCAGAAAATGAAATCCACTCACTCCGCTTCCACTTTGCTTCTGGTTCCTGCAATAGTGACGAGAAGTATATATAACTCCGTTTCACGCGCGATAATATCGTTTTCTCCGCCGCCACAGGTCGCTCAGTCATCGACCGCGCCATTGGTGGTCTTGTAGGCGTTGTGGAGCTCGATGCAACGGAGCTGACTGAAGATGTCGTTTGAAAGCTCACATCCGCAGCACTGGTCGCATCTTGCAGGATCTGTTGTTGTTGCTGCTGCGCGAAAGACAACGGATCGCGCTCTTCGACAAACTGAATGGTCTGAGGAAGACCATTCAGCCTGATTCCGCTGGATGGCGCAGAGAGTTCTATAACTGCACGAACTTTGACAATAGAATGATCATCAGGAAGAGGCGCATGGGATATACGGAGAACCGTTAGTTCCGGTGGCTTACTCCCCACGATTGGCGAAGAAGGCTTCTGTCGCGAGGCAGTGGCATTCCAGGGGAGACTCTCAACCTTCTGAGATGAGCCTTTCATGGTTATTTGGACATCCCACCCTTCATTCGATGGAAAGACGCATTCAAGGGAGCGTACGAGGCGCCTGTGTTCCTTAATCACGTCCAGCCCCTGACCTGTCTCCCCTGCGTGGTCTTCTTCTTCCGAGTGAATCACATACTCAATGGCAAGAGCCTGCCTGTCGAGCTGGAACCGTATTTTCTCAATGCTAACCCCATATCCATGTCCTGCAAGCACCGGTATGCGAGAGCCACGCGCTAGGACGGTCTTATACAGACCCAACATCATCGTGCACAGCTGTTGGCACACAGTGGAAGCAGAGCCAAAATTCCAGATTGCGCGAAGGTCGTGCTGCCAGAAACACGTAATGCGAAGGCGTGGCTGCGCCATAAATGTAGACATGCGCCTTTTGATTTGATCGGCCGGGGAGTGCGGCTGTGGGGCTGTGGATGGTTGAACATACTGGATACACCAAGCGAACACTGAAAGTTATTAGCGAAGCGAAAATGGAATAACGAAACAACTTACATGCAACATGAGATCTGACGTAGGGTGGTGATGGCCTCAAGTACGCTGGCTCGTCAGATGAGCGTGGCAATGAGGTGGAAATATCTATTATCGTGGATGTATCCTGGTAAATGCGTGAAATCGTTACAGCATCTCGTGGACTGCATAACAATCAATATAACTCAAAAACGAACAAAAAACCACAAACTTGGCAGGCCAACCAAGCGTAAAATTAGTCTTGGATATTCGCGTCTGACGATCGAACATTTCTACCAAATGCGCACTCTCAACTGCGGGGTCCCACTCCTGTCTAAGTTCCGGAGTGGTAATGACGGCCTTCCATGCGTCGAGAGAAGCAGATTGGTCGGTAATTGGGACGTCGAGGACGACTCTGTAGACATTCTCACCCGACTTGATAGCTTTGCGGTGCACAGCGATATCGGTGAGCTCAGGAGTTGTGAAGGCGCGTGCTTTTCCCTTGCCTGACGGGGATGAATCACTTGCTAAGGAAATATGCTTCCATTCCGAGGAGGAATGAGAGGTAAGGAGCTGGCGGAAAGTGGCTTCAGAGCCATCCAGTGCATCCTTCCAGGTTTGACGGAGCCTAAGGCAGAATGTGACATTAAGAGCTTTGAGTGATGAAGAAGAAGAAGAGCAAACCTTGTACCGTCAGTCATACCACAGACCAGTTAAACAACAACGTTACTGGAAGCTTGAGCTCCAAAAGCCTCCACCAACGTCAGTACTACGGAACACGCCCCTCCCATTTGTAACGCCACGTGGCGAAAGAGCCTTTACCAAAAAGGAAATGCTACTTTCTGGTGAACACTTGTACTGTCCCAGATATATCATATCGATCATCTGCCAGCTTTCATCATTCCGAGTCACAGCGATAGCAGAGAGTGTCGACGACGATGGCTATACAATCGATGCTAGAGACCGTTCAAGACAATGGCACGACCTGGTCCGTGATACATGTTTAAATTCATTGATTCCGCAACTAACACCAAGTAGTGAGCCCGCTAACGAGAACGACCGGATACTGAGTATCCAGTCACACGTCGCATACGGTTATGTGGGCGGAAAGGCTGCCGTATTCCCCCTCCAATGTATAGGCTATGATGTTGATGTACGCCTTTCGTTTCAAGCTGAACACCCTCTAACAGTACCTAGGTAGTCAACACCGTGAATTTTTCAAATCACACCGGTGAGTTTACCACTAGGTCTACCATTACTGCTCAATCAAATTGTGTCGAACACAGGTTATGGACGATTCGGCGGAACCAGAGCATCTGCAGAAGAGTTAGCGACGATTTTCAAGACGATGGACGAGGCTGGCTTGTTGGCTCCCCACAGACTTCTCACAGGTTACATACCAAACGCCGCCGCTTTGCAAGTCATAAAGGAACTTGCGCAAAAGCTTAAGTCACATGACCCGCATCTCATATACCTCATGGACCGTAAGTTTCCAATAAAACCTCGCCAGGATTTATCTTATGTCGATACCCCCCAAAACAGCTGTGCTCGGTGACTCAGGGAAGCTCTATGTATCACAGGATGTAATACCCATATACAAGGAGATGTTTTCTTTTGCAACGATCATCACCCCTAATTGGTTCGAAGTCGAGTGAGCACGTTCTCCTCATGTACTGATGGTGTCTGATATGATAAAGGACTCTTACCGGGGTACCACTCCGTTCACTAAGCGCTCTGCGCAACGCCCTATTCATCCTGCACAAGCACGTTCCACACGTTGTCATTTCCTCTATTCCCTTACAACCATGGTTATCCGAGGTCCTACCTGAAACCATGCAACCTCCAGCTTCCACAGATAACCAACAAGCCTATCTCCTCTGCATCTCCTCATCCCGTACAGGGACAAGCTCCAATTCCACAGTTCACGCCAGACGCGTCCCACTGATCCCAGGATACTTCTCCGGAGTCGGCGACCTATTCTCCGCACTAACTCTCGGGCACTTCAACCCGTCCCCCACGTCTTCCGACGGCAAGTTTCATTCGGCTACACAGACCCCATTATCATTCGCTGCTGCCGCCGCTCTGCACAAGACACACTCGATCCTTGAGTTCACCAACGCCTTTGCAGCGCGGCTTCCTCCCGAAGACCGCACAACCACTGATGATGAGCGTGATGAAGCTGAGCCCGTGCGAAAGGACAAACGAATGAGGGGCAGAGAGCTTAGACTTGTGCAGGGGCAGCACATATTGCGGGAGGAATGGAGGGAGGGGCAAGGGAAAGATCTGCAACTCTGGGACGCTTTCTGGGACTCGTGTTAAGAGAGAGACCAGTTTAACTTATCATATTAACCCGCAGCACATCTAACATTATGATTTTTTCTCTCTTGTATTTCCTGAGAATTTTCACGATTTGATGCCAGCATTACTGCAGTCGAGAGTTTACCCCTCTAATTCCGAAAGCACTACATCACTCAATAAACGAGCATAAAGTATGTACTCTCTAGACAACCTAGCTATGACCCTACCCCACCCTGCTGCACAATCTCCATTGGCGTCACGCTTCCTTGACTAGACGCCGGTATTGACGATGCCGCAGTCCTTAACTGCTCCTCTGTCATCCGTCTGCGCCGCTCCCCCACCTTCCATATCACATCCTTCAACTCCTGGACAACCTCCCCACCCGGCCCCCACCGCTCAATCTTAGGCGCATGCTCATCAGTCCCGACCCCAACTCCACCCCCACTCTCCCGTCGTGCCTTCGCAAGCTTTATCCGCTCCTCCCTCGTCATCTTCGACCGCTCACGCGTGTACGCCGGTGAAATCCCCGTCTCGGCTTCAAACACCTGCTCGATGCCGGGCGGAGGCAAATGATGCGACGACGCTGCGAGCAGCAGAGGGGAAGACGCATCATCTGCATCGAACGTCTCTCCGGTCGGTGATATCACCGTCAGCCCGATGTCCTCGTTTTGCGCCTCAATGTTTGGTGATGCTTCCTCAGCCTTGTCAGAGTCGTCGCTGCCCATGTCAGGAGCTAGGGTGGGCAAGTCTTCTGGCTCCTCTGGGGAGGGGCTGGGCGGGTGTATGATGTTCGTGAGCCTCTCCCGGCCACGCTCACACTCCCGCAAGGCAAGACCAATCTCGCGCCGCAGACGTTCATAGGCCAGAAGAGCAGGGTGGCTAGAAGGTTCCTCCATGGAGGACGTTGACAACTGTAAAGAATGCCCGAGCGGTGACTCTTCTTTCAGCGAGGTCACACATTGCTCAAGGTGATCTCGCGCATCGTTAAGAGCAGATGAAATAGCATCGACGTGGGCTGCAAACCGTGCAAGGTCACTGGGCAGTGGCGCGAAGGACGTGATTTGAGAGATCGAGTGCGAAAGAGGGCGGGTGGAGAGTGGAGGCGATGGTAGTGAAGAAATTTGCACATCAGATGAAGAATCTGATGCAGCTGCATCCTTCAAATGCTGTTCCTGCTCCTCCACCTCATCCAGAACCTCACTAAGTCTTGAGGAGGCATCCACTAATGTTGTCGTAAGGAGGCTCATGAGCGAACGCACGTCCTCCCAGTAAGCGTCATCTTCATCCCCATCGAAACGAAGAGCTAATAAATGAGAACATGCGTATCGTTTCGAAGCGAGCGCACTCTGAAGTGACTGCTTCAAAGACGAAAAAGACAGTGGATGTCGGGTCGTTTGCATGCTTGTGTATTTTGAGGCGGGAGACATTGTTGGAAGGTGCCTCGAGTCAGAGTGACTCCTCAATAATGATACAGCAGAATTTCGGGGTGACATCCCAAATTTGGTCATACCCTGACTGTGACGCTTTCGGCGTAGGTCAAGAGCAGCAGCTCCAAAGAAAGCGTCGTCACTCTCTGGTAGCGATGAATCCCCCAGGTGGGCGTCGTCCTCCTCGACCACATCAAGTAGTGGTTTAATAGCTGATGGGCTCGTGGGCGCGCTGACACTGCTTCTTCGTGATGGTGACGCAGCACCAAGGAGTGCGCTAAGATCTGATCTGCGCTTTTCTCTCCTCTTCGCAATATGAGACATGGGACTTCCTGCCTGTGCAAGAGCAGAGTAGGACCCATTCCACGTTGACCTCTTCTGATCGCGGACGGAAGTAAAGTTGTCATGTTGCCGAGATCCTGGAAGAGAAAGTGGCCGGTGCTGATCACCATTCAAAGAGAACGTGAGTTTCATAGGTGATGGTGGAGCATACATCTCCGAAAGCTGCGCAAGGTCGGGCGGAGATGCGATAGCGGAAAGAAGTTGGCGAACGTTGTCACATTGAGTTTGGGTTGTGAGAAGGGAAGTTGACAGAGCCACCCTAAGTGACGAAGAAGTCATTATGGGGGATAATGGTCCGTAGAAGATACTGTAAAGAAGCCGGTCAGGACACGCGTTTCGGTGATGTCAAATCAATTACCTTCGCTCTTCATTTTCTAGGGTATCAAGGGTATCTTGGACAACGGCGTCCCACACCTTGCCCGCTGTGATTAAATTTTGCAATGCTTCCAGAGACTGCGAAAGGAATGGTAAGTCCATTGCCTATAAATTGCAATTGCGAGGCTCACAGGTGTGATGATATCAGGTTTAGAATGTATATCCAATCGATGAACGTGCATATAATACAGTGTGCTAACGAGCAACATGAAAAACAAGGCGTAAAATCGAGCGCTGAGCGCTGCAACAGCAAGAGTGATGGAAAGGGTAACGGGCCATACATGTGGTTCGGGTTCGGCGGGTATCGTTAGGGAAATTTGATCAGTCGCAATGCTTTCAGCCCCGCTGGTACTTCTGCTATGATTGCTCGCGAGTTTTCCAGGAATAGAGGGTGAAAACGAACGACGGTGTGGGTGAGGGACGGGGGTGGTCGCGAAACCGGGAGATAGGAGAGAGGAGGTGATGACACCATACTTGAAGCGCTCAGCGAAAGCTTGCGCGCGCTTTGAGACCCGGTCGGAAGTGAAGAGCGAACTGAGGAACTTCATGACATCGCAGGCGAGTGAAGAGAGATGCAGAGGAAATAATAATATACACGCGAGCTCAGGAACGGTGTTATGACTACGAAGTGTGTACATACCTGAAGCGCGCCAAAAATAATGAAACATATTTTTTCCACTTGGGCACTGTACTTGAAAACAGTTGGCGACTCCGTGAATGAGTGTTGGAGCATTAAGAAAAGTGGACAGCTCCCAGGCATTTGCTCGGGAGCTTCACCCGAATCTGTGGCGAAGTTATAATGAGCAGTGATCTATAGGGACAGTTAACAACAAATTTGCACCTGTCAAATACTCTTCTAATGGATGTCCGTCATAGTAAGGCTGGGCCATGAGCTGGAGTTGAGGCGTTCAGTAACGATCGGTTGGCGATATGAGCACTGGTTTTCGTGATGCGTTCGTGAAAAAGCCGGTTATTAGGTGAAACGAGAGGAAAACTCCAAGGAACTAGAGAGGAAATGGCGAATAATAGGCGTATGGTAGTGTGTAATTGGCGTCCTTAGCTATAACGCCCAGTCCTGCGCAAACAGCCTTCCTCGGGGACAAGAGCTACCAACTATTTGCTTACATAATCTTCGATTCCCATTGTGCTACTTAGCAAGTTAGCATCGTCACATGTTAGCCTGATGGGCTACTCGCAGTCCAGGCTGTCCAGCTTCCCGAGATCAACCACACAGAATGCATACTAGCATGCCTTCCTTGAGTTATTCATATCGCTGGGCTTTCATGGCTATCCGATACCTTCTCCTGACTTGGGGTTGGCTTAAGTATACGATTCATGATTGGAACTTCATCCTAGCCACTGCAGCCAGGGTCCTCAGGCTCATGTTTGCCTGCATGTTCATGCGGAACCACCTGCTGTTGCAAAAAGGACAGGTTTGGCGCCAAGCTCCACCGCTGCGGTTCTCGCCTTCTTCCGGTTACGTGGCAGAATCGGTGAGCGTCATCGTTTGAGTGTTAATAGAATTTCCCCAGCCCGGAACCGCACATTGGGCTCTCACACACACGACTGTTGCACGAACCAGAGCACTGGTGCAGTCTATCGTTGTGTCATGGCCTGAATCGTTGAAGACTACTCCGGCCACATTCAGCAGCTCGGCAAGTCTACACGAGTCGCCGGATCTACATAGCTCCCAGAAGTTCATATTGGCCACACTCTTTCGAGTGGGTGTTCAGAACACGCGGTTGTCTCGGTGAATACTCATGGAGGTAACGAAGTGTCGATCAGCCGTCGAAGATAGTTGTTCTTGTCATGGTATCCAGAAAAGTCACATTCCCTGCATATCTCTAGCAATGTCACAGAAGTTTTCTGTATCAGAATAGCACCCTGGCGTGCGTTCCTCATGCCGGGATAAATGCGAGCCGGCAGGCACGTGGGATAACTTTCACTTCCTTTTGACAGGGCTCATTCGGTCATGATCTCACACTTGAAGCACTCAGGAAAACATAAGATGATGCTCCTTTTTCAACGATCTGCCGTTTCCGATAACGCGCCTATTTGTCGTTCCGCCAACCCTCTATGAATACGACAAATTGCCTAGGGCCAAGATAAAGTTAACCGCACTGCCAGGGCCAGTTCACGAACCTAAACAAGATAAATTGGGCGTTGTTGATTTGGATAACCGGAAGGCTATCCTTGCGATTGGAAATAATTCTTCGGATCCTGCAATGTGTCAGGGCAGGTGGAGCTCTGAGACTGATGCTTTTGGGTTGGATGTCAGGCATCGCCCTAGACGGCCTACTTGTGGGTATTCACTGGGAATAAACGTCATGATGGTTTAACGTTCAACCCTGATGAGTCACTGACCTCATAGGGACCTGCAGTGCATCTCTCATAATAGTATAGTACAGGGGGTTGTGAGTGATGAAGTGTCCGGTAGGGACCACACCCATTGACTTCAGGAGGACGCCAGGCCCAGAGGTTGGTCCTTCATATTTCCGAGCAAGGAAAAGTTCTTTGCAAGGCACGTCCTCACCTCCTTGAGCGCGATGTGAGTATGCTTGGCTTTGAAGTCTGTGCGTTATGTTACTCTTACCACTTCAGGATAGTCGAATGGCAAATAACACTCACTTACACATACAGCGGGTCAGACACAATCGTTCCCGACTATCATCCGAGACCCTTACTTCCAAGCACTCGTGGTGGAATCCGAAAGAAAACTAGGGAGGCAAGATTGAAGATCAGTGACAACAACACAACATTCGATAATTGGATAAACGTGTTGGGGCTTGTGGGTGTTCGCTGGGATCGAACCTTAGGTCGCTGATGTGCAGGGACCGCGACACTCGACATCTCCGACAATACCATACAGGGACTGCCGACGGAAGGTTTTCAGCATATATTCTTCAAATGGGTCGGCAGGGACTACAGCCATAAGAATCAGGAGGGCGTCCATGTCATTGTAGAAGTTAGCCCTTAATATTGCCGACCAAGGAAGTCAGAGGAGCACAGTTGCAAGGCACTGCTTCGAGATTCTTCATCTAAGCAAACCGGTCTGACCACTTGGAGGTTATTTAGATAGCAAATATGATACCATTACTTACATACATTGGGTTGTATATATTCGTTCCTGACTAACACCATACATATAGAGACCCTTGATAGCAAGCACTTATGGGGAATGCAAAGAAAATGTAGGGAACCAAAAGCACGAAGATCAGCAGCAGCCTTAGAATAGTCAATACCAACATCTACAATGTCCGAAACAGCCAATCCGGTCTCCCCCATTCGACTTGAAGTATTTACCTAAGGCTCTCGGCTACCGTCTGAGTCACCAATGTCATCTCGACCTGACAATGCTTCAAGCTGTCGGTCCACCTCACAGCTGAGATCGTACGTCGAGTAGGTACGCGTTTGGAGACCTTTCAGGTTTAGGACCAGGCGCTGACCGGCCACTGAAAGTAACGGACTCGAAAACCTACATGCAATAAATTCACAGAAAGCAACGAGGCCATATTGATGGCCGACCCACCCTTTAGCTAGGAAAAACTTTGGATCCTATGGATTGTCTCGTTACTCAGGAAGAAAAAGGCCCGCCGTGAATAAGAAAGACTGACGTTCGAGTACGCAGTCCTAAACCATAATCACATGAGCAGATGGAATGAGTTGAGAGTTTGAGAGAGTCTCACCAGGAAGTGACAATCATGACATTATTGAACATACTGAGCTGGTTCTTATCGTTGGTAGTTTGTTGTACTATGGTTTTCTACACTCACAACAAAAAAAATAGTTGCTATTCAATCATAGTCAATTACAGATGAAACTCTCCAGATTCGTGCGAGCATGCTCACCATCTCGAACAAGCAACCAGAGGAGGTTGGAGGGGTAGAGAAACTGAAATTCTCTAGAGTATCTCCAGAGACTTCGCGTTGTCAAAATAAAGATTACCGTGTCGAGAGTGAAACTTCACGGTGTTCAGCGGGTCCTACAAATATGAAACACAGCATACTAACCTTCCGATATAGCAGAGCCACTAGCGTTGCAATAGGCCCCATGAGATTCGCGTCAATCCAGCAACTTGAAATTATATAGCTCCCGACTAACCACATATTCTTTGAAGTGGCGGTCTATCAGTCCGCAGGCGGGGCAAAAATGACAATCACATACTTGGCATCGCCGCCACACAGACCTTGGCTAAGTCGAGGTACTGAAACTCTTCAACTGCCCCAGCGCAACAATATCAGCGAATCTCAAAAATGGAAAGCAGGGAGGCAACCTACTAGAATCGTCGTCCGCACCATACGTTGATACGCCCAACAGTATAAGGACGTAGGTCAGGTAGCTCCCGACAAGCATTTTTGTCACGCCCCTTCGAGTTCCCCAGATGGCCCACGCACGCATGAGCACAAGTACTGTGTAATAATTTTTAGCACAATCCACCACTATAAATGAGATGCACACACTATGAATCGACTCTGAAGATAGGATCATAAAGTAAGTGGTGATAAGGCCAAACCAGTGGCAGAACTGGCACATCCAAACCAGTCAGTCAACGATAAATGCCTACTCGTTAAAATGTAACATACTAGTGTGGAATCATGTGTGAGGAGGCCGGCCTCTTCCAGCCGAATGAAAGTCTGCCCAGTAATGTTTCCGTATCGGTTGATAAGAAACATGACTTTCACTACCGTCCAGGGAGCATTCCAGATGTACCGGATCTGCAACCATGGGTATGTTTGAAACACTATACATATGAGTCAACGAACTCACTTCATCATTAAAGGTCAGAAAGTAGTCGTAGATTAGCAAAGTGTGGCCAGCTGCGGAGAATGTTCTAGATAGAAATGTGAGAAGACCGCTGTAGTGTCACAATATACATCGACCTACCTCCGCACCCAGAGGTCATCAATGAATTCGAGCGGTAGAGACATCAGTAGATGATCACCGAACAGTATTCCGGCACAGATAATGACAACGGCCCAAAGAAGATCCGTCAAGCTTTATATGTCAGACGAGCATGCACTGTCATGCAAGGCATGTCAAATGTTCTATTACATGAACGACGTAAGCGGAGAAAATCGAACCTGACATGACATGAGTGAGTGGATCGACAACAAAAGCTTGTGCTGCGGCTTGGCGTTGAAGGTGAAAGCTGAGACCAGTCAATATGTTGCCGGGGATGAATACCAAGGGCATTAGCCTTCGCGGTGTTTCCAGCAATGCACAGATTGGGGAGGGCCCTGAAGACGTACATGCCCGTCCGAAGGCGTCAAAATGGAGAAAAGTGAGCAAGGATGGTGAAACGTGTGTTCGTAAACCACCTGTTGGGGTTTGATTTGAGTGACATTGTGACCATCACCGCTCTTGCGCGGTAAACATCCTCCGGCGTCGATCCGAACTGCTAATAAGGACGGAGGACATTGTAAAGCCACTCAGATAAAAGCAATCCACCAATAATGATACAATCGGAAAAAATGAGAAAATGAACAATACTACTGTAGCAAAAGTTGTGTCGCAGGTACATGACCAACGTCGGGCAAGTGGTGAATCGGCCATTAGCCTAGCTAACGTATGTTGAATACCAACGTTACCGCTGAGATTGAATATATCATTATTAAACGGGCGATTCATTGCCGCGACCTGCCCTGACCTGTTTCATAACCTCGAACTCGGAGCCCAATCAGATGCCAACGTACTAGGGACCGTAACCCGTTTTTTAGGGCACGCCACTAGCGATAAAATAGAATATATATTAGTATTAGTACATGAGACGCTCACTGTGATTCAGGGAGACCATTGAAAACGAGATCCGAATAGTGAACCACGAAGGGAAAATGCAAGCATCGTTTCTGACTATCATCCTATGTATAAATACCCTTGATGCCCAGGTGTGAAGAAACGGAATGCAAAGGAAACGCGAGAGCCAGAAGTGAGCCAGAAGATGGACAACATTCAATCGCCTTTTCAGGTATTTTGATGTAGAACAACATCCTATAATAGATGGTTAGCAATAGAGATAAATTTTGGTTCATGATTCCTGATTCTCACCTCCTCTCGCTCACCTTCTGGGTCACCAAGGGCGTCTCGGCCTGGAGGTGACAAGGAGTTCGTATCAGCGAATGCTTCGAGTTGCCGATCCACTTCGCGGCCGAGATCGAAGGTCGTGTAGGTACGTGTTTTGAGACCTCTCAGGTTCAGGACCAGGCGCTGACCAGCTACTGAAAGCAATGGTGTCGAGAACCTACACGCAAAAAAATCACCGAATGTGATTAGGTCACACGTAAGAAACATGACGACCGACGCACCCTTTACCAAGAAAATGTTTTGGATTCTGTGAGTCAGTCAGGGAGAGCGATAATCTGCTGTGAGTAAGGAAGACTGACGTGTGGGTATGCAGTCCTAAACACCATGAGCAGATGGATGGGTTAAGAGTTTGAACGAGACTCACAAGGAGGCAATAATCAATGCATTGTTGAACACACTAGTCTGTTATTGTCGGCAATGTGTCGCACTATGCAGCTGATCTATACTCACAAGAAAAAGCATGATTGCTATGGGATTGTGGTCAGTTGCAGATGAAGCCCTCCTAAGATCATGCTCACCGTCTCGAAAGAGCATATGGAGGAGATTGGAGGGGTAGAGTTGCTGAAATTCCCTTGAGTATCTCCGGAGACTTCTCATTGTCAAGACGAAGAGCACTGTATCGAGAATAAGGCTTGATGGTCTTCAGCAAGCATGATGGACACAGAAAACGACATCCTAACCTTCCGAAATACATCAACCACTAGCATTTAGACGATGAGATGTCCGTCAATATATCAAATTAAATATAGCTGTCAACGAACCACATATTCTTTGAATTGGCGGAGCGGACTATTAATACGTTGGAAGAGCGACATGACAATCACAATCACATACTTGGGAACGACCCCACACAAATCTGGGTCACGTTGAGATGTGGAAACGAAACTACCCGAGCACAACGGTTTTAGCGCATAAAAAAAGCAGCGAGGCGACCTACGATGAATAGTGTTTATCCTGTGTAGTGATGTGGCTATCAAGATGAGAACATATGACACATAACTCCAAATGAGGATCGTTGACACGCGCTTGGGGGTTCCCCAGATGGCCCACGCTCGCATGAGCACAAGGACTGAGTGAAAATCCTTAGCGCGTACAGCGGTTTTCAAGTAGATGTACGTACTATGAATCGATTCTGTGGATAGAAACACAAAGCAAGTGGTGAAATATGTGAAGCTTTGGCAGAACTGGCATATCCAAGCTCATCACTCAATGTATGTTTAGTCGTGAAACTGCAACATACCGCCATAGAACTATGTGCGAGGAGACCGGCCTCTTCCAGCCGAATGTAAGTCTGCCCAATAAGGTTTCCATATCGGTTGAGAAGAAACAAGACTTTAACGACCGTCCAGGGGGCGTGCCAGATGTAGAGGATCTGTGACCAAGGGTTTGTTTCAATATCATGCATATCAGGCAAACGAACTCACTTCATCTTGAAGAGTCAGGAAATAGTCGTAGACCAGCAAGGTGTGGCCAGCTGCGGAGAATGATCTAGACGATGAGATGCGAAAAGGATGTTACACAATAGATAGACCTACTTCCGCACCCAGAGGGCTTCCACGAACTGAGGGGATAGACTCGGAGACATAGGTGAATGCAGTATAGCGGCAGCACAGACTGGTCACGGGCGAACACAGACCCAGTGCTAAAACCTGAGCTGGCATCCTTTAATGGGGTACACAAGCGCACAAGCATTCTAGCTTCATCAACAATGGCAACGACGTAATATTTATGTCGAGCTGGATCCGACAGGAGACCACTGAGAGCAATTACATTAGTTATCGCCAGGAATGCACATATTAGCGGGAACAGATCCTGAGACCAGCTGGCGCACCGCAGTATTGCCAGGAATGCACAAATTGGTGAGGGTCGTCCAGAATGTACCTTGTTCAATAATCAGTCGGAGCTAGCTCGGTTTGCTCAACTACCTCTGGCAAAAACCCTCTGTGACGGCATTCACAGGGTTCAAAACCCCATATTATGCATGGTACGTTGGCGGCTACGTAAGTTGAATATTCTGCTCTTTGCGTCTTTTCTTTTTTTCCTCATCGTCGATCATGATGACTACCTCCCTTTTAAACACTACTCGCATACTTTCTCTGCCATGGCCTTGGCGCCGCTCACCCCAAACTCACCCTCAACCGTACGTGCAAGTGCATATGTGCACTCAAACCCACCCCTGCCGATATCGACCACGACCTCCTTTTGCTCTACACATCCAAGCGCCACTCCCAAACAACCTCATGCAGCCTCGGCGCTGCCGCATCGACACAACCTCCTGCAACCTCCCACTACGCTGGTGCACCAATACACCTTCCACACCAACCACGACCTTCCTGGTGCTCTCGCTAACCTGGCTATGGGCTGTCACCGCCGCCGCGACCTACCAGTCTCCCGCTGACCACTTTGACCGCCTGCACCTTCCTGTCACCCTCGCGCGGCCATCCGTATGCTTCCTCTCACCACCTGGTGATCTCGTCATGGCTGCCTGCAATCTCTCGTTAATCTAGCGCGTATTCTATGGTCAGCAGCCTAATCCCGCCTTCTACTGTACCTTCCCTTCATTGTACGCGTAAGGTTATACACGTCTTTGGAACATTTATCATTATGATAATGTCACCTCGTGCATTGACTTGAGTTGAGTTTCGAGTGCTTGTACGGTTCACCCACACCTGAACAACACTCGTGCGTTCTTCACCAAAAATACAAAGCATTTTATTTCTTGTGGATAATAATCGATACATATTAGCGATCAAGCGAGAAAGACACGGGAGCTTTCCAAGCGACATATAAAGATATGGCAGAGGGACGATGCATAGCGCAAGAGGATACGAGTAACGACACACGAGGATGGGGGGAAGAAAGGAACAAGTACTAACACTGGGGCTCAGGGCATATATGCTAGCAGACAAGCACCTTGTTCGCTCGTGATACCAGAAACCGTGCCCCTGGAGACATTACGACACGCATACTTCCGACGGTCCGTTCTGGGAGCGCCAGCGGAACGCCTGGCTCGAGACTAGTATATGTATTGACTTCAATGAGAAATGAGTGAGGTATGTGCTTTGTGACGACTTCTGGGGATTAGGCTGTCCTTGTTTTTTGTTTTCATACTTCTTCTTTGGCGAGCTTGACGTTGCGCTTACTCTTGTCTTGGTAGTGGCATCCCTGCTGCGATCGTATGCCTCCTGCTGCTCTAATAGGTATCTGATACAGAGGTTTCCGGCGATGGAACCAGTGTTGTCTCATTGCACGCTGTTCCTCACCGCAGCAGTACCATCGGGGACCGTTCTTTTCAGTTTCCCTACCCGGAAAACACCCAAACTGCTAGTGTTCTCCCCGCCCTCCCGGAATTCCTCTGCTCAAGACTTTAGTAACAGCGGTATACCATACAGTGCATGACGAAATACGCATCTGGTACAATTGTCGGTCCTGTGATTGGAGCAGGCTATTCTCCTCACACTCCGAGTCTTTGGTATTTCTACGACGGCGAGCTGCCGCAAAACCGTCAGCACCTGTGTTTCACATGTCATGAGATCCACGGGTGAAAGGTATGACGGCGGCACATCCCGCAGATGAGCCAACGAAGATCGGGTGCGTCATTCTGACTCGAGCGCGTTTGTCCCATCACAACAACAAGCATGGCATAGAACGCGAGCAGCGCCAATCTGCATTCGCCGTATCGGACGCGTATGGGGGACCTTGTGAAGGGGCACATCACGATCCTTATAATCCGGATGGAGGAGCGTCATCCATATGAGTAAAACGCGGCTTGCTCACACAGCATCGAGCTGTACAACCACGTGCAAATGATGCGGGACATCCGAATGATCAAGTGGCAAAGCACCATAGTCCGTGGAGAAGCAACTGCGGCAAGTCAAAGGAGACGATCATCGATCCGTCGCTAACCCCAAGAACAATTCATCTTATCTGACGCTGTGCGTTAGCGCCGGGATCGTAAAGCCACTGTGGGGCGTTGACGACCTTAAGACTGGAGACCTCATCTTGAACGGCGAAGCGTAATGACGCGGGCAGAATCCAAACACCGAGCTGAATTGCAGCTTATAATTGAGTGGGGTCTATGATCCACCTCTGCCGAGGAGACGAACTGTGGCTCTCCTATAAATCCACACCAAGATTCCTTGATCAACACGTTGACGCTCTATATTATGAGTGCCCAAGATCACATTCACATTCCACTTGACACCGCGCAGATCGAAGTCTCCGAGTTTCCCTCGCCGAAGAGCAATTCAGTCCTTCTGATTAATCGCACAGGTGCTGATGTGAAGAAACCATCTTGCACAGTGTGCTGGCCCGAATCAGCTCGTAACAGCCAGCCGCATGGGCGCTGATGTGGAGAAACATGGAATCATCTTGCGCGGTGTGCACACATCACTGACGGGCGGGCATCAAGAATTATCACTCAAGGAGTATAAAACTAAACCCGATCTGCATCGTGGATATAAATTTGCGGAATTCCCCCCCATTTTCTGCACTACATCCCACATCGCTGTTGTAGGATGGTTGCCAAGATTTTTGCCTTCCTTTCAGTACTTGTAGTCTATGTAATGGCTGCACCATCCCACGTTGTAGGAGGTAAGTGTAGCGACTAGCGTTTAATTGAATCTATATTGATTAAATAATTTAGGAGAAACTTATGCCACTGTTGCAGCTTCGGAACCAGGCTTTTTTGAGCCTTCATACATTCTTGGCAAGAGACATGTATGATGTCATGGATCGCTGTAAGAATTTCAGCTAATTTAGCATCACCGCGCATTATCTGAGCTTATCTGCAGCACCTTCAGCCCATTGCTAAATCTTTTCTTAACTTGGCGCCATAGTTAGGCTGAAGGAGTTGTGGCGAAATCGCAATAGATAATAGGCTATTATACAAGAACCTCAAGAATTGTTCGTGAATCGTGAGATGTCTTAAACAACACCTTCAATCTATTTTATAAATGTCATTTGAATTGGGCGTACCTGGACTTTTGCGAAGTACATAGGCAGCTCTCTAATAGCTCAAATTGACGCGACACGGAATGTGCGATATGTATGCAGAGCTCCCTTTGCTCATTTGACCGGCGGAATCATTACATGACAGTCTTATAATTCTGCGGGTGGACTCTCAAACGATCATCATCTCATACTGTGCCACGCATGAGCTCCTCTGAACGTTGAGGTATTAAAGTTGAAAGCCCTTGCCTTTTGAAAAACTTGGTGAGCCGCTACATCCAAGGCATGCGGACAAGAGCATCTTGACATTACTGAATCTATCACGATATGTTGAAAGGCATTGATATAGTACTTGGAACTGTAATTGATGCACGAGTCGAAGAAAGACCACAGATAACGTTACGCTCGATATGGGAAAGAGCATCATATTTGATAGTCCACTTAGAATCACAATACTTTATCATGCTGGGCACGTTTCAGGGCAGGTGGCCGCGGTGGATGGGCGGTAAGGACTGCATCAGCGCATGTATCGGGCTGGTCCCTTCATTGGTTTCACCTGGATTACAATTCACCAAGCCTCGCATACACAGGGATCCGATGGGCCAGTGGGTACTGTTTTTGTGGTATACAAGGACTGTAAAGACGCAACTGCCGAATCCACCACTGCAAAAGAGTTGCTAACTACTCATTAGCACAAGTATTACTACACGCACTGATACACCTATCACCCGAAAATGAAAATTTAGAAGGGGACATGGGAAGCGCAAAGAAAAAGATAAAAGCGAGCACCAAGGTCAGCAACGTTCAATCGCTTTCCACATATTTTTATACAGAATAACATCCTATAACAGAACAGGCGATTACCAATGGAAATAATCTTGAACTCGTATTTCCTGATACTCACATATGCATACTCTCACACACGTTCTATCTCTTCGATGTCGTCTCCGCCTGGTAAGTCCGCATCAGCGAATGCTTGGAGTTGCCTGTCCACATCACGGCTGATATCGCGGGTTGTGTAGGTACGTGTTTTGAGACCTCGGAGATTCAGGACTAGGCGCTGACCAGCAACTGAAAGTAATGGGGTCGCGAATCTACAGGCAATAAATTTAATGAATGTAACAAGGGTTACATTCATGGTTGACGCACCCTTTACCAAGGAAATATTTTGGATTCTGTAAATTGCCTCGTCAGTCGTGAAGAGCAATAGTTCGATATGAATATGGAACACTGACGTCCCTGTATGCAGTCCTAAACACCATAAACATATGGAATGATTTAAGAGTTTGAGCGAGTCTCACCAGGAGGCGACGGTCAATGCATTACTGAACATACTAGCCTGCTTGCTGTCGGTCGTGTTAAACATTATGCAGTTTTTTTACACTCACAATGAAAAACAAGATTGCTACGTAATTGTGGTCAGTTGTAGACGAAGCCCTCCAGAAATCATGCTCACCGTCTCGGAAGAGCACATGTAGGAGCTCAGACGGGTACAGAGCCCGGAATTCTCTAGAGTATTTCCAGAGACTTCGCGTCGTCAAGATGAAGAGTACAGCATCGAGAATAAAGCTTGATGGTCTTTAGCAAGTGCAAGAGCAAGAGCACAGGACAAGACATTCTAACCTTCCGACATAAATCAACCACTAGCGTTGTAATAATATCAGCAATGAGCGTCCATCAATATACCCAGCATAATATAGCTGCCAACTAACCACATATTCTTTGAAGCGGCAAACTATTAATACGGTAGAGGAGCGAAATGACAATCACATACTTGGCATTTCCGCCACACAAACCTGAATCATGTCGAGGTGCAGATACGGAACTACGGGAGCGCAACCATTTAACAACAAAACATGAAAAATAGCGAGGCAACTTACTATGACTGATGTGTAAAGTATTTGCTGACCCAGCCAACAGCATAATGACGTATAACATGTAGCTCCAGATGAGGATCGTTGTAACGCGCTTGCGGGTTCCCCAGATGGCCCACGCTCGCACGAGCACAAGGACTAAGCAAAAACCCTTAATGCGTGCAACAGTTATTAACCAGATGTACGCACTGTGAATAGATTCTGTGGATATAAACATAAAGCAGGTGGTGAAAATAGCGAAGCGTTGGCAGAACTGACACATGCAAACAAGTCACTCGATGGATGTCTACCCGTGAAACTGTAACATACCAATTGAGAACCGTGTGCCAGGAGACCGGCCTCTTCCAGACGGATGGCAGTCTGCCCAATAAGGTTTCCATACCGGTTGAGAAGAAACAAGATTTTAACGACCGTCCAGGGGGCTTTCCAGATGTAGAAGAACTGCAACCAGGGGTAGGTTGTGAACGTTATGCATATCAGACGACAAACTCACTTCATATTTGAAAGTTAGAAGATAGTCGTAGACCAGCAAAGTGTGGCCAGCTGCAGAGAATGCCCTTGATGAAGTGAGAATATAAGGATATCATACGATATATAGACCTACGTCCGCACCCAAAGGCCTTCCATGAACTGGGTGGATGGAGACATGGGTGAATGCAATACAACAGTAAGACAGGTCTAACGACAACACACTAGTGCTGCCAATAAACCCAGTGCATAAATTTGAGAGCTGGCGTGCTTTTATAGGGAGCTGGCGTGCTCTTATAGGGAGCCAGACACACAAGCATTCTAGCTTCCAAACTTTCACTGGCATGAGCAGCAACAACGTAATATATATTCCGCGGTGGAACGATAGCAGAAGCTTGGTGAGAGCGGACAAGTCACGGTGCTCCACATTGTCGCCTGGAATGCACATATTAGCGAGAACAGATCCTGATACCACTGGCGGTCACCACAGTCGTTGCCAGGAATGCACAAATTGGTGAGGGTCGCCCTGAAGATGTTACGACAGGCTAGCCGTGCGAGGGAGCGTATATCACTAACATCAGCGCCCAAATTGAGGGGAGCGAACAGGAAGTGAGACATTTTTCCTACACTTGACCTGAGATGGTAGACGGTGTATGTCATGCCCGATACATCAGTACTCATGTGTCCACCCGTGAACGTTGATTTTGAATTAGAACAGCTAGGCGCCTGCATAATAAGCGTCCTACACCATCGACCAAGCGTGGAAAGCCGTGCAGAAAAGCAATCAATAATGATAACGATACAAGCGGCAAATTTGAGAAAAGCTCGTGATGAGCAGTACCGTAGAAAGAAATAGGTATCGACGAGGAGAGGCTCGTTAGCCGGTGAGTAAAAGCACATTCAAGCATTGAATGATCCTTCACGGTGGGTGAAAGGTGGCGCAGGGTAGTTGGACAGCGCGGAAGGGTAAAAGTGTGTACGTGACGGTTTCGAGGCAAAACCTGACAATCACATAAACACTGGCAGGCCAGCATGCACAGAGAAATATAAAAGAGCTGAAAGGCAACAATAAGGTAAGTGACAGATGTCGGGGTGAAGGTACAGTTCAAAGATTGTAGAAAGCAGGAACAGAATAAATAGAACTGGGTTGCGCTGGCGTTTAGATACCATCATAGGCGTCGCCTTCTTCATACATGGTGTATACGGTATCGGGCCGCTTGGCATTGGTGATGTCTCGCCCGCGGGACGCTGGGGCCGGCTCAGGTCCAGACGCCGTACTAGCAGCGGCAAATGGATCGACAATGTCAACGGGAGATAGTGCACGAGGCGCAGCATCGTGCGTAGGATAGGCTTCTTCCGCTGCGTCGTCGAAGGGGCTAGGCATAAGAGCATGATCCAATTGCTGGGGTGGAGCCGTAGTGGAATGTGGGTCACTGCCCAGCTGACGGGATATATCAGCATATTGGGCAGCCTGGAATGGGGTCACGCTGGAACGATCGAGATCAACATAGTGAGCCTGAGGATCGTTAGGGATGGGGTATCCTGCAGCGGTTGGTTGACGGGACAAGTATGTCGCGCTGGACGGTTGCCTAGTGAGATGACCATGGTCCGAGGCATGCCCCATTGGCACCTGGAGGTGTGGCTGCATCGGAGGAGAGCCAGCATGCATGTTTTCATCAGGCCCGTATGCAGCTTGTTGACCATAACCAGCGTAATAGTTTTGGTAGTTGCGTTGAGCGGTCAATGCGGGAGACGCATTGTGACGTTCGATCATGCTTGGCGGGCGGGGGTTGAAGGACGGTTCAGGATCGTCCACTAGGATAGCAGACTGACGTTTGAAGGCTGCAGCGCTCCATTCGTCTTCATCGGACTTGCGTTTGCGCCGCTAGAATTTAATTTGAGAAGACGAAACCCATCTGAAAAAATAAGACATACAATGCACCACATGACCAGGAAACCTAGGACAGCCAAACCAGCGAGACAGCCAACAATACCACCTACGACTGCAGCGGTGTTAACGGACCCTGAGGAGCCAGCAGTCGAAGAAGGAGTTGCGGATGTGCTGGTTCCAGTACCAAGGATGATATTAGTTTGTGACGTGGGCGTGGAGGTGGTGTGCAAAGTCACAACCGCTGTGGGGGTCTACCGGATCATCAATAATCTGTGTTTGTGGCAAGGTCAGACACTCACCGTGGTCAGTGCAGTTTGTGTGACTAGAGATGAGGATGTAGATGAGGTAGAAGTGCTGGAGGATGAGGTGCCTGTGCTGGAGGACGTGGACGATGAAGACGTGGTTGAAGAGGACGAAGTAGTAGGGACGACGGAAGCCGAGGATTGCTGGGTAGACGTAGCTGCAGGGGTGGTGGAGGCGGGGGTGGTGGTTGTCGCTGGAGCCGAAGTAGTGCTGGATGCTGAATATTCGTTAGCTGACTGACATTATCGCAAGTACTGTAAGTGAGCTCACTATCAGACTTCTGTGTGGCCGAGGCCTGTGCAGTAGTAGCAGTAGTCAAGATAGACTGTGAAAACAAAGATGGGGTGAATCGAGCAGCCATGCGCATGTGGTAGCGCCTTTCCAAGTCAACATGTGCAGCTGGCATGATTTTGCGTTTTATGTTGTAAAGAGCGAAAGTGTTAAAGAATGAAATGATCCCAAGGGACAAACGAAGGCAGACAGCAGTCGAAGACGTCGACGAGCGCTGTGGGGAATGGGAAATGAGAAGGAATGAAAACGTCGGTCACACACTGTAGTCACTGTGTCACGCTATGTCACACGCTGGGTCTATTGTCTGCAATTGGCGAGCTAGACAATGTACCATTGTTGTATCAACTGACCATACATACGAATCAACTGCAGCTGATAGCTATAGCAGCGTGCAGGCAGAACACTACCCGCTAAAAATTCTGGTTGGTCGAGCAGGGCTCAGCAGGCTCGACACTGAGTCTCCATCAGGGTCACAAGGTCTGTTGCCAAGCATTCAGTGTCACGTTGATGCGCGGCCTTTGCAGCGGCGGCCATCGTGTGTTCAACTGTACATCCTTGGTCCAAGCTCCAAAATATGTTGTAACGTCGTGCACTTTGCCTGCCTACGAGCGCCTTTCTTGATTATGAACGCCGGAAGCCCTGCTCAACTTGGCATATCTCGGTGGTAACGAGGTCAGGACACATGATGGTATTTCTGGAAGCTTCGCCCTTTCCTGGTGACCCTCAGGGCCACTGCCAGAATACCTAATAAGCAACACAAATTGGGTTTTGACGATCATTTTCGCCAGTCTCCCCGCTACCGCATGTTGATCGCATGCCAGACTGTCTTTCTCGGTTATTTCTCTGTTTTTATCTGCTTTGCACCGTGACTCTGGTAGTTTCTGCTCAACAGCAAGTCGTCCTTGGGAGTACAAATCCAGATATCGTATACCTTCCCGCATTATGCAATGTTTCAGACATGGGGTGCCTTAGTGCATGGTGAGTGTCTCATCCCTGCCACCAACTAGGTCTCAACAAAGTTAACTCTTATGCCAAGGCAAATATACATTGACTTTCCTAGCATTAACGGAACACCGGCAATTGCTACTGGTACAACGGGCCCAATACCACAAACTGGGAACACCGTACCCCAGCTGTTTTTGACCTTTAGAGGTGCGTCATATTTAATTCAATCATGCACCAGCGTGCTCATCATGAGCGCTGAGCAGCATCAGCGCTATATCTACTCACATCTCCCCTCTCTAACGCAACCGTCAATTTCTCCCTAACCGCTGATCCGAGCGGTGTTACCATTACAAAACAGGTCAATACTAACATCAGCAAGATCATTATCGCCGATAACCTGCCCGAGACCCAAACCACGACGTTAGGTGTCACATTCCTACAAGGGCCCTCTCTCACTCGCTTCGACGTCGAGTCAATCACACTCAACGTCACGAACAGCAGGTAAGCACTGTGTCGTCTCTTCAGAGTGCGCCGATTACCGCGATCCATTCATATGCGCAATAGTGCGACGTCCTCTTATCTCCCAACACTATCATTACCCACATCAAGTTTCCCTCCGAGTATTTCGCCCACCTCCACGAGTACAGTAAATTCGAATACCAACCAGCGAACAGTCACCATCGTTGGTGCGACCTTGGGCGGGGTGCTTGGTCCATTGGCCATATCGAGTGCAGGGATCTTTGTTTATCGGAGGTGGCGTCGGCGACGAATAAAGCGGTCGGAGGGAGATGCAGGGATATATGGGATGATGCAACAGACGGCAAAGACTCGTTGATGGTGATATACCCAAGATATACCCTATACTTATATTGAGACTTGGGATTTTGGTATAAATACTGGACACACCTTATTTAAACACTGTAATTTATTGCATAACAGATCTCTGCAGACTGTGAAAGCTCGAGCTGAAGTGACTTTCGAGAGTAAGTACTTGGTAAGTAGTCGGACACAGCCGTTGCCCGCTAAGCAGTACGGTGAGACAAGATCAGTGACATACATATCGATCCCAATCACAGACTATAACCACATTTCGTGCACCGTTCCAGAACCCGAATCAAATGGACTCAGAACCCCCGCTCGTAGTCGATAACGGCACGGGTGTAAGTCGATTAAGCTCTCCTTGACCCGCTCATCTCAATCCCACCCGCAGTTCGTCAAAGTAGGCTACGCTGGATCGAACTTCCCAGAGCATGGTGCGTCCGTTCCACCCAAAGTACATACTCCACGTCAACTAATTCCAACATCTAGTATTCCCCTCCGTCGTAGGTCGCCCCATCCTGCGCGCAGAGGAGCGCGTAGGCTCCGCAGTGATCAAAGACATCATGGTGGGCGACGAAGCTGCTGAGAACCGCAATTACCTCCAAGTCACGCAACCCATGGAACATGGTATAGTTCGCAATTGGGAAGATATGAAACACCTCTGGGATTACACTTTCGACGAGAAACTTAAGGTCGACCCGCGCGGACGCAAAGTGCTACTCACGGAGCCACCTATGAACCCTAAAGTCAACCGGCAGAGGATGGTGCAAGTGATGTTTGAGGAGTATGGCTTCCAGGGGGTGTATGTGGCGATTCAGGCTGTGTTGACGTTGTATGCGCAAGGTGAGATCTGTTCTGTTTTGTGTGATGGTTGGGAGTGCTGACTCTCGTTGGGTGGCCAGGCTTAACAACTGGTGTAGTCGTTGACTCGGGTGATGGAGTCACGCACATCGTACCTGTATACGACGGATTCGCTCTTCCTCATCTCACCCGACGCTTGGATATTGCAGGTCGAGATGTCACGCGGTACTTGATCAAACTACTGCTCATGCGTGGTTATGCATTTAACCGTACCGCTGATTTCGAGACCGTGCGTGAGATCAAAGAGAAACTTTGCTATGTGAGGTGAACTTCTCAATGGTTTGTATAACTTCACGCGATTGAAACATTGAACTACAGCTACGATCTTGACCTCGACCAGAAATTGTCGGAAGAGACGACAGTGCTTGTGGAGAATTACACGGTATTTCAATTGTGCTTTCTATCTTTGTATTGCTGAAGCTCATTTACCCCAGCTTCCTGATGGTCGAACGATTAAAGTGGGCTCAGAGCGTTTCGAAGCTCCAGAATGCATGTTCCAACCACATCTCGTTGACATCGATCAGCCTGGTGTAGCAGGTGAAACCATCCCATCTTCCACTCCACTCCACACCCATCTCACCTCATTCTCCAGAGATGCTCTTCGAAACCATCCAAAACGCAGCAGTTGATACCCGAACGGAACTTTACAAACACATCGTCCTCTCAGGAGGCTCGAGCATGTACCCAGGCCTCCCAAGCCGACTCGAGAAAGAAATGAAACAACTGTACCTCACGCGTGTGCTAAAAGGCGATCCTACGCGGTTGAACGTACGTCTTCCATCTTTGACGCTTCTTGTTTTCCCCTTTCCCAGTCACTCACTCACATCTCTCGCACCTCCCCCAGAAATTCAAAATCCGCATCGAAGACCCTCCTCGTCGAAAACACATGGTGTTCCTAGGTGGCGCTGTCCTCGCTGACATCATGAAGAACCGTGCAGAGTTCTGGATATCAAGAGAAGAGTGGTTTGAGCAGGGTATTCGGTCTTTGGATAAGTTAGGACGTGGAGAGAATTAACCAATGATATGATATGCTCATGACGGACTTGCGGCTACTAGTTTTATGATGGATCACAAAATGCACAGACCTGGGGCGATCATATACTGTAGTGATAAATGAAAAATAACTGCCCCATGGCTGAGCTGGTTACAGCGTCCGACTGTTAAGCGCAATCGGAAGGTCGTGAGTTCGATCCTCACTGGGGCAGAATTTTTGTCATCGTTTTGCTTGATACTCACTTTTTTTCGGCGCAGACAGACCGCAGCTCAATCATTATAATGACAACCTAGGAGAGGAGCGAATATTTGGCTTACAGCTACGATGTGGTGGTATGTCTACGTCAATCCAAACGCAAGGCGAGGATACCATACCAACCCCGCACAACTAGAATCGTGAACAGTTCTCTACGTTTCTATTCATAAGTACGGGTACACGTCTCAAGATCGTAATTAAATAGTCCGTCCTTTCCACAGGTATACTACAAGTTGTAGACAAACCATGCACTTTTATCGCCCAAACCCTTGGGTTCATCCTCTGGCATCGTAAACTGCCGCCTATCTGCCTTCAGGCGGTTCTGGTGCCAAAGGTACGCGAGGGTGGCGCTGGAGAGCACCACCATGCCCACCGACATGACGATGAAGGTGATCGTAGCTTTTGTGTAGTTGGGTGCAGGGGACAAGGAACCTAAGAGCCATGTAGCTAGGATACCGCCCAAGTTGGTCATAATGAACGCGATAGCGACAGAAGTTGCTCGTCTGATGTGTGGCGCACTGTTGTTCGCTACCCACGTGATGACCGGCGGAGCACCGCAGTAGGAGCCAGCGATGGTCAGGAAAAGAGATCCATAACGAACGTGGTTCGATTTGCTCGCTGGCATCATGTCATGAGATGATTTATCAAGACAGGCGCCGGGAACACGCACCATAGAACATAATGAATCCAACCAGGTTACACACCGAGAAGAAAATGAGCATGAAGCCACGGCATTTGTACCGGTCCGATATCACCGCAGTGATCATCGAGACTGGAAATACAACAGTTGGCATCTTGAACAAATACCAGTAGAAGAAGTTGACTCGCCTACAAACGCCACCGCAAAGGGCGGCGCACTCATCAGCTGCGCTTTATTACCGGTGTAACCAAGGCCGGCGACGATTGTGGGCTCAAAGCTAAACAGGCAACAAGCATCAGTATGAATAAACTTGGGAGTACCGCGGACCTACTAAGCAAGTCCATACAAGGTCGTACCTGAAACGAAATTCAGTCGAGTATACCTAACCCCAGCAACGCACACTTACCAATGAAAAACAGAACAGGCGCCAACAGCCAAACGTGAATTGACTGACAGCACCGAATCACCTCAGTCCAACTGAAGGCATCACTTTTATCATCACCAGCAACAGCACCATCCGCCTTCAATCTAGCCATCACATAATCACGCTCCTTCGCAGAGAGGAAGTGCGCGGCAGCCGGGGAGTTCGGGAGGACAAAAAAGGATATCAATCCAAACAAAAACGTAAAGATTCCCTCCTATTTGAATGGGTGAGCCGCATTGGCATCGTAACGAAGATGAGACGCCACTAACAATGATGAAAATCCAAGCCCATCCAGGTTTGCCACCTTTCCCATTGATATTCATGATAGCAGCTGCCAGCAGACCAGAAAAGGCGCCAGAGAGCGATGCGGATGCGAAGAATGTGGCAACCCTTGGATGAACAAAATCAGATATGTCCAGGAAAGCGAGGGAGCCACATAACGAACCTGATTTGCAGTCTCTCTCTGGGGTAGAAGAAGGACATATAAAGCACAAGACCAGGGAACAGACCACCTGATATGAGAATTGAGCATGTATGCACCTCGCAGCAAATGATCTACAAATGACATACCTTCCATGAGACCCAAAAAGAATCGACAAGCAAGCAGACCTGAGTAACTCGTCACGACGCCTGGAATAATTGATGAGTCGCCTTGCGGCACTTCAAAATACTACGGCAACCCGACCGACCTTGCATGGTTGCCACAAGGCCCCATATAGTGACCATGGTTGGCAGCATCCACCGCGGTCCCACATACTGTTTTGGTGTTACCGTAAGTCACCTGTAGAAACCAACCCAAAGGGCAATACTTGCCTTCAACAGCAAGTTCGAAGGGAACTCTGCTGCGATGTACGGCCTGGAAAATGTGCCATGTCAGAGGACATCAAGTCGCCAAGATTGTGTACTTACACGTATGTCATAGTCAGAGCAATAGTGTACTGAAAAAAAGAAAATATCAGCAACATGTACTACGTACGGAATGGTGTGATTCTACCTGGTAGTTGGAAATCTTGAGACTTGTCTGCATGCCAGCAACTCGCGCATTTGCGATGTTGCTCCGGTCCTGTTTGTAGATTCAGTTCGTATGCGTGATGTCATAACTTGATACCAGGCATCACTCACAAGGAAAGAGAGGAGATAGAAAATAGTGCAGACGGGCAGCACCCATCTGTCTAACTTCCTCCATACAACGCCTTCAAGGCGAATTTTGTCTTCGTCTGAGATCCCTTCGAAATGGTCGACCTCCTTCAAGGCTGATGGATCTGGCGAGGAGGAGCCGCGGCTGCCGTGCAGAGTCTCTTCCATCCTGTGGACGTCGTCAGAGGTGACCCGAATCGATAGCGTTTAAGAAGGATGCGATACGGTGAGTAAGAGAAGGAGTCGGATTTAGAATGAAGTACATACTTGTATAATAATAGGCAAAACGCATTGTCGCCGTCAAGCTATTCTTAAGGCAAACACCAGCTGTTACCTGTAAGAATTGATCACATCAGCGATCAAAGAGGATCAGGTCACCCGAGTAATAAGCGGTGGGACGTCGGAGATGTCGGTGATAAATGGGGCAGGCTGTCCGATGGTGTCCAGTGACCAAATTCGCTTAGCATCTATGCCAACCTCGACTCCAACTGTGTAAGTAGCCATCATCCAAAGGAATAAGTACGGGGAACTGAGTACTACCAGGGAATAATAAACAAAGTGTCACATGCAGAATAATGCAGTGCTATGCGACGTGTCGGACTCCACATGTGTACTTACTGGGAACAAAGCATGGACACGCTCTGACAACAAGAATATTTGCGCATTAAAGTTGTACAGAATGGCTAATTTTGAAACAGATCTGCGCAGACGCGCTGTTTTATCGGTTGATACACTTACAAGGAGGTCGCACAAGCGCGCGAAAAACACTCATCCTATTATTGTCTTGCAAGATAAGGTATATGGAACGAGCTGCAACGAACCAGCAAGTTGCCCGAGAACTCTATGTCCAACAAGCGCCAAGTATAGGCACTCACGTCTATGCAACAATCGTTATACATAGGACCTACCCCAGGTAAGATCTTTATATATATTGCGTATCACATCATTCATGGTGAGCGTTATGATCCTGGTGGGAGGTAAATGTCACACTCAGGAGAAGTGTCAATGTGTAGCAACTCACGTATGAGGGGTGATACGCAAGAAGTGAGCAAGAGAACCTTCCCGTTGATTCATTCAGCCTTTTATGATCATCCCCTGGTCATTGACACATACCTTTGTACCAGCCGAGAACTCCCTCTGTTTGGACAGTTTTCCACAGGCAATCTATCGGACTCTTGTAGAGCGCTCCAACGACCCTCCCATCGGGTAATTTCGTGGTGGGTTGATTGTACATCCTCGTGAGTGCCTAGAAGTGACACGTAGGCGGCACAAATCAAATAAACACACATTAACTTACAGTATCAGCCGGCTGCATGACAAGGCACTGCGAAAATCAATCAAAGACTGTGGCGGTAAATTTTGATGCTGAGCATACCACGCAAACACCAGAAACTGAGCTGCTCGCAAGGAACGTCCACACACTGTCACCGGGTAAAATGTCGTGTCTCACAAGCTGATTCTTAGTCCAGTTATATGTCGGTAGTTGAACAGATGAGCCCATTGCTGTGCGAAGAATAGCAGCATCCATTCCGCGGAAGTAACCACGAATACCCTCGGTCCGCCAGATCGTGGCCAGGGCATTGAAAGAGTTCTTATAATGACGTTGTGTGCCTATAGGAAGAGCGGGCGAATATGCCTTTAGACATATCAGTCACTCAGTACTAGGCAGATGACGAAGAAGACTGATCACCTGCATACGCGCCTTGACGAGAAACAGGGGATTTCCAATTATAGCTGTGTTGAAATGTGTAAGCAAAACCTCATGTATGAGGGTAAAGCAAACACACCTCCGACAGCACCGCTGGCTGCGCCAGCAACCAAGGATGTAATAGGTACTTGGTCTGCAGTCGACCAACCAAATGCACGATTGATAGTCCGCCGGAATGGCTCATAGAAACCTGGAGAAATTTCAGGCCAGGTCACAGGATTGCTTCACGTGTCACTCACTTAGGCGAGACCCATTCAGTGGGATCTAAACTTATAATAAGCGTTGTCTCGTATCAATATAATTATTTACTTGCCTGATACGCATACTGGAGAGCACGCTGGTCAGGCAGATAGGATGAAAATTTGTAGACCGACATACCGCGACACCTAGTCCGCGTTGCATACCGCGGATACCTTCATTCCTCCATGTCTTTATCATTGCGTCGAAAGCATTGTTATACACCTTGAGACCACCGCCCTTGACGAGCTCTCCTTGCAACTGCAACCGAGTCTTGGCAACCTGATATCTCGAGAGTAAGTCTCAGAGTTTGCGCGTTGGTTGAAACGCAAACCTCTGCAGGGTTGGATACTGTCACCTGGTATTCTTCAGCAAATCAGTGCAAGAAGTTTTTAAAAAACTACTAACAGCTATACAAGCTGCCAAACCACCACATAGAAAGCCTTCCGTGGTTGAGAGTTGACGGGCGCCGGTGGACATGGTTGAAGCGTTGATACAACGAAGAGCACGAAAGCAGAATAGTACGCGAGTATTGATGGCCTGTGAGAAATTAATGTTAAAGGATCATGACGATTGATCCTTTACTATATAGCAGCGTAGAGTGGACCAATATTTCATTTAATCACTCGTTGGCACATTCCCGAATGCCACGAAATGTGGAGAGTCTGGTCAAAGTCTGGTACTCTCTGGCGTCACCGCGGCCGTGGTGCCCGGAAATGACGCTTTCGGAAATTTATTTTGTTAAATTTATAAACGTAAATAAAGTGCAAATTTTTAACTTATAGGCTGTGTGTAGGGTATATAATAACATCGGTGTGTCCATCGTGACTATCGCCCCGTCCAAGCCCCGTCGTCCATCAGACGGCCGCACGCCGCATCAACCTCGTGCACATCCGGTCAATTTTTGGCAGCCACACACCATGGTCCACCTTCCCCGATCATCAGTCCTGGAAATTGCCGTGAAGAGTACGCCCACCAACCACTCCAAAGCTTAGCCCATTTCGTGCTGTCGAAACATTCTAGCTCCTTAATGCTCATGTCATAAGTAATCAAGGAGTACCATTTAGGTGGTAGCATAAGCAGATTTGAGCCAGGCTGATTCGCACTGCGCAGCCCTCGATCGAATGATCGGGGTTTACTGTTGAGAATACAGCAGAGCGAAGAGTGATTCACGTCGGTCCCAGTACAGCAAGTACACACGCTCACTGCACAGGAAACAAAAGTATGTGGACACTTTGTGGACACTTTGTGGACACTAGTTGTAGGTGCGTCACCACGCTGTCATCTCAGCGTGATGCCCTTGATGATGGTGTTTTGGCGCTCTGTCTATATGTAGCTTTGGACATCCTTTTGCCAGGGTCTCGGCGGTAGAACCGCGGTCATTGCAAATGTGATAGGCGACATCCCATATACAGGAGCATCTATTCCTGGGTATGACTAGCTTCATATCAGAGCTTTATGAAATGTGTTAAATATTAAAGTGGATGCGGGAGTCGCATCGGTAAACGTTCTCCCCATGGCTGCCACCATAGATCCTAACAACACACTTGGTCCTCTCCAAGTGGGGGGCTCTATCATGATATTTTTGTTTGGGATATACACGTTGCAGACCTATTACTACTTCAAAAGATATCCGAATGATCGCCTCTGGATAAAGCTGCTGGTGAGTACTCTGATTCATACCAATTACTAGCCCTCATACCGTTCTCAGGTGGTCTGGATATGGTGTGTAGATCCATTCAAACCCGTCCTCCTCCTAATAACCAAATGGACAGGTTCGAAGAAATTGGCCACACGGTCTCTGTCATGACTGGAATGTATCTCCTTACTGTGACAGAGTTTGGACAGCCTGACGCGGAGGCGGTCACGACCATGCCAACTGGCTACGCGTGGTCAATCATATTCAGTGGCTCAGTCGGGTCTATCGTAGAGGTAAAACATTGTCTTCTCAATCCCCACATTTCCCTGAGTCTTCATATTCAAATCCAGGCATTCTTCGCGCACCGTATGTACGTGCTGTCAAAACAGTGGTTCCTCCCATGCCTCGCCTGGGGTCTTGCATCATTCCGGTTCGCGGGGAGTATGGTCGCCGCAGCCAAGGTGTTCGGAGACATATCTCTAGACGTGTTTTCGACAAAATGGAGATGGTTGATCACCGCCTGCTTTGCTACGGGTGCGGGAGCCGACATCATCGTTGCAGGAGGCCAGTGTTATTATATCTACCGTGAAAAACGTATTGCGATTGGGCCGTAAGTAATGTGCCAGCGACCCTTCTACTATAAGCTTACCGGTTATAGGACGACAATGAAACTACTCGACCGTCTCTTGGCATACACAGTCGGTAAGGGAAACTCCGAAAATCCTATCTTCCAAAAATTGATCATCGTCTTGCAGAAACTGGCTTGGTACTAAGGTACAGTGGTATGCCAGTGGTAATGGACCCGTCTGACCCCCAACAATAAGCATGAGCGCGGTTGTGATTCTCATCATATGGGGCACGACTCCACATAGCTGTGAGAACCATTATCCAGATCAATTCCTTTGGATCTTACTGATGCGGTTAGTCTGGTGGTTCGGAGTCTTCCTCTTTTACACAGAAAGTAACAATTCAATTTCATATATTTCCGCAAGCGCTCATCCTTCGTTCCTTAGTTTTTGCAAACTGCATGATGGCAGCGTGAGTGAGCCAGCATTACGAAACACAAGAATGGAGACTTTACATCTTGTGCAGGTTGAACACTCGACGTGTTCAAGAGGATGTTGCTGGTGGAACTATCATCAGTCTGCCGCGCAACCCTATCCGCAGCGCAGACCGTTCCACAGGTAGCGTGAGTAATCATTAGATTCCTTCACAGCCCCGACATTACTGATCCAATACGTAGCGCAACCAGCACCTCATGAGAAACCTTTCAAAGTCCGAGTATGATATGGGCATCAACTACGAACTATCCCCCGAAGTTTCTTCCGACAGTTCTGGATACATGCGTGATCAAGCACAACGGCAGGAGGTACTTCCCCTCATATCTGCCTAATGCCATGTGCTGGTTCTGACTATGAGATCAGATAAACCATCCAAATATCGCTATTTCAGTTTCCCGGGACGTTTGCATTAAACACGACAGGTTGGCGGACTTGGAGCGTCAGATCTCTCAGCCATAGCAGTATTGGTCACGCCGGTATTCATCGTTACTTATTTATACACATCTTGGAAGGGTTTTCTGCACACGTGTGACTTTGGGGTTATGTCTAGCATTGTAAATTTTGGGCTTGTCGACGCTAGAGCGATTATTTTATACCACTTCGCCTTCTGCTTTCTCCAGGGACTGAGGTGGCGCCGCCTTGCAATGCTTCAATGTTTCCCTCTTCGTTGTCGTTTCTTTAGCCTCGGTCTATTGCTTCGGCCAGGGGCTGCTTTGCCATATGGGTTAACGGCGTCAACTCTTTGCCCAAACAAACGTACTTTACAGGGGTCAATTCTTTATACGGATTGCCGTTGTCCCTTGTCTACATGTGCACGTCCGCAGCTGCAGGATTCAGTACTCAAGTAACCGTATTCATAATGCATATGGTGACAATATGGTAATGACACACAAGCACTTTGTGCAGTAGAAAATTGTGCTGAGTACTTATTTGTCGTACGTCTTACCACCGTGACATATACTCCGGCGGTCTTAGAAATTGCCTTCCTCAATGGAACTTGAATATTAATCTGAGCTAGCCGTGCCATGACTTGACGAGGACAAGTCTGAAATGGCCGGTCTTGGTGCAGGTCTGCTCAGACTCAGGTCTGGAACCGTGACACGGTCTTGGGCGGGCACACTCGGCACGGTTTGCGGAGTTTGAAGTCGCCAGTGGTTGAATACGTATCGATAATACTATCATGATCACTGCCCGCCGCTTCTCCCCTGTCCACACGCTGAGAATGGACCATGGACGTTGGGTCAGCCTGTCTAGCCATACAGCGGCACACTGAGCTCACGGTCATCTCCTTTCTCGACTTCAACCTCTTCCCCCGCTGAGTGGATGAGCACATAGGACTCTGAGCTTCATTATAACTCCGCTTCATGTTGCCGAGGGCATCAACAGTTGCAGACCCTGCCAATACCTGCACCCAGACGGCCGTAACTTGCGCATGCTTTCAAGTACTTCAGTTGGTCACACGCACCCTCTACAGAAAGTCGGATCATCGCACTCGGACGGAGAACGACGGGAAATCAATGAAGTGTGAAAAGTATGATGTCTGTTGATGATCGATGCGTGTTGTCATGTCGTTCTTTGTTGTTGGGTCAGTTGAAAAAGCCTCCGGCTAAAGCAGTGCGCGCATGAGCTTATATCTAATTTTACTTGCAAGCTTTTGCAGTTCGAAGATACATATGTTTTGGAGTTTGATCCTTATATTGATGACTCACTGAGTTGTCTTACTGACTTTGTGTTTACTAGTTTCAGGCGCTATTTTCTGTGGAGGTCATGGACGTTCTTTTGTACAGCTCGTCAGAACTTCGTCGACAAAGGAGAGTCGGGGACCGCCCGCACCGTTACGATTTGTTTGTACAAGTTAGATTTCCATCGATCTAGGTCTACTGACCACTCCAAACTTACAAATGCATCAATTTCCATCAAGGGCATACAACTGATTCTTACTGGGGGTGATCCACGTCGGTCTCAGTACATCAGGTATCCACTGAACGCTCACTACAATCAACATTGTGGTGACTTTAGTAGTAGGTACGTAACCACGCTGTCATGTCAGTGTGATGCTCTTGGTGATGCTCTTGGTGATGGTGTTTTAGCGAGGCTTATCATATGTAGTCTTGGACATTCGTTTGCCAGATTTCTCATGGCGGTAGACTAGCGGGACATGGCAAGTATGATAGGCAACATCCCATATACAGGAGGATCTATTCCTGGATCTCAATAGCTTGATATCAGAGCTGTACAAAATATTAAAGTGGTTGCGAGAGTCGCATCGCTTGTACAAACGTTCTCCCCATGGCTTCCACCATAGATCCCAACAACACACTTGGTCCTCTCCATGTGGGGGGCTCCATCATGACATTTTTGTTTGGGATCTACACTTTGCAGACCTATTACTACTTCAAAAGGTATCCGAATGATCGCCGCTGGATAAAGCTGCTGGTGAGTACTTCAATACATACCAAATACTTACTAGCCTTATACCGCTCTCAGGTGATCTGGATATGGTGTGTAGTTCCATTCAAACCCATCCTCCTCCTAATGGCTAAATGGACAGGTTGGAAGAAATTGGCCACACGATCTCTGTTATGCATGGAATGTATCTCCTTACTGTGACAGAGTTTGGACAACATGACGCGCTCGCGGTCACGACCATGCCAGCTGGCTACGCGTGGTCAATCGTGTTTAGTGGCTCAATCGCATATATCGTAGAGGTAAAACGTTGTCTCCTCAATCCCCACATTAATATGTCCTGAGTCTTCACGTTCAAAACCAGTCCTTCTTCGCACACCGTATGTATGTGCTTTCGAAACAGTGGTTCCTCCCATGTCTCGCCTGGGGTCTTGCATCATTCCGATTTTCAGGCGGTATGGTCGTGGCAGCCCAAGTATTTGGAGACATATCTTTAGTTGTGTTTTCGACAAAATGGAGGTGGTTGATTACTGCCTGCTTTGCTACGGGCGCGGGAGCCGACATCATTGTTGCAGGAGGTCAGTGTTATTATATTTACCGTGAAAAAAATACAGCGATTGGGCCGTAAGTAATATGCCAGTTATCCTTCGGTTATAAGCTCACCGGTTATAGGACGACGATGAAACTACTCGACCGTCTCTTGGCATACACAGTCGGTGAGGGAAAATCTGAAAATCATTTCTTCAAAAAGTTGATTATCGTCCTGCAGAAACTGGTTTGGTATTAAGGTACAGTGGTATGCCAGTGGCAATGGCGCCGTCTAACCCTCAACACAAAGTATGACTGCGGTTGTGATTCTTGTCGTATGGGGCACAACTCCACATAGCTGTAAGAGCCTTATCCGGAAATTCCCTTTGGATCTTACTGATGCAGTTACATAGTCTGGTGGTTCGGAGTCTACCTATTTTACACAGAAAGTAATAACTCTTTTTCATGATTCCGCAAGCGCTCATCCCCTGTTCCTTAGTTTTTGCAAACTGCTTGATGGCAGCGTGAGTGAACCAGCACTACGAAGCACAAAGAATGGGGACTCTAATCTTGTGTAGGTTGAACATTCGACAGGTCCATGAGGATGTTGCTAGCGGAACCGTCATCAGTCTTCCGCGCAATCCTACCCGCAATGCACACCGTTCCGCAGGTAGCGTAAGTGATAGACAGATTCCTTAACAGCCCCGACATTACTGATCCAATACGTAGCGCAACCAGAATTTCATGAGAAACATTTCAAAGTCCGAGTATGATACGGACATCGAACTATCCCCCGAATTTTCTTCCGACAGTTCTGCATACATACGTAATCAATCATCACGGCAGGAGGTACATCTCCCCTCATACTTGTCTAATGCCATGGGCTGTATTCTGACTATGAGATCAGATAAACCATCCAAATATCGCTATCTCGGTTTCTCGAGACGTTTGCATTAAACACGACAAGTTGGCGGACTTGGAGCGTCAGACTTCTCAGGTATAGCAGGCTGCAGTACTGGTCACACTGGTATTTATCGTTTCTTACTTATACACTTCTTGATCCAGTGCGAGAAGGGTATCTGCAAACTGTATTTGCCGTATTATGTTTATGTTTTCCACGACCAAAAATGACTTCTTCAATACAACTAGCTGCTATAGCCATGATTTGACAGCATCAGCTTCTAGCACTAGATGAGCAACTGAAGAGATCTATAACTATCAACGTCACATAGCTCGAGACCTTCGAAGCTACTTACAAAAGGTTCAGTTCAATTGGCCAACCAGTCACTAGTCAACCGTCAGACCGGTCACACGGCGGCGGCGCACGCAGACCTGTGTCGAAGGCAAGTGCATATCTCTACCATGACAATGTTCTCTCTGATGCTGCTCCCTAGCGCATCGCCACATGTCTAAAACACGCAGCCCGCACTTCAAATTTTCCGTATCACACAAGTCATTTCATCGCAGTGATCGCACTCCTCGTCGCCTTCCCTTCTCACACTCTCAGGCTGTACGTCATTGGACGGCCGCTCATCATCACAGTTCTCCGAGTCAATACCGCGGGCGCCGGTGTCTCCACAAGGCGTGTTCCGGGCAACGTGCAACGTCCAAAGTCGTATCCCATGCAGGGTCAAAACTCAAACGGCACCAAGAGTCCAAAACAGACTCGTAACCATCAGACAAGCTTCTTTATTTTATGTCCATTTGTATCTTATGCATGCAGAGAGAAGTATTCTTTTTACAAAGGACAAGAATGTGTTAATCTGAGAGACACCTTGTGTCGCTGCTGCACTTCAAGCTTCAAGGCTCGCGAATGTCCGGCCTGGCGTGGGGAAGTCTCCCGCTGGCCGTTTGATATCCGTAGCATGGCGAGGAAAGCTACTAGTACATAGTCCAGACCCAAAGTCGGTCATTGATCTGAGCCTGAGGCATTGTGGCACACGCTCAATTTATATTTCTCAACATTTTCTCATGGACATTATATCAATGTTTTTCTTCTGACAGCTTGTATATATATCGGTATAGGCTATATCCGCGGCTTGAATTCACCACTCAGCGAGCGCCGAGTTTGTCTCCCATGTTGCGAGCGCCAAGAAACCGAGATCTGAGAGCCTCGTCGAATCAAATTGGATGAAATAAAAACACAAGTTGAGTTGCGTGGAGTTACAATTATTTTTGTTCTACGGGGCGTAAGTATCTAGCGTGGGCGATCTATGTGACCTGAAGATATTATACCTACAACAATTTTTGTTGTTTTTGTTCTACGGGGCGTAAGGTGGGCGATCTATGTGACCTGACGATATTACACTATAACAAAGATATTCCGGTTGATCATGAGTTTTACCGCCATTAAGAAAACGAATCCTAGAATATTGAAGATCGCAGCGAACACGATCATTCCTGAGTATCCCCCATGTTGGCTTGCATAGATGGCTCCTCCTATGGGACTTCCAACCAAGGATCTGTAGGACAATAATAATAATTAAGCCCTGCTCTGATTTTAAAAGCACGCTGCGATGGGGACTTACGGAATAGACATGAAAGCGTAGGACATCCCAACGCGTGTACCGAAATTTTCCGGCGGCGAGATCTGTGCTGTAACAGCAACGTCCAATCCCATCGTCGCACCTGCAAACAAACCGTATATCACAGCGAATGCTGCAAGAGTCGCCGTATCATGCGCAAATAGCCAGATGGCTATACATGAAACACCGGCTAGTAGAGCAGAGGGGATCATCAAGTTGAATCTCCCTAATTTGTCCGCGAACCAGCCTGGAACAATGCGTCCGACGGTGTTGGCGGCGTTCATGATGGATAGAAGATCGAATCCGATATTTTGGGACAAGCCTTGTGCTTGTGCGTATTGGACGATATAAGTGGATGGAATGAATAAACCTGTACATGATCGGTGGTTAGCTTTGATCACCGCGCATGGTCGTATGGTGCTCACCGAGGCATATAAGAGCATATGCGATACACACCATCATGTATTTCGTATCGCGGAATGACTTGGTGTCTATCCATGGTGTGTTTTTATTTTTAGGTAAAGGACTCGAAATTGTGAGCGTTGCGATGATGCAGCACGCAAGTGCAAGAAACCCCTGTATGCGGACAGCCCATGCGAACCCGACAGTACTGAGAAGGCGTTGGAGCAGCAGGGGAAACACGGCACCGCTGGACCAGCCAGACCTGCAGTCCTGGAGTCGAAGTGAACACCGATGTTGTTGCTTGTCTCTACAACGTGCCTACATGCTGCCTATGTCTACAGAGACCCCGAACCTCCTATGACCCCTGGCACTCTCTCCCGTGACTCTATCTCCTCTGTCTATGTCCCTACGGGACATCCCGTTACATATGCCCCCCCCCCAAGTGCGCGCCTCCGGGGGCGTATCCACCACTATCCTGGTCTATGTCTTCGTCGTCTGCGTTCTCCCCTTCTTCGTCACTTCCGAACTCTTCGCTCAGCTCTATTCTTCTGTCTATCTCCTGCTCCGGTAGATCGTCTTCTTCAACGTTGTCTCCTAGTATAGCTTGCATGGATGCAAGGGCTGTGCCGTCTCGAGGGATGAAACGACGGAGTCTTCGAGCGTGGAATAGTCCTTGTAGGGGAAAGCCTTCTAGGGTTGTAAGAGTGTACGAGTTCCCTACTCTAGACACGATGCGTCTTGGAGCTGACCATCGCGGCTGTAACTTTCGTGATGATGCCATAGTCATATCTAAAGAATTAGCATAGACTTGCACCAATTGATCCGGTTCGAATATGACTTCACCTGCGCTCGATTTGAGAACCTTTCTGTCAAAAGTTGCCTTGCGTCTGATTGCGTGCGCAGTGGCATGATCTGCGCCGTCTAAGCGCTGTTGATCGACGTACGCCATATGTACGTCTACGTCGGTACTCGAGAGATTTTCGCTAGCGTTGGATGATGGTGTGGGAGTGGTGTTGACGACTAGGCCAAGGAGGAGCTCTTTTGGAGAGAATTGAAAGGCGGGGATGATGCGTTCGTTTAGTTGTCGTATCGCGGTGTCAAATTGGTCTGGCCACGATCGAGGCAACTCATCCACCTTCACGCTATCATATTCATCTTCCCCCAACTCTGGGCTGCACAATCTCTTCAGTCGTCCCAACAGCTTCCCGTTTGCGTTTTCGACGAGTCCATTGACCCACGGCGAATACGCTGCTACAACCTGGTGTTTGGTATCGTGCGCTGTGCACCACGCACGTACGTCGCCATTGTCGAAATGAGACCCTCCATCGGTCATGAATGTATCGGGTGCGCGGAACGTGTGCTTGATAGATTTAAGTCCTTCGACTGTTGTCTTCGCCGTGCCGTACACTTTAAGCTTGAAACCCCAAACAAATTGTGAGTATGTATCAAGGAGGAGTAGAACATTGTGAAATCCGTTCTTTCCTTTGGGTAAGGAAAGATAATCGGCGACGATGAGTTCGAACGGGTGGCGACGGGTTATAGGGTACATTAAGGCGTGTAACTGCGTAGATCCGAAATTCTTGCATTGGGGACATTCGAGTATCGCTTTCACGATGGACCGGTCTAGTTTGGGGCTGAAAACACGATCTAAGAGCTTGAGTTTCGTTAGATCGCGTCCCCAGTGTCCATTGTCCGTGTGCTCTTGTCTGGCGAGTTCGATTGCTTCTCGTTGGGAGACGCATTCCAAACGAGAGCGTGCCCTGGTGGTTCTACCATCTGCGATCTTCCACAATCGTCCCTCCTCGATAATGTACCCCAGCGCTCTATGTCGTGCTCGTCGACGGTCACGTTCTGGCTTAGCGCCATCTTGATTGCTCAGTGCGTCGATAACCTCCAGAAATAACGGTTCGTCTTGAAAACGTGTCCGCAGCTCTGTGATAGTGGAATCAGCTATGTCAATATGGAGTAAGTCGTTGACCAGCCCATGTGCAACCTCCCAATCCTCGCTCACGGACCAAGCGCTCCCGTCCCCATCTATTCGAGGTCGTCCTGATGCTCGACGACTTAACGCATCCGCTGCGGTGTTCGAGCTACCGGGACGATGTCGTACGTCCACAATGTGGTACGCTAGAATCCCGTCCCTCCATCGTGCGTGTACTAGCGATAGCTTCTCACTCAGTAGAGTATCTCGTAGTGCAATACAATCAGTTTCTACTTCCACCGGAAAGCCCCAAATGGTACCACCGAAATGATCAAACGCGAACTTGAGGGCTGCAAACTCCAGTAAGTAGGGTTTGTACCTTTCTTCTGCTGGGGATGTGCGCTTCGACGCAAACCCTACTGGATGGATCTTGCTTCTCGTTTCTCCGGATTCGAGTTGTGTTGTGAAACGTTGAGACAGAACGGCCCCAAATCCATCCTTGCACCCGTCGCTAGTGACGATAAATGGCGTGCCGTCGAACTTCGGTGCTCGCAAGACTGGTTCCGACACTAGGATCTGCTTGAGTCGTAAGAACGCTCGTGTGTGCCTCGGTTCCCAGTAGCTTGCTAGATTATATTCACGTAGGAATTGCCTGTATTTCCGTTTACCTGCTTGCGCGCTGTGCGGTGGGCGGTCGAGATTACGTTGGAGATCAGTAAGAGGCACCGCTATGCGTGCATAGTCCTTGATCAGAGATCTAAAGTAGCCCGTCAGGCCTAGGAACCTCATCAACTCTAGCAAGTTGCTAGGTACTGGCCATTCAGCCACCGCCGTGATCTTAGCCAAGTCCGGCTTGATTCCATCTCGTCCCACTCTCGATCCCCCGAAAACGGCTTCTTGCATAAAGAGCTGCGTTTTCGTTGGCGAGATTGACAGTCCTAACTCGCGGCATCTGTTGAAAAATATACGAAGTCTAGTGAGTAGTTCCTCGAACACATCGCCCGACATGGCCCCGTCATCTACATACAACTCAAACAAGAGCTTCGCCAAGATATCGTGCAGCGCCATCGCAGTGAGGTCGCTAAAACAGGAGGGCGCACCTTGGACGCCCATTGGCATGCGTTGGTAAGTTTCATATCCTCTGCCTTCGGTATAGAAACATAGATACGGCTGGCTGCTCTCGTCCACGGGAATGGCATAGAAGCCTGATGCGAAGTCCAATACGCAAATATATTCGTGTCCGGCGAGTCGTTGCTGTTTCGCTGCGATATCGCCTTGCGGGGTTGATGCTACGTTCGATACCTTGTTGACCTCGCTAAAGTTCTGACAGATGCGCCATTTGACCTTAGCAAGGTCAAGTGGTTCTGCTGCAGGGGTACTTCCTGAGATTGGTTTGTAAGTCGAGTCCGGCGGCTCACCGAGGTCAACACATTGTTGATTAACAATGTGGCGGATCTCATCTAACGAAAGACTGGTCCCCGAATGTGTCTTCTGTACTAGAACCGTCGACGCAATCGCCTTCACTTCGTCGGAGGGTATGAACCGCGTGATTCCCGCTTTGCGCATCTCGTCTAGTACCGGGAAGAGGTATTCTCGTTGGGCTGGCGTTAACGGTCTTTGGTGAACTTTCTTGGAGAACGTCGTGCCGTCTGGTATTGCTAATCGAAACTTGATGAAGTCGACCGGTTTAACTTCCCTAACAGATAGTGCAAAACAGTCCGCAAATTCACTAACTAAATTACGCGCCTTTTGTCGTTGTTCAGCTTGAAGTTGCGTCCCATAACGGACTGCATTGACGACTGCCTCGACTCGTGGTGCGTAAAATGGTCCTCGATCAGTTAACCTTGTGAAAATGTCATCTGCTCTGGTTGGTAAAGAAAATTCTGGTACTTCACCTATCAAAGGTTTTCCTGCATCGTCGTCGACGTAGAGAACAGCCGGTTGGGACTCGTTGTCTATCTGAGGGATCGTGTTGTTCGACACGTCGTCTGCCTTCGTGAATACTGAGCGTGATGGGAAACTAATGGCTGTAGGTAAGCATGGTACTGGGAGGGGACGAAACGTTGAGAAATTGGCGATACGATGATGTAGAGGTCCGAGCGGCAAGATAATCGAATCTGTGCCGTATTCTTGGACGGCGTTGACTTGTTCTAGTATAGGCTTCCCTAGTAGCATCCTCCATGATCCTCCACTGGGAAACACTTCAAATGATGTTTGCACGTCGATAGGTCCCCAAGAAACGGTCCCCGTCCAAATGCCTGTTGATGCTACGAGTGATCCGTCAGCCATACGTAGTGTTCGTGTTGATGGACTTAGCGGGGATAATCGTCTTGCTATACGCTGGTATGCCCCCGCGTCGATTGCGTTAATCATGGCTCCATTGTCGACAGTAGCTAGGAAGCGAACTTTCTCCCCGCGTGGTCCGTGCACTGCCGGCACCGTGATGAATGGATTGCTCGTTCGAGCTCTAATGGGTTTGCCGTGATCATCCACCACATAAACATCAGTAATAGAATTGCTCAACGAAAAAGGAGGTACAACCAGTCCTGAACTTAATGGGTCTGCTACTGGCGCAGGTTTTGTCCCATTATCTTGAGATGTAAGAGTAGAGATATGCGATGGCGACGTTGGTGTTTCGTCGTTTGAGATACTAGAGGGAAGGTGAGGCGGCATAGGGGTGGCGTATGTATTATGTACTGTATTGTTCATGTCTATCGTAAGGTTCTGAGGTGTTAGCAAAGGGTTCGAGTGGAGAGGGATGCTAGGCAGGTTGGTTTGTCGGCGCTCCATAGGGACTACTGCTGGTCCGCCGAATGCGGCAGCCCCATGTAGTTTTCCGAACCCCAAGTGTGTCCCACCTCTTGGTTACTCCATACTTCCTGCGCTTCGTCCCAGCCGTTATAGGGTTCTTCATACTGTGCTACTGCATAGACGGGTGTCGCGGCTGTCATCCCGTATGGGTTGTAGTACTGATGGGTGTTGGGAATGACATATTGCACTGGTGTTGCCGCGTACGTGTAACGCGATGCGAGTGGTGACACGCGTCGCATCATGTTGGTTACAGTTTGACGCCATCGTGCTTCTAACGGGCGGATCGGTACCTCCACTAGGCATTGGCTGCTAATGTGTGCCGGGTCTGTCATCATCCCACAGTTGTAGCATTCTCCCGAGCCACACGGTGCTGTTCCAGGTCGTAGCGGGTATGGGCGTTCGAGCGTTGGCACTGCGTCTGGGCCGTGTATCTGATGCCATTGTATGATGTCTGACTCATACTGCCGTGCTCCTGCTTCTGTGTTTGGCCGTTGTGCTACCGTCGCTAGTCTCTCCATGATCATGGCTCGTGTGAGCGGCGGTCGTACTACAGGTGTACCGCGTGCTGCTGGGTAGTTCCCTCGCGCTAGCATTGGTGGTGGGATGGGGGCTTGCATTATTGATGGTCCCACGTTAAGGGTGGTTGGCGCTGTCTGCCTTAACGTTGGTCGATATGCTGGAGATGCTGACCGATTGATGTTACTTGGAGGGGAAGTGATGGCATACGGCGATGTGCTCTGCGCTTTGAGGCGTGCAATGTCCGTGTCGCGTGCTCGATTCTTCTCTAAGTCCTCACGTCCTCGTTCAATTCTGATGCTAGGGACGCTCTGTATATCTTGAACGAACTCGTCCCATGCCGAATAGCTGCATGTGAGGTGGTCTTTGAGAAGATCAGGTATGTTCTCCAGGGCGTATTCCACCAAGACGGCGTCTACATCTCCCATGCCCAGTGCAAGTCGTGATACCTTCATAGCCCATGTGACGTGCGCGTAATTCCCTGTTCGCCCATCTGGCAACCATATTCCAATCTCCTCTTCCTTCAAGACTTGCGCTCTGATCCTCTCTTTCTGCTGTGCACGTGTTAGCTTGGGTGGTTTGGATGGTGGCCATCGTTTGAAGAAGGCTGCCTTGATACTTTGGAATGTGGCTAGCTGGGACGAGGTAAGAGCTCGGAACCACTCGTCCGCTAGTTGTCCTGGAGCTAACTGCATGCCCAGCCTTTGTATACGTTCCGAATCTCCCCAGCTAACTGGAAGCGAAAGTTCGAACTGTGCGAACCACGTTGATGGTTCCTCCTTTTCACCATAATCGCCGTAGAATAGCGGAATTGCACGAGGGTTGTCTGTTGCCATTCTTGCTGTTACTAAGGGTTTGATCGTCGGGGCGGTTGTGATGCTGGTTGGGGGAACTGTTCTATGCGCAATTACTGGCGCTGTTCTGACTTTTGTTGGTGGGGCGATTGTCGGTGTTTGTGCGGGCCAGAAATGAAGTGGTAAGTCTATCTTCGGGAGCGTTGGAATAGCTGGTGTATTCGGCTTGGTTGGGGTCAGCGATGATTCTGATGAATCCGGTGAGTTGTCGTTCTGTCTTGGGGTGAAAAACGCTGGTCGCAGTAATACGTCTGCGTCTGAACACGTTGTATGCGTGCTAAGAGATGGTTGTTGATCGATATAAGTGGGTACGGAAAAATTGCGTCGTCTTGCTGGAGTGTTGGTTGAATTGTTCGATATTGAAGGAAATTGTGGAGAAGTAGGAGAATAGAGTGTGCTGCCTGATAGTGTCTCTCGTCGTTGTCCTCCGCGTATCTGTGCAATGTCGTCCAGTAAAATTTGTCCTACGCTCGTTGTACGTTGCTTGTATCCCAGGGATTTCCTCCCGCTCTCATCACCAGATGGACCAGCCAGACCTGCAGTCCTGGAGTCGAAGTGAACACCGATGTTGTTGCTTGTCTCTACAACGTGCCTACATGCTGCCTATGTCTACAGAGACCCCGAACCTCCTATGACCCCTGGCACTCTCTCCCGTGACTCTATCTCCTCTGTCTATGTCCCTACGGGACATCCCGTTACACCGCCTGTAAAAATAATTAGAGTTCATTTATAGGCAGTCAAAACAAGGGTACTTGCCTGCACCAGAACCACCTAGCACGATACCACTAGATGTACCTGCGAAATGACGGAAGCGGGAGGTAGATGCGGCGATGCACGGGTTATACCTATATTCAATATGAGATATTTCGAGGACAAGGCAATAAAATTAGGTGAAACTCACACTAATCCGGCCCCCAACCCAAGAAGAAATCCTTGAGCAATCATAAACTGGTAGTACCGGGTTGCTAATGATGTCATCATCAAACTGAATGTGTATATAAGGGTCCCAGATGCGAGCAACGGCGTGGGTCCATAAGCATCGAACAAGCGACCAATAAGTCCACCCTGTAACGTATGTAAGGATCTGCGTTAATACAAGCGATGATCTACTGACCGAGAACATCATGACCCAAAGCTGAAGCCCGCCAATCCAGGAGATTTCGGACGGTGTATAGGAGGATAGTTGATGCTCGGCATACCATGCCTGGTATGTTCCAAATGAACTGACTTGCCCCATGGTTGCGAAACTTCCTAAGAAGCCACCAAAAAGCGTGAGGCATCCCAGAAAACCACCTTCAGCCCACAGACTGGTAGGAATAGATGGACGATCTTGGTCCGCTTCCGCCCAAGCCACGACACTGGAGTCTTTCGACTCCAGGTCCTGGCGGGACCCTAGGGGTGATGTATAATCATAGGGTACAGGTGCAAGTTGGCCGAGGAGGCTGGCGGGTTTGGACTCTGGATCTTGGTGAGAGTCCAAGGACGTCGTAAAATTACAAGGTGCAGTTTCAGGCATGGTTGATTGGTGGGGGGTTCTTGTTATTTCGGTGAAGAATCCACGGCTATTCATATGAGGGCCTCTAAATTGGATCGGAGAGACCGAGGGCCACATGCCTACGTATCTCACTGGCAGGATGGTGTCTAAAATCAGTACAGACTAGCCCAATCTTGATTATTGTAACATGACTTGTTGGTAAAACAACCGCACGGTGCATGGCCCATCAGCATTGCCGTGACAGTCGGGACGCGACGAAGGCTCAGATCCGGGGGCCATTCATTAGTATGATTCTTGTGAAGTCGAGGCGTTCAAAAAATAATATACTTACGTTGCTTCACATCGCAAATTTGCCCAGTTACGAAAACGCGAGGATCATCCTTGCAAGGAGTGTGCAAGTTATGTAACAATGGACTTGGCACGGTATCATCTTCACAAAGCGTATTAGTATAGTTCGAGATATGATTGGGCTTACAACGAGTTCTGAAACGAGGAATACTTTTAGACTGTGTGTTTCGCCATATGGTTGATTTGTGGCGATGATGATCGATCATGGACCTGTGAAGTCACGTTGGTGCAGTGTGTAGTTAAGAAAGCGCACCGCGTGTGTACTCTGGTCGCATATTTAATTCCTCAGTAGCCTTTACTGACTGTGAGTCTAAGTTCTCGGACCGCACACAAGTACGTAAAGTGTGAGGAGGTTAAGTCCTTAATTGTAAAATTGCTGACTCAGAATAAGGTCACGCGCGGGAGAGTCTGCACGGCGGGCATGACCTTACCGCGGAGCATATACGGGCCCGCTCAGATTACCGAGGCATTCCTGGCTTTGTGCTCACTGCTCACAGATTTAGACCCGTCGTGAGGATGAATCTAATCAGTTGCGGGTGGCAGTACTTTGCTTTAACTCCAATCACGATCACCCTGAAGCTGCGCTGTGATATTACTCGTCAGTGGTTGATCTGACTACGTCCTCATCACCATGGTGCTCATTTCAATTAAGGCTTAACAAGTACTTGACCCCATGGAATTGAAGGCTTCATGGCCGGAAGTACGTCAATCAAACAGAATTTCAATGATGTAGAGTACGTGTGATGCTTGAGTCACGTGGACTGATTCAGAAGGGGACAACTACCAAAACTCAAATTGCGTTGATCAAGACGACCAGTCTGACTATGCCTCAATGTCAGACTTGGCTACACCATAGTACACCACTCGAGTCTCAACCATCCATGGTAATATCAACGAGCCTAGTCAAGACCGTCGAGCCTTGTCTAAGCCCATGCTACGTCATCATATCAAACGTCGGCTACTACTCAGGGCTGCGGGCGCTCTGATTGGCGTTCCCGAAGGAACGGACATTTCCTCTCGCTTTAAGAACCGATGACGGCTCCATCTTCCGGCGCTAAACCTTTGGACTCTGCTCTGACAGTCAAATGGCCTCCACCTCATCATCTCTCCGTGCTCTTTCCCGTACCGCACGAGCTACTCCAAGGTTACTAGCCAAAAAGCCATTACAGACTGCAACCTATTCGTTGTTGGCGCGTCAACAGCAGCCAGCGGTAGCAAATAAGCGGGTGAGTCAGCAGTCATCCAAGCAGAAAAATACTAACTTCTTCAGGTTCTTGCTACTAGAGGGTTGAAGACGCTCGACTTTGCTGGTTCAAAAGAAGTCGTGTACGAGCGCAGTGATTGGCCTCTTGCAAAACTCCAAAACTACTTCAAAAACGACACCCTCGCTCTCATTGGCTATGGCTCACAAGGACATGGTCAGGGCTTGAATGCTCGTGATAACGGCATCAATATCATCATCGGCGTTCGCAAGGACGGAGAAAGTTGGAGACAGGCAGTAGAGGATGGATGGGTTCGTTCCCTTTCTAAATACTCCACGCAGACAAAATCTTGACGATTTCTGGTATGCCGTAGGTACCCGGAGAATCACTTTTTCCTATCGAGGAAGCCATCGACAGGGGTACAATCATCATGAATCTACTATCAGATGCAGCACAATCATCAACATGGTCTCAGATCGCACCTCTCATCACGAAAGGCAAAACCCTCTACTTCTCACATGGATTTTCAGTTGTGTACAAAGACGATACCAAGGTGATCCCTCCAAAAGATGTCGACGTTATTCTAGTAGCGCCAAAAGGATCCGGTCGCACTGTCCGGACCCTCTTCAAGGAGGGCAGAGGCATTAACTCCAGTGTCGCAGTTTTCCAAGACGTGACTGGCAAAGCAATGGAGAAAGCTGTAGCTATTGGTGTCGCTATCGGCTCTGGTTACATGTACGAAACAACCTTTGAGAAGGAGGTGTACTCAGATCTGACTGGTGAACGTGGTGTGGTGAGTACTCCGTCATCAATCTGCGTGTATACGCTGAGATCGAGTCCCTTTCCTAGCTCGCAGCCGCTATCCGTCAGTCCATCGCTGTCGTATCATTGACGGCAGTCTGACCGGTTGACCATTCACAGAGGGTTTATTCTGTGCACAATACAAAGTGCTTCGTGCCAACGGCCATTCGCCCTCAGAGGCATTCAACGAAACCGTCGAAGAAGCCACCCAATCTCTGTATCCCCTAATCGGAGAAAAAGGGCAAGTTCTCTCTATAATTCTGGATTCACAAAATCAGTGACCTCTCACCGCCCACAGCATGGATTACATGTTCAACGCCTGCTCGACCACCGCTCGACGAGGTGCCCTTGACTGGGCGCCGATCTTCGAGGACGCAAATCGTCCGGTGTTCGAGAGGCTTTATGAAAGCGTAAAGAACGGCACGGAGACGCGTAAAGCGCTCGAATTCAACGGGCGCGCCACTTATCGCGAAGACTTGGCCAAAGAGCTGAAAGAGATTGACGAGCAGGAGATCTGGAGAGTCGGAAAGGTCGTCCGTTCGTTACGCCCTGACTACAAACCAGAGTAAAAGCCTGATGATGATCTGATCCTGTTTGTTCGGTATTCACAAAAAAAAATAGTGCCGTACAATACGCATGCTTGGTTGTTTCTGATAGTTGATCCAATATTAAATTTTGAAATGATGGCGAGTTGCTTCTTGTTGGATTTTATATTTATATTGGATCTGTGAGTAACGGTAGAACCAGGCATTCGATGAGGACTTTCTAGGAAGCACGGATTTATGCGCGGGGCAACCCCAGGACTTGACATGAATTGAGGAAGAACTTTTCTTCCCTTCGATTCTAGTCACTCTAGGGGAGACCCCCTCGACTGCGGGTCCAGCCAGGCCTAGGACTAAACCTCGCTATACAGCATATCCTCACTAACGGATATTAAGAGCAACTTGATTATCCGCTCTTCATGCCAACCGGCACTCCAACTTCTCACCAAATGCCCGGTGCACAGACAGACGTGCAAACCATATGGCGCAGACCCGTATGAACGGTATACTACCGGTGACTACGCCAATTGGGGTTCCTTCACAGCGAAGACTCAATCCTGTGCGCTCCTGTGCCGTAGCAATGCCACTGACTTTGGGTGTCGAAAATGATCTCCGGAATCTACAAAGGAAGCTTCCGGCATAAATGACGCAGCACGACCAAATTTCCAAAATCTTCCCGGGTTGATCGATATCAATGTTTTGATGATGCGTTCGAGGTCGACATGGGGGAATATTTAAAATTATGCTACACCAATATTATTATCTGCACTCCATTTCGGCTTTTTCAGGTTTTCATGCCAGAATCGCATACCCTTCCACATCGCGTTGTTTTCCCATAGCGTTGCAAATCGAACATCATCGCGACCTGTAGCACGTTTGCTCGTACGTATAAGTTGATCCATGTGATATGTCGCTGTGTCGTTTCTGGAGTCAATCGCATCGCCAAGACGTCTCAGAGAGCTGTAGGATGTTACTCGGTTGCCTTGGTGTATGACGGGCAATGTGGTTTCCGTATTCTCGTAGTTTCCGCTCCTGCCGGCTTCTGGATCGCCTGGGGGCTGCGTAGTTGAAGACATATCCTGCGCAAACATGCGAATGGGGGTGTGATCTGAGGCCGTTGGACTAGCGGAGTCTTCACTATCCTCCCTGCTCTCGACTTTGGCGGTCGCGACTACTGGTTCCAAACGCATAAGGGGAAAACGCCAACGGTTCCTGGAGGAAAATTGCATTCGGGTGAAGTCAATGGCAGGCACAGGAGGAGAGTTGGCAGGCACATGAGGAGAGTCTTGAAGCGCAATAGGGCTGGTACCGTTCGCGATGAGAGTATATCCAGGGGTACATTCGTAGGCGCATTTGGGGTCAACAGCCTTCTCGTGCCCCTGATCGTTTCTCGGAGAACAGTGGACTGATGGCCCCCGGGATTTATGTGTTGACATAGCTTCGAAGGGGGGAGTAAGGTAACGGGGAGCGGATGGGGTAAGATTATCGGAAGTTGTATTTGCGAAGCATATATCGGGGGGTAACAACATGGGTTGATCTAACATTGTCGTTATGTTTAGCAACTGCGAAGTCGTGTGCTCCTGTGATTGCGATATCGGGTAAACTTTCTGCAGATGAAGATGATGGTTTCGAGGAGAGCATCTGACGTTTACGCGGACGTCGCGGGAGGCTGTCTCCTGATTCGCTCTGCAGTGCATTAGGGTATGCGAGGCTGTCTCTATGGCGCTTTCGCTTCTTGAGGACGTTCGGCTGGGTGAAGAGAGGTGTTTGGGGACGACTCCGTGGCGCAAAAGGCCGAGATACCTGTTGTGGATATCGAGGGGAAACTACTGGGGCGAGCATGGGATCTTGGATTCCCATACGACTGAAAGGTGGTCCAGCATCAAATCCATCTGTTGGGAGAGTACATGAGATACCGAGGTAGTTTGAGGTGTGTCCGGGGAGATATCATATAGGCAGAGAAACTAGTAGCATGATATGACAAGTAGAGCGTTTGAAGGCCGAGAACGCAGCATGAGACGTAATCGTACCGTCAAGTATGTATTCCACGATTGGAACACGAAACGAATGCGCGACGCAATGCAAAATCCAGCCCACATGTATCACCTATGTGGAGCCTGCTTAGCAAGGGAAATCTGATGTTAAAAAACCAGCTCGCCACTATTGATCTGCTGCAAAGTATGCTGGTCCACTCGTCTTCACGACTGACGGAAAAAAAGTAAGACACGACAGAACCGGATCCTCCGGAGTGAATTCTTCCTCCATGAGCCACTGTACGTAGCAAGTAGAGCGATTAGCCACAACATTCTACGATATCACCTACTAGATCATCAGCAATACGATCAGCACTTACACCATGTCTGAATGGTTTCCTTCGGCACTCGCTTGCTGAAACACGCTGAAACACGGGTTAGAGGAGCAAAATCCACCAGCCATGGCGTCGATACCAACACACCTGCCTCGTTGAAAAGCATGTTCAAGTAAGAGGAAAGAGGCGTTCCGAATAAGTAAAACCCCTGAGGCCTGAAGATGTTGCGGAGTTTGAACATTCGCTGTCCTTTTTCCGCGAAGTTCCTCAAAAGGTCGAAACGTCTATGATCAGCGAACTAACTTTGTAAACAGCCTGCAATGTGCATCGTCGACGTCAGCTATCTTCAGACATGAGCTCCCTTTTAGAACGATGCCAAATTTCAAACGCTTATTTAGTATACGTGCATCTATTCATCTGACCCGTGACGGGGACCACTGACGTTTTTCTTGTGAACGACTCGGACCGTGCTTTCCTTGAACGCAGTATGATTTCTATATCGATATTTACTTGACCTTTTCGATTGCCCGACTGACCGCATACAAGTTTTTTCTCCCGCGTGTCGAGCGGTCTATCTTAGCGCGGTGACAGACGTCCATTTATCGGTGTTTAGATTCCCACTCAATCTTTAAATGACTGTAAGAGTGACATGTGAGGTGACGCAGATAAGAAGTTTAGTGGGGTTGAATACGTAGCACAGATATCGTTAGGTCGCATCAACCTATCAGCACGCCAGTCCATAAGTTACGTCCAGTCCTACCAGGACAATTGGGCTGTTACGCAGCCCTTACTAGAAGGGTAGTTTATGCGTAGATACATACCGACAGTAAATGACTGATGCGGCGAATTACGAAAATACGACCCGCGCAAAAATAAAAATAGTACCACATTAATGACTATCCATCAGAAATAGATCCTCTGAGCAGAGGGGAAAGTGTCCGAGAGACATTTCAGTTATTGGGCGTGCGCATCGCAAGGCTGGTAGCGACGAGTAGGTCGAGCATGAACATTCCCGACTATTGTAGAAATGGTCACAAAGACCAGAGATTACAGGATGGAAACGTACGGGTTGAACCACGAGAACGCCATCTTTCGTCACCGACATAGATGTTACACGATATGTTGCTACGAGGGCGTCCTCGGCATCTAAACACTGACAAGAGCTGCGTGATAAATGCTGTCACATTCGACCTGCCCCCGTACGCACCTCCATCGCAGCACTAAACAGCCGTGCAGTCGTTTGCCAGCGATACTCTTTCTGATCGGGACCCTTGAAGAAAACCGTTCCGTCGAAGGCCCCGCGCTTCCTCTCCATCTTGACTGGCCGTCTGACAGCAGTCATGGATAGAGTAGTAGGTCCATGGTTGACCTCATTCATCAGTGGTGGCCCATTGTACGAAGACTGAGCTCGACAAAGCAGGGGGCCATCTGGGCCATCGGCGTGCAGATCAAATGTCCAATGAAGCGAACTTCGAGTGTTCTGCATAAAATATCTGTAACAGTGATAACTAAAGTAAACAGACGAAGCAATCAAAAACATCCTCAGAACTCACAAAGTTGATATCTTATCCTCCCCTTTGATAATCTTGCGATTTCCAAACACGCTCCCAAAATTGTATATGTGCAGCGTAGTCGGTCGCTCGTTGGATGTGTTGAGCATGTGCAATCACCCGAGCACGAAAAAAGGTTGTCGAGGCAGTGAGAACCAAGTGCCCGCAATACACTCCCCTTCCAGAGCGTATTCAATGTGGCGTGTCTGTTCTGGTAGAACAGGGTCTTTATGCAACAAGGATAGGACATCGCGGGGCGTGGTTTAAGAGACAAGGACTTCTATTTCCAGAAAGTCAACTGCATCCGATTATCGCGTCTAAGAGAGCTATTTAGGGACTTCTCGAGGGCAATGGCATATGAAGAGCTCCGTAAACAGATTGGAAGATGGAAAGGGAGACGACAAGGCTTACCGTTTTTAGCATGACCCAGTTCCAAAGTTCCACGCGCCGAAATTTGTTGCCAAATGAGTGCCAGATACGCAATTCCCGGATAGCGAGCGCCATAATGGTCCAAGAGCAGCTCGTATCTGTGATTGAGCGTACTGAAAAGTTACTAGCTCAGACCTGTTGACCGCGGCATGTGTTTATGCATGGCTGAAGGAGTAAACCATGTCCACTAGCCTTTATCTACCTTTTGATATTTGGGATTCCCCATCCCTCAATTGCAGTCGCGCCGAGCGATGAGCACCAAGCTTCCCCGTGGGAGTGGTGATGTCCGGCTGAAATGAACTCAACAACGTCCGACAAGAGCCAGAAGCTCCTTAGCGAGAGGAATCAACCTACCAACCAGCAATAATGTCCCCCCAAACAGACGCAAGATACGGATGAGTCTTGTGTTCGAGACTAACTCGAAACCAACCTTAGGCGGACCCACTGGCAACCACCATCGAATCAAGTAAGAACTTCTAGTCGGGAACCGGGAACCACCTAGTGCCGAAAAAGAGGCAGTACTGGACCTCGAGAGCTCCAGATGGAAGTACCTGACCCGCATTATTCCTCTAGTAACGTGCACTCGGCCTTCCAGTGCTGACTGCGAGAACATTTACGCAGATGCGACATGATACCAAAAGGTAAGACCAGCAGAGGCGGCCACCAAAGGTGGCTGCGTTGGTATGTAAATGATACCCCGGTATTGCGCACCGCAAAACTGCACGGTGATCCGGTGATTGATTCTTTTAACCGCACAAGTGTCGGCTTCTTGATGAATGAATGAAAAGGCGTGCTGGGAGATCGGAACCACTGTAGCTGTAGATTGAACATGTCGCTAAGGCTTTGAATATTCAAGACACTCACATCGCACGCACCGAAGTTGGGCAGAAAATTCTATCCTAGAGATCTCGTATCTGGGCTCCCTCATCCCAGCTGGAGGCATCAGTACTTCCTTTGGAGATCGTCCGGAGATGAAAAGATTTCGAGTTTGGAATTCTCGGTTGCCAGAAGGGTCTAAGGAATGATGAACTAGTGATTCCGCATGCATAATGACGAACCAAAGCAAGGCTTCGAATCTAGTAAGTAGCAGGAATATGATTCATGCATTGCAGCACGGTCGACTGCCGGCAACGTAACTCGAAGTCGGGCGTCAAAGCGAATACGTCCAATGTCTACCCGGTATACGGATCCTGCCGTCACACAAGTGATCTGCCAGCGCATTGTCTGCGCATTGCGACTTTCTAGATCTGCCAAGTTCCAAGGGAAATTCACGAAGGCCTCCATGCATTCTTGACGCCGTCAGGTAGTTAAAGGCCTATGAGTAAAGATCCTTGCTAGGAGCTCCCATATAGGAATGGTGAAGATCGTTGGCTGCGTCCAGGTGATCCGATTCATAAATCATTGAAGCGGTTCCCTTTCAAAGTTATCCACATCCGAAAGGCAAGGTGGTTTGGCGTACTAGTACTATGTAGTAAAATTTTCCTAGCCTCTTTTGGATCCTGCCGTTTACATGCATTATCCACGCAGCAAACATGAAAAACACCCGCACGAGTTTCCCCGCTTCCGATCTGGAAATTTATGACAACCGGATATCTATGTACATTGCACATACGTTGACTGGTATCCAATCACCAACCGCGCCGCCGGCCACCTTTCCCCCACTTTTCAATGAGGAACAACGCCATGTACTCGTAAACCTCTCTATTCGCACCTCTACGAGTGATCGAGTGATCGCTGCTCGATGTAAAACAGTCAGCGCTGTACTACGTGGAATGAATTCCTTGGGACGAACCTGTCTGTGAACATCCTGAAACGGAAGTTTCTGACTTGGGCTTTTGTGAACATGTCCAACAAGTGAGCCGTATTTGCATAGTGGACATTGTCATCTCCGCTGCCATGGGCGAGGAGATAGTCAATGTTCTTGAAGCCCTCTACATGCGAAATGGAGGCATTGATGTAACCTCCAGGATTATCGTCAGGCAAGTCCATATACCGTTCTGTATAAATGGAATCATATAGTCTCCAACTGGTCACAGGCTAGACTTGCTGGTGAGTGCGATGACTTCGACAGGAAGAGATATGTATACATACAGCGACGGCCATGGCCAAAGTGTGGATATCGGCATTTGCTTCCGCAACCTTGGAAGCCATGAACCCACCATATGACTACAGCAGTCAATTGATACGTTGGCCACAGAATCCCAAATATTGGCTTACCCATCCCCAAATTCCAATACGTTTCCGGTCAACATAGTCTTTCCCAGCCCAGATGCTGCCAAAGATTAATACTACAGCTCACAGAATCTGGCATTTCATACCGTGCGGCGTTGATTTGGTCCCGGGTTTCCCAGAAGCCAAGATTATTCCTTACTGGGTTGCGCAGTTGCCGCCCCTTGAATCCAGTTCCCCGACCGTCTACGGTGACGACAATATACTGCAGTGTGCAAACGAGATAGTCATGCCAGTCCCGTTTGTACGCGACATTGACTTGCTGACTCTCTGGCCCACCGTACCTGAGTACATCAGAAATAAGTGGGATTGGTTTCAAAAAAGCATGTACAAACACGAAGAATAAGACAGGGTACTTCGTTCGCCCTGAGTCATCCATGCGCGGAGGACGCATTTCCTTCACATTTAGCTCTGAGAGGCTGTATAAAGTTTCATCGCGATAAGAGCGCATCAAACGGACTAACCAAAGCCATCACTGTCGATAGTTGAATACGTGACGGCGGCAGTTTCAAATTCGGCCAATGTGGTGTTTAATGCAGAATTGTCCGTCAGAACATAATCGAAATCTGGAACTAAGGTGTAAGCACTAGTTCTATTGATGATGGTAATTAGAGTTGAAGTTACCATTGTTGCCAACATTGACAATTCGCTGCCTTGGCACACCTGGTCCGTTGTAATTGAGAAGATAAAATCCAGCCTCAGGTGAAAAACTAGCGCTGTATGAAGAGGATATTGATTCATCTGTGAGCGAGATGGGCTCCACGTATTCTGAATTTGATGCTGAAATTGGGATCGAATAGATGTGGCGTTGAGTTGATGACCGCGCGGCTTGGAAATATCTGTAGGTGGGATATGGGCGCAACAAATTATGAAGCTCCGACGGGAATTAAAAAAATATTAACTCACATCAATCCTCTTTGCGTATCCACTGCTTTGATGCCCCCTGTAACTTCCCATGGGCCGGAAGTGAGGAAACGTGGAGTCTTACTCTCGGCGGGATCGAATAGAGCAATATGGTTGTAGCCGTCATTTGGTACAACATCTAGATAGGCAGATGAATCCCCTGAACGCAGGCCGTCTGGAAGAGGGAAAATATTTTGGGCCTGCAATGAACTAATCGGTAAGAGATGATCACACCATGATGCAAGCCACTTACGCTTTGAATCCAGCCCTCATCGCCTTCCTCACCACCACTGCCAAGCCTTCGGACTACCGTTCCGCTCACGATCTCTGCATTTCCCATGTTTGTCAAACCGAAGTATACAACACTACCATTATCTGCAGCGCGAGTAACCTCCTTGACAATGAGCGTCGATTGGCCAACCCAGGTCACATCCATTATGACACTGTTAGCTACGGGGAAGCGACCTTCCCAAGTGAGCTCGGAAGTATAATTCTCGGCAGTCGAGCCAGAAGATGTTTCAGATTGTTCTAGATACTGTGCGACGTCGAAAACATGCACAGAGGCAAGAGGATTGTTGTAGCCTGGTTTGGGGTATTTGATGACAACATCTTGGGTGTATGGAACAACAGCATAAGAATCATCTGTTGGATTGTAGATCGGGAACCGAAATTCGTCAACTTCGGTCTCGTCGAGACGGAGAAAAGCAATCTTCGTGGAGTCAGGAGACCACCACAGCGCATAATCACCCGAGAAAACCTCTTCTTCGTAGATCCAATCAGGTACACCATTAAATAATGATGTATTTCCAGAGCTGGTGACACGAATAGGAGAAGTGGAAGCGCTGGCAGAAAAGCTATCAGAAGGCTTTGTTGTGCGAGCATTGAGATGGCGCTTACGACGGAGATGGGAGCACATATATGTCGTTGGCGGCAACGAACGCTATAGATTGCCCAGTCGGGGACCAGGTAGCATAAGCAGTGACTGGGGGATAGGTGGGCGGCACTAATGGGTATGTAACTTTGGTATTCAGGTTATGCACGTAGTAATTGCCGAAGCTCGAGTGACGCCATTGCTAGAAGTTGCATGTCAGCATTTCAAGACTATTCCCAAGGGGGATATTCACCTTGAGATGGTTGGCCTTCACCAGTATATACGTCATGTCCGGCGAAAGCTTCCAATCTGTCCAGTTTATAATGTTTCCCTCATCCTTTGCAGCTCTTAGTTTGATGCACGTTGACTCTGGAAAAGGGCGCTCACATCCTTTATGTCTATCATGGAGACGAGGTTTGTCGTTTGGTTATTTTTCAGGTCAACAAGCTGGATCTGTCCATTCTGGAAGATAGAGAAAACACCATCGCCGGCTACGAAATATGTTCGTAAAGACAAAACTCATTCGGTGCCATGACTGACCTTCAGGAACCCAGTGAACACCCTCCACTGAGGCACTAAATGTTCCATTGAATATATGGTCCAAGGATATTTTCCTGGCACCTGGCAGTCGATAGGTCTGTCCATTGTACAGGGATGTCGCAGCAAACAGTCCAATAGTGGCAGAAAGGAAAACTAGTGCTGCTAAAGAGATGACGAGGTACTTGAGGCTAGCGGGCCTCTTCAGTATGAACGTAAGTAAAGAGACAAGAGCAATGCAAGTTATGACTGACTTTGTTTCCTCCTACCAGCAAGCCATTTCCCGGCTCCGTGTCATCGAAGACATGTTGGTCGTTCGAAAGAACAGCGTGATCCTGCTTCTCAATGAGACCCTCGCCTTCGTCCGAGGAAGGTGCGTCAAAGGGGCCTTCTTCGTAGTACACAGAAGGTCTCATCCGAGCCAGGTCTGGGTGTGCCGCAGCAATCCTCGAGCGAGAGGCCAGAAGACGGCTATCGTTGTATTCGAAGTCTTCCTCATCAGCTCCATTGACATGCTCATAAGACATTGCCGCACGCCAAAACAGAGTCTTGTGGCAGGTAATAACTAGTACCAACTCTCCTGGAACTTCAACGTAGTAGTAGTACGACTGAACAGCCAATAAAGGAATAAGCACTACCAATTACATAAGCACACATAGCCATTTACAGTTTAGTTGGCCACCGACTTTAGCAGTGGAGCAGCTCAGACTCAGCGACAGCTGATTTACTGTAGCAACGATGGCGGCGTCGTCTCGGGCATCGAACGCCAGCTGGGACCCAATCCTCCTCATATCTCAGGTACGTTCTGTTCTTCCTGCATTGGCCTTATTCGGTTGAGCGTCATCCTCAGATTGTTTCATTGCAAACTCTCCATTATTTGACTCTCTCCGTCCTCATACCCCCATTATTGTCCATATTCGCGGAGACCGGCGCACTCGTCTTCGAAGGAGGGGCAACAAACGTCGGTGCGTCTTGTATACTGCTGAATCATGAACTTGAATTGAGAGTGAGACTGCACTAGGGATGATCATAGATTGGCGAGAAATGGCTGGCCGTCCAACGGTACGAGGAATGCAGGGCGAAGATAGGTGGAACACTTACTATGGCGCCTGGAGCGGTGGTAAACAACTCGGTTCCGGGTGGGAGGAAGGCAGGTGGGACGGATGGACTGACCCTATGCGAGGTTGGGTAATAGCGTTCTCATGGATGATCGCATCCTTTGCAGAGTATGTCTTGGACATCTCAGGAACTCACAAGAATCTGACCATACTCAGCATATACTACTTATGTGTTCTCGTTCGACGACCGCGCCTAATTTTGGATTTCGCGCTAACTCTCGCCTTCAGCCACCTCGTACTCACGACTTATTACTCGGCTTCGATACCCACCTCTCTGTTCTTCTGGCTCGTCATCTTCGCATGGTCAGCAACAACAGTAATAATTGCGGAGCAACTCTGTGTGAAGAGAGAGATGGCCGAAGGACTAATTATTTCTCCTCCGAGGGACGAAGTTGATGACGTGGAGATGGGAGAATTACTTCGTAGAGATTGAGTGAGTCCTCGTGTGTCTTGTGGCCAAGCTGCTGTTACTGGTCTTGATGGAACTCGAGCCCCTTTGCATATGCAATAGCTGGCAATGCCCAGTACCATCTAGATCTTGCCAAGGTTTTAGTGGCGTAGAAGATGCCACCAACTTGTTCAATGCTGAGCCTTCTGCAAACCTCATTACCGCGTAGGTGAGCTAACCTAGTTGCAATTTCAAACACTTGGCGAAATTTCTGATACCCGCAACTCGCAAGATTGATTGTGGGGGCTTGGGTCAGTTGTTGGGCTTGTAACTTTGAATTTACGCCGCCGCGCACAGTTCTCTTGTTTCGAATTTCCCAAGTCCGTTTGGCCCTGTTTTTCATATCGTTCCGGCCACCGGAACACGAGGTCCATACTTTGGTAATCAGTGGACTCGTCGTGACCATGGCCCTCCGGAAAGTCTACCTGTTTATTTCTGCTGGGGGCTCGGCCCTGCCGGGAATCTTCGCTGTATCGTTGCGCCCACATACACAGCAGTCGGTTGTACTTTTTTCCATGTCTCAGCATGTTCTGCAGGTGTTCATAACGCCTTGAGTGATAAGCCGCGGAAATGGTATCGCCACCTTCCTTGTTTGAAGCAAGTGAGTAATATGACTGCCCACTCCAAGACGTCAGGCTTATTTGCCATTAGCCTTAGAGCTATTGATGTGGCGGCTACGCAGGCGATGAGATTCCAACCAGTTAGTGAACCTGCATGCATTCGCATGTCATCACGCAATTGCTCCATGATGGATATGGTGTAAGCGCAAAGTGCGAAATGTTACCTCTTTCGTTGAGCAGGCTGTTAACTTGGATTATGGCATTGAGCCAAGTTTCAGCACAACTCACGTGAGGTTGGGTAATCCAGTGTACTGACACTTCGAGCTTCTGGGCCCTTGATCTGCGATGACGGTTGCGAATGAGCCAGATAGCTGGCTCGAGGATTATTATAACATGAACTATGCATCCAGGATCCTCCATGCCGACACGACTTTGTATCTTGATGAGTCGTAACGTGATGCATTCCTACCGTGCGTGACTCAATATTATTTGGCCTAGAAGAGCTCCCAATTTGTATTTGTCAACGTGCCTTGGTGCATGGTGAGCAGTATTGTGGAGCTCTGACAGGGGCTGGGAACTATTATCAGTATAAACTTGCGTGTGGTAGGCTCAGGAATTAGACTCCGGAAAGCTGAGTCACTTGTGCTGTGGCGATGGGAATATGACTCCCTCGTTTGAGTGGTGTGCGCGGTCAGTTTTTTACTGAGGTAGCAGGGTTACCCGTCGCATTTATCAAGATCACAAACTTTAGATTTCAAACGGAGACGATCTTGTGAAAGAGCTAATAGCTTTTGGCCCATTAGTCCAGACAATGCTGAAAGATCGGCCAAATCCGTTTGTGAGCCCTCGACTCACCAGTCATGGAAAGAAATGCTACGATTTGATCTTAAACACCGGGATTCTTCGTGAGTGAATGCCGGTAGGGGGGAATTGCGTACCACCTTCGCAGCTGAGAAGGACAGTGACTCTCTGTTACTCTTTGTGACTGTACATATTCCTGTCCAGCATGTTCCGGTACCTGCGGACGATCATTTCCGACAATCTGGCGCAGACTCGATGGAGTTCCGCTGTATGCCCTTTGCCCACAGGTGTGGGGCCCAGCACCAGAGACTAGCAGTGTCTGTGGCGGAAAGTCAGTCGACGTATGATTGGACAACTTTAACGCTCGTAAAACCTTTCGTAGAAACATCGCTCCTGTCCACCTATCCTGTGTCCTAGGCTCAGGATTCGACAACTTCGAATCTCGCTGGCACTCGGGGCTGCAATTAATCTATGTAAGGGGGCGCAAAGCTGGCCAGCTGCATTCCATTTCATATTATCTTCCACTCAGGGGGTTTCCCTGTGGAACTTGTGGATGAAAAATCATCGACTTGTCGTTGCTAAGGCCAATATTTCCCCTTCAAGTTGCTTCCCTCGAGACCCGTCTGCCCGTGCGATGAATAGCCGTTTGAACTCAGTACTGATTACGAGCGGCATGTGTATTACTCTTCGGCCGATTTCGTCTGACAGGGCTAACTCGGGTCCAATTACGAAACCGCGGGGTAACACAAGAAGTTGTTCGTTTCGTATGCTGTTGCTCTTTTGGAAGGCAAAGGCTTTATGTACAACAGCTGTAAGCACCACAGAAAATTCGCAAGACCCGAGCTTACAAGGAACTTGGAGAAGGACAGCTAATATTTCCACATGGATAGCATGGGACAAGTGCTAGTACCTGAGTATCGTCAGACCGTAATAAGCGAAGTCTGTGATTGCTCCGCCACGAATCGCAGGACCTATGGCGAACGCCGGAACTTTAGTTATGGGTACTGCCTCAATGTCATACCTGTAGAATGAAGATTTGGACTTTAAGCAATTGATGAACTTGAGGCTGATGGACGTAAAATGCCAGCCAGACTGGCGTTTCATTGAAGTTGTGATGGGGATGTTACAAACATGAATTCTCGTTTACTTACCTAGCGAAGGGCCTTATGTGTGCTTATCATGTGGGCGCCCTTTTTGGTTGTCCGCTGCCCTAATTCTTTTCAGATCGCACGCCAAAACATTATTATTTACCATACTCGCTTTCAATCGGGGAAGCGTACCGAGATATTAATCCCGTCATCCTTGTCCGCCACCCTGTACACGAGGCGCCAATAAGTTTCCTTTAAAAGACCGTTCGTAGCGGGGAGAAGTGCGCCTCCTCCCCACTTTTCCTAACATCCTCATCCTCAATGGATGCACTCAAGAGTATGCTCTCCCCACTGGGGGTGGGCAGTGCTAACGCAATACAAGACACTCTCGTACGCCCGCGTTCGTTCAGAACCGAAAATCGTACTGACGTCAAAATTTCACTATAGAAACTTGTTGTCATCGGCGGGACTGTCGAGACTGCCAGAAGAGCTTCAGCAGGAGCATGGCATACGTTTATTGATTGTACGGAACGCGTCATAGTTCACGGACTGCCAGTAGCTAATGTTCCAATCTGCAGCTTTCTTCTTGACGGCCCATTTTAGCCAGGAAGACTATCCATATGACTGGTAAATTTTATCTACAGAAACAGTGACCAAGTTCTTACCGTTGTTCGTAGGCTTATGCACTGGCTTTCGAAGGTTGGTAACAATTTGAACGTGACTAACCATGGATAGCATTGACACTAAGCACAGCAACCGGCATGGGGACGCAGTCGTGAATTTGAAATTACCACCAGGACTGTCGGTCGCAATGGTCTCACGCAGTCAACGACGGGTGATCTAGAGGAGGAAGACGAAGAGGAGGAAGATGAGGACGCTCTCGTACACGGACGTCGCAAACGCAAAGTGGCGTTCATGCCAAGTATAGGTAAGCTATTACCGCATATAGGTTCAACGTGGCTGAATGTTTTCTCAGATACGACTCACACCATTTATTACCGTGGCCACTGGCTTCGGGTATGTTATCACTATTCGGTAATGTCCTCGGAATACTGACATGCTTTGATAGATAACCAGGACTAAGCGCTACCCGGACTACGGCCATGGCTCAGCTCTGAAAATTAGGTTAGTTCTTTATCTCGGTGTTCATTCAACATGCTTATCGCCTTGCAGTGTGATCGCTCGCAATAACGACATTCTGAAGAAGCTCGTTCTCGAGGCCAAGCGCGAGTATGAGAAGGATGCCGAACATCGCGTCCATATCTTCATGGCCGATACGTGAGTCCAGGCTTGTCATTAAGGTACAAATATAGCTTATTCCATTTCAAGGACATATGGCTGTTGGCGTTGGAACGGAGCTCGTCAGAAGCGCCCTATGAGTTCCATTGTGTTGCAGCCAGGCGTCAAAGACATGCTCTTGGCTGATTGCAAGGATTTCCTATGTTCTGAGGACTGGTGAGTGGCCTTCCAGAATCAAATTGCTATCAGAACATCAATTCCTTCTTTCCAGGTATGCTGAAAGAGGTGCGTGAGATGGCCTAACGTTGAAATCAAACCTGATGACATATGCAGGTATACCGTTCCGCCGTGGATATCTGTTGCACGGTGTTCCTGGAAGGTCCGTTGGATAAACGTGCTCTAGTTACTACCGATACTCACGCTCTATTGGTAATAGCGGCAAGACGTCATTGATACATTCGTTGGCGGGTGAATTAGGGCTGGATATCTACGTTGTCAGCTTGTCATCAAAGGGGTGAGAGTGGCTCAAGCCACCGAGTACTCGATTATTAACGTTTGACAAATCCAGGATGAGTGATAATACACTGACAACATTGATGGGTCATGTACCATCCAGGTAAGGTTCTCCGTCATCGGTCATTTCCCGGTATTCATTTGTAACAGATGTATTTTGCTTCTTGAAGATCTGGACGCCGCGTTCACGCGCTCCGTCAGTCGTGATTCATCATCAACTGGTGCTCCCACAGCATCTAGCACCAATAGCACTACCGCTGAGACTAACGATGGATCAACATTGAGCTTGAGTGGACTTTTGAACAGCCTTGATGGGGTCGCAGCTGCAGAAGGCCGGTAGGTCGCCACGACTCCCTTCTAAAACCCTCGCCACTGACATGCCTTATCATAGACTCCTTTTTGCTACGACTAACCATATTGAGCGCCTTGATCCAGCCCTTAGTCGCCCAGGCCGCATGGATGTCTGGGTGAATTTCACACATGCGACAAAATGGCAAGCCGAGGGCATTTTCAAGTGTTTCTTCCCCTCCAAGCCCGCTGGTGCCGCAACTGCACCTCCATCTGAAGAGTCGTCCGAGGACGTTGACACTTCGCAGAAAAACCTCCCCCTGCCCAAGCGCAAGGCGCCCAGTCACACTATTCCTGTGCTTGATGAGACTGAAATTTCTGAGCTTGCTAAGCGTTTCGCAGATGCTATCCCCGAAAACGAGCTAAGCGTAAGTTTTCGGAGCTGATCGATGATTCGCCACTGACATCCGTTTCAGGTCGCCGCCCTGCAAGGTTACTTGTTAAAGAACAAGGTTCGCCCCAGCGAATGCGTTGATGAAGTCGCGCAGTGGTACGCATTCATACATACCTTGGGAAATGCATTACGAACTCATTTATTTTACAGGGTCATTGAGGAACGCGAGACACGGGAGAAGCTCAAGAAAGAGAAGGCCGAAGTACGTATAGTACAATATCTGCGTGGCTTATGCTGAAATCCCTTCAAGCGCGAGGCCAAGGAGAAGAAGGAAGTAAGTTCCTGTGGCTCAATTGGTCCTGTTACAGTATCTGACATCATGAGATAGGCCGAGGAGAAAGAACGCAAGGAGGTACCGTGCTTAGTCCCGTTCCGTTGAATGATGTCACTCACATAGCAATTCAGAAAGAAGAGAAGGTCGCCAAAGAGGTAACGTCTTATCAAACTTGATTATGCGCGTCCTGATGGTGAGATAAATTCTAAAGCAAGAAGAAAAGGAGGCAAAAGAGAAGACCGAGAGGAAAGAGCGTGCGAAAACCAAAAAGGCTCACCGCGCCGAGACTGCCTTAAAGTTGGAGGGTGCCTCCAGCAGCACCATTTCGCTGACTACGACCGAACCAGTCGTTGTCCTGAGCACCGCTGAATCGTCAAGCTCTGAATCGGACAGCAGCAACGGCGGTATTGAGGCCGACACTGAGGAAAGCATAACCTCAGAGGAGGAACCCGACAAGGCCGCCGATAATGCGGGATCTGGTGATTCCGCTGTCAAAGATAGCAACCATTCTAAGGAGAAATGGGTCGCTGTGAAGGCTGACTCATGATTTGAATGCGCCGTTGACAAATTGCCTTCTTGTTAGATACCGAGGGGGCTCGTCATCACCGCACACTGCTATTTTGCATCTTGGTCATTTTGTGACGATCGCTTCGAGGCTTGTTGGTACGGTTTAGATCTCGCAATATTTACGCAATCTGATGTCCGAGTGCACGTATGTTATGCGCTGGTTTCGCTACGGTTGATAATGATGCTTCCTATACAGCTAGCTAGCGCACTGCCAATCATACACGATAGTATTTCACTAAACCCGAAGGAGTTTAAGCAATGCAAGGCCGTAACAGTTGGTAACGTAAGCTATATGGGTTTCAAATTGACCTCTGAAAGCGTTTTGAAAGCTTCTTTGTATGCGTCCAACAACGCTTTCACCCTCGTCCGCTCTGCGACCAACGCCTCATCCTCGTTCAGCAAATCCGCGAAAAGCTCAGGCTTGTATAGCGATGCGACCAGTCGGTTCTGCACTTGCTGCGAGGTGTAGTTGACCAAAAAGTGCATGATTGCCTTCGGTATCAGATCCTGTATGCTCTGGCGGACAATCGCGAAGTATGATGAAATAAGAGATCTTATCAGGGACGTCTCCATCTCCTCTCGCAGAGTGATTTGGGAGCCAGGTTCAGATGACGATATCTAAAACCGTGTCATCAATCCACGTACAACTCTTATCTGCACTAGTGACCGAAACACTTACGGCTTCAATATGTTTCCCCAGGCTCTTCATGTCAAATGCGGCGTTATTGCCATCAAGTGTGCGCTTGCCGGCCATAAGACCGGTCGGACCTGCGGTCTCCGCGTTTGAAACGTCCCTGCCTGTGGGTACCGGCGCTGGACCATCATGTGATCTATCCACGGTTGATCCCGCGATCGGCCCTGGACCATTCTGCCCGAAGAAATAGTTGAGGAATGTCTCTCTTGCAGAATGTGGAGAAGTTCCTGGTGCTCCTGGTTGCGGCGCTTGCGAATGCGCGGAGGAGTGACGGGGACCATGAACAGGATGCGGCTTAGATGATGACGCTTTCGCAGTAGGTGCTGAGCCCGTAACTCGCGTCCGGTCATGCAGTGTCGAGGACACGGAGCGCCCGTCACGAGAAAGGACTCCATTTACTCCCACAGGCTCCTCGGCAGAGGACTCATCCTCGTCTTCTAGTGTGGGTACGCCATTTATCGGTTCGTTGCTTTGGGGCTAACAGCAAAAGAAGCGCATATTTAGACCATCAGAATGAGACAGATCAGAAAGTGGCGCGTACGCGTGACGGTTGGGCAGGTTTAGGAGCGGGAGAAGTCGCAGCTTGTGCGGCAGCCGCGGAGCCCGAGATGAATGCAGGGTGGTTGGTGTTGATGTACGCAGCTTGTATCTCGATCAGACTCTGTGCGTATTCTGATGTAGGCCCAAGTCGTTCTCTTAAGAGTTCTGACACACATTCAATTAACTGGGCGTGAAGGCGGGGGAATCGCTCCAATTCCTATTGCGGTGGAGTTTGAATAGGTAAATCGAGACCAAATAGCAGGAACAACTCACTACGCTTGTGCAGTTGTGGCAAATTTTGACGAGCTCTTCGTACACCAACTCCACACATCTCAGACTAGGCGACTCCAGTAATTTTATCTGCGGCTTTACTAGTAGATCGAAGGCAGACTCTGGAACAAACAAGCTTGGTCGAGGGCCAGTGGAGTTCCGAATTGCAGTTCGGATATCCTGATTATCAAGATTCGAGGTCGAATCAATGCAAGCAAGCGCATGCCCAAAGACGTCGTTGAAAATGTAATATATGCGCGCCCCGCCCGAGAGCTCTTTCGTCGAAATGTCGACCTTTGTTCCTTCTATTGATGCAACGAAATCATGTGCGAATCTATTCATCAGCCGTAAGATGAGTGCGCCTTGCTATGTGGCTCTGAGTTCATTGTCTACGTGTCTTGTTAAATGAATGACTTACCTGGTTCTTGTCCCCGTAGATGGCAGCGTCACCAAACGAATTCAGTTCCTGCTGTGCTTGTCCCATGAGTGTGTTGAGGCGAGCTTTCATGTCTGGCAGCTTGTCGCGTATATGATTGATCAACACCTGGTTCAGAGTTCTAGCAAGATACTTGGTACCATTCTTGTGCGCAATGTTTCGGTATGCAGCATGATTGCGGAAGAACTCAGCCTCAGAATCTAGAGCGTCGGTCATGCTCTTCTCTGAGTTGATGTCCTGCTGACTCCGATTCACAACGCCAATGAAGCCCAGCTTCAGCGGGTAGACACGTCCTGTAAGGATATCGAGCGCGTTGGTACCTGCATCCATCAAGTCCAGCTTTGTGAGCACTCCGATTGTTCGACGTCCTTGCGGGTCAACGGATCGAGCCAGCTTTAATGCGTCGGAGTTGGCAAGGTCGACATTGGCAGCGGAGACCGCTAGTATGACACTGAAAAAACATAAGAAAGCGGCATCACGACAGCGAGAAATAATGGCTAACCTATTGGGTTTGGAAATATAATCGACAACGAGGCCACGTATCTGCCTTTCAATATCACTCGGCTGGTCTCCGACTGGAATCTACAAAGGTCAGGAGTGCCTACAGCAAAATTAGCATTGACATACCTTAGTCAAGCCAGGTAAGTCTACTAGTGTGAGGTCCAGGACATCAGGGCTGTATATTTTTAGAGAAATGGGCAATTTGCTGATGCCCTTATTCTGTCCAGCGACTCGAAATGTCTCCTGCTCGATCTCTTTCCGTATCTCATTGTAATCCGTAAACCGCTTGTCGATATGCAAAAATTGACCCCACTCCGTGTACGTGGGGGTTGCTGGATCGGGGGAAGGGGTGTGGATAAGTTGGAGGACAAGCGGACGGCGGGTGACAATGCCCTGCCCACGCGGAAGGAAGTCGCGACCAACGATGCTAATAAAGACATGATTAACGTGTCAGATGCCATAATTGCCACATACTTTTCAAGCACGCTTGATTTGCCCGCAGACTGACTGCCGACCTGCCGAATAATTTGTGAACAATATTTTCGGGGGTACGATCATCAACGTGCACGCACCACGATTAGCTGTGGCATATCCAGCTCACCACCTGCCCCTCACCCAAGTCAACACAAACCATACATGGTCTCTGTTGGGAACTCACCGAGGTTGCTGAATGTGTCCTGCAGCCGGTTAACGAGTTTAATGAGGTCTGAATCCATGATGGCTGTTTGCTTCCCGCGTCAAGGTCGTGAATAAAACGGAAAGCTGGCAAGCAGCGGCACAAATATGTATGATAGTACGTGCCGAAACGCGTGAGGCGGCGGCTGAGGCCTTGAGGCGCGTAGTCACGGCCATTTCCTATTTGGCCGCGTTTGGCTTTGTGGTATTTGAACACATCCGTTGAACTCAAGTACTTGATCGTTCAAAGATTCAGTTGTAAAATGGCCGCACGAATGACATTGTACTCGAGCTCGTAGGTTGATAGAAGTTAGTTGTATATAAAACTACGCTACTCTATCATGAATTACTTAGCCACAGTTAACTGTCCACCACCAGGTATGCATCTAGATTGCTTTGCTTTTCACGAGCTCTGCGTAGAGAAAAAATAAGACTCAGAACTGAAGGAGTGGGCAAAGATAGATCGATACTCACGCTCAACCTCTGTGACTGCACTGATCAAGATGTCTTTTTGCACCTTCTCGTCCTGGAGGTCAGCCATAACCTTGGCAATAACGCTCTTGGCGAGCTCAACCTGTTCGCTCTCTTTCTGTTGCTGCTCATAACGGACCCAGCTGTCGAGAACAGATTTCACCTCGGATGCAAGAGCAACCTTCTGTTTCTGGACAAATGCATCTGCCTCTAGCTGAGCAGTTTCCTACTCATAAATAGAATCATTGAGTGGATATCGAACTAGCAGGTAACTGTTGCTCACCTTCGAAAGAGCAAAGAGACCCTGGGTCAATGAAACCACATCCTTCATTTGCTCGACGGAGTTGATGCGGTCCTTCACTGCCTGAGTGTGTTCCGTTCGCGAGCTTTCCAAAACGTTCTTAATGCGTTCAATGTGACCATTTGCCCAGTCACGGTATGGTTCCCGAACAAGCTACGCGAAAACAGGCTTATAATCATTGTTGAGAGCGCAACTACAACGAACGTACCTTGGCGATGTAGGCAAGAAGAATGAAAGTGCCGGCAGCAACAACAGTCTCTTCATTCACAACGTAGAGCTCCTGGGAAATAGCAGTTGCAACAAGACCAGTGCCGAGGATTGCAGAACCAGTCTTGGTGATTAGACTCGGCGAGGAAGGGAGGGTGTTGATAATTTCTGCAGCGCGCTGCTCAGGTGGAGGATTTGAGCTCATTGCGCGCCTGCATGGGTATAGTTAAACAAACTCATTTCTTTGGAGACCGACGTCGAACGTACGCATTGACAGCCCGGGAAAAGCTAGGGAGGGCGCGTGGCCGAGCTGCAGAAGTTGTCCGGGACTTCAGCTCAACAGAGCTTGGAAGAATTTCCTTAACACTAACCAGAAGCCTTGAGCGCATTGACCGTGATCCTGGACGCCATTTGTGGTACAGATTGACTACAGAGTCGGGTTCCGAAGTCTGGATGAAGAGGATGGGAGACCGTGGGAAAGAAAATATTCCGACTTGACACGATGCTTTCATGCTTGAAGCCGCACTTTCAGTAGCCGCCTCTACGTACGGTGGGCTGCGGGGCTATGCTTGGCGTTCTCGAACGTAAGTGATCCTATTTTTTAACTGTTCAGGAGTGCACAGTGAAGACTACAGGATCCTCTGGATTCTGGAACACAACACGAGCGGAGTGATTGACATGATGGTCTGCTTAATCATCTCAAGTACTGCAGCAGCGCGTTGTTCGTAATTGGGGTGGGAGAAGATGAGGGTGCGGTGTTTGATGCGTCCGTATATTACGCGGCATATAAGGTTGGATTGTATCTCCTCCGACGTGATGATTGAGTGGTGCTTATCTACCTGAACTCTGCGATTTACCTCGCAACAAGGTAGCCCGTGGTACACATTGTATATTGTCCAGGAGGTTGAGATCAGCAACCGTTCACCGTGCTGTCAGTCTGTTCCGTACCATGTGTTCATATTTCTCATGTCTCTGGTTTCCTAGAAACAAAAACCCTCATCTCCTTATCTTGTGTTCCAAGTGGGAACCTTTCAACCGTTCACCTAGCCTCATCAACTGGCATGTTATACTTGGATTTGAATTGTCTTCCTTCTCTCTGAGAGAGGGATTGGAATACTAGTAAATGAGGCTGAATGTAAGTACACCGTGACGTCGGATATTGTCTGTCTGTCCGTCCTCACATAGAGATCCGGTTGGATAGGCCCCTATGCTAGTGTTTGACATGACACTTCTCCGGGCTGTCATCTTATTCGTCTCCGGTGGGTATTTTCCCAACATGCTTTGACTTGCTCTATCTCCCACTATCTCCCCTTGTACCGAAACGATTTCCGAAGACCGTATTCGCCTTCCACATTGGAGAAACGTATCGAGATGACTTTTCTGCATTTTACAATGGACGTGCATTCTATTTCGATCTGCTGTTCGACATGGAAGAGTGCTTTGTTTGGTTTGAGAAGCAGATGTGGGGCTGACTTCTGGTTTGGGGTATCAAGGAGATTACTAGCCGATCGGCACACATCAATGGGTTCTTTAAATTTGTGCGATGCGCCTTTCGAACACATGAAGTCGATACTCTGAAGTACTGCTCACTGAAACTGACGCCCTTTCCTTCTGACAGAATACAGAATAATCTTGGCTTCCGAGAAGCATAGATTAGACAAAAATCCTTGGCCAACCTCCTGTCTAAGAAGCATGTCGACCGGCGCAATTGTGGGTAAGTTAGAGTTCAAGAATATATCTGTCATCGCCCCCATGCCTCTTGTCTTGTGCGACACCGTGGGGTACATTTCATAGAAAACGCGTCGACTCATTTCAAACCTTGCTGCTAAGTTCATCTCATAGTCTTGTGTCCGCGGGGCTAATCTATCCACAATCATGCGGTGTTAGATTAATTTCTCTCCACAGCATGGGGGGCGTACCCATCAAACTTGGTGGAACGATCACTGCATAGCCCGAAATGAATGATATAGAAGCGGCTTGTATCACTTCTTGAGAACACCTGCGTGGATTGTCTTTATATACCAAACAGTGACTTGCTGGAGCGATTTATCCTGCAGTTGTACAGCATGACATATCGAAGCTTCCGACAAACCGATGAAGACGGCGGTCGGGACTTTTGTACAAAAATATGGTTTGAAATGCGGGTCAGACCAGTGGCCAACAATTGTTACGCGGGGATAGTTTACCGCCGTGCCGTGTACACACCTACTTGATGCCACACTTCTGGGTACTCCGGATACTTATTCGAGCGCTATGATTTAGGACGAACCTACCGGTACGCCAACGGACAATGCATACAAGCAATGAATGCACGCAACAGTGTAACCATTATGCATCATGGCCCCAATCCGCAATTTCATTCACGTTTCAGGATCGATCGAAAATCCGCCCAAGGTACATTATTTACATGCATTTGTGGTATCATTGCCGCGGCATCGTACAGTGTGCTTGACATGCAGTTCATGGTACTGTCACGGCGAGAGTATGCCTGCAACAATTTCGTATACCACAAATGTAGCCATGTTGACCGGAATCGCTCTGTGATGAAAATAATCACGAGTGATAATCTTGTATGCAGCACACACTCAGAACAACTTACCGCAGCATGGCCGGGCTCAGCCCGTGATAGAAGACTCCAACACCACCTGTGCGATATGAATGCTGGATCGTTGATATCGTTGTGCGATATGGGTTATCGCCTGTTGTCACTTCCGACCGCATTATGCTTCGCGCCTCTGCAGTCTCAGTACTCTGCATGCGCGTTTTGACAACGTCCATCGGGAATGTCGGAAGCCAGCCAAGGACGCCTGCTACCCCTCCACTGACAAACAGCACCCAAAGGGGTGGGGATCCTTGACTTGAGTCTGGCAGCAAAGTAGAACCATTAAGCCCGGAAGAGGAAGCAGTGAGGTATCGACTTGTAACCTCATACTTCCCGGCGGACGTTAAACCGTGATAAATGAGCTATGAGTGCGCTTACCCCAAAGAAGTATGCACCATAACCAAAATCACGAAGGGCTGTAGCGGTAAGACCACGAAATAAGCCCTTCAATCCGTGTTCCCGATGAATAGTGTAGATAATTTTGCTTGCTGAGACACTTCCTAGTCCGCTCTCCAAGATGTTTTGCTGTCTGATTTTAATAAGTTCGATAGGTGAAGAAAAAAGTCTGACGCGTCCATTTGGTTAGTTGCCTGCCAATTATGTCTGTAATGGTTAGGTAGCGTGCTTACGACATGGCGACGCCACAGCAGCTGCCAGCAATCGCAACTTGGGTGAGCGAGGGAATCGAATCGTCCACCATTTGCGCCTTGAGGAAAAATTTGTAGGTTGCGAATACGAGACCGTTCATAAATGCGTAAGTTGCCTTTATTTTCTGGGTAAGCTAGGGTCATAGCAATTGTGCAAACACAAAACCAGAGGTGAAGCAATGCCCTTGTATAAGCCACTGAAGCGCTCCTCTTTAATGATGGTCGCGAACGCATGCGACACTGAATGGTATCTCGAGGATAGATCGGGGTTTTGTAGGCGGACTTTGACTGTATCACAGTCAGGTCACACCATGGTGCGAGCCTTTGCGGAGCTCACGACCAGACATACCTGTGTCAAACGGATGAGCAATGAGAAGGCCGGCAATGCCTGGAAGACTCAGGCTATTAGAATCGATGGCCATCGATGACTGCGAATTTTGTACCTGATATCGCGCCTGCTATGAAGTCGGTTGTGGGGTCAAGGTCTACTGTTGCCAACGTGAGCAGGCTTTGTAACAATATCAATACGGGGCTCACAGCACCTGGCATCTTGATCGACGCGTTTGAACAACAAAGAGGTGTTCAAGTTGCAATTGGGCTGCAAAGCTTCAGGCTATCATCTTATCATCGGATCTTGATCGGATCATCACGCTTGCCATAATGGTAGATCTAGAATTTGTAAGTCTATAATTAAAGCGTAAACAGTCCTTGCCTTCTCTTCTTCAAGCTGATTCGCTCACAGGATGGCTGATATCGCGACTCCTGAGTTTCTCAGCGAACTACAGTCGCTGTATCCTGCACCAGCAAAATATGTCGATGGTGACTGGTTCCTCGCTGCCGGAATAGCGTTCAGCTCGAGCAACTGTCCCGAAGGCATCCCATGTATACTTCGATATGCTCTCAATGATCTCGACAAGCTCCCTGACACCTCAGATGAAGATCGCAGGTTGCTCGTGCGGAAGATAAGGGATGGGATCTTTAAGTCTGGCTTGATATCTGGTTATCTTAAAGTTAATGAACCATACTCGTTGACGTTGGTGATCTCACAATTTGCTCACTATCTCTAGGTTTACGATGCTCTTATTTCGCTTTATGAAGCCACTCCCGAAGATCTTCGAGACACCGAGCCTCTGCGGTCAGTGTAAAAATCATTCCAGTTCCTCTCTTCCTCACTTCTCGTATGACAGCGACTCTACTCGATCGAAAGAGGAAGTTGCTGCTGCTGGGCAGGCATATTTCGATTCGACATACGGTGATACCGCAGCGAAAGTTCAACCCATGCTTCGATCTATATACCCAGACCTCGGTATGTCCCCATATACATGCTTCTGCCAATCAACTCCTGATTTTTCCCCCCGCAGAACACTTCACGACAAAACTTGGGTACGGGTATGTGTACTCCTTCATGGAAGTGACCTCAGCCAAGGAGACGTCATTCGCTATGATTTCTGGCCTGATCCCGAATGACACGCCTCGTCAGGTTGAATGGCACCTGACTGGCGCTGTTCGCAATGGAGCAACGGTCGAGGAGGTAAGAGGTGTACGAGAGATCGCACTGAGAATCGCGATCAAGGCGGGCGTTCCCTTGAAAAATGAGGTTCCCAACATTTGATACTATCCACACTTATAAAGTGTAAATGCAATCAGCGACCCTTTGAAAAGTTGCATACGCCGTAAGTAATTTGGATTCAAGCTTAGCAGGTTACTTGCCTTGGTGAAACTTGATACCCCTGAAAGAGGTCTCTGTAATAATGTCGACGACAACCGCGGAAGATGTTGATATGTAGTGGAATGCGATGCACATTTCTTTAGATTTGATTTGGCTGCGCATTACCGTTTGCCGTAAATTTGATAATATTGATCAATTCTTGATTTGATTCGCTACAAGGATGATCGATATCGCGACTCCTGAGTTTCTCAACGAACTGCAGTCTTTGTATCCTGCAACTGCAAAATATCTCGACGGTGACTGGTTCCTAGCTGCCGCTGTAGCATTCAGCTCGAGCAACTGTCCCGAAGCCGTCCCACGTGTACTTCGCTATGCTCTCGATGCTCTCGACAAGCTCCCTGAGACATCGTATGAAGATCGCAGGTTGCTCGTGAGGAAGATGAGGGATGGACTCTTGAAGTCTGGCATACTCTCTGGTTATCCTAAAGTTAATGAGCCTCACTCATTACATTGGTGATCTTACCATATCTGTAGGCTATCAATGCTCTTGTTTCGCTCTATGAAGCCACTCCAGAAGAGCTTCGAGACACTGAGCCTCTACGGTGCGTGTGTGAGGTATCAAAATCCCTCTCTTCCTCACTTGTTGTATGACAGTGACTCTACTCGATCGAAAGAAGAAGACGCTGCAGCTGGCCAGGCGTATTTTGATTTGACGTTCGGTGATACCACAGCAAAAATACAGCCCATGCTTAGATCTCTATACCCAGACCTCGGTATGTTCACATAGACATTCTACTACTTCAGCTCTTGAATTCGGTCGTCGCCAGAACACTTCGTGGTGACAGTCGGGTACGGGTACGTGTACTCCTTCGTGGAAGTGATCTCAGACAAGGAGACATCATTCGCCACCATATCTACCATGATCGCGAATGGCACACCCAGTCAGGTTGAATGGCACCTGACTCGCGCTGTTCACCATGGTGCAACAGTTGAGGAGGCAAGAGCTGTACGAGAGATCGCACTGAGAATCGCGATCAAGGCAGGCGTTCCCTTAAAAATCGAAGTTCCCAATATTTGATCTAATCGACTACATAAATGTGCACATGGAATCAATTAGGCTTCGGAAGTGGCCATGACACGTTGGTGTATCGAGAAGCGTGGTTTTTGTCGGGTGGTCGTTTTCGGCTTCGTTTGGGCGTGGCAGGAGTAGTGCAATCAAGCCGAGACTGGGTCGCATGCGTCGAAGTTTGTGGAGCATCACTTGGAACAAACCTTACAGCGTAAAAAGATTGTTGGAAGGTGATATGAGGTATACGATGTCGAAAGAGTCTGCGCTTGCCATCTACCAGCCCTGATCTAACTTTCCCTATTGGCAGCCTCGTAAATTACAACTTCTCGTTTTGTGCACAATGATCTGACGAAGAAACGCCAGTCAGGGCTTCCGAATGAAATCAATAGCATCTCCGCCTCTCCAACTCGGCCTGGGGACTTGAGTCTGAGAACGTAAATGCGAAAGGGGCTAGGGATGGTCTAGGTCTGACTCGACACCTCGTCCCATCTCTTTCAGACGTTCTTCGGAACAAATGATTTACATATTACGGCGACATATTTACCAAGACCCATGTCTCCCTAAAATCCACTCTGCAACGCCGAATAAATAAGTACCACGACGAAACTTGAAATTCAAGAAAAAATAAATTCTCCTGCTCCCTGCAGAGCACCAGACTACCGTTAACTTCATCAAACATCTCCTGCGCTATACACCACTGCCAGTCGATATATGCACGCGCTCCTGGAAAGCGATTGAGGTCATGGCTGTTGCTGCGTCAGAGTCTGCCACGAGCCGAGCGTTATATTCCCGAACGCTAAGGATGAGGCGTGGTCCCAGCACAAAGCACTGCATGACTGTCAAAAACTGAACAAGACCAAGAAAAACCTGAATTTCCGCGGAAAATAAGTCCTATAGAAATGATGACCCGTGATCGCATGAAGAAGTCAGTCAAAGATTGCCATACCGATGAGATTGTCGGAGAAAAATAAACAACGAGGATGAAGCAAGACACGGCAACGTAACTAGCAGCACGTTCAATCATTCAGCGGAGGGAACCACATTCACAAAATGAGCTCACCTCGCAAAGTAAAGCACGTGGGATTTTATCAACACCGTGAAACAGTCCCCGATAATCTCTTCTGCCGAATGTTGTCGCAGTTCACGGAAGTGTTTGAAAGCAATCCAGACTGCGAGGCACAGTGCGAGGACCTCCCAAACAGCGCCAAGTATCCAAGTAATGGAACCCAGAAGTACGATATCATCTTCCGCAAAGTCAATGGCGCACTGATAGGTGCCGGAGAGAATGAGTTCCTCTGGTATTCATAAATGAGCCCCATGCACGTTTTTCATTCACAATTAAGTGTACCCCCTGAAATAAGCCTCGTTGCCATTGCCATGACCACTCCGTCGTAAATGTTGACAGCCAAGCTCACGACGACGAGAAATATCATGATCCTTCTGGATCGTTGATACATGGCATGTAACCGAGCGATCGTGATGACTGCAACATGTTTCAGTCAAGTCAATATCATAGGTCTTGCAACTGCACAACTCACCACACAGCATTGAAAATGCCACATTCTCCGTCCAATTCCACACGAAGAACAGTATCTGGCCTGAGAAATCCAGTCAGTGACGAGCCTCTGAGTCGGGTGGATCACACACTTCAAACATACTCACATCTGTGACAGTCATGATAGTGAATGAAGAAGCTAGTCAAGAATGACACTCACCCCTACAGGGGGTCGCGGTTAATTGGATAGGAATAGCAGGCATTGGTGCAGAAGACTCACTGCATCTGTCAACAAGATCGTCGGAACACCGACTGTATGTCACTGCTCAGAAGAAACAAACACAGTGAATGCGAGAATACATACTCAGTATGCCCAGGCTGAGTGTGAGAGGTGGCCGATTAGCAGAACACCAATTGTTAAGCCTTCCGAACATACAAAGAAAATAACATTCCGAGATAGCGCACCTAGGATATTTTCAAGTCAGCACAACTTTAAAACAGCCAAGCTACATACACTCAGATAGAGAACGGTCATCAGGGACCAACGTTGCCTCTGTGACAAATCAATGTTTGTTCTTCTGACGTGGAACTGTACTCACCCAGACCAGTTCGACCTACAAAACCATTCTTAGCGAAATGGCTGCTCCGGTCATAGCATCAACATACCTCTTGTCCGAACGAAAGCGCTGGAAATACGTGTAGGAAATCCGAAATTCTCTGATGCTATCATGCTCACCCCAATCATACATCACTCCAACAAAGGCGGCAACTGCGAAACCGCAGTCAAGGTTAGATTGAAACATCAGCACCAACATCCGACTGCTCTCCACAAACCTACAAAATAGCTGGCAATACGCCGAGAGTTGATGAGTGGCCAATAACTAGGGTCGTCTGAGACTATGGTCATGCTGTTAGAGGATGGATGTGAGGGAGCGGGGAACTTGGTGGACATACGACGACATTCGTGTTAGATATACCACCATCTAGTGCTTGTATGACTAAACTTGAGGTTCGATGCCGCCGCGTACCCTACACGAACGCAGAATCATTTAGTGTTGGTGCGGCAGTATCTTCCCAGCGCTACAGGTACTAGTACCAATAAATCTTCTTATATCATTGATGTTACGTCTAATAACAGTGTCATCACTTGCATAGGATGAACGATGGCTCATCGCGTCGGCATGACGCCAGACCAGAAAAGTCAGCCGTTAGAAATAGTAGGGGAGATCCGCCTTTGTTCACTGGTTCTCTGATGAAGGGGGTAACACTCTGTTGACAGGCGCATCAGAAAAGTCAGAGATTTGAGCAAGATAAAACACTTGCCATACAACTGCCTAGTTCCAACGCACACCCTCAACACTTAATCTAATGAAAACCGATGTAAAACCTCTACTCGCGTTGTGTTCGTAGGGTAGGGACGTGGATTGGAACATGCCTGTGCTATTGGTCAGGGAACATTTGCACGGGCGGAACGACTGAACACCGCAAAAGATGAAAGAACGTAAAGAACTATTCGTGATTTCGTCACCCCACTGCTGCGGCAACTGCCGCGATCACTGCTGCTCACAAACGTATTAATGAGTGCTGCATTCAAATATTCACTATAAGCACTGCAAGCTCACATAGGTGAGTGTCACAGCACTAATCGCAGCACACCGCAGCACACCGCAGCACCCTCTTTCCTTTGATGGGTGCTCCAACTTAATATTGGTGCTGCGACACCAACTTTGAACTTACTTGCTAAAAATGTCAGAACTCAAAAGTTGTACATAATACATGCATGTAGCATAACCTTCAGGCCCATTGAATGATTTTTTTCGCATCATATTGCAGACGCGAACTCACATTAATATTGTAATACACTTATACTTTTCAGTGGTAGATTTTTGTATGGTATCTGAAATCTGGAACAGCGGAACACACTACAATTTGACTTTCAGTGCTACAGTTCAAGACACCAAGTCCTTAGTAAGCTTATATTTATCACGTGAAGTCCTTCAATGCACTGATGAATGCAGACTCCAGAGCATATGCATGGTGGCCAGCGACACTAGCAAGATTACCGCAGCAAGTAGTACGATGCGGCAAATTCCGATCCGCTGATCTTGCCCTTACCGACCTACTAGTACTAGTGGACGATGTCCGATCGCAAGCAAGTTGTAGTACTCTATGCAGAGACCCAATTGCAGAAATCCATAGACTTACCAGGTAGTTTTACTGTTGCCAAAGCCAAGAAGGAGGGGATGGCGGCAATCAGGGATCACTTAAAAACACTTCCCGGTGTGCCGCCTGTCACCTTGGACCCAGACTGTACCGATTTTTACCCAGGTACGTTTTACTACGTCACCACTGCACCGTACACATTCGCGGTGGATATGTATTGAGTCAACTTGATCAGCTACTAAGGACAATACCATCATACGCAGTCTGAAGGGTAATCCTACGATGGTCGTGTACCCGGAGCCTCCTCAAGGACAAAGCCTGGCGCCCTCTCCCTTTTTCGATGCCCTTCAATCTGCCATTCATGAATTACGCGATCTTAAGGCTCAGCAAAATGCCGCGTTATTGATTAGAGAGGAGAGCACCAAGTATGATGGAGAACCATGTGTGTATTTCGTGGCCCTTCATAGCAGTCAGACTAATGTCTACTCTCAGCTTATTCTGACAATGACACCCTTAGCAAACTCGAAGCAATGGAGCAAAGATTTGGGCAAGAAATCGCAGAGTTGAGGCGGGAAAATGCTGCGCTGAAGCAGGAAAATGCTGAGCTAAGGCAGGAAAATGTTGGGTTGAAGCACGACATCACAGATCCGTCAGCGGGTACTGCTTGACATGGGTCATGATCAGCTGGCTATCCTTTTGCCACCAGAAACGCGATGATGGCCGGGAGATGATGCTTCAAAATTCCAAAGACGTATCAGAATATTGGAAGGCCGTTGGGCAGGACAGTTCGGCTCTCATTCATCGTAACTGTATCAGGACTCGTGCTGATATCACAGCGCACTCTTCAACAACTAAGTCTATCGCGGAGTGTGTTCTGGCTCTGACCTCCGAGAGCGATAGGCATGGCATGGTTATCGCAGTTTACAACAGCGAACCGTCGACATAGCGCAAGTCTTTGTGGGTATGTAATAACGATTTTCAGATACCTTTCTTGACGAACTGGATGCCAGTTATTTGAAAGCTCAAGCGTTAAGACTTCCTGAAAGCTTGAACTTCGAAAGCTTCGAAGTTCCTTCGTTCACTGGCAGCTGAGGTGGCTACATCTACCGGAAACTACCCGACACTGGTTCGTCTCTATTTCAGATTGCATTTTGCAACTCCCCCGTGACAGGTTTCACGGCAACAAAACATTTGTTGCGAGAAACCTTGTTACGCACACACTTACAGGTGCCATTGTTACTGCGGCGTGCAATTCATCCACGGTATGCGCTGGGAGAGCTAAAGTTGGGCGCGCATATGCGCACACGAATTGCTTCCCTAGGACCAACCATTCTGTATATGATGTCGAAAACGTCTATAGCTGGCGCCACGATGGAAGCTCATGGAAGCAGGGGTTTACAGCGAGTACAGTACCCATATTTGTGGTTTGGCACAAGTGGCTTAGGCAGGGAAATATCTCAATCAACCGGATGAATTGTTGCCAAATGCTCGGTCCGACCCCGCCAGTAACTTGAAGCAGTCATGATCATACAAGAGGAACGTGCTGGCTTCCTTCTATTGGATCTCCAATATGTATGGGAGACTATAAGACTCGCTCGAGCTCCCTGGCGATAGTGGGAATCCATTATTCGCTACGAGGATGACTGATATCGCGACTCCTGAATTTCTCAATGAATTACAGTCTTTGTATCCTGCACCAGCAAAATATATCGACGGCGGATGGTATCTAGCTGCCGCTGTAGCATTCAGCTCGAGCAACTGTCCCGAAGCCGTCCCACGTGTACTTCGCTATGCCCTCGATGATCTCGACAAGCTCCCTGACACCTCGGATGAAGATCGCAGGTTGCTCGTGCGGAAGATGAGGGAGGGTATCTTTAAGTCTGGCTTGCTCTCTGGTTATCCCAAAGTTAATATGTCACACCCGTTGACCTTGGTGATCTCACGATATCTGTAGGTTATCCACGCTCTTATTTCGCTATATGAAGCCACACCCGAAGAGCTTCGAGACACTGAGCCTCTGCGGTCAGTGTGCGAGTTATCCTGATTCCCCTCTTCCTGACTTGCTGTGTGACAGCGACACCACTCGATCGAAAGAGGAAGTTGCTGTTGCTGGTCAGGCATATTTTGATTTGCAATACGGTGATACCGCAGCGGAAGTCCAGCCCATGCTTAAATCCATATACCCAGACCTCGGTATGTTCCCATAGAGACATACTTTTGGATCAGCTCCTGAATTCGATCGGATCATCGTCAGAACACTTCACGATGACACTTGGGTACGGGTATGTGTACGCCTTCTTGGAAGTGATCTCATCCAAGGAGACGTCATTCGCCATTATCGCTGCCCTGATCGCGAACGACACGCTTAGTCAGGTTGGATGGCAGCTCACTGGCGCTGTTCGCAATGGCGCAACAGTTGAGGAGGCAAGAGCTGTACGAGAGATCGCACTTAGGATCGCAAGCAAGGCGGGCGTCTTGAAGCATGATGTTCCCAACATTTGATACCTATCGACTACATAAACGTATAAATGCGATCAATTATTCTTTGGAAGATTGCACACGCTGGTTGGACGTGGAGTGGTTCTCACCAAGGGTGCCACAGCTCGATCCATGATTTGATACATGTAGTTATTCAGAATTTATAAGACAGATCATGTTTGCTAGCGTTTATTCGTCATTCTTGTAGTTCGACGTAATTTTCTGCAGGGCACGGTTAGGTCGTGTTCTCGAGATATACAACGAGCAAGAACGTACCGGGGAACATTCCGACTTCGCCATGTGGATTCTTGCCTTGCCACCATCCTTCACCAACCGCCTCGATTTCAACAATCCTATCACCCTCAAGGAATGATATTTCGTTGTCCTCGGCGGCTTCATAACTGAAAACAAAAGGGTTTAGATCGTAAAGTTGCTTCAAGAAACAGACCTACTCGTAAATAGCCACTGCTACAATGCCCTCGTCGGCAGCAGAGACCTCGGGCTCAGGTTCGGGAGCGGGTGGCGCTGCCGGCTATTGTTGCATGAGAACCAATGCATGACGTTCAACACTGTATTTACTCACAGCTGGGGGAGGCGGTGGTGGCGGTGGTGGTGGCGGTGGTGGAGGTGGAGGTGGAGGAGCCTCTTCCTCAGATTGTTCCACGATTTCAACATAATTTGCTATAACGCAGTTGGTTTAGACCCGGTAAACTGAACAAAATAAACACTCACCAGGGAACAATCCGCTCTTTTCGCCTCCTTGGCTAACACCACTCCACCAACCTTCGTCAATCTGTTCGATCTGCTCAATAAGTTCACCTTCCACCAAGTTCATTTCGTTATCTTCCGTAGCCTAGTATGAATAATGGGTTTCGTCAGATTTTATGAGGCACAAGAAAACTTAATCATTAACCTCATATTCATACAAAACGACCGCAAAGATACCCTGGCCGGCCGGAGCGGGCTCTGGTTCTGGTTCTGGCTCTGGCTCCACGCTCAGTGCCTGCATCTGGGCTACAGGTGGCGGAGGTGGCGGCGGAGGCGGAGGCGGCGGGGGCGGCTGTAGATAGAATAAGTAACCAATCACTTAACATCATCTGGTGCTCACTCCTGCTTCTTCTTCTTCCAATTCAATGGGCGCAGGCACAAATGCTGGTGGTGGTGGTGGTGGTGGCGGCGGGGGCGGGGGCGGTGGTGGGGGAGCAGCCTCTTCCTCTTCTACTTCCAGTTCTGGTTCTGGCTCGGGAGGCGGGGGCGGCACAAATCGTGGACGTGTCGATGCAGGGGGAGCCGGTGGGGGTGGGGGCGGCTGCACAACGTTAAATGCGTCAGATTTCTCGCCGATATCAACAATTCTCGCACGAACCACAAATTCTACCTGAGGTTCAGGCTCTGGAATTTCTAATGCAGCCCCGACCGCACCAATAGCTGCACCACCTACAGCGGCAGCGGCAACTTTGGCGCCAAACCTTCCTGGTGTCGAACCGCTGCTTAAACCTGTAGATACGGGACTTTGCCACGAAGCCTGTTTACTTCGTTGCTCTTCATCCTCTGCTTGTTTCTTCGCTTGAAGTTGACGTTCGCTCCAGGTGAGTTTCTTTGGCCCACCAGCAGCAGGTGCGCGGGGCGGAGGAGCTTGCTGCTGCTGTTGTTGCTCAAATTGCGCAAACGGATTTTTCAGCCTGCCTGGTGTCAGTTTGACCGGGGTCCACGCAGTACCCTGAAACACACATCATAAGAGAATACATTTGTCAATGATGTCATGCTTACTACTGGCGCAATACGATCTTCTTCTGCAGGTTTAACAGGAACACTAGAGGAAGGGACGGCAGGCGGGGTGGCGGGAGCTGCAGGAGTAGAGCGTGCAGCAGTTGTGCCAACGTAAGACTACGATTGCACGGTTAAACACAATTTAATAAGGAAATTCTAGGCTTACAGAAAAAGCAGGCCTTGGAGCGCTGGTTACGACCGGTGGACGTGACGCAGCAGGCGGTGGCGGTGGAGGCAGCGATGCAGAAGGTGCCTCTCCCTCCCAAGCATCAACGGGGGCTTTCCCTGTACCAGCAGGTCGTACAGAAGCAGTACCGCCAACAACGGGGCGGGGTGCAGTGGGTATCGCAGGCTTAGATAATGTCGTGACAGGTTTGGGTGCTGAAGGCACGGATGAAGTAACATTCCTCGGTGGCGGCTGAACATTCCGCATGGCAGTGATGTCGGGCCGCCCGACAGGCGTGTAGCTCGTACCTACAGGGGCGATCGGTTCGAACTTGCGCGCTTGCTCGTTGTGGGCTGAATATTTTGCCCCAGATGCAGCTTCGACACGCTTCATTATGAGCGCAGGCGCGACATCAGACTACGGAAACACTAAGATTGCTGACATGCGATTATTCAGGCGCGGTACGAACCTCGTTGCGAGCACTGATTACAACATGAGAACCACGGAGGAACTTCGCAACGGCGCTGGAGTGAGTGTGGAATAGACCCTTCTTGGCTTCGGGCACACCATCTCCACACCAGTTGATTTGTACGAACTTGGCCAGTTTACTCTGAAGGAGACAAGATCGATTCATCAGGATCATGTCAAAGTAGAAGCGTAATGAAAGCACACATTAGGATCTATCACACGCGCGAAAGCATACTGCATCCTGCACATAAATCAGAAGTGGAACTGACTAAAGAGACAGTTTGACCATACCGTCCATCTGAGAATTCCTCCTCTAATTCCTGGAGCCCACCATTCCCGGTGGCCTGCACCTTGAGGTCATTTCCACCCTTGTCGTATGTGTATATTACCCAATCTATGTTTCTCCCAGCAACGACATTCTGGTATGCCTCGCCGATCTCTTTGCTAGATAAGTTGACCTGCAAGGACATTGGAGCTGGCTGGACAAAGGAAGATTACAGTTGAGCATCGCAATTCGCCAAGCACACTGACACCAAACGACTGACCACTGTACTGATCAACGCAGCTCTTCGACCGTGAAGCTTTGTAGCCTGAAGCTTGAATGACCAGTTTGTGATGAAGGGACGTTTCAGGTTTCTGGGTTTGTCCCGATTCAGCTCACTGGTAGTGACCCGCAGTTGATTTCTCGGCACGTGACTGAGACGCGTCTCATACGTGTCCAGGTTATCTGGATGATGACCATCCGAAAAATCATTGACTTATATCAAGTTACGAGCTGCTGTTCAGCCGCATATCTCTAACGATGGTATCATGGTAAATTTATCGTCGTCGGTCTAGACCATGATTCAGGTCCTTGGTCTGTTCTCATTGAGAAGTCACATCTAAATGTTGACATGTGGGCCGTCATACTAACATAGCGTTCAATTGTGTCGGTAACTCTGTTGCAGCTGTTCCTTTTTCTTTGAGCCTAACGCTCATCATCGCAGGCTTCATCAATGCTGCATACATTATCCCCTCAAACGAGTTCCCATTAGGCAAAAAATGTCTAGCTGAAAAGTCGGAGCAAGCCAGTTCTGATGTACTCTGTGCTGTGATACTATCTGCCTTGAAGCTCTTTACTTGAGTAAATGGGAAGCTTTGAAATTGCGGACGATAAGACGCATGTGCAGGTGATAACAGATAACAACAATACACACTGTTGAAAGAGTGAAAAGTCGACCAACATCACGCGTACTCAATCGGAGTCAAGTACTATACGATGCAAGTGCACAGGATAGGTCTGCATTTGGCGCTACCCGCAGCCCCCCGCTGTGATGGGTAGCGAGTCAAAGAGTTTTCATCAAAATTAGCGATCGAAGTCGGTTGTGGTATGACCAATCTGCCAGCCGTCCTGTATTGATATTGTCCTGGCTGCGGTCCAAGAGCCCTCCGGATGCGTCGAGCACACAAATAATTATGCATGCACCAAAATTCTGAGGAAAGGAAGCGGAACTGAGCGTAGCTAATAAATATGACGATAGGAATGGTACGTGCATCATGCAACAATTCACGCATAACAAGCGGATCAAGTGAGGTCGAAATATTCTGGTATCTCGTCCCATACATCGTGGCGTAGCTGACTCAGCTTGTTCTGAATATACAGTGTGCAAGTTAAACATACTTTGTAGCTGAATGTCCCTCTGCGTTAGTAGTGCTGTAATGTTTCAAGAATGTCCGTTGACTGTCGACGTGTCTCATACATGTCTACAAGTACTGCGGGCCCCTGTCACAGAGAACATGCATCAGCTGAGCGTTGATAATTGTGGCTTGCAAAGAGGACTCGGTCCGCGATGGAAGCAAGCTTTGCCTTTCCTCGGAGCAGACAATTATAGTCTTTTAAGGATAAAATAGTCCAATCTTCAATATGTCCGACGATCCGATCTCGCAAGTGATCTATTCCGTATTTATTGGCAAGGATCAGCACCTGCTTCACTGACCTTGGTGTGTTAGGATCAAGATGTCTGGACGGTAGCGCACTGGTCCAGTTGATGAGTCTATAACAGTGGAATTAAACACATGCTCACGTGCGTCTCATGGTACAAGATTCTTAATAGCGATTCAGCCTCTTCAGCACAATATGCAAGCTGCATTACAGGCACACCATCATGTCTCCATCTCATGCTCCTGGACTCCAGGTATGGTGGTAAGCACAGATCGGAAAACGGGGGAAATCATGAACAGAACAGATTTATGGGCTCGGAAAATCTTGCGCTGCCCAGTCGTGAGTGGAGCAACCATAACAATATTCCCATCCGCCGGATAAAGTGAATCATACAAAGTGCTTGTTTGAGAGTCGCGTCACTGGTTCATCATGATTGGAAAAATAAATGTTGTCAACTTGTCATACACATAACTTAAATGGAAACGGAATTACCTGGCAACTCTATAGCTCTGAGCACTTATTTTGCCAACTTGTGTTCAAGTAACTTAGCTACTATATATGTACTAGGAGGAAAACTTCAAAGTTGGAACGAACCTTAAGATTGGTTCTGCATCACGTGACCCGCGCGTCTTAGAGCCTTTTCCATCATCCAGGGTCCACTGTCCAGCACAATTAGCATGGAAATATCACCAGCTACTCTCGACCTTCCAGAATGCTCGCCCAATCTCATGCCATTCCACATTTCTCACTCAGGGCTCGCACCGATATCCACGTACTTTCGCGTCAAGCCCTCGCCTTCTAGCACGCACCTTTCCCTCACACAAAACACGTCCAACAAAACAAAACTCTCCACAGAGGACAGCCAGAACACCCTCGTTGCTGATGAGTCTCAATGCTCCCTAACCACGATCGCCGAATCACAGTCTGTTTCATTAGAGGAGGATTCACAGGCATGTCCTGGAGGAGTGGGCGCTATGGTAGTCGACGCGGACTCTGGGACTCAGGCGAGCTCATCAAGCGCTCCTGTGACGCATCTAGCAGAGCGTAGTCTCGAGCACAACTTCGTAGCAGCGTTCAGAGGGAGGCAGATACACGGTCGTACCGTGGACCTACCACAAGGATACGGCGGTATAGTCCTTAATGCACCGAGCGGTCATCCAAAGAGTCAAGGCGGTGACACTGGGACGGTTGAAAAAACGGCGAAAACAAGACGCGAGACACCCCAATCCAGCCGAAAGATGGAGACAGATGAGGATGACGGGGTGGACGCAGACAACGATGCCTCACGTGCTGAAACTCGGAGACTAAATCCGGTCTCAAGGTTTTCTTCCTTGACTGTTTGGTCCCCAGACATACCGGTGGATGAAGGCAAAGATGAGTATCTTAGATCCTTGACGGAGTGGTCAAAATTAGCGGCAGAGGTACGATTTCACGTATAATCTGTTAGCGTGCAGACATTGAAGCACCATCGAAGATTCATGCGTATGAGGCATAAGGTGCTGGCCGGCTTTTCTTGGACGAATATGCAACTTCAGTGATGGACTGGAAGACCGTTTGAACGATATGTTGCTACATACGTCAACTGTTGGCCCTGGTTTAGCTAATGTCAACACTTTTTCATGCACAGTAATCGACCTGATTTATGTCCTTCTGCTATGAAGGCACCAGGGCTAGGCCAGGTCGCTTACTGGGATTGCTGACTACTGTCGGAACTTTTACAGGATTCGAAGGAATTTTTTTTTTGAATCCTTGTTTATTGTCCTGTGGGGTGGGGCCCTAGTACTTTGCTGCTTTATGTATCATATTTAGCAGAGTAATATCTATGCAATGGTCCAGGTGGTTAGTGCAGCTTCTCCCAAATACCTTCAATAAATACTGTATCTACCTCACTATGGTATGTAGAGCTATGACAAAGTCTCAGCGGGACATTAAAGCAACACTAATCATTAGATGCACCTATGATGAAGTATACTGTCGAGATATGCACCTAGGTTCGACCCTACTGTAGAGATACGACACTAGGTTCGTCACAGGTCACAGCCATCAACGAATCGAACCTATTTGGTGTGACTGTCACACCAATTTTTTGGGGGCCGAAGCTAATTTGTGACATGTGGTAAAAACATACAGAAAAACATATATAACAAACATACAAAAAACATATAAAAAACAACAATGTCCAGCTAGATTCTACCTGTTACTTCTCAACTTTATAATAAGATATGAATCAGACAAGAAGCCTTGACAAAATCACAATTTCCGAAGCTATTTTTTATGTGGTCACAGGTGACAGGGTAATTCGAAGCTGTGACACTAAGCGTGACTTTGTCACGTGCTGCACGTGACGAAGCTAGTGTCGTATCTCTACAGTATTTGGGTGTGACCAAATGAACATTAGGTTCGAAGGTTCGCAGGGGGGGGTGTGACGTGTGACACACTATGCTTAGGTTCGTGGTGAAACATTGGGTAGACATATTCCCTGTATATTCATCTCTAATTTTACTTCCGAGGCTGAGAGGGGTCAAGGCAAGCGCAGACATTTTGAGAACACTCACTGGCAGTACAAAAAATTTTGGATGCACTGGGTGTTTTTTTTGTGTTTTTACCGCTTGTCACAATTTAGGTTCGACGGCCTCAAAATTGGTGTGACTGTCACACAAAATAGGTTCAATTCGCCAGGCATGTGATGGTGTGACGAACCTAGGTGCGTATCTCGACAGTAAAGGTACATGTCAATAAGAGTGAGTAAATATGAGTGTGAAAACATACATACTGTTACAGCGGCCCCATCATTTTCTCATCATCATGCTTCTCCGATCTATTCCTGTTATCTCTGACTGCTTATCAACATGCACTGCATGAACATTCTAGATACTTCCGTCTATTCTTGTTATCTCTGACTGCTTATCAACATGCACTGCATGAACATTCCAGATAGTTCCATGACGTTCTTCTTGACTCCTTTCACTTCCATAGTCGGCCTGGTCCGTGCCTCCTTTGTCCATTATAAATACCGCAGTAGTTACGCTTGTATTCTCTAACTTGAATCTACTTGGTTCTCTCTGATACTTGATCATCTTCTGAGGAAGATACTTGATTCCGATCTAGCTCTTATAGAGACTAGTCTATACTCGAACTTCACTTAGAGGGAGAGCCCCTCAAGTGTCTGAACCGAACGTCGTAACACGAAGAACTCCTTTATTGGATTAGTTACGCAAGAACTATCCAAGTCGTAACAAAAGATTCAAGTTTACTCTGAACCCCTCTATCACCGAGGGACCCACTCACCCTGAAACCCTGAACCCAGAATAGAAAGACAAGACGTCTTCCCAGAAGCTAAGCTCGGCTAAGGCAAGACACGCCGCCGGAAGAATTCTAGGAGGAGACCCATACCCCAGAACAGAAAGAACTCCCACTCAGACTCCTCAGAACCCGTTCTCATCCCTATTAGCAGGACCATCCTGCTATAACCAGAGGGGTCATTGCATCACCAATAGGATATAGTTCGCTTGAGGAAGGATTATCCCAGAACCAAGAACCGTCGCAATAAGGAACACTCCCAGAACCCACCTGTTGATAAAGACGAAGAAATCCCTGACGCTCCACCGCTTAACCTTGACGACGAGGAAGAAGAAGACTACGACGAAGAACCCGAAGAACCAGAAGAACCCGAACCTCAAGTATCCACTATGGCAGGAAGAGGAGACAAACCCATTGAACGGAAAATTGGATACCCACCTGACTTTTCCGGAGACAGGGAGAAATTTTCCCAATGGCTGTGCCTAGTTGACTCATACATTGAAATCAACGATGAAATCTACGACACCGACAAGCGAAAAATCATCTTCGCTCTTTCATTCATGAAAGAAGGAGCAGCAGCTCTCTGGATGGAAGATTTCATCACCTTTACCAGAGAAGAGAACCCAATCTCGACCACCGGAGCAAAGAACGGTTTTGGGACATGGAAGGATTTCACTACCAAGATGAAAGAGAGCTTTTCCCCGATTGACTCTGTAGGAACAGCCCTCCACAAACTCCGCAACCTAAAGCAGAAGGACGATTTAAGCGAATACATCGCCAACTTCAAGCAGCTCGCCTCAAAAGCTGGAATCAATAACTTCGCCGCCGTAAAAGACTATTTCTTCGCCGGTCTAAACCACAACATCGTAACGAAGTTATGTAACTCCGGAGAAGTCCCTGAAGATGCAGAAAAACTTTTTAAGAAAGTTATCAACATCGAAAACGCCTACCAACTCCTCCGTTCACACAACTCCCATCACTCGAATCAGCACAACAAGAGGAGGAACGATAACCGAAGACCCACTCGTTTCTCAGGCACCCCTAGAGACGAGAACGCGATGGACGTAGACCGCCTAACCGAAGATGAGAAACGAGAATACATGAGGCAAGGAAAATGCTTCAAATGCGGAAAGGTCGGACATCGTGCGAACGACCGCACATTCCATCCTAGAGATTCTGGAGATGACCGAAAGAAAGGGAAAAGGAAAGCAACCGGTAAGACGCGAAGCGTCTGATGATGAAGAATCTTCCAGCAAAATCGAGGAAGAAGAAGACGATGAATCTGTCAAAAGATGGAACTTGGATTTTTAACCTCGGAGCCTGCCGCAATGTCAGATACTCCATATATCGATGTACGTATAGCCAAGAATGTAGGAAAGACTAAAGAATTCAGGGTCCCGGCGACCATCTTCTCCTCCGTACATCCCGATAAAGCATTGCACACAACCGCCGTAGTAGACTGTGGCGCAGGGGCAACATTCATCAACTGGATGTTTGTCCGGAAACATGGAATCAAGATTCATAAGTTCAATAAACCCTTCTCTATCCGAAACGCCGATGGACAACTCTCGAAGAAGCAATGTACCCATTATTGTCACCTAGCCATAAAAATCGACAAACGCCTCATGATCGGAAAGTTCAACGTAATGACCATGGGAGAAAGAGATATGATTCTTCTTGGTAAACCCTGGTTATCGGCCATGAATCCCGACATCGATTGGGTAAAAGACACCCTCAAACTCCCAGCAACTCCACACTCTCGGAAGCTAGAACAAGAATACCAGAGAAATGTGGAAGATTCCCACTCCCCTTCCTCAATACGACACCAAGGATGATGTTTGGGACGATGTTCCTACTGAAACCTTGTTTGCCCGAAAAGTGGATGATATCTCCACTTATCCGATCAACGACGATGAAGTGCTTGTCGAATACTCTCCTGATGGATCAACGGTCAGAATCATCGAAAACCTTTCCCTCAATACTCCTCTCACCCAAGATGGAACATCCGCAATTGAGCTTAAACGAGCAATTTCGACACAACCGCTAAGAAATCAATGGATATTTTCGAGGAAAACTACCGATGAAGAATACCTGAAGACCAGCAACAAGGCTCAAGAATTTGCCCTAAGGGATGCACAAGAAAAGAAGAAAAAGACTTTCGAAGAACTCGTCCCATCCTATCTCCACGACTTCGCCGATATCTTCGCTAAAGACGGGTTAAACAAGTTACCGCCCTCTAGGCCAGGAGTGGATCATAGAATCGAAACCAAACCTGGTTATGTCCCTAAATCAGCGAAAACCTACCCCCTATCCCAGAAAGAAACCGAAGCCGTGAAAGCTTTTTTAGACGAACATCTTTCGAAAGATTTTATCCAACCATCGAAGTCTCCCCAAGCTAGTGGCTTCTTCTTTGTTGGGAAGAAAGATGGCTCTCTTCGTCCCTGTCAGGATTATCGTTACATCAATGAATGGACGATAAAGAACGCGTACCCCCTTCCCTTGATCCCTCCGTTAATCGCGAAACTACAAGACGCCAACTATTTCACGAAAATGGATGTTAGATCGGGCTACAACAACATCCTGATTCATCCCGATGATCGCTGGAAAGCCGCCTTCACAACCTCGTTTGGGCTCTTTGAGCCGAAAGTCATGTTCTTCGGTCTTTGCAATTCACCAGCCACGTTTCAGGCATACATGAATCAGACATTCAGAAAAGAGATAGATGAAGGATGGATGATAGTCTACATGGACGACATCTTGATCTTTTCAAAAACTCTTGAAGAACACCAAGACAGAACCCGCCGTATTCTCGAAATCATTCGAAGAGAAACCCTTTTCCTGAAACCAGAAAAGTGCACTTTCGACGCTCAAGAGGTGGACTATTTAGGGATGATTATCAGACCAGGACAAGTTGCGATGGACCCTGCCAAACTTTCGGGTATCAGCGATTGGCAAGTCCCATCCTCAGTAAAAGAAGTCCGATCATTCCTCGGATTCTGTAACTTCTATCGTCATTTCATATCCCATTACTCCGACCTCGCACGACCCTTGATCGATCTAACAAAGAAAGATGCGATTTTCATGTGGTCAGAAGCCTGTGAAGATTCCTTCCAGAAACTGAAGAAATGTTTCCTTTCTGAACCTGTTCTCCGAAACCCCGACCCTTCGCGACAATTCGCTCTTGCCACCGATGCCTCCCTTGTTGCTACAGGAGCCGTTCTTTTACAAACAGACGAGAATGGTGCTTATCATCCTTGCGGATATCTATCCCAATCCTTTAACCCAGCAGAACGAAACTATCAGATCTAT